TCTGGTAGAGCAGATAAGTCTATCCGTTTATGGGATGTTAAGACAGGATAATAAAAAGCCAAATTAGATGGTCATTCAGATTAGGTAAGGTCAGTCAATTTCTCTCCTGATGGTACTACATTAGCATCTGGTAGTGATGATAAGTCTATCCGTTTATGGGATGTTAGGACAGGATAATCAAAAGCCAAATAATATGGTCATTCAGATTAGGTAAGGTCAGTCAATTTCTCTCCTGATGGTACTACATTAGCATCTGGTAGTGATGATAAGTCTATCCGTTTATGGGATGTTAAGACAGGATAATAAAAAGCCAAATTAGATGGTCATTATTATTGTGTTGATTCAGTCAATTTCTCTCCTGATGGTACTACATTAGCATCTGGTAGTGAAGATAACTCTATCCGTTTATGGGATGTTAAGACAGGATAATAAAAAGCCAAATTAGATGGTCATTATTATTGTGTTGATTCAGTCAATTTCTCTCCTGACGGTACTACATTAGCATCTTGTAGTGATGATAACTCTATCCGTTTATGGGATGTTAAGACAGGATAATAAAAAGCCAAATTAGATGGTCATTCAGATTAGGTAAGGTCAGTCAATTTCTCTCCTGATGGTACTACATTAGCATCTGGTAGTTCAGATAAGTCTATCCGTTTATGGGATGTTAAGACAGGATAATAAAAAGCCAAATTAGATGGTCATTCACATTATGTAATGTCAGTCAATTTCTCTCCTGATGGTACTACATTAGCATCTGGTAGTTCAGATAAGTCTATCCGTTTATGGGATGTTAAGACAGGATAATAAAAAGTCAAATTAGATGGTCATTCGCATTATGTAATTTCAGTCAATTTCTCTCCTGATGGTACTACATTAGCATCTGGTATTTCAGATAACTCTATCCGTTTATGGGATGTAAAAACATCAAAGGAAATACTCCAATCAGATAAAGGCTACAAAGATCTACTTGCCCAGTTTAAAATACCACTTCAGAATAGTTCCTTATTGCCTAATGGTTTTTATTATTGATCATTTTTAGATAATCCATATTGCACGATACTTAGAATATGTTAGAATCCTTTGTTTGAAGCATCAGGAACACTTATCTTATAAGGACAATTTATTAATCATTAAGGAAAAGATTTAAAACCCTTGTTTAAATCCAAAGGGAGTTGCTTTTTAGAAGACTTAAAGCAAAAATGAATATGAAATATTCATTATGAACATTACAATTAAATTTTAATCAATTTCTTTTACTTATTTGAATCATATGGTTTTTGTTTAATTCCTCGATCTTCATTGTCTGATTTATTTTTACTGGAAAGTTTGATTCAAACCTTTTCAAAGTTAGAATACCAAAATAAATCAGTTAATTTTATGAAATTCTCTTTAGAAGTTCAAAAGTATATAAATAACAATTTTGTAATTTAAACCCTTTGAATCATTAATAAACTCTCTACAAGATAATGATGTTGCTTAAAATTATAGACTTTATTTCATAAATTTAAGATTTAAGCTATTGAAAAAGATAAGTGACAAAAGGAATTAAAAATTTCTTATTGATTGATTATCAAATTTATACACCATATTAATCAATTTTTGCAAAAATTTATATATATAAGTGAATAATTAATTTAAAAATTCTATAACTTACAACCTTTCTAATCTATCTTCGAAAACTTCGCGTTTTTAACACCTCATAGTATCCAAAACCATTTGCGTTCTTATTGGGTAAGCTTTCCATTTGTCAGACCATATTACTGGTGTCTTAAGGTCAGTATTATATGCCAGCCTTGACCAAACCCATCTCAAAACACTGCCTATAATGGAAATCGAATAGTTACAAGCAGCTTATGATGTATATTTTGTGCAATCCTTTTTGCATTTAAGTCGTATGCAAGTGTAAATTAAGTGCATTTTTTTTGAAATATTAACGCCACAATTGGCAGATCTTTATTAAGAAGCGAGATAATTAGTATTCGTTTATTTAAGAATATATTTACTTGTGTTTTGCATTTAAGAAAAAGATAAAAAAAAATAAGCATATTTATAATACAGTCACTGGATTATCACATTTAAAAGTGTAACAGAGAATAGTAAAATAATACATAGATTGATGGAATTACCGAAAATTTGGTATAGAGTATATAAAAGAATCTTAAAAGAAATTCCTACATGATTTAAATGTATTTCCATCAGTATTCTATACAAATAAGAAGTGATACATTTAGGATTGCTGAAAGCACATTCTTTAGGGCAGGAGTAATAAGAAATAAAGGACCAGGGCATTAAATAGTGTGAGAAGAGCAATCAATTGGTTACATTCATAACATAGTTTCTTTGACAACCAAAACATTAGAGCATTGGAGTTAACATTAAAAATACACAATTACATAATTTGGTAGCCAATACCAGTTACAGAAATGCGATATGATATCTTGTATGAAAGAATCTCTATAACAAACGAGTCAAATCTACCTTGATCAATATTAGCATGTAACAAGGAGAACAGAAAACCTCAAATTCTCTTTAAGTTCCACAAAAATGAGTAGATTGAGGATCTTTATGTAAAGGAAACAGCGTATCGATAAATAATATTGTCAAACTTTGGAACATTATCAATAAGCAGAGTAATTCAAACTTACACCATTATTAGTAGAACTCCTAGATATGCTAGATATTATGTCCAAACATTGCAAAAGAGTAACAAGGAATTAACAAATTAAATCGAAATTTTCGACTTAAAAAGATGGACAAGAATTGTTATAATTGAATATTAAGCAAACAGATGAATTACATGTTGATGATCAATGTGCTACAGCAGAACAACCAGCACACATTTTATAATTGAAAGCATTTCTGATTTACTCTAATAAGAAGAACTCTACTTCTTAAGGTAGCATGGGGGCTGACTGCATAAAATCCCCAGTTGTTTTATAATGGTGCAGTTTAAATTTATATTACATCGATCCCCAAATTCTCAGAATGCACATAATTTAGCTTCTCCTGTTTTTGGTCTGTATAAGTTTACTCGTCTTGTTCTAATTCTTAAGACTAAAATATTTGCTATAGAGAGACACTAGAATGAACAAATAAAGATAGTTAAATCAATGGCTTTAATGAGAATGAATTTGTCTTGTGCAAGTGCAAGCCACATGGCATCTTGAATAATTAACAAAGCTTTTAGCTCTAAGAACCGCCACCGATCACTCAGCTGCTGATTCCTACGAATACATTATTAATCAACAATATATCTGAGAGTAAATAGCCAAATTATCAAGATTTTAAATGATTGCAAGTACATTTTAACAAACAGATATAGAGAAAACTATAATGTTTACAAAATCCATTATCAAATAGATAAGATTTAAAATTAACAGCGAAATATTAAATGTAAAAAGTGAAAATTAGCCAAATATGAGGATTTGCACAAGAATTGATAGTTGGTAAAAATTAGTAGCATTACCAAATGCTTAGCAAAACAATAATAGAAAGTTGAGTTAAATAAATGATGTTAGACAAGAACTTTTACATAAATTGCATTAATAATCTATAACGCTGACATATTATTAAATGTGAAAGTTATGCATGTGTTTTTAGTGTCACATATGGTTTTGACAATATAACTAATAATATATATCAACCATGAATATTAACATGAATTATAAACATCTTAATGCTGATATTTAACAATTTGCACATGCAGTTTCCTAAAAGTAGGCTTAAAATACATCCAGCCAAATGATTACATTAGACACTCACTTTGAGCATTTATATAATGTAGATATAGAATTGCCATCTAGAGATCAATAACTGTCTTATAGTAGAGGAAGGCTGATATCTACAAATTGTCAGTTTTTTTTCACCTCTTGTTAGCTCATAGTGCAATAAATTTAGAATGAATTTAGGTTCATATTTATTCTTCTAACCTAGCAGCAGGGTATGTTGTACAATTATCTGATCTGTTATAAAAAAATATCAGAATTGTAGTTTGAAATTTTATTGACTAGGCTTATATCTAAATAGCACAAGAAAATTATAATAAGTCATATCGGCAAGTAGAATATGCATATATAGGACACTAGACAAAATGTCGAGTTTATAAAGGTTACAATTCATTGATAGAATTAACACAAACACCCCATTTTACAATAGTGATTTTTAGGAGATGGATTAAAATACTCAAAATTGTTTGAAGCAATACCTGATGCAGTTGCTAAATACTCATGTGATAAAAATATGTATATAAATACATTAGGCCTATTTACATTTTAAATCAGTAGTGTGGTACATAATTTACATTTTAGAGTAGAGTCAGTTGATACACATTTTCACCTAATTTAGCAGATCAATTACATTTTCCTTCTGTAATCACAAGCTGTTTCAAATGGCATTATCAAAGTTTTAGTTGGTTAAAATTGAATTTAAATAACAGCCACTAAAAGTATCAACAGCAATAGCACAAGCAAAGAAGCAACTTAAAATTAATTATAAGAAATACAACAAGACAGAAGGGGAAGTTACTGAGGACTTTAGTTAGGACTTCAGCATTTTCAAAATGTTAAATAATAAACTCTAGAAATATTTAAATAAAGAAATATTTAAATAAATATCTTTTGGAGCGACAAATTTTATCATAAATTTTGAGAACGTCTCATAAAATATGTGGCTATGTAATTACGTTATCTCGCAGTAATCCACAAGCCAACATGACTCTATAATGTAAGAGATGAGTAATAAGACATTAATAGCTTGATTTGTTAGAGAAATGCTTAATGTTCTTATGATAAATATTGAAAATATGAGCCAACTAAACGACAATCCATTCTTGTTGATGCGCATCTTTTACAATTCGCAAGCTCGGCCCCATATAAATAAAATCAGCGAAAAGATAAAGAGACGATCTTATTTATTCAATTCAAACACAAATTCTTTTTGGTGAATTGTCATAATATTGCATAATTAATATGAATTTGAATTTACCAGATAGGCAAATTTGTGCTCTGTATCAAGTAGATACCGTGCTATTCTTAAGATAGAAGTTACAAAATTTATTCCAATAACATACAAGCGTAGATGTTGTAAATTTGAGGTAAATTTACAATATGAATTATGAGGAGAAATTGAATTCGAAATGATCAGGAAGCCAGTATCAGTAAATCACTAACAGGATGGATAAACAATTCCGACGAAGAATAATAGATTACTAGCAAATAAGCATTTAATTATTTATAGAACAGACTTACATATCTATAGCTGTAAAAATTAGTTGACGCAAGTAAAAATAAGGAAACAGAGCATAGAGACTATTATCAGCACATAGAGCGACTGAATAAGTCTTAGATATAGTTTCACACAACCCTGATAATTAAGTTGCAAAATAAATTTTTTATATGCATTACTATGATTAAAAATATGAATATAGAAGATCTTGATAGTCAAGTTATTATGACTTCCGTTAAAAATTGTCTTGAATAGAAGGCTAAAGATTTTTAGGATAAATAAGATTTAAATGATCCTTGTGCGATACATATAGAAGAACTTTTAATTTCTCACAAGAGAAACAAAGAAAAATCTATTAGGATAGAGGTATAAATGGTGTAGGCATGAGTCACAATTATAATTTTGGTAACAAAGATCTTCAAATATTCGAATTTCTATGGTGCAAAGGAATATATAAAGAAACTGAATAAGTTGATCGATATTGGAGGCAAGCGCAGATTCTATTGAGATATTTATGTGTGCAGGTTACTATAATCAAGTGGATAAGTCTGTTTGTCGATAAACTGATTTAATTTTCATAAGGAGATACCACAGATAGAACCATTAGCATTATTGCCATCTCACTATGAAGGCAAGCATAAAAAGTAAGTATTTTTAACACTATTAATTGAGTAACATTGAAAGAGTATTCGTAAGGTCAAGTTATATATGTAATCTTAATCATCATTTACTATCACTTAACGCTAGGTCTACCTTCACTATTATGGGTTCCACTAAAGCTTGATATAAATTAAACTAATTTAACTATACATACATTCAAAAAAAGGTTAATTTGGAACATTTATTGTTTAATGATGTATCTGACAAATTTTAAATGAGAAGAAGATTGAGCACATTTAGCATCATAAATGTATGCAGCAATGCAATCTGCGTAAGTGAGTAAGTTTTTACAGAATGAAGTTTCAAGCAAATTATTTCTAAGATTTAGACTTGGGTATTATAACCATCTATTTTACTATATGATCGGAATACCATCTAGAGCATCGCCCCATAACTGCTCAAGTTTTCAAAGGTTCAGTTCATTAAACGCATAAGAGGAGTGGTAGCGGTATCTAAAACATTTCAACATCCTTACCTTGTGGCAGAATATTCACACTGCTTCATAAAATTAAAAGCTGTATGATTTTTGGAAGTAAGGATATGATGGGAATGCATTAGGAACACTTGTAAAATTGTTCTCACAAGATTGCCACTTTAATAAGAATCTCTATTACTTGTGAAAGTAGAACTTGTTATAGACATTTTCTCACAAGCCTACCAAAACAAGTATATGAGCCACTGGGTGCATCACCATTTAAAGCATTAACAGTCAAGGCAAATTAAATTTAAGGAGATGGATGATACTAGTTAAAACAAGAAATATCCTAACCAATCTAACGTGTAATGCATCGTTAGAAACAGAAGATTTTTATTTAATGCCAAGGAGAAATTCATCGAAACCTAAAAATATCAATAAACCTATGCTGATGGATGTGTTTGAAATTCATTCTAGCACAAGAAGCAAGTGAAGTTCCTGCTTATGGATGAAATTTAGAGGATCCAAGTATCAGACTTTATTTATGAATGGTTTATAAATTAAGTAACTTCCAGATCACTTCTGGCAAGAACCATTCAAATAATAAAGGTGACCTGAGGCATCTATCTGCAAGTGAGTTTGGTGAGCATCTTCCAGTAGTCCTATTTCTTATAATAATTTGGATGATATAGGTTTACGGCTCCAAATTATACCATAAGAAGGTGTATTAATCGCCAATTAATGCTTGTATTCAGAATGTGCTATGTGCTAGAACACCTAAGTTAGGAATTAAGCTTATTTAGGCTAGCATTAGAATTGAGGAATACAAAAGAACTAATGCACCAATTTTTCTTGTGTCAACTCCATGATATAGACTAATATTTATTCCACCAATTAACATGCAACTTGTGCTGCATGGCATTCACAACATCAATCATCATAGATTCATTCATTGCTCTAGTACAATAAAATTCATAAATAATCTTAACAAGCGCGCAAAGTTGTAATATTTAAAATAGGACCTTAAAGGATATATCAAGGCAAGCATTGAAAAAGAAATATGAAGAGATGTTTAAGTAATATTAAAGATGCTAGTATTATAAAGACAGGTGACACAATTGTTAAAGCAAACTATAAATAGTTGGATGCTGTAAAAAATGTCTGTCGATGCGTTTTTGATGTAGTACATCAATTTACTCAGAGTCGCTGATAACAGTTGCTAGTTCCAGAAACTGTTAATAAAGCACCGTAATACATTATATATAAATGAATTTATAGAATATTAGAAATTATATTCGTTAATTATTTCAATTGATATTTCTTTATCCTATCTATTGATACGTAAAATTTGAAATTTTTCTTGATAAGATGATGTTAACTCATCTTTTGATTAAAATGAAATCCATTCTCCTCTATATTTATTCTAAGTGTCATTCATAACTTAATTTTAAAGATTAAAGATTACATAAATCATATATTTATAAATAAGGGGACAAATTAGCTAAATATCTGCTATCAGGTGAATATCAACATATATTGTTATTTTCAAACTTGCTGTCCTATTGTATAATATCTTCTCTAATAATTGTAGGGTCTAAATTATGAGAGCAATCTCATTTTTAGAAATTAGTTCCATTATTAAATTCATATTTTTGTGATCAAAAAACATCCTACCTATTTTGTTTGTTATTGAACAATCAAAATTATTCTATTTTTTTCTCTTTTATAATCATAAAATATTTATATTCTTAATTAAAATTGTAGGTTGTGATATAGTCGAAACACCCAAACGTTTATTTTCTAAATTTTCTTTTATTTAATAAAGTAAAATATAAATATTATGACAAATTACTAAATACTAATCATTAAGAGAGAACCAAATATATGACATCTCACCCTCAAAAATAGATATTTCTAAATCCAATGTAATTATAGTTTTGTTTTCACCTTTTATTAGTATGACTTCAATAAAATCTAATGATAGTTCATTTATTTTTCACCCTTTATGACAACAGCAAAAATATCATCATCCCATATCAATAAACTCATTTAATTCTAATTCATTAAGAATTTTAGGTTTTAGGAAAATTCAAACAAGCTCTTGATATTAAAATTTCAGATAGAGTAACTATGATGGAAGACTATTCTGCTGCTATGTCTCATTCTCTTACAGTTCGATCTTCATATAGGGCATATAACTTATTAGAATCTTTTGAAGAAAAAGATATAATTTTTTATTAAACATTCATTCAACAATAGTTGTCTACATTTTGATGGATCATTTATATCCCATACTAATATACTAATATGAGATTGCCAAAATAATTTTCATCAATTGAATCTAAACAAGCCAAATATTTAAATCCCTAGATAATTAAATATAACCAGGGTTTATAGTGTTGAATTCCTTGATATTTTATTAATTATTAATAACAAAGAGCTTAATGTCTCTAGCATTTTTAACTACTGCAATTTAAAGTTAAATCATATGACTTATAAATTCTACGTGACCAAAAATCTTTAAAAATAGTTTAAAATTAATAAAATATTTTCTCTCCTCCTTAAATAGTTGTTAAAAATTCTAGATTTTGTTTTTAATTAATCAATTATTGATTTTGTCGAATATAAAAATTTATTATCTGGCGAAAATTGAAATATAATCTGTGGGATCTATGCTAAGAGACTTTTACACCACGGATTATAATAGTTTTTTTAGAAAGCATATTAAACTGCCATATTTCTTTTTTAAACATAAGATTAAATTACCATCTTTAGAACTTTATATTTACTTAATTTCTTATTATTACGGATCTAAGCTGATTTATTCTTATGTTTCCAAATTTAAAATTTTCAATATTCCTTTTTCATTATAGATAACTTAATCATTTCCAATAAAACTAAATTGGTTTGAATTTGTATTAATTACATAAAATTTTCTCTTTTTGTTATTTTTCAATTTACTCAAACTCCCACTTTATAATTATGTCTTAATTAGAAATCACGAATAAATATTATTCTTATTTTGAGATGCTGATGGAATGAATAGGACAGTAAAGTTCTTCTCTTATGTAAACAAACTTAGCGACTTAAGGAATTTCAATATTCCATAATATTTTTATTCCATCATTATCTCCTGAAACTAAATATTTAGAACAATGAGAAAATTCCAAACATTTAACCTATGTCTCATGTTTTTTTAGTTGAATAATCAATTTTTTATCAATAACATCCCAAAGAAATATTGGAGCATCAGATGCAGATGCAAGTAATTAACCATCCTAAGAATATGCAATAGAAGTTATTGGATTTGAATGAGCTTGTTGAATCTCAAAGGATTCATTCTGCTTAATAGCCCAAAGTTTTATTAATCTGTCCTTACCCCCAAAAGCAAGAACTCCCTCAGATGGCGAAGCTGTCAAGTATGTGATTGTATCTTAATGTCCCTTTAGAGTTCCAACATTCTTTTTAGCCTTGATATCCCAAAATATTAGATTATTCTACTTTGTACTTACGGCTAGCCGCTATTATTGCGGTAAGTAATTAAATAGGTTATATCTTAAATTGTTATAATTTCAGTAGAAGCCTTTGTTGAAACCTAAAATAACAAGATTTTATCCACAAAGAAATCCTTTTCAATAATTTTTAAAGAATAAGTCTTGATATTATTTAACTTAAAGAGTATTTATGTTCCAAAACTGTTCAGGTCCAAAGTATATATCGATTAAAAATTCAAAAAAAAAGTATACTTTGTCTTCATCTGGAGTTAATTTGAAGTCCATTTGACATTGGTATCCTGTAAAACTAATCTATATAATGTAATTTAAGCTAATGAGATTGATAATTCTGAATGAATTTCTTTCATTATCCAGAATAGCGAGTTATTATTATTATTATCTATTAGAACTACCATGTTTGTAAAATAGTTACACTAGTCCACACCAATAATTATTTATATCACTTTCGTTTTCTACTATTACTTTATCATACATTCCTCTTCAAATGATTTTTATTTTTTTCCTATAGAAAATACTTATATCCTAGAATGTTATATTAAAGTCAATCCTGAGCCATCACTTGCAAATGTTAATTAGCAATTTTACATAAACATTTATAAATCAAATTTGCTAAAAATTTTTATACTGTTTTTTTTAAATTAAAGTAAAATAAGTTGTGATTATGTACAAATTACAATCTAGTCATTTTCCATCGCAATAAGCAAAAGCTCTGACATCTTCATTAAACTCATGTATTTATTTTTTATTCATCCAATTAACCTAAAGTTATCTTGATTGGGCGATATAAATTTTATTTTAGTTTGACACAAATCCTTGTATAATGTCTTCTTTTGAATTAATGGGTAATGCAAATTAAACATTGAACAAGTCTTTGGCCAATAAGAAGCAGCGCATCGATTTGCATCTATAATTCCCATATTCTTATAACTAAATCACTTAACACTATAGGCTGCTGCTATAAGTTCAGAACAAAAAAATGACTTTACATCTTTTTCTAGATCATGAATAGATTCATTTGATTTTGTCAATCTTTTTATCAATTTACTTGGTGACATCTGATATCTTTTGCCAATTGATCCCTAAGCTATAAACCTATTATGAACCTTGACAAATTATTCAAGTTTTTCAAAAAGTTGATTTGATCTATTGATTTCTAATCATCTATATATCAACTATGAGTACAACGTGCGCCAATTATTTCTCATAAAAGCATCCCAACTTAAATGATTAACACTCTAAATCTTATATATTTAAAATTACTGTTTATCTCATCGATTCAAATAAAAATAATTCTCCATTATTATCTCGAAGTAATAAAGCGACATGATCAAAATTATCCCCAGTAAAAGCTCTTTAGATTTTACTTAATGGAGACTGATCCCTAATAAAATTAACTTGAGTAGTCACCTAAATAATAGAATGTCGCCAGTATCGGCTTTCTTTCTGAAATAAGTTTCATTTACTCTCTCAAATTTCCACATCGACTCATGATTCAAAGGTGTCATTTTTGGATAGGATTATTTAATCAAAATATGTTGTTTGATACAACGATACCAATCTTACAAATCCTTATGATCTACACTCAAAATAAAATATCTTCTTAATTCCATTCTTTTTTAATATTGATGCATAAAATTACCTTATTTTATATATTAGATTATTCTTCATGATAGGAGTAATCGAAACAGAAATCAAATGAAAATCTATGCAACCCTTAAATTTGTCTGAACCTTTAAAATATAGCATTTTCCCATCTTAAATCTTAACATATCGTTTCTAATAGATATATTAGAATCTTACCTGCCACCTTACAAGTAACTTAGGACTCTTTTTCTTTAACCATCCTTCTTTGTTATTAATATCTAATTGATTGACTCCCTTTATTTGATTATTAGCTGATATTGAGTATTGGAGTTTCTTTTCCAAAGCTCTTTCCTGCCTAAAATAAGATTAGTATTGTTGTTCTTCATTTTAGAGTATTTCAGATTTATCAATTGTAGAAGGAGTTTGATTCATTATTGCAATTAATAAATCCAATATTTTTATATATATATTTTATTCATCTTTCACTCATGAATATATTAAATTACTTAAAAAATAACGAAATAAATTATTATAAATAATACCCATATAAACCATGCTACAAATCAATATAGAGGTTCAAACTGTATATTTTTACATTGATTCTGACAACCCTCATTGTAACATCCAACTTAATGATTGTAATAATATTGAACTTAAACTAGCCATAACAACTGTCGTTTTGAATAATTAATTAAGATGTAAATGTTATGAACAATAAGACATCTATGAAAAAGTTGAAATACTTATCCCATACAACTAAAGAAACAAAAATAAAGTAACCTATTTTAATATCAAAAGCTCAAACTCATTTTCTATGACAATCTTATAAAATTTGGAGAAGCAATTTTTAATCTTGACTTCTACATCGAACATAACTTATCCTAAATTTCAGATAGATTATCTATTTAATGTGATCAAAATGAAGAAGCACAATTAACATTCATATTCGAATGGTAACTCATAGAAAATTAACCTGAACAAAATATATAAATTTTAGATAATTGTTAATCTACTAGTAGTCCTTAAAGCAAAGAAATTTCATAAAGAAATGCTTGTTACAGTCCAAAGAGATAAGAAAAATCAAAAAAAAGCAGTGATGATAATAGAATTACTCACTAATCATATATCTAATGGAAAGATCATAAGGAATAATTGAAAGTTCAATAAGAGAAAAAGTTGAAGGAACCAAAACCATAATCTAAAGTAGTCATTACTGATGATTATGTTTGGTCAAATTAATTGAGAAAACCAGATCTGAATGTGAGAGTTGGATCGCCTCCCAAACGATTCGCTACTCCAACTAAACAATTCAAAAAAATATATTGTTCTATCAATGAACAGCCAAAACAAACTGATCTAGATTTAAAGGATATCAATGATAAAATGATTGTTGTTAAAAAGTAAATATAATCAATGAATTAACAAAATAAAAAGAGTGATGATGAAAAACGAAAATACAAAACAAAATTAGGATCAAAGTAAAAGTATTTTTAATAAGAAGAAATTAAAACTTAATCTGACGACATAGTCAAATCATTTTCTGATAGAGGATGGAAGTAAAAAATTATGAGCTAAAATAATGAAAATTATGATTAATTTTAATTGAATACCTTTAATTAGGTTACAGAACAACAATACCCAGAGCATAATACTGATCCTTATTAAGAAATTCAGATATTAAAGCAAGGGTTGCATTAACAAGACCACAAATCTAGAAGTCCTCCGAAAACAAAAAATTAAAATTAATAAGTTAATCATTCACCAAAAAGTAAAACTTAACACTAAGATGACAATTTTAAGGGTACAAAATAAGTTGATAATGGTAATTTTGGAGGTGAAAAATATGAATAATTTTTAAGAGATTATTTAGATTTATAGGATAAATTATAAGGGTCTTAAATAGAATTCTAGTTATTATCTTAAACATATTAATAATTAAAAGAGGAGTACACTTAGGTTGTGTACTAAAATTAAAAATATTATTAATAAATACAAAGTTTATAATAATAATTTCAATAGAAGATAAATTCTATCGATTAATCTTCATAATAAGTATAATATATACAAGCATAACCTAATTAAAAGTTATAATAATAATAGTAGGGGTAATAATAATAGTAGTAGTTGTTGTTGTAATAATAACAATAATAATACCAATAATCATAGTAATAACAACAATAGTAGTAGTAATAATTATTATAATAATAACAGTAATAATATTAATAATAACAACTGCAATAATAATAGTAGTAATAATAGTAATAATAATAGTAATAATATTTATTAAAATAGTAATAATAAAGTCAATAGTAAACTTAACAAAATTAATAATATTAAAATTAATAATCCTAAAATTAATAATATTTATAATAGTTATCCTAACAATAATAAAATATTGATTTTCTAAAGAAAGAAAACGAATTAATTTAGAGAGAAAATACTATGTTGAAGTAGAACTACGAATTATTATAATAAAATCTATAAGTTTTACAACACGAGAAGGAAAAAAATGAATTTGAAATCTAAAATCATAAAAATAGCTTAAAAATATTAAATTAAGAATTAGAAAATTTGTAGAAGAAATTAGATTTAGTAAATAATTAGTAGTAGAGTCATGTGACCCCAATATAAGCTAATACTGCAAAATTTGACCTTAGGACAGATATCCAATAAATTAATCAGTTAAAAACAAAACTAGAAAACTCTGAATTAATATCATAAGGTTTGAGGGAAGAATTAAATTCTTTAAAATAAAGCTATGTTTAATAGGAAAAAGAAAGTTAAAATCTTAAGAAATAAGTTGATAATCAAAGCCAAATGATTGAATCTTTAGAGGAGGAAATATAAAGATCAAAAGAGTAATTAGAATAGAAGAAGTAGGAGATAATTAGACTTGAAGCTTTTAGCAATAAGGAAAATACAAATGATGTTATAGATGGTTATAAATAGGTAGTAAGGAATAAATAACAAGAGCTAAACAACAAGGATGAAGAAATTAAATAATTAAAATAAAGAAATAAGTAATTAGAGAGTGAGTATAAAGAAGAATAAGAAAATAATTAAATTATGGTTTAATAATTAAATTTACAATTAAAATAAGTATAATAGTAGATTGATAGATTATAACACGACAATCAAAATAATTAATAACTGTTGTTAAAAGAACCCAAAGGTTCAGAATAACAATTTTAGTAAATAATTCTTTAATTATAAGATAAGACTAGGAGTAAAAGAATTTTGTTTAATATTGCCAAGAATTTAGTTTTAAGCCATCTATGATTAAAGGTGAAGACTTTGAAAACTAGAATGATATTTTATAATAAGAAGTCAATCAATTGAGATAGGAAATTAATTAATTTAGTATATAATAGGCTTATAAATTTTAGTTTTACAAAAATAGAAGGATGATATAAAAATCAAGGGTTTATCGGAGGAGTTAGAAATATAGAAGGTATTTGCTTATTACTAATTTAGAATATCACTAGCTATCAGGAAAATGAGTAGTTAAAATTAAAAAATGAATTAACAGCTACAGAAGCTTAGTTATTAACATAAAAATAGAAGATTGCAGATATCCTTAATTCAATCATGATAAAGGGAGATGCAAAACTGATGGATGGACTTGAAAAATTGATTTAAAATAAAGGATTAGTCTCTTTGAAATGATAATATTTGATTTATATATATTCAAATATCAAATTTTCTTGGAATTATTGATTCATTCCATCTTTCACAAAGTTTAATTTGAATTGTTAAATATTTTAGATATGAATATAAATTCAATCCAAAAAAACATAGAATAGTAATTGAATTGTCTTATTTATAATGAGATATTACTTATTTCAATTTCCTTATTTAAGAATTTAATATTAATAGTGTGACTTAATAATAACCAATATAATCATTAAGCAAATTAAATATGATAGAATTGTGAATAGAGGCAGAAATGAAACCCAAATTCTCTATTATATTTAATAATCGTACAAAATTGAAATATATATTTTTTTATCTGCAAATTATTAATACATATTCAAATTTAATCACCGTCAGCGTTTTATTTACAATTATCTTCAATTGATGTTGCACTTATGATTTTGTTACCATCTATTAAATTTTCTTGTTTGACATCTTCTATTTTAATCAAGATGGCTGCAATCAAAGAACAAAACCCCAAAAACGATAAGAATAATTGAGAATAGTAATAACTTCCATAATAAGCTCTCAACACACCCACAACGATAGGAAATATACTAAATAATCCATTATAAATTCCAACTACAACTGCATAAGCTTTACCTAAGTAATCAGGCCTTACCAAATAAACAACTCCTGTCCATGGGGATGCATAAGCAATTGCATTAGCAGTTCCTAACGCAATTAAAGAAAGAAATGGATATATATACCACAATGTGATATGAGAAACAAAACAAAGAATTCCTGCAATAATACACTTTGATAAATATCAAAATTATTACGTGAGATGCTCTTCCACCATATTTATCAGCTATGAATCCAAAAATAGGAGTGAAAAATCCAGTTATCAACCACATAATGGCTACCATCTCTCCTGCTTTAAGCTCAGATTCTTCATCTTCTCCTAACCATCTTTCAGTCAAAAAACCCACTGAAATATTGATGAATCCTAGAACAGATGAATAATTCAATCCAAAATAGATGGCGACTAACCAAAATAATTTTGGATATGTTTTCATTTGTTCATAAGTACTTACTTCTGATTACTAAATATTTTATTCATTAATTTATGGTTGTTCTTCTTCTTAAGCTAATTGCATGTATTTGACTTTCTCATAATCAATGTTTTTTAGCATCTAAGTCTCGGCACATTTATCAATACTTGTTGATACAATTGCACAAACAATACAAAATAAGTTAAATAAGCATCCAATGGAAGTTGCAACTAATAATCCGTATTAAAGAGCAAGCAAAGGACAAAAGTACATTGTTGCAACTGAACCAAAGCCAGCAAACAAGGTGTTCATTCCTATAGTTAATCCCTTTGTATGAAATCAATAACTTACTAGATAATCATCTTTGAAATAAGGTGATACAAATGATGTTTGTATTGGTTAAACGGATTCAATTCCCCAGCCCAATATTATCCTTGCTAAATACATAACTATAAAGCTTTTAATCATAACTCCATATGCAAATAGTCCTTATCCAATAAAAACAAATGATACTGTCTATAATAATATCATTCGATCTCCCATTGCATCTCTAAGTCCTTTTATTAATCTTGAATATTACTTCCTGTGATAAAAGGCAAAAATATGTTTGCAAAAGAATAAATACTATACAATCCACTAAAATATATTTCGAATTCTCCATCCGTCAATATATCACTAAAATGTTATTTTAATGTATTGTGTAAAGCTGCAGGCACATCAAAACAAAAGAAAGCCCCTGCTACTATCCAAATGCAAAATCCAAGTAGAATCCAACGGAATTTAAAATGACCTTTGTTTAAGAAATGATATGTTTTATCTTTTCCATCATCTTTTTTATTTTCCATTTTTAAAGATAAATTTATAATGTATAATAATTCAAATTGATTTCTACAGATAAATAATGTTTCTAGGTCAAATCCAAATATTTCATTAAGCCATTTTAATATTTTTGGGTTGATATTTTAGTTTTTCATATTCTTTTAACATCTAACTATAAAAGTATTCATATCTAAGGCGTTCAACTTAATTCTATTTTCTAGGATTACAAAGCATTTACTAAGCTTCATTTTAACTCTCTATCAATTAATTTTGGTGGTTATTATCCATATTTTTGTTAATTTAAATCGTTGTATAGGACATGATCAATGCTTCATTTTCTTGATAAAATTGATCAAAATTATTAATTTCTTTTATAAATAAAATAAAATCTTAAAATGAGTGATTTACTTAAATAAACTTTGAAAGGGTAACAAAAATAGAAACCACCAGTTCCAAAAAAATAGATGCAAAGTACATTAAAATATATATTGAAAGATGAAGAGGAAAATGAAGATGATGGAGATGATAAAGAGGAAGAATAAGATTAATTTGATGTAGATTTTAAGTACAGTTAATGATCAAGTAATTAATAGCAAGAATTCAATTCCAGTAAAATTATAAGGATCTAAACCATAACCAATAAAAGCAGATCATAATATTACTCATTGTATTATTATAAATATGATAAGCCCATCATTAAAATCCTTAATAAGCAAAAATAACTAAAAAGATTCATGATTATACTCCTTAGAAATGGAATGAGTTTTATGATGAGATGATATTCCATCCAAATGTAAGAAAGTAGAAATAAAATAGGGAACACCAATATACATAGCTGGAAAAAATAAAGCACCTATATTTTTTTGTTTACACGGAGCTGGACATTCTGCAATGTCATTTGCAAATTTAGCAAACGAAGTGAAGCAGTATGCAACCTTGATTTCGTTTGATTTCAGAGGACGTAAACAAACTAACTAAAATAATAGATGGCCAATCAAAAATTGAATTGGAAAATCCAAACCTAAGTGTTTAGTAGTTATTGGATGATGTAGTTGAAATATTCGATTATGTGACTACATAATGGCCAAAACAGACAGTGATAATAGTTGGTCATTCTATGGGAGGTGCAATTGCAGCTAAGTCTGCGAATTTACTAATAACATCCTAAAAGGCAGATAAAGTTTAGGGTATATTAGTTTAACATTCACACATTAGGTTTGATAGTGATAGATGTAGTGGAAGGAAGTGCAATCGAAGCATTACCATTTATGGAATAGATAGTAAATAACAGACCTAAGCATTTTAAATCATATGAGTAAGCGATTTAATGGAGTTTGAACACCTCAACATTAATGACTCTATCATCAGCCAGAGTATCAATACCAGCATAATTAAAAGAAGTCAAAGATTAGAATGGAAATTTGATCAGTTTAGATTGGCAAGTTGATTTATTGAAGACAGCACCTTATTGGATGGGCTGGTTTGAAGGATTAACAAATTCGTTCCTGCAAATCAGAATACCAAAAATTTTGATGTTGGCTGAGAAAGAGAGACTAGACAAGGATCTTACGGTGGCTTAGATGCAAGGAAAGTTTAGACTAATTGTGCTGTAGAATACTGGTCATAGTATTTAAGAAGATGATCCTAAAAGCACTGCTTATAATTTCCATGATTTTATATTAAAATTTAGAATCCCAACTACTGTAGAAGAAGTTGAAAAGCTTAAACAAGTTGGAATCGGAAAGTTTCATCCCACCATTGGGAATTATGAATATTAATAGAAATATTATTGAATAAAATGTTCATTAGAAATACTTAATATAAAATATATATATAATTAATTTAACATTTTACGATTTTATCACCCTCTCAAAGCATTCTAAATACATCTCCTTGTGTACAGTTTTAGAAATGACTATTACTTTTCAGAATCCTAATTATTTTCTATCCATGTTTTTTTTTCTGATTGAGTTAAAATGTTTTGTGGTCCCTCCTCCAAAACCTAGCTCAAAAGTTGATGATAATCAATGAATGAGATCTAGGATAAAGCTATTATGCAATCATCAATGTAATCTTCAACTTCTTCGTCACTTGGTCCCTTTCTTAGAGCTTCGAATAATTTCGATGTATATTAAGGGATAAATGGAGTAATAATTTATTAAAATTCTAATATTTGGATAAATTTATACTGTCTTTATATTCTTATGGAATTTAGACTTTGAATGCTTCATCTTAGGGTTTCAACATTAAGAAAGTCACTTCTAACCATGAGTAAAACACTTTCGCAGCACCTACATGTTCCAATCCAATTGCCATCAAAGTCAACTATAAAATTGTTTACAATGCTGAACTTTGTAACAATAACACTGGTGTGTATCTACCATATCTTACAAGCATTCCAAATAAATCTTCCGTCAAGTCAGGATTCTCTTCGAAACTTGACAATTGAGGTAAATGTTGGAATGTAATATTGCATAGATTCTCAAAGGCCTCTGACAACAAATTACGATATTCAGGATATTTATAGAATACAGTTGCCGATACTTCAGCAACATAGATACAAGCTGTTATTGGAACTTATCTATAGACATTTAAGAAGCTCTAAAAAACTTAGGTGAGTAAATCAACAGAAAATTGGTTAAAAGCTTTTCTAAAAGTGTGTTTTGTATATCTCACTATTCTCTCTGCTACTCCATGTTCGAAGACTGCTATTCTCTCCATACCAAATTTTAACATTGGCCATAATTCTTAGTAAACATTAACTACTAAAACTCTGACTGCTAAATACTCATTTGATTCATTAGCAGGAATTTAGCTATTAATGTATGCTAAACTGGAAATGTTTTTACTGAATTGTTTAATCTTCTCCTCCAATGTATCCGATCCTACAGATGTGACGAGTAATTCTTCAATTTACTTTTGTAATTAAACTAAATTTTAAGCAAAAATTGAACACAATTTCAAGTAATAATTTTACATGGTTTCTTAACTTGAACAAATTGCATTTGCTACTCCTTTAATTAAATTATCATAGTTAGAGCTAAATTTTAAGGAATAAAGATTACACTTATTGTAATTTAAAAATGAGATCTAAAAATTGATTCAAATGAAGCAAAACAAAATTTTGATTTTATTGGCAAATCAATTAAAATGCTTTGGTGGCCTTCTTTTAGACTGATGAAACTTTATGATGTATTCCTATTGTTATAAAATTAAACAATGATGGCAATAATTCATTTGAGGAAATCAATTAAGCACAACCTTGGGATATTGTTTTGAAAACTAATTTAGAATTAATTAATATAATACCTGTTTTCATTATGAAATTATTGCTTGCCTATGGTTATTATTGATAGACATCTAAATATAATTTGATGATTTCCATTAAATATTAGACTCCAATCTAATCATTTTTCAATATAATTTATTTAATAATTCCGCTAATTAAATTCATACATGCTTCAAATGTAATCCAACCATTTTCATTCATTTGTGAAATGAATTCCTTTTTAAGTATTCCTCCTAAATGTTGAATAATTAAATTTGGTTATATGATAGTAACTAATTCTTCCATTATTTCTTTCATTTAGGATCTAGTTTCCAGTTGTTACTCAAATTCATCTTTAATTTTAGGTGAAATCCCATATTCAGCCAAGAGTATTTTATTCACTTTGCTCTTTTAGACACATCCATTGATGAGTTATTCGAAAGTCAATGAGAACTTATTTTACAATTACAAATCATTCATAATTCTAATGGTTTTGATCATTTTAATCCAAAAATCCATTAAGATGTCACTTTCAGTAAATGAATTTTCATGGCAAAATATCCATAAGAGTGTTTGTAAAAATGGCTCCAATTGCGAATTCAGTATAATTTTGTGCATACACTTTTTTCCAACTTTGGAATACAGTTTAATTAGGTTGTGAATTTCATCACATGTTTCCTCATCCAATGCTTTTTTGCAAGCAGGGAAGGTTTTGTATACTTCATCAAATAGTAATTGCAAAACTTAAGGTTCCAATTGAGGTTATTCACATATTGTTTTTGGAATGATACCAACAAATGTACATATGGCTTCAACGGCTTTACTTTACAATTCCTCATTACTTATGGATTCCAATGTACCTTTAAAGAGTGTGGTTTGACTACTTAATTGCATAAATTGAATTGCCTATTATAATGTTGTTTAGATACTTCTTCTTCTGTGATATTCGATTTCATGAATTCCAACCATTTTTTGTAGGATCTCAATATATGGTATTTAAGGGAATCATCTGGAACTGCATTCCATTGAGTTTGGAGGAATGTTAGAATATCCAACATTTATTTATTTTTAATGTCTTAAGCTATCAACTTCCTCTTCTCATCTTCTATTATAATCTTTTTATTTTCTGTCAGTTCTTCTGGGAGTGTCTCCAAAACATCGAATAAAAACTTCTAATGAGGACTATTGTTTTGAGAGTAATCAAGAATTTGCGCAATGACTCTAAGTATTAATAATATGATTACTCTAGTATTGATTTGGTTTGCTATGAGTAGGTGTACAAGTATAAATAGATGAACATAAGTACACATTATATTCTAGTTGATTTTTAATTTTATACGCTGTAGTGAAGTATGATTTGAATGCAATTTTGATATATGTGTGGCACTTCTGAGGGGGTGAGTGAAACTAATGAATGATTAGATGAGAGTACTGAAGTCATACAGAATTTTGGATTACAAAATACGCAACAATTGAAACACCATTGATGGATCAGGATTTTATTGCAATATTTGAATGCAGATTCCCCAAGCCTCATTTGATTATGAGAAACTTCTAAGAAAACTATCAGCTTATTCAACTTAGCCTGAATTAAAAACTTGGATTGCCTGACACACTTTTTCAATCGAAAATTCAGCCATGATTTAATAATTAATTAACTGATGGAATATACTATTAAGGATATGAGTGGATTCCTCTTAAATAAGTAAACCTACTCCTATTCCCTAGATAATATAAGCTTCTCAAAAAACTAGGAGCAGGAGCATTTGGTGAAATCTATTCAGCCATAGCCAATGGATTAGATTATGCAATCAAAATTGAGCGATCTGATACGAAACACCCCCAATTGCTATTTGAATCCAAGCTCTATCAATATCTAAATAATTCCCCTATAATTGGCATACCAAAATATTATGGATTTTACCAATAAGATGGTTACAATTTCTTAGTCATGGAACAGTTAGGCAAAAGTCTTGAAGACATTTTCACAGACAACAATCGCATCTTCTCGTTGCAATCCGTCACTGTATTAGCACTCCAAATGTTAGAATGTATTGAATTCCTACATGGCAAATAATTCCTTCACAGAGACATTAAGCCAGACAATTTCTTATTGGGCAAAACACATAAAGACAGAGTCTATATGGTCGATTATGGATTGGCTAAAAAGTACATTAATAAAGATGCTCACATTCAATACAAAGACAATAAGGCTTTGACTGGAACTGCCAGATATGCTTCTATAAATACTCATTTAGGAATTGAGTAATCTAGGAGAGACGATTTAGAATCTCTTGGATATGTAATAATGTACTTCTTAAGAGGTGCATTACCATGGTAAAATTTAAGAGCTAACACTCAAAAGGATAAATATGACAGAATTATGGAAAAGAAATTGGCCACTTCAAGTGAAACTCTGTGTAAAAATCATCCCAAATAATTATTTCATTACATTGAATATACCAAGAATCTCAAATTCGACGAAAAACCAGATTACAGCTATCTGAAAAATTTATTCATGTCTATAATGAAGGAAAATGAATTAAGAATAGAATACATCTATGATTGGGATGATGAAGACACTCATCGCGATAAAATACTTTTAAAGAATTAATCATCATAATAATAAGATTAATAACAAAGCAATAATCTTATTAAGAATACTAATTATTCATAATATAATAACAATAGATAATCAGTTATGAAAACTAAAACTTCATCCATTCATTCGATAAACAAGGTTTCAGTACTTAAAATTTAATCAAATATTAATACTTAAAATAGTTAAAATAATACTAAAAAAAACCCAATCAATAATAAAGTTAAATCAATTATCAAAAAACATTCAAGTTTACATTATAACTGATATATTATATTAATAACAAACAAATTATCATCATTTTAACTTCATTTTTATTTATGTTTCTTTGTAAATTCATCTAATTAATCTTCAAAAGTTATGTCAGACTTTGTAATGTCTCTTAGAATAGTCTCACCTTCCAAAGATTACTTTACCTCAATTTAATATAATGGCATGAATAGACAATGGGTAAACAATTTTGTTATCTTCTATGTTGTCTATACCAAATCAGATTCTAAGATCTAAAGGATTTAATTAAGTCATCTCAGCAGATTAGATATTAATTATTTATTGATAGGTTTTAATTAAGAGTTTTAAGAAGTGAATTGTTCCAAAATACTATGACTTAGATATGCTCCATAATATTTTATTTTTTCAAAAGTCTGAAGTCTGCATTTTCTGTATCAATCATATTCTGAAACAATTTTCAATTATTTAGTTTAAAGACTTTTAATATTATTATTTATAACCAGTGTATATATTATATAATCCTATATCACCAATCCGATTTATCAATGGAATTATGACTAGATTAAGAGAAAGAGGAATCCTCACTTTCCTCTTCCATTTTTAATTCCTATAGATTTTCTAATTAATTTAGAGCTATTCATAATTTTAAGGATTACTTTATTATACATTATTAAAATTAACATCGTTTTCTATTTAAATTTAATTAAATCTTGGATCTTTAAAGTTTTTTTCAATCATTTCAAACAAAAATGGGCTACTGGCTTCAAAGAAATTTACTTAATATAAATTGCAAGTTTTCATCCATTTTTGTAACTCTTCTTTCATATCTAAAATAATTAAGACCCTTTGTTTAATATTTATAGTACCGATTTTTATTATCATGGAGCAAAACTTTTTCAATTAAATTATTAAAAAATCTATTTTTAAAATATTGCAGATTCATTGTTGATGTAATATTACTAGTTGGTTAATTCATATCAACCAAAATTAATCCATTACAAAATTAAAAAGAATTTGTAGATTTGAATAATTTTTTTTTTGAAATTCCTTAATAAGTATCAAACCAAATGGCTCCTTCTCTCTATAAGGAAATAAAAATCTTTTAATCATATTTTGAATTTCCCCAAAATAGTATTTTATGTTTATCAATTTCTTTCAAAATATTTGGCTTTTAAGTCTCACAATATTCATGAAATATTTTTACATCACTTAACTTTTTAAAAATCACTACAATACTATTTGGTATAACTTTGTATACTTTGATCAAAGTGTTATACAAACTTACCCATTTATCATTTGATTATATATAAAAGGTTTAAAAATACTCGCTCTAATCAATTTTATGTTTAATTTAAATGTTATTTAGAAAATTATCCTAAGGGGAAAATTAAGATTGAGACGATATTATAATAGATTAAAATTTTAGTTTTTCTAGATGATCTAAAACATATTGTGAGTAATAATTAAGGTATAAATAAAGTGTAGTTTGTTTTTTACTTGTATTCATTTATAATTAATAATTACCATCATAACCTTATTTGTTTTTATCCCATTCTTATACTATCTGGATAAATTTGAGCCAATCAATTAATGAAGTCAACTTCAAAGTATTTGACTCTTTCAAATAACTTGAGATTCTTAACAACTATTCTTAACAACTATTCGCATATTCGTTAAAAGATTTTTTATATTGTTTAAATTTATAACATTCCACCAATCTCTAAAGTATTTCTTATGATGTTTTTTCTTTTAAATAGTCAGAGAAACTTTCCATAACATTTCTTGATAGTTCGACCCATTATGTATCCAAAATGGAAGTATCTTTAGATTTAAAATTATTAAACTAGTTTAATTCAACTAAGCTATTTTAGATTGTTTTTGTTGAAATTTTAGTAAGTCTTTTTTGGATTTAAAAACAAGGGTAATTATCAAAAATCAAGATTGAATTATTGAAACCTCCCTATCGACAGGAAAGCAAGTTCTCATAGGTTACAAAAATTAGGTTACAGTCTTATATTTCTGCTATGCCAGATTCATTCTTAAAGTAGTTAAATTTTGGTCGATATATAGTTTTTTGGAGATATCCTTCTGCCTACTTCAATTAATTCTCTTCTGGGGAAGCATAAACAATTTTCAAGGTTTTAAATTGTTCTGAGTTCGATGAATTTTGTTTAAGACTCCCAAGCCATGCCAGAGATGAGCAGAGCAATGAAAGAACCCTTTCTTTCTGATTAGCATGTTCCAATCTATTATTAATTGAAATAATGTACAAAACTTTTTATTAATTTTAAAGTGTAGAAATGACCCCATGCATTAATTTTTCAGATGCCTTAACACAATTTTTTGGAGTCCATATTTCAACCTAGCATATTACACTTTTGTTCTGATCAAAATCGATATTTGGAATCATAATTTTTATAAATGAAATTATGTTAATTGAATTCCATAATTCTATTATTTGTATCTCATAATTTCATAATAAATATATTTTAACCATTTGAATATATATACATTTGCGGTATAAGCAAAGTTTCTTCTTATAATTCAAACTAAAATTAAGAATCACTATTTAGGCAAATGATATTGATAATCAATGGAATAATAGTTTTTAAGTGGTTTTCTTATAAAAATAGTGCTTTGATAACAAAATATCTAGCATTCAAAATTTTGGAGATCATTTCAAACTCTTTTTTAACTCAAAATTTAAATTAAAAGGTAGTTTTAGTTAAAATATTAATATATAATATCGTTTTATAATATATTTTGTTGAATATTGAAAACTTTTATTGAAGATAAAGTAAGCCATATGTAATGATATATTTGTTACTTCGTAAAAAGAGAAATTTATTAATTGATAATAATCTAATTTCTATTCTTATAATAAATATATTAATTTAAGTTTTCAAGTATGTCCGATAACAACAGTGAAGAGAATTCAACTAGTAGTCGTGAAATCGACATTGAATATATAACAGTAAAATAAAGAATAATTCGTTTTTACATAGGCCAAACTATATGTTGAATTGGTAGATGTAAGAGATCCCAATTAAAATTATATTGAATATTTCCCAGAATTTGATTTGAGTAAAGTTTAATAGGCGAGCGGAATCAATATCTTCAAATTGACAAGCAAGTTGAAAGAGTAAGGAATACAATTGGAGGGACGCACGATTTCTTATTATAGTTTCGATTGCGAAATGTATATAAATTGTGGATTGGATCCTGTTCATCACTCATATGTGATGCCATTATATGAAATTAAATAAACAAACTAACTGCGCATTAAATGCATTCAGACTGGGATTTCACTCATTCATTTAGTCATGTCTGAGGAGATGAATGAGAAAGTTAATAAAATGAAGGAGTAGGAAGGAAATGAACAATCATAATAATAGTAACAATAGGGATAGGAGAATTAGAAGCAATGTAGAAGAACAAAGGAGAGGAGAATTGGATACATCATTGAGAAAGTTTCAAGATGGAGGGAATATTATAATGTAACATTAAATCAATATGTTTAAGGGTATTACAATAGATGGGGAGAGTAAGCGATTTACCCTTGAAGAAGCTGCTCAAAAAGTCAATATCTCTAAAAAGAGTTTAGATGATTACTTACTACAGATTCGATATGGTAGAAAATTCGGGTTTAATTTTAATGAACATAAAAATGAGAAAGTAGGAGTCTTAAGAGCATTTGTCAAGAAGAACAACTCATCTAAGAAGAAGAAGGTAAAATAAGAATGATTACCAAGTTTAAATTATCATTTAGTTTATTTCTATTCATAATCATTTTTAAATGCTTTACAAAAAAACTATATTTCCTTAATTATATTTTGAAAACGAAAAGTAGCTGATTAGTATAATTGTAAATTTTGCAATGTGTAAATATCTATTTTAAATTGTTTATCCATTCAATTAGATCTATGAATCAATTAGAAAATAGCATATTTTATAATAATTTAAATTTTAAGGATCAATGAACATTTTTGAATTGGACTAACCTTATCAATTTACTATTGTTTTGTATAGTTGACTAAGTAGTAGTAGAATGGCCAAAGGAATAGATTGTGAAACTTAATTCAAGCATTTAATCTTAAGATATATTGTGATTAGTTGATGTTTCAATGAATATGAACTGAAATGTGGAGAGATGATGGAGAACAAGAGATATAATAGATTGAATATGAAATATAAATGTAAAATATACATTAAACCTCATATCCGTTTTAATTATTTATAATAATGTATAAGGTTATATTATTATGTTCACTTGTAATATTTGCAAGTAGTATGAGTGAGAGTGAAACACTGTTGTAAACACTTCAAACCAGTGAATTTGGAAAGACAATCATCCAAACCATATAAGTTCAATTGGAAGGTAATAGCAGTGTGGACAAAATAATTGAATTGCTCACTTAAATGAAGGAGAGGATTAATGGAGAACAGGATACTGAAAGATAGAAATCAAGAGATCACACATAATTCTGTGATGACAAATACGATGAGATATTATTCGTTATAGATTCATCCGAATATTAATTAGCCAAAGATTAATAAACATTGCCACTATTCATTTAAGAATAAAAAAATAAATAGAGACAGTTGTTGGATAAATAAGAAATTGAAGATCGCAACAATTTACGCATTACTGAATTAACAGAGTAAAGAGATTTAACTAGAGTATTAAATACATGATAATTAACATAGTCACAATATGAAGCAAGACGAGATGAATTGACTACAATGATTGGAGCATTGTAAGAAGGCAAAAGAATAATTAGTAAATTGAGCACGAAGAAGTGGGATCCTTTGGCTGGAACTTACTCGTTCCTTGAATTTTCATAATTTATGTTCAATGAATTGGAAGCACATTAAAAGTCTTTAAAAAAATAATCAAATGGAATTGGATTATTATACGACTTGCTTTTGGAGACTTCACAGTAAAATATAATTGTGATTCTTTAGAGATCCAGGAATATAAGCAAATTAACAAGGAGTTGCAAAGATTTAAGAGATAATTGATGAATTGATTGAGAGCATATTTGATCTTTTGAAGAAAGAACTATTGGAAGACAATGCAAGAGAATAAGACTATTAGAATTAAAAGGAAAGAATAGTTATTTAGAACAGAAGATTGTAAGCAACTATTGCAACATTCAAAGCAAGAGTCTTAATAATTAATCAAACTATACTTGAATTGAATAACGATATTAGATTCAATACTGATGTAATATAATTGATTAAATGTAGAAATCTACTCTTCTGAGAAAACAAAAGGATGATTGGGAGAGAACTTGCGTTGATTATCACAATGGCTATGTTGAAGCTACTAAGATTAGGTATTTTGTACCTTATAAACCCTAGAACTTAATAAAGTGACATCTTAACAGAGGTTATCCAAGTATTTAATAGAAACTACAACGATTTCCCAAGTTTAATTTAGAATATAACAGTTTGATTAATTTATTAAATGAAAAATGATAAAGAGTTCTCTATAAAGGAAACTGTCAATAAAAACATTGAACGTGTTTAGTTTCCTGCTTTCAATCAGCATAGCAGTTTGCTTGGTTGGTGTTCAATGAATTATCCTCGTGTACTACAGAATCCATAATTTATGCCTAAACCAAAACCAAAAGAATATGATGACAATCTTGATTTCCTTTATTAGAAACGTAAAAAAGTATTACTCGTATACATAAATTAGGAATAATAAAATAATCAACTAATAAAGCCATTTACAAATTATCAGTTAACAAAAGAAGCTGTAATTCTTGAAGACATTGGTGCTCCTCCTCCAGGGTTTAAGAAGACTCTTAAGCAATTAACAACTGCTAATCCTGAATCAAAGGCCCTAATTTACAACTAAACATATAAAGACTACGATCCATACTTGAATATTAAACCAATCAATAGTCAATTCAAATAAGAATAGAATGAAAACTTCACTAGAACCATTCGTCAGGTTGGCGATGTTGTGTACAATTAAACATATGAGAATGAAGACATAAGACACTTAAAGGTATTGTACTATAATAATAATTTAGAAATTGCCTAATTCAATACTTTCTGAGTAGAATCTATAGGAAGCCTTAAATCCTAAGTTAAAATTCTTGAATTTGCATAATCATACTTGGTTGAAGATGGAACAAATAAGCAAGATTGGATACTTTGCTATCAATCTTGAAGAGTTAGTCCTATCTAATACAGAATTAGAGGATGACATCTTAATGGAATTAGCAAAATCATGTAGAAATTTAAAAGTCATTGATGTGTCATCATGTCCAAAATTGACTGAAACTGGAATCAGAAACTTCTTGGATTACACTTCAAAATATTTGCAAGGTTTCAAATGTGCCAGCAATTTATAATCTATAACTGATTATTCATTAGAGCCACTATAAAATGCTCCCTTTTTATCGATAGTGAACATTTCGTTTTGTAATAATCTAACAAGTAATTTTACTAAATACCTCCTCTAAAGTGGATGCAGATTAAAAGAACTATAGATTGCGACAGTAGAAAACTTATAGGCAGATTTATTATCTGATCTAATTTCACGTTCAAAGGTAGATATGGAATATTTGGACTTGTCCTTTATTCCTACAAAGGACATTAGTGATTCAGTCATTTCTGCAACTTCCCTTTGTACGAATATTCATACTCTCATACTCTCAGGATCAACGAACATTAGTGATTCATCAGTAGGTAGATTGAGTTCCTTACACAAACTAAAATAACTTAAATTGGGAGGAATCTAATATCTCGCTGACAATACGTTAGTATATATAGCCTAATCATGCAATAAACTTGAGATGCTTGAACTTAACAATTGTAGCAAGTTGGGAGAATAAGGATTGGAAGGGATCCTCAAAGTAATTTCATTAATTAATTATCAAGGCATTGCCTCATCTACAGGTCATTTCTATTAATTTCACTCCTGAAATTTAAGATCCCTTTTTGTAAGAAAAAAGAAATGAGTATCCAAAAGTAAACATTATTCGCACAATAAATAAAATGACAGATCCCAAGGATGATGGATTAAGAATGCCTCTTCCATTAGAAAGTGTGGTTATGTAGAGACCTAAAAAGAAAAAGAAGAAGTGAAATTATAATTAATACCTTCATATTAAATATGTTATATTCATTAATTCATATTTAACTTATCAATTTCAACTACAATTATTGGATTTATTCAAAAAGCTTCTTCCACTCTTACTTCTGCATACATTTATATGGACAAGTTTGACAATGTGGACATTGACTCACTAATAGTGAATAGCAAGATGGCAATTGAACAAAATAAGTTAACAACGATTTTATTTTATCTTGAATCTAAATTATATAATAAATATAATTACTTTTTTTAGGTCTAAGACATTTAAAATTGGTATTACACTCACTTGGATTATGGATAGATTATTGATAATAATTTTCTCTAATTCTACTTTGAATTGATTATTAACTTGTATCTATCCTAATACTTTAGTGTCCTCTAAAATTTCGATAATAAATTAAATCAAATCTTTGAGCAATTCTTCATTGACTTATGATTATTTGTGGAGTAAATTCAGAATACCAATTGCTGATGATTTTTCTTATTTGATTAAGCCAGGTAATTACTATAAATTAGGCATAAATCCTTATTGTTATAAAAAATATCTTAATTTAATTTATCTATTAAATCTAAATGACATTTTAAATAGGTTCTATGCAATATTTAATAGATATTAATAAGTCTTTTCATTAAGTAACTTGATGTGATGATCCACTATATCTTGGATGATGTCAATCAACATTAATTATAAGATGCATTTCAGAGTTAATTAATCTGAATTCAATTTAATTTGATTTTTAGGTAGATTTAAACTTAATAAGTCGTCAATGATTGATTAATCTAATTAGGCTGCCTCAAATAGAACATTTGGAGTTGTATTTTAAACCATTAGATCCAAAATTTGAATGGTCTAGTTCCAATCCAATTTCTATCCCTCCTTAATAATGATCGATTTAAAAGTCATCACGCTTGTCTTTGCCAAATATTCATTGGTTTAGAATGTACTATTTAATAAAATTGTCGATATTTCATTGTAGGCTTCCTTGATGTCATGATCAAATACCAACTCCAATAGACTTTTATGAGCCATTTAGCATATTTCTTTCTTTGCTTTGCTTAAGGAGACAAATAATTCTTTCATCATTCCCTTCATTATTTGTACATATTGATGTCCTTTTATGTTTTGTGTGTTTGATTTCAATATCTTGAAGAATGATTGGATTGCTTACTCTTAAATTTACTACTGATTATTTTAGAATAAATTGCATATATGAGCTAATGATTGCATCCAAAATGCATAATACAAATTGTTGTCATGTTTCATTAATGATTCTACTGCATTTTGAACAAACTCAATCCCCTTCAATAATACATGTTATTCTTCTCGATTAAAGAGAAATTAGAATGTTTAATCAATTTCATCAAAGATGTCTTTTAGATTGATTAGATCCTCACTGAACACTTTGTTTAAGACATCTATTGATATATTTACCAAAACTATCGATTCTTAAAGAGATTAATTGATTATCTTGAAAACTACTCTCCAACCACTCTTCAATTTATAATAACACATGTGAGCCAACATCCTCATACATGACAAAATAAACTCCTTTACTTCTGAAAATGATGTTTGAGCATAAATCAATTCAAAAGGTTGTAAAAATTCCATTTAGAATTTAAAGTTGTTATGCTCGTATTGTTAAATAAACTTTACACTCATTTGTTTCAGTTGATCACAAGCATACAAAGATATATCAGAATTGGAATGAATGCCAGCCGTTACGAAATGAGCCTTCAATAGATTCCAAATCTACATCCATATCAATCTTATTCTATCCATATTAAAACTAGTCACCTCCACTAATCTCTATAAACTAAAGATCCTTGGTTCTGGCAATGTAATTTCATTGAGAGATACATCAATTAATGATTACAGGAAGTCCAATATGGTCCTAGAGTCCATATTACTTGTATTCTACATCACCTTATCAATGCTAGAAATTTCAATAATGTTTTGTATATTCTTGCTGATACTCTCCAAAGGTTCCTAAAGGATTTTCCCTTTCTATTTCTCATTAAGTAAATAATTAATTGAACTAATGATTTCCAGCACTGGTCTCCAATTATTCTTTAAAGCATTCCCATTTTTTATTGCTAAATCTATAATGCACTGCAGAGCCTTATAATTTTTTTATTTTAACTATTTGTTTTCCAAGGAGGCTAATTAGCATAACCACTATATAAATTGTTGGCATAGATCGCAAATGCCCACCATGCTCATTAATTAGAGAGTGAAGGTTGCATTTTGCATAGCAATTGATATTATCTAAACATTTTCTGTTCTCTCAATAGTTACATTCAAATTAACAAATAAAGCTGGCCAAAATACTTCCATAAATAGTTTGATATAATCTATTCGAGGCATAAAGATATAGATTTTCTATTGCAACGATTTTCTCTCTAAATTCATCCAGTTGATTTGAGAATTCTACTACTTCTCAATACTGGAATGAATGGCTAAGGGTTCTTATAAGATTTAATCATAACAATATCTCAAATACTCCTCTCCTAAATCTCTTTCCATTGATAATTTTGAAGATTTGCAAAATTGTTAAAATGTCATTTTCGTTTTGACAGACTTATTATAGATATCAGTTTGCAAAATAATTAACAGATATGAAAACACATATGTCTCATCACTAGTCTTGAACACATCAACAGGATTGTCTTAAAAAAACTTCTGTGAAAATACCAACATACATCTATCCACTTATTATGCTTCTCCTGGCAAAGTAAAATAATTAAGATATTTCCTTAAAGCATCCACTATGTGATAGCCTTTAAAATCGATAGATTATGAGTAAATTTAAAATATCAATTAATGATTCTCCTTACTAGATCCAAAGAATTACCCCAACTACTCCTTATTAAAAGGATTATCTTGTAGAAATTAAGCAATTTAAGCATGACTAGATATTAAAATGATCAATACTTGTTTTCCTCTAGAATTCCTTAATTTATCAGATATTCTAATCCTTCTTTCCAATTAAGTGAAAATCTTTAGAGTCCTGTTAAGATCTATTGTTTATAGGTCAACTATTTTTCATGCCCTTATATATATAATTAAATTACTGATCAAAATGTTCTATATTTTTAATCATCTTTTTTAATTAATCATGATTCTACTCCTCAATCTATTCTGAATTATACCCAGCAATACTATTGTTTTATTCTTCTTAAACGAGTTTGATAAATTGTTGGAGATGTTTTTATATGATACTATTTGCAATGAGACAGCTATCTTAATTAGTCTATTCTCCCTATGCAATTTAGGCAACCTTTTCAAATAACGTTTAGACTAAATTCTTTCTTTCAATTACACAATCATGATTGGTAAACAGTTCCAATATTAACTTTGGATACTCAATCAATTAAAGCACAAAATCAAGAAAAGCTGATGTTTAATCACAAGGCAATTTATTAATGACAAAATCGAATATAATTTCTAATTGAACCTGTAAGAGATCTCTTGTATGGAGTATTAGTAACGATAATATTTTGAATGTTGTACTTGATGTTCTTTTATTTTTCAAATTTAAACAGATCATATTGATGCAATTCTCATCAAAATTTAGAGACTAAATATGTAATGGATATGATTCAACAATAAATAGAATAAAATCCAAACAAATTTCTTTCTTGATATTTTTTTCCTTATTTGCTTTCGAACATAAATATTTAAAGATAATTTGACAATCATCATTCTTACTTTATTATCCACTTTACATTATCTTAATGTTTTCTATCATTTCGAAATGCTTCTTTTTACAGGGTACTGAACAAACAGGTACTCTAGTATCTTTGCAAAAATAAGGGGCTGGCTGTCTGCATAAAATGCACCACCCAAATTTTCCTGATGTGATCCCATTGTCAACTACCTTAACTTCTATATAGTTTTTGTATTTTATGTCCTCTGCCTCCCAAGCCTAAGGAACAGATGCGATTGGGATGTTTGCCTATCCAGTTTTAATTCTTTCATTGTATAAGATAACATCATCGACCATGTGTCTCAAAGTGATGGACACATATTCAACGATGTCCCCGTCAGATATTGCTACTTCTTCTATCTCCTTGGGCTCGTCATAAAAGGAATTCCATGACAAGCCTTTGTTCAACATATTTTCCATATCAACTTTTACTTGACTATTATCATATACGCTCTTGATGGCCAATTTGATACTATTCTTAACAGAACCCATTCCTAATTTATAGAGATGTAAATAGGTTTTAAGTGTGGACGATAGGGTCTCTCCACTGATCAACAATCTTTACTATTTAAATAATGCATCTATGCATTTCACAATCAGATAATGCAAATTTTCATCTTACAATTTAGTGCAGCTTATTATGGACTCCACTATTGAATCTATGAGCATCCTATCTTATTGCTTTCCCTTTTCAAATTCCAAATAATCATAAGAATAACCATCTATGAAGTTTTAGGATATCAATTTCTTAAAATAGAGGGAAATTATACTTCAAGGTCATATAGGCAGCATTCAGTGATTTTATTATGTTTGATATCGATGCAATACTTGTAGATAATGAAATACTTGTTGGCATTTGTAGCAAACCGATTAACATCATTTTTTGTCTATTCAATTTGCTCTTATTATTAAAGTTTTAATACCTAATGATTTCTCAATCAATGTCTTAAGACTGACCATTTATTTTGGAAGGAGCTTCAGCAACTTATTCAAGGAGCTAGTTAACAATTCTTGATAAATAACATGACTGTCTTAATTTTAATTCATTTTAATAATAAATATTGATATAACAATAATAATAATGTTAATTTATATAATATCAATATTAGACAAAGAATTTTTAGTATTATTTAATATTTCAGACAAATCGATTAGATTTACTTATATAATTGTACTCATACTTGATTGAATTAAAATTATTTTTGGACCTCCTATTTTAAGAATAGGCCAATATCTTATCAGAAATTTGTTAACATATTTAATTTCCACTTTATAAAATCTTTTACTTATTACTGCTATTAATATGTTTTAATTTCATTAATAAAAATGACAATCCATTGTCTGAAAAAAAATTAGAATATTTTAATAAATAAGAGTTTAGAGAAGTCCTTTCTATTGAACGGTTTCACCTCTTTGATGATTCAATATAAAATTTTGACATATTCTAAAACTTTGGAGATTTGTAATCCTTCAGAATGTCCCAAAAAGATTTTTGTTATGTTAAGAGGAGGAGGCTGCGGATAATCAAAAGCTAAAAAGGATTTCGATTCACAATTACGATAGGATTAAAATTAAATGAGTGCATCATAATTACCTGAAAACTATCTTGCAAACCTTAATGATTATCTAAAACTAATAGTAGATGAGGCTTAACTCATTTGTGATACCACTAAGAGAAACGAATTAATGAAGAGGATTTAATGGTTTATTCATAACAGGGAATACTTGAATTATTTTTGTAATGATGAAAAAGAAGGAAGCAAAATTTATGAATTAGTTAAGGCAAATTTTGAAAGTTTATTGACAGTACTAATCACTTATTTAAGAAATTCTGGATTTATTTGTTATTAAGTATTATAGATTTGTAATGAATTATTAAGAATTATGTATATTTTCTAATTTAGGGAATCTAAAAGATTATTAAAAAATGAAGATTAATAGGATTATATTTAAAAGTTATCAGAATTTGAGACATAATTAGAAATTGAATAAGCCAATGTTTGGAAAACAGGATTCGAATTCGAAATTAAAATAATGAAAATTATGATTATGAATTCTAAAACTGATTCTACTGAAGGAAAAGATGCATTAATCAATTTCTTTAAGGAAGCAGGAAAATCAATCATAGCATTATCACCTTCTGAAGACTTGCTTTAGACAATAATAGACGGTGGAAAGTATTTATTAAAAAAAGGAATCGAAAAAAAATTATATCCTATTGAAACGTATTAAATTTATTACTTATTCTAATTGATTAAATGGTCAATTATAAGACAATTGAAATCCAAGTTATCTATATACAAATAAATATAGTAGTTAAAAGATGTTTTTCAATAATATATATTAGTGTCTGATAATTGGATTTTACATTTTAGTTGGATATAAATGATTATGGATGTTATTGCATATCGTCCTATTATAAATAAATCCAATATATCAATAAATTAATTAGATCAATAATTAATTAAATGGAATCTACTTATTGAAAACAATTTGATTCATTGCGTATCTTACAACAAGAATGAGGCAATTATGAGTTTGTTTTAAGATTAAGAAAAACCCATATATGATAATGAATTAATTAGTTAATTGGATGTCTATTGTAAGAAAAAGTTTGTCTTATTTTCCTAATTTTTATTAAAAGGAGATCTAACTCAAAATCTAAATTTATGGGATCATTACAAAGAATTCACATTTACAATATAAAAGGACAAAAAGTAATAAGATTATGAAACTATTCTAGCAAGTTATGAATTAGAAATATTGTAAAAATTAATTAATAATATAAAATCTTTAAAAGATGAATTGCTTTCAATTCATTCTGGAATTATCTAATCATTTTAAACTTATTTTAAAGATCCTACTTAAATTTCAATTCAAATTATTTAAGACGATCAATAAGCATCTTAAAAGCAATACTTATAAATTTATAAATAATTGATTGTTTTAACAAATTATTTTATATAATTAACAAAATTTGAAGTGTCTAAATTGCATTTACTTAGTCCCTATTTAAATTAATTTAAGAGCCAACCTAATAAAAAAATTTTAGAGGATCTCAAAGAAAAGATCTTTAATTTTTAATCGAAAGAACTTAATGAATTTTAGAATTAACTTTTAAATTACTTCTTAGTCGCTATAGAATTTTCAAGTCTCGCAAATGAAATGAACTTATTTTTAGATTTCAAAAATTAAGAAAATTTAAAAATAATAAATGATAAAGTTGAAATTGATAAATTTTAAAATATCTTTACAACATTCGAAAATCATTTTAATTAATTATGTCTCAATTTAACATCCTATAAAGAAAAGTTTATTAAATTTATTCAATAGGAAGAACAAATTAAATCTATGACAATTCAAGTAGAAGATTAGAATATTCTATCAATAATTTAACATAATTAAAATGAAGAATAAAGTATAAATAAAAAACTTCAAGAGATCTTTATAAATAAATATAAATTCTTCGATTCTGAATTAGTAACCTTGGAGAATGTATAATCGAATCTAATTCAATGTAAGCTAATTATTCTAACTTTATAATATTTAAAATAATTCACTAATATATAAAGTCAATATCTAATGATAGTTAAGCAGTCGCTAGAAAATTACAATAATAATAATAATAATCCTGAGTTATCAACATAAAAAGTAAACTTAGATAATAAATAAACAGATTTTGATATTTTGACTTTATAACAATAAAAAATTAAAGCTTTGATCAACGAAAATGCTCAGCAATCTGATTAATAAAGTATTGAAGTTAACTTAAAAAGTTTATTAGCATAAATAGAATCTGATTTCATTTGTATCAAAAGTTAAAGCCAAAAAGTACAAAATTAAGGAATACTTAAATTGTTTACAAATGCTTAATTTATACTCCTTTAAGTTTTGAATTAAAATGAAAACTTATCAACATTATAAGATCTTTTGAAAGATTATGAGTCAAATATTAATGATATCAATCAAAGCTTTAAATAATCTATTCAAGATGTTAATATAAATGAAGATGAAAATACAAATAAGAAACCTTTTAATTTATTTGATTAATGTTTGAGTGAAAATGAGTAATTGATCTAAAATATAAAGGAAATCAAAAAATATTATAAATACTATGAAAAATTATTAATCTTTCAGTTAGAATTGTTACCAAAGTCAATTATCTAGGACTAAGCCATATCGGCATAAGATTAACAGAGACAGGGGTAAGATAAGTAGCCAGTGTAATTGGTTTAAGAAGAACAACTTAAATTAAATTAAATGAGAGAGAAATATTTTAGTAAGAAAGTGAAAGACTCAATTTAAAGACTTATATCAAGCTTTAATCCTTAAAAAGAAGAACAAGATAGTTCTAATTCTATGGTTAATTTAAAATTTACACAATTTTTATAGTTCTTTTATTCTCTTTCTAATGCTGAATATAATAAAGGATTAAAGCCTGATATAATTAATGATTCAATTTGGTAGGATATTAAAAATGCATATAAAGACACAAAAGAGAAGCTTCTTGATTTAGTAGATCTTAAACCTGAATACAAAGTGAGAGAAGGATTCGTCTACAACTTGATAAGATTATAATACAGTATTTAAGAATAAAAAGTTAAGGCTTTCTGTTGCAAACATCTATAATATATTTGGGTATTTGAAAAGGATTAAAGAGTTAGAAATTTATTGAAAAACAAGGAACTAGTAGAAATTTAGAAACAACTATTTGCTTAAGATCTAGATAATTTGTCAGTATCAATAAAAGATGAGTTGAAATAGAGAATGTTAAAGTTAGAAAATTTACAATAAGAAATTAAACTCGAAGGAAATTTATAAAAAAGGGAGGAATTATAAATTTATTTGAAAAAGACGTATGATGAACTAGATGAATCTTTAGATAATATATCCGAAATGTCAGAGGCTATGGATATCAGTCTAATATTTTTGAAAGACATATCAAAGGATGTAAAATCAATAAAAGCTTCAATTGATAATTTATAAGAGAGTATAAATTAAGTTGGTGATGATATTCGTAAACTAAGAGGAAAGAGATATGATGAACTATTAGAAATAAGAAAATAAAAGATATTATTCTAATCTAAGTTAACTGAAGTGGATTCAGTTTATGTGTAATTAACAACAATTGAATATGATCCAGTTAGTGGTGAGATTGTAAAATATGAAAATAATGCAAAATTAACAAAATTAATGTGTGCTCAATGGAACGCCTTTGAAGGGGAAGTGAATGAATTTATTTGGGGAGATAAATAAAAAGATGTAATGTTATTATCAGGAAATGCAGGTTCTGGCAAAAGTAAGGCAGCCAGAAAAATAGAAGAATTTATTTGGAAATAAAAAGGAGTTCAATCAAAATGGATTCCAATTTATGTATCACTTCCAACTTTAAAGAATCCTAAATTTAATTTATTTGAATAAGCTTTAGAAACTGAAAACTATTAATTTGATAAATATTAGGTGAAGGAATTTAAAGAAGCCATTTAAGCTAAGAAAGAATTTATAATTCTTATCCTTGACAGTTATGATGAAATGAAACAAGATTGTATCTAATCAAATCTAATTTTGACAAATAAATTGATATAAGAATTCAATTCACAAGATAGATAGATGAAAGTAATCATAACAACAAGAAAAGAGATACTCAATACAGTTGGATATTAAACTTGGTTTTATGGGGAGAGTCTCCAATCTTTAAAAGAAGTTTAGTTATAAAATTTTAATGAAGAATAGTAAAATGAATATTTGAGTTAATACGTTGAGTTAAGTATTAAAAGGAAAATTAAGGAGATTTATGAGTTTGTTAAATAAATTGCTGGATAAGGGTTTCATTTGGATGAATTCCTCACTATATGGGGCTTGATTTCATCATAAGTCAAAAGTTGCATTGAGAAATCTGAAATGAAGGGAATGGATGGAATTTTCTATAACAATGCAGAAGAACAAATAATAACAAAGATAAAAACTCATAAGACGCTTGAAATTTTAAAAGAGGAATAGACAACTGCATTGAGGAAAGATTTATTAGCTTTATGGAGTGCGAACAAATTTAAATCATCGATTAAGAGTGTCAATATTGAAAATTTATTGACTACTCCATTCATGTTGGAGATTGTTGTTTAAGTTTTACCAAACATGGCTAAGAAACACTCAGGGTCATAATAAATGAAAGAAGTTTTTATGTAGAATTATTTAAAACTTAAAAGATAAGTAAGGCTATCTAAAATAGAAAGAGAATAGTATTAAAATGAAAATTCTAAATCCAAAAATAAAGAATAATAAAGTATGACAAATTTTGAGGAAGATTATTAACCAGCATAAGAAAAAGAAGAAGAATATTAATTGAAAATTGAGAAAGCAAAAATAATTTAAATTGTTGATATGCTTGATAATGAGAACTTCTTCTCTAAATACTCAATTGTTAGTCAATTAAAGCAAGATGGGAATGCTATTGTTGTTGATAATACTGCTATTAGATTTGGTTCTACTAATGATATTAATTTTGTAATAATGGCTTTATAAATGAAAAGATTTACAGTTTTTGAATTTTATGAGAGTTTTATTAATTTTTATCATGATTAATAAACTCAAAAATAAAGAGAACTTGGTAAAGTTTACAATTAGGATAGTTTTGCATTTGACATATATCAATTCTCCTATTCATTAGCCATAGACATGACTGTAAGAGAATTATCTTAAGTTGATTACAAGCCATTAGGAAAACTTGATCTAAAAAGCAACTATAAAATTGAATAAGTAACTGATGATTGGTTAAAGCAATATTTTGATGTTGAAGATGAGTACAAGAAATTAATTAGAAGTTGTATTCTGTTAAACGCAAAAGGAAGTACTTTTTCATTTACACATAAATCAATTCAAGAATTCTTTGTGGCCAAATACATTTATGATTTTTTATTATCTTTTAAGAATTTTAACAAAGAAAATTTAGAGAAAAATAAGGAAATTTTAAGTAAATCAGTATTTAATAATAACGATTTTAATATATCTACTGATAACCTTAGGGGTGCAATCTATTTCATTAGAGATCAATTAATCAATGTTGAAAATAGTAATTAAAAATTGATTGATATAGTAAAGCTTTCAAAGGATGAAGATTACTGCAGAGCTGCATCAAATAGTATTTATCTATTATGCTCGATGAATGTTTATTTGGGATCTCAAGACTTCAATGGTATACGCTTGGCCAATACTGACATCTCAGGTCTAAGTCTATTTGATTGCGATTTAAGTAACTCCAAATTTGAAAATGTTGAAATCAATTCTTGCAATATGAATTTAGCTGATTTATCAAATGTAAAATGGACCAACATCATTTGTAAAGAAAAACCTAATTTAGAAGGACATAAAAATGAAATTTTGGAGGTACAATTTTCACCTGATGGCAAATTTATTGTATCGATAGAATGGCGAGAAAAAACAATTAAATTATGGGATGCAGAAAAATATTCATTCATGAAAGATTTAGAAGGTCATACAGATTATGTGAATTCACTTTCATTTTCTTCAGATTCTTCTATACTTTATTCAGGGAGTGATGATGGCACAATCTTAAGATGGGATTTAAGCAACGCTTAATAAATTAAAAGTGAAGTTGTATAAATTATGGATAATAAAGTTCGAAAAATAAAAGTTTCTTAAGATTCTAAAAAATTATATATACAAGATGATGAATAATGCTTCTAAATTCTAGATTTATCAAAAAATGGTTAAATTCAAGAGTGTGTTTTTGAAATTATTCAAGACAGTCTAATAAGCTTTGCATTGCATCCTAAAGAACCAAAAGTAGCATTACTCTATAAAAATGATTATATAGAGTTAAGAGAGTACGAAAAAAATTAATTAGTAAAGCTTGAATACAGCCACACCTATAGATGGGGCGAGTAAAGTTTAATATTTAGTGATGATGGGGAATATCTTGGAATGCTGTCTTAAAACGAAGTGATAGTTTGGAATTTAAAATAAAATATCGAATAGCCTGAAAAATATTTAACTTTCTAAGGCGACATCTATTTAAAATCCCTTTAATTCTCCTACGATAACGAGCTGATCATTTGCGGAAATAATTTCATGTTTAAGAGTGTAAATGATTAATTCATAGGAAAGTAGAAATGTACTGAAGCTTAAATCTCTCCTAAAGGTGATAAAGCTGCTATTGCTTATGAAAATACACTTAGCTTAATAAATATCAGTAATTAAGAATTGCTTTGTCAAAGAAATTTTAATGATCTTCAACCTTGCAATATGCTTTTTTCAAAAGATGGTTCCAAATTATCATTATTTTTAAACGCTGAAAGTGTTACTAAACAATTTATGATTTTGGATGTCTATAATATACTCACAAATATTTGTTTTTTACCTTTTTGGGACACATTTTGGATTAGTTATATATTATCAAATGATTTTGAAAGCCTTTATGTTTCATATAGCAAACCCTCATAGTTTAATTAATATTGGTAAGTTGAAAATATTATTAAGATAGACACTAAAAAAATTCATAAAGAGACAGAAAATAAGAAATACTCTATAAGTAGTCAGAAGTTTTGTACTTAAACTCAAAGAGGGGTCATTGCTTATACTACATAAGACAATAATATGATTCAAATACATGATCTGGATAAAAATTTAGAATTATAAAAGATTACAATAAATTCAGAAAAAATAATCAAGGATTTTCTATTTTCACCAACTTAAAATGAATTAGCAATAATGTTTGAAGATGAATTGTAATTTTGGAATTTAGATACTAAATCGTTTAAAGTTAAAAATAATCTTAATTTATTGGATTAAGATATCAAATCTATCAATTATTCTCCCGATGGTTCATTAATTGTATTAATATTAGAAAATTAGTTTTAAATTTATAAGGTTGAAAGTGATGAATCACCAGAGATATTTAAATACGAAGGAAATAGGATTGTGCACCTTTCTTTTGATAATGACATAATTGGCTACTATTAAAATGACTATGACTCAAAAAAAGTAATTTTAATGAATACAAAAGGCAAATCTGAATAAAAGATTTTAGAAGGCCATAAAGAAAACATTATTAAAATACTATTTACTCACGATAAAAAGTCCTTAATAACTGCATGTGAAAAAGAACTTATATTATGGGATCTATCTACGTTTAAGATCAAAGATTAAAAACATATCTTTATAAAGGGGAATATTTTATAACTTTCATATCATAATGAATAAATAGCATTATATTCAGATCATGTTGTAGAATTGTGGAAGTATTCATAGGATAAATTGATATTTATTGCCTCTTAATTTTTTGACTTTTCAATTGATTCATTAAGCTTTCTTTATGATGATTAACATATCTTGATTTAAATATAAAATTAGGAGTTTTTGTTATATAGTTTGGATAATTTTTAATTTCAATAAATATATCCAAATAGTTTTAATATAGGCGCGATATCCTCTAATAATTTGATCGCCTTAATTAAAGAAAGTTATCATTGTCTTTCAATATATTAAAGTAGCTTGGAAAAGCCTGAATTTGAAATAATAAATTTAAGATATTATATATAATATTTGAAATTTTTGGAGAATAAATAGAATTTATTATTATATCAAGTTGCTAAAGATATTTATATCTATGATTATAAAAAACAAGAAGAAATATATCAATTTAATTTATTTATTTGCAACTAAGCGCCATAGTTATAATTATAAGATGATTTATTAATATCAACCAATGATAAATAAATTACATTTGTGAGTTTAAGTGATTTGAGTAAAATCGAGATATGTGGATTTCACCATGACATTAGTTGTTTTTCTATTTAAGAAAATTAAGAATTTGGGTTAGGACTAAAAAATGAACAATTGATTATAATCAAAGACTTGTTCAATGTTTAATTTGCATTACCCATTAATTCAAAAGTAGACATTATACAAGGATTTGCGTCTAACTAAAATAAAATCTATATTGTTCAAGAAAAATAACTCTAGATTAAATGGATGAATACAAAATAAGTACATGAGTTTAAGGAAGATGTCAGAGCTGTAGCTTATTGTAAAGAAAGCGACTAGATTGCAATTTGTACAAAATCACAACTTATTTTACTTTCATTTTAAAAAAATAGTATAAACATTGTCAGCAAATTTGATTTATAAATGGAAATCTATAATTGCAAATTGACTTTTACAAGTGATGGGTCAGGATTGACTTTAAATTAAAATTTAATGATATAATTATTTTCCATTACAAAAAATTAAAAATTCATTTGCAGAGGAATGTATGATAAGGTATTTTTTATAAAGGGTCGTATAGATTATAGTAGTCATTTAAGACTAGCATAAATATTTAACAAACATGGTACTACTAATAGTTAATAATAACTCGCTATTCTTGATTAAGAATTAAGTTTATTCAGAATTATAAATCTTAAAAGTTTAAAATAAATTGTATAGATTAATTTTAGAGTATAAAATAGACAATTAGACTTTTAAATATGTCCAGATGAAGATAAAATATTCTTCGTTTTGGATCACAGGTTGATATATTCTTTGGACTTGAACAGTTTTGGAACATAAATGGTTCTCTAAACATCTTATTATCATTATGATCTTAGATTAAGAATTACCGAAAAGGATTTCTTTGTGTATGTAGAAAATGATAAAATCTTGTAATACTAGGTTTCAACAAAGTGTTCTACTGAAATTACAACAATTTAAGATATCAGCTATTTAAATTACTTACCGCAATAATAGCTGCTAGCCGTAAGTACAAAGTAGAATAATATCATATTTTGGGATATCAAGGCTAAAAAGAATGTTGGAACTCTAAAGGGACATTAAGATACAATCACATACTTGACAGCTTCGCCATCTGAGGGAGTTCTTGCTTCTGGGGGTAAGGACAGATTAATAAAACTTTGGGCTATTAAGCAGAATGAATCCTTTGAGATTCAACAAGCTCATTCAAATCCAATAACTTCTATTGCATATTCTTAGGATGGTTAATTACTTGCATCTGTATCTGACGCTCCAATATTTCTTTGGGATGTTATTGATAAAAAATTGATTATTCAACTAAAAAAACACGAGACATAGGTTAAATGTTTGGAATTTTCTCATTGTTCTAAATATTTAGTGTCAGGAGATAATAATGGAGTAATAATATTTTGGAATATTGAAATTCCTTAAGTTGCTAAGTTTGTTTATATCATAGATGAATTTAACTGTCCTATCCATTCTATAAGCATCTCTAAGTAAGAATAAAATTTATTAGTGATTTATGATTAAAATATAATAATAAAGTGGAATTTTGAGTAAATTGAAAAATAATAGAAAGAGTAAATTTTATGTATTAATACAAACGCAAACCAATTTAGTTTTATTGGAAGTGATTAAATTATCTATTACGAAGAAGGTATATTGAAAATTCTAAATTTTGAGACATAAGAATTAATTAGCTAAAACCTGGAATCAGATATTATGTAAATATAAAGTTCTACAGATAATAATCTAATATTATGTTTAGAACAGACCTCTGACAGTTTGATATGTTTCTAAAAAAACAATGAAAATCTTTGGTCTAAAAAGTCTATTAGCATAGAGCGTACGGATTATATTTCTCTTTCTCCAGATAATAAATTTTTATATTCGACAAATACAATTATTGATTTAAGGTCAAGGTTAGAAGGTTGTGATAAATGGATAATTAAAAACAAAATTTACTATTTTTAAAAACTATTTAAGTAGGAGAAAAAAATACTGTGTAAGCTTCAAACTATTTTTAATAATATTTCTTCTTGCAGAATGTATATGTCATATGATTTAACTATAATTGCTGTAGTTATAAATGATAGAGACATTAAGCTCTTTGATATTAATAATTAATAAAATATCAAGGAATTCAACTCAATAAATCCTGGTTATATTTAAATATCTAGGGATTTAAAATATTTGTCTTGTTTAGAGCTGGATAAAGAAGATAAAATTGGTAATTTCATTTTAGTATGGGATATAAATGGCCCATAAAAAAGGAGACAACTATTATTGAATGGAGGTTTGATAAAAAATTATATCTTTTCTTCAAAAGATTCTAATAAGCTCTATGCCCTATATGAAGATCGAACTGTAAGAGAATGGGATATAACAGCTGAATAGTCTTCCATAATAGTTACTCTATCAGAAATTTTAGATATCTAGAGACGGTTTGTATTTTCCTAAAACCTAAAATTCTTGGTCTGTTGTAATTAGAAGAGTTTATTTATATGGGATTTTCAAAAAGAAGAGCAATCCAATTACGATCTTGAAAACAATATTGACAATATTTATTATTCTTAAAATGAAGATATTTTTGCTGTTGTTATGGAGGTCTAAGAAATACATAGACTTGCAATAAGTTATATATAAGTCGTACTACTAAAAGGTGAAAACAAGTCTATTATTTAATTGGATTTGGAAAGATATGTAAGTACGGTTGAGTTATAATATATTTGGTTCTCACATGATGATTAGCACTTGGTAATTTGTCTTAATAATGATATCTATCTTTATTAAATAAAAGAAAATTTAGAATATAAATATTTGGGTGTCTGGACTATAAAAGAAGCAATAGGTAGGATGTTTTTTAATCCCAAAAATATGAATTTAGTAATTTAATTATTTCATTAAAATGAGATCGTTCTCATTAATTTAGACCCTACAATAATTAGAGAAGATATTAAGGAATAGTACAGCGAGGTAGAAAATAACAAAATATGTTGTTATTCACCTGATAGCAGATATTTAGCTAATTTGTCCCCTTGTTTAAAAGTATATGATTTATGCAATCTTTAAAATTAAGTAATGAATGATACTTAGAATTAATATAGAGGAGAATGGATTTCATTTTAATCAAAAGATCTGTTATCATTATCCTATCGAGAAACATTTCAAGTTTTACGTATCAATAGAAAGGATAAAGAAATATCAATAGAAATAATTAAAGAATATAATTTCTAATATCCTATAAGTTCATTTACATACAGTTAAAATCATATTTTAATCTAATTTAATTTAGAACGCAATTCAAAAAGAGTCTGCTTATATGAAATAGACAATTTTCAAGAAAGTTTAATCAAAGCAATTTATAACTCTCGGGCACAGCCCATTTTGTCACAAAATTCTTATTACTTTGCTTTAAGCAATTATGATAAAATATAAATTCTAAACATATAACACCTATAATAAGATATGTGTTATGAGATAAATAAAAATTCAAGAGTATATCAGATATTCTAATTATCTGATGAGAACCTGATTATTTTATGTGATAGGAATTAAATTAAAATATTAAATTCTGTAAGTTTAAAAATGATTAGATCAATAGAAATCATAGATTACCCAGACGAAATTGAATTTTCTAAGATTTCTAAATACTGGGTTTAGAAACATTATACTTCTTTTAATGTATTCACTTTTGATTATAATGAATTTAATCTCTTACCCTTTTGGACTGAAGAATTGAAAGATGCCAGCCTCATTTGTTTTACTTTATCACCAAAGGGTGATCTACTTTTAACAGGGCACAATAACTTGGAAGAAATCACAAATTCAATTACCTTATGGAAAATAGAACAACGTCAAAAACTTTGCACTAGTAATAAAATAAACGATAGAATAGAAATTCTTAAATTTTGTCCAAATGGAGTTAGTTTTGCAGCTGGCCTTTTTGATGGATCTATTAATTTATACTCAATTGATATATCAAAAACGAATTACTTTAAAAAGTAATAATTAAAATCCAATGAGAAATGTTAAATAGTTTGTGTCAAATCCTTTTCAAAATAATCGTTTTTGACTGCAGAATTTTCCATTTTAAAATAATCCTTAATAAATTCAGAAAATAAGTCCATTGTCGAATTGTTTTGTTAAAAAGGAGGGAAAAAATGAAATAGATATAATAATTACAGTATCAATTTATTTAATTAACTAAAATGATATTTATTTAATTTATTTAAATTATCTTAATAAAGAATTATAATTTTCAATCAAATTCATAAGCTAAGATTATATCTTGTATCTAGTTTTTCTTTAAATTATTTTAAAAGATTCGAATAAATGAGTAGATAATCATTATTTAATTACTGTTTTAAACCAATAAATTGAATATTTTAATTAGAATTTACATTATATAAGAGAATATCTATTAGATATTTATTTTATCTTATATATAAAAAAAGATTTTATATATAATCTATAAAAATACATCATAATACTACAGATAATAATCCGTCTGACAATTCAAATAAAAATTTATCAATTTCTGTCGAAAAACTTTCAATGCAGCTCTTATCAGATTTAATCTAGATAGAATATAAGTTATACCTCCAACAAAACTTCTGTTGAATTCGATTATGTTGAAATATTTGATATTATTATTGCTAAATTTTAGCCATTTATTAGATAAGATAATAAACCAATGTTTATTGTTTTAGATACATTTTGGGAAATCAAATCAAGATTTAAATTTTATTTAATTGAATATTAAAATACTTAGTTTGTGTTGTCTAAAATAACAGCGGCAAATGGTTATGATAATAGCTTCTTATATAGTTATAAATAATTTCCTTCTAAATAACACTTGATAATCAATGAAGTATCGTAAGTTATGTATTAAAAACAATTCTATGATAAATACAAAAAAGTGTTAGGTATGAGAAACTCAAGCATGCTAATTCTGTAATTCTATGTTCTAATAGCAAATGATTGTGAAGATTCATTTTTAATGTCTTGCAATATGATATCAAAAGCAAAATGCATAGAGAGTTTTGGATTTACTTTAACAACATAAAACAATTATTTTTCTTAATAAGAAGGCAACTCTTCAATTAATTTATAATTATTTTGGATATAAGAATTTCTATCTAATAATATTTTGATTCCTAAGTTGTCTAACTTAAATGGACAGTTATTGATAACTCTGATTCCTAAACATATACAGGATTTTTATAAATCTAATGTATGAGAACAATAGATTTATACAAAATCACTAACTCCTGTAATTAATTTTGAATTCAATTGCAATTCAGTAAAAATGTTTTTTTAAGGTAATTGCAATGATCTTAAATTCATTATAAGAGTATTTTATTCTGATGAAAATTACTTTTATTAAAATATATTGTAAGCTATTTGATAGGTAGTTAAGTTTTGTAAATTTTGGTTGATTGAATCAATTTAATTATTTATCTTTAATTATAATTAATCTTATTGGAGAGACTCTTTGTATTAAAGTGACTTAACAAAATTTCTATTATATTCTATCAATTATTCAGCTATGTGATCATTTTTCCTTTATTATAGATTGTCATTGTAATCTGAAAGCAATTCCAAAATCTATTATTTAATATGATTTTCTGGTGTATGAAAATTGATTGATAAATAATAGAGGATCTTATAAACATTTTGTAAGAGATTAAGTTAACAGATTTAAGTCTACACTGGTTAAATCATAAAAGTTCTAAATTCTGCCAATATATTTATGTAATCTAATTTACAATTCAAACTGCTCTCATTGAATTTTCTAGTAATTATTAACAAGGTCTAGACTTTCTAGTTGAAACTTATTTAGTTTGTATTCATTCTATTAATTAGATCATCCAATCTAATTTCATCTGATGGAATGACATTGATGCATTCTTCAATCAATAATAAATACATGATAATGGCTTCTATGTTACACCCATCCCAAATAAAAGCATTACAAATTTCCATTATTTCCAATAAAATGGATTTATTTGTCTCTTAATGAATAGCTGCAATAATCAAGCAACAGATTAGTTCTTCTGGTTCATCCTTTATTTTTGTTAGAAACCAAGTCTAATTATAAAGTCCTAAGATTGCACTAGTCTTCTTTTAATACAGCAACTCAATTGATTTTTAGATTAAATTATTAAAGCAATATAGCATGAATAACAGTCTAGTCAATTGGTTGGTAATTAGGAAGGATATCTCCAGAATTCTTATTGATATTGCAATATTCGTATTTAAATCCATATCTAATTGAAGTATTTATAGCAATATCTGGTTCAATTCTTTTTTATAATTGACTTTCTTGATGTATTTATCAATACAATCAAAAAGCTACCACAAAAGTTGGCTTGTATTAAAAAATTCATATGATTTGCATTATGAAATGACATTAATAAGGAAGTTTGAAATTTATACAATTATATCTATTTCAAAATTGTATTAAAGAACATCATACAAGCCAGCTTTGATGATTTTATTATTAAAATCTATTACATTTAACTTATAAACAAGTGTATTCTAATTTTATTGAACTGTATTTTATTATTGCAATTGTTTAGGTGAATCAATCAAGACCAAAGATATCAAAAACAGCATTTTAGATCTAATGCGAACTTCATAACTGCAAATTTTTTCGTAAAGTAGTTAAAGTCTAAGTTATAAATACTATTTAATTTATTGAGAATCATAATTGACTTATGTAAGATTATTGGGATTCTGCAATTTGCTTTATAAAAATTCCGATAAGCAAATGATGCAATTAGCTGAGATGTCTCTGTTATTGGAGAAGCAATTTTCAGCTATTCTCAAGTAAATGTTAGTTATTGTTTGTTTTGGCATGTCTATTGAATCCACTTCTGTTTCTTTTGTGAGTAATAATTGCAAAATAGAATTGACTGCACACAATCTTTCGTAATGGAAATCCGGCGACCTATTAAATGTTTAAATTATACTATTCGATTATTTAATAGAATGCTGTGTCGTAGGATTTAACAATTTGCATAAGATTACTAATTGGCAAGGAGTAGGCTAATTTGAGGGAGAGTAGTTGAATTTCGTAATCTTTATTGCTGAAGTCCTTTTCTAATTCTAAACAAACGAGTTCAGATGAGGGGAAGGTCTTGAGTAATGGATAGCAATTAATTTTAAGTATTCTATGTAGGGGGTTTTTGTAAATATCTATAATTTTTGCGAAATCTTTTGGATTAGCTGAGGATTCTGAGAGGTAACTCTGTATGCTCCTCAAATAATTCAATTGCTTTTTGACTTCAACTTCAACATTATCCATTATTAAATTATATATATAAAATAGTTATAATATCATAATACAATACAGCCACAACCACCTTTTTTGGCAGACGATTATTATGTATTTTAACCCTATTATTGCTTGTCATTTTATTATTAATTTTGAACTATAGGACTTAGACGAGAGACAGCTTCTTTGGCTTCAATATTACCAGCTTATGCTGCTTACTTATACCAGTATAGTGCCTATTATAAGTTAAGTTTAGTTCCAGTTCCTTCCTCATAAAGGACAGCTAGATTGTACTAAGCATTTTCAAAGCCACCTTTGGCTGCCTAGAGGTACCAATCGAATGCTTCAGTTTGATTGGTTTGCAATAATACTGTAGCCAAGTTGGTCATAGCACAAAGATCCCCTTTATCGGCTGCCATTCGATAGTATTTCTTGGCCTCTTCGATTTGAATATGAGTTCCAATACCAGATCTATAGATGTTACCAAGGTTGTTCATTGCTGATACTGATCCCTTGAAATTATAAAAATAGAAGAAGTACTAGTTTAGCAGCTCTTTCAAACCAAGCTCTGCTTTTTTCAAAATCTTGTTCTACTCCTTGTCCAAACAAATGCATCAAGCCTAGTTAGAACATTCCTTATTCATTCTATAATTCAGCAGCTTTGCTAAAGTATTTATGAGCAATTTTATAATCAGGAGCTACAACTCTACCTAAATAATAGATGGATGCTAGATTGTATGCTGCTTATGCATGTTTGGTAGCAGCTAGTTGATACCTAAGGAGGATATGATTGAAAATACCATTGGATACATTCTTAGATATTTTATTAAGCCCCTTTTCCATCTTCAAACATTAAACCTACTCTAAATTGTGCATCGGTGTCACCATCCTAAGCCAGTTTAAGATAATGCTGCATTTCATCATAATCTGTTGTCTATTGCATTGGATTATAAAAATTAAAATAAGAAATGTACTAAAATCATATTTCAATTTTTTATTAAAAAAGCTTTTCAAATACACTGGAAGGCCCTTGAGTATCAACGAATTAATTTAAACGCAGATTATTTCTAAAATAATGTTGAAAGACCAAATACCTATTATATTCTCTCACATCCAAGGCACCACGCATTCCCATCAGATAACTCTGCAAACCCCAGAGTTCTCTGTCATCTTTATTATCGTAGAAAGGAACAATTGGAATCCCATTATCCAATTGCCAGGCATAACTATAAGATGCATTGTCAACTAAAACAACTTGACTTAGCGGTCGATCAAATATTCTCAAATCTTTGGTATACATTCCACCTGTCGTCAAGATGCAATTATCTCTAAAAAACCTATGTGAGATCAGTTTATTTTCAGGATCTAAATGCTCCAGAACTTATTTAGCATAGCATTGATGAGAGGCTGTAAAAACAACGATTTCAAAATCATCCACTAAAGATTATAGCAATTCTATAGCTCCTGGTCGAATATTGACACCTGCCTTAACAATCTCATGGGGATTCACTTTGATATTCAAAACGATATCAGATTTCTACTGCATTTATTCATTGCAATGAACTAATGTTTCATCTAAATCAAAAATCACAGTGATTTTGTCTGAAAAATATAGACAATATATATCTACCTTTGTATTTATCCTTCTGTTTCATTTTGACTGCTTTCTTTTTGAAATCATTTGGGTCGGTTGGTCTCAGATGGGATGCCACATAGATCCCTTAATATGTTTAAAAGAAATGGTCTCTGTAGAGAGTACTAAAGTAATCGTCTGAAAGTGGCCGAGTGAAAACTTACTTGATTTTTCCTAAGTAATACTGAAATTAGGCATTTTCCTTATTAAATTTAATGCTTTCAAAATATTTTAATTCTCGATTCGATATTGATTACGATTGCTATAATAATGACAATTAACGAGAGTGAACTGGGGTTATCTATTGGGAATGTGCCTTCTGGGGTTTCTGCAACATTCCATTGTACATCTTTTTGTAGTTATGATCTTTGGATCCATTGGATTGTTGTCTACTATGCTAGAGCGAGGTTGTAGAATTAACTTTAGATGTCAAAGGTCTAAAATCAATGGAGGATTGCTTAGATGGTTTGAACATATTCAATTCAACACTTGGAGTTACTTTGGTGACAAGCTCATTAAGCAACACAGATTATTGACTATTTGAATAATTACGAATGGGCATATCGTATTTCGATAGGAGTACTTGATTTTATTGTTACATTGCGGTTGCTAGATCTGGGTTTTTCAACTGCACCTTTTTTTGAAGACTCTCTTGACTAAACTTTTTTTTGAGGAATTCTCTGCCAAAAATATTAGCACTTGAGTTAGACTTGGAATTGGTAGTTCGAACTGAATTGATGATGTCCAGTTTCTGGGTTTTAAGATTTTGAGAAGTCCTCTAGAATAAATCTATCGAATTATTAGTTTCAATTTGAGGCCTAGGTTTCATAATTTAATTTATTATGTCATATAGCTACCTCTTTAAATTTATATTGATTGGTGATACAGGTATATATATATTGTGCATTCCATTCAAGGTGTTGGCAAATCTTGTCTCCTGTTGCAATTCATAGACAAGCGTTTCAGACAGAAGCACGAAGTCACCATTGGCGTGGAATTTGGTGCAAGAATGATAGAGATTGATGGCTAGAATATCAAATTGCAAATTTGGGACACGGTATTCTCAATGACTTAGATTGTTGTAGGCAGGATAAGAATCTTTTAGATCTATCACTCGTTCCTATTATCGATCAGCAGCTGGTGCAATCATCGTTTATGATATCACTAAAAGGGAGACCTTCGAAAACATCTCTAGATGGTTAGAGGAAGCTAAATAAAATGGAAATCCAAAATTGACTTTTACTCTGGTTGGCAATAAAAGTGATTTGGAAGCAGAGTACATTTAATTCTGAATATTTATATAGTCGATAGGTTTCTTTTGAAGAAGGACAAGAATTTGCAAGAAATCATGGCGTTGACTTTGTGGAAGTGAGTGCAAAGACTGCCAATAATGTCGAAGAAGTATTCCTTAAGACAGCCTAACAAATTTTAGAAAAAATTAATAGCAATCAAATTGACCCAAAAAATGAAAGTCATGGAATAAAAGTTGGAACCGAACAAGGAATCAAAAAATCGTTTATCAATAGTCCTCAATAATTGTAACCACAAACAGAAGCTGAAGATAAGCAAGGAACATGTTGTTGAACTAGATATTGAATTAAATATCTATAAATATTATAATAGATTTTTATATTCAATAATATATAGAATATATATATTATCAATTTTTATATCTTTCGTTTATGTATTCTTTTAGGATCCACAAATCAGAATTTAAAACCTTATTTTTATTTTCATTTTCATCCTAAAATTGCAACATCTAGCAATTTTTTTCATTGCCCTACTTAAAATTCTTGAGTTCATCCAAAAGACTCACTGAATAATCTTCATAACGAATTTCCAACTAATTGCTAATTTGGAATTCAAAAATGTTCAAATTTAGAAATTCCGAAATGTTGATATCATTCTATAGTGCTACCTCATAGATGTTAATTAAAAACAATAGTAATTCTTGTCTATAGTTAAAGTATTTATAGTTCTCAGGAAGTTTTATGATGACATTTTAGTTTGAGTAATAGATTTTCAGATAAAAACTAGTGAAAGCACCATTTAGAACATTCTTAAATCTTATACAAAATTAAGTTAGATCTTTGTATTTATTTTCAATTGATGAAATAATTTACACAATCTAATTCAATTGTTATTTGTATTAATTCATAGAAAAATGGAGATTGCCTATAAATTCTTAATGTTAAGGAATATTAACCTTTAAGAAGGACTACTCAAGATCAATCTTTTCTAAATAACACCATGGGTGTCTAAATAAATCTTCAAAACTAATTCTAAGTTTTGGATCTTCTACCAACATTTTCCTTAGAATATCCTTACATTCTGCAGAAACTGAGATGTGTTATGGGAATTACAGCTGAAGTTTTAAAAATTATTAATACTTTAGAAGTTTAAATTGCTATGAGTAAGTCCTGCACTGTTCCTTTTTATGGCACAAATGGAGGTTAGCCAAACAGAATTTGAAAGATCATCACTCCTAGTGACCAGATATCACATTTATGATCGTACGAATTAGATTTTCTATTGATGCTTAATAGAATTTAAATACTTTAGTATTTCTGGAGCCATTGTGATAGGGGTGCCACAGTAGGATTCCAGGAGTTCCGTGTTGATTAGCGATTTAGCAAATCCAAAATCCCCTAGTTTAATTTACATCTATTCATTTATTAGTATATTTGCTAATTTGAGATCACGATGAACGACATTTTTTAAACGTAACATTTTCATGGCATCGATTAATTGAAGTATAATCGGTTTTGCTTCTGATTCAGGCAATCTGTTTTTGAGAGAATTCTTTTTGATATACTTTTCTAAGTCTCCTTAAGCACAGTATTCTAATATCATATTGATGGAATCTGGGCTTTGTTAGACTTCTTTCAATTCAACTATATTTTTATGTTTTATCGATTTCATTATTTGAATTTCTGAATGGAACAATTCAAGCATTTTCTATTTGTGGAGCCCTTCCTCCATATCTATATTGATTTATTTGATAGCAACAATTTCTTTTGTTTTTATGTGCTAGGCTTAATAGACAATAGCAAATGCTCCCTTTAATATAGACATAAATTAACTTACTTTGCCAATGACCTTTAAAATTTGATAATTCTGTATTGGGTGTTTGCTCATTTATATTTATTTTAATGAAATAAAACATGTCAAAATCAACTATGTAGGACACTAAAATCTCATATGATGCTCCTCCTTTGGATTTTTCCAATCTGAATATCAAATCTTTGGCTGATTTAAAACATGCTGTGCCCAAGCAAGGCAAACGTAAGTAGGCCCCAATAGATGAACAGAAGGAAGATAAAAAGAAGGAGAAGCAGCAATAACAGCAATAAGAAAATGAGAATATTCAAGTGCAACAGAACCAACAGCAGGAACAAGAAGACGAAGATAAGTTAGAAGGGGACGAGAAAGAGAGAGAGAAGCGGGAGTTGCAGAGATAGAAGGACGAGAAATTGACACCAGTAATTGTTCGTACAATTGGATAACCTGTCTAATAATCGACCAATGTATACAAGCCAACAATTGATGAAAAAAAATAAACAAAGAAGCAATTTTAAGTACAATTAATTCAATGTTCTTTGATCCTAAGTTACAATAAATTGACATCCTTGCATAACTTTTACAATATCATTGATCAAATCATGATTAATTGTAAACAGTTGCAGTGGATTGATCTATCGCACAATATGATTGAAAGTCTGGACTATGTAATTGATATTATTATAAACAGAATTTTGCTGAATTGCCAAATGTAAAAGCATTGTACTTGCATGCAAACAAATTGAAGGACATTATGGAATTCGATAAATTGCAGTGTTTGACAGAATTGAGGACTTTGACTGTTCATGGAAATCCCTTTGATGCCATTCCAAATTTTAGATTGTATGTAATTGGATTGTTGCCTACCTTGAAAAAATTGGATAGTGTGTTGATATCTAAAAAGGAATTAGACAATGCCAATGTATGGAGAAATACGTTTAGAATGATTAAACCACCTATAATTAAAATATGAAACTTAATCTCGAAATTTTAAATTACGATAATCCACTATCTAACTTCTTAGTTAAAATCAAGTACGGCACTCAAGTTCATTAAACTGCTGTAGGAAACAATTGGAATCAGAAGTTCACTCTTGAAGTCAAGAAGACTGTCGATTTAAAAGTGGAAGTATGGTAGAAAGATGAGGAATTTCATTTGATAGGAGAATCCATAGTTCCAAAATTAGTATAGATCCATCATCTTGACATTGTAGGACAGGGCAAAAAGGAGGGAGTTCTAGTTGTGGAATACAAGGAAGTAGAGCTTCAGAATCCTAAAGTCAATCAGAAATTAGAGAAGCCTTAATTTTTAATCAAGAGATTGAATGAATCCTTGAACACAGAAGTTCAATAACCCTATGGAAATATCTAAGAGTATTTCGCATAATAATTTGAGAATCACGAGTTGAGTCATCAATCGAAATCAACAGCTTCAAATTTAATAATGGAATCATTAGAAAGGACCATGAAAGGACTATAGATCAATGGGAATCAATATCATTTTGATGATTATGATTAAAAGAACGTTATTGAGCAGACTAAAATTAAAGCACTTTAGAAAGAACTTATTAAAAAGGATCTGTAAAAATATGAAAAGAGCAGAAGAGAGGTGAATTTATAAATACTTGATTTGGATGATATGGATTTAAGATTTGAATAATAAGAACAGAAACAATAGATTTTGGCTTTGAGAAAAGAACTAGTATAAAAGTTACTGTATATTGAAGAAAAAATTGAACATTTAAAAAGACATTTGAAATTGGATTAGTTGAATAAACATGCATCATAACCTATTATGAACAGTATGGCAGAATTGAGTTAGATTAGTATGTATAGAGAACCAATTGTTAAGTCTGAAGTGGATCCTTTGAAGGAATAACAGAGACAAGAATTTATTAAGAAATAGATGAAAGAATGGAACGAATTATAGGAGTAGAGATTAAAGCAGATTGAAATTCAAAAAGAAAAAATATAAAAGACTGAAGACAAAATAAGAAAGTAATAAGTACTCATTTAGGAGGCGAAGACCAAGGAAAAAAGAGAGGAGATAGAATAAAGATTGAATAAGTTGAAGGAGAAATAGAAACAAAGAGAATAAGACTTATAAGAATAAAACAAGAGGTACTTGGAAAAGAAGAAATAGCATCATCTCGCTGAGAAGTATGCCCAATAGGATGCTGCATATATGATGTCGTTGTAAGATGAGAGGAAAAATAAATTGAAAGAGATGAGGAATCCTGAATTTAATATTTAAGAGATTATGCAATTTGATAAAAAGATTAAGGAACTTAGAAAAGAGAAAGCAGCAGTCAGGCAAAAAGAGTGGGATGAACGGGAAAAGCAGTGGAATAAGTTTTAGGCACAATATTATTCAGAGAGTTATAAGAGGGCAAGACAGTACTATAAAGAATAAGATTTAAAAGTGGATGAATCTAAAATTAAGGCTTAGGAACGACTCAATCTCCTTAGATCTTATGATAATGAGGTGAAATAGAGATATCAACCTCATGTTTCTTAAGAAAAGAGATCAGAAATTGAGGAAAACATCAGAAAACTCAAATATGAACCAGATTTTAAGAAATACAGGGAATTATCTGAGAAGGTTAAAGAAAAACACATATATTTTGGAGTAGAACAGAAGGATTAATCAGGAAATAAGAAGGTGAAACTAAAACCGTTAGAAAACATCCCTACTCCTATATCACCTAAACGCATAGGGGATTTCTATTTAAGAGAACATGCGACTTACAACAAGAAGCACATTCCACCTATACCGAGACCCCCAGAACCACCTAAATCAAGCTAATCAGAATAGAAATTAGTTATTAAAGATTATTTGAAAGAGCAGAGGATCAAAAAGTAGTTGATAGAATAATAATCAGTAACTATTTTGTATATAAATCATAGGTGAAAAAAATGAACTAAACTTCAGGATTGGAAAATGATGATTAGAAGATGATTATGCAAATTAAAAAGTAATTGGAAAAATTGGATCACATTTGAGATTGTTAATTATTATTATTCTCATAAAGTTATAAATTATTAAATTACTTTTTTAAGAATAGTTAAGATTTTTATTTTTTATTCCAAAATAAATAAAATTAGGGGAAGGGAGGGATACCAAGATTAAAAAAATAAATAAATGATCATACATATCTTAAATTTTTGTAAATTATTTTTATTTTAATAAATTATTCAGGTCATAACTAATCGATGGACGAAGAGAAAAAATAATATAGTAAAATCAACAAAGAGATTAGACAAGAAATTATTGATAAAATCTGTATATAAAAAAAACCATTGTTAGAGGTATTTCCTTAATTTTAAATATTTAAAAAGGTTGCTTAAGAATACTCGTTATTGGCATCTACGTGTAAGTCTATCGTTAATACTTATATGAAAGAAGGCAGAGTTGGGAAAAAAGAATCAAGAATTCGTAAATTAAAAAAAGTAGTAACAACATACCACATTATTTTAAATCCTCTATAACCACTACTCTCTCAAGTGTAAATATAAAAAAATGTTGAAAACTGTGTAGAGCAATCATAAAAAAGTCGAGTTGAAACAGATGAGGCTTAAGAAGAGAATAAATAAGAATTACAATCTTTAGATTTGTCGATTCAATAGTGGACTCAATCCTTATTAAGCTAAATCCAATCATTAAACCAATAGTATAAGGATCCCTAATTTATTCGTTAAAATTGAAATGATTAATATAGATTACATTATGCATTTATATATATTGATTATTAATATTTATATATAAACTTCTGTTGTTATTCTTAAATGATTAAAATATTCTACATTTCATATATCTCTCCAGTGAACCTTCATGCATTTGATTGTTTCAAAATAATTTCCTTGAGTTTCCATCCAAAATTGTTCAAGAGTGTTCTAAGAAAACTCATCACATTTCCACATTCCTGTTTGAATTCCATACTCACAGAATGATCTAAACATGTCCAAAGGTGCTCCATTCAATTTAATACCATATTTCTAAGGTAAGAGTACATGTTTGGGTTGGAAATCGTGTTAAAATAATTTGAAAATAGAGGAAGCAGTAATTTTAGTACCATTTTTAATTTTGTGTCCATCAAAGTGCATAAACAATCGAGGTAATGACATATGATATGGTGGTACATGTCCCTTTAAATAATTAATGACTTAGAAATACCCTTAGATCTTTATCAGATTCATAACGAAAAGATGGTATTTGTGATGGTCTATAGAACCAGTTAATACCATCAACAGCTACTAATACTTTGTACTTGTCAGTATTGTACAATTGTTCCATCACTTCATAGACAGCATTGGTTGCATAATGAGCATTTGAGATGCCATAATCAATGATTTCATGTAAATATTGTGGTTTAGGAATTTTCAATGTAATTCTTGCAGACATGATTTAATCTTGTGCTTCTTCGAAATCTCTTTCTTCTTGTGTTGTGAATTTCTCAAAGTCCTTGAAGTGATACCCTCTTCTTTCATCATACAAATTGGGACAAGGATCAGGATCATCATCATGAACACCACTCAAATTGAATTTGCCATAAAGACTCAAATCAACTTAAAAGGTCTCCAAATGCACTTGATTAGCTTCTTTGAATTGTTCTAACCATTCCTATGCTGCCTTTGGTTGCATATACAATCCAGTTTTAAAATGTCTCTTGGTCTCATATTTCAATGAAGTCCAACTATAATTTATTGGTATAAATTAATACTTATATCCAGATGGAACTACTGCTACTATCCATCCAGTTTATTAGGCAAACATAATTGCTTACATTAACACACCTGATTTACCAGCTCCATGATCTCCATGGAAAAGCAAATTACTTGAATATCCATAGTATTATTCCTAATATTGATAAGACAATCATACCCCAAATCTATTTTCAATCAATGATTTTGGAACTGGGAATGGATTATTTACATATTTTGTGAGATCCAAAGTGAAATCTTAAAACTACAATGTTTTCACTGTTGAAAATAATAGTTCAGGCATAGAAGCATTGGCTTATTGTTGATCTATCTTTTCCAATAATTAATCAACAAGAGACTTAAAGAATTCCTTTCTTTACTCTGGAGTTCTTAATTATTAAATTAATTCCCAATGATTCAATATGACAGTCAAGAGAGCATCAAAATTGACACTGGTTGCAAAGATTCTTTGGAATATTTCATTGTTTCTATGTTTTTTAAGTTCATCATTAAAGTCTCCTTTCAAGACATTGAACATTATTATGAAATATCCTTCTTTGTGGAAATTATCTTTGGATAACTTTTTATATTAGAATATTTGTGGTATTCTTATGCTTGAATCCACATAATCCATTGTTTTGAAACCCACATCAGTCATCATAAGAGAGAAATTTTTGGACAATTCAATGAGGTTTTTTTGGAAATCCCCTGGTGATAGGAATTTAAAAGTCTTCTTAAATAACTCATAATTCAAAGGGATCCATTTTCCGATTTATATTGGATTCAAATCCAACCAATCTTTTAAAAACAATTTTGCCTTTTCTCTTGGCATATTGCTCTTAGTGTTATCATCAAGATCTTTGATAGAAAGAGGATCTGGTTGTTAAGCTAATTATTCAACTTGTTTTCTGATGTAAGCCTAAGGAATTATGATGGATTTTACTTGTGTAATTGACTCTCTTACTACAGGATCTACCTTTTGAAATACTTTATCAAGCAAATCCAATTCGACTGATTATTCAAGAGCAGGCAATACTTCATAAGTATATCTTTTGAATAGATCAACTTGATTCACTCTTTTTGGTGCTAAAACTCCAGATTCTTTTTCAACTTATTCTGGCATTGAAAAATAAGGTTTTGTTTGATAAAACTTGGTTGTAGTAACTTTAGCCTATTAATAATGTTTCAATTTTAGTTTCTTGAATGCTTCAGATGCAGCTAACTAAAATTACTGTAATCATAATACTTACCTTCATAACTAAAATTTATTTTATTAATATAACTAATGAATAGTACACATATTTCTCACTAATTATGCTCATTGATCTTCAAGAACACAGCCTCCAAGACTACAATCTAAGGTACAATTTAAGCATAATCACAATAGACCTCTATCTGAATCAAATTTTAGTTAACAATGTTAGTATTTGGTTTTATCTAATTGGATGCTCAATCTCTCTAATTTTGGATACCTTTTTATTTGTAGTCTTTTTATATAAAAATCAATTGAGACAAAGTCCAGGAGACATTTTTTTGGGTAGTTTCGTATTTGAAATCATAATGGCAATACAGTGGTATATAATTGCAGTTTCCTCTTATGAAGATAAACCCTTGGCTAATAACTCCTTGGAATGTTAATTTACAGCCGCATTAACATTGATATCACGTAATAATATCTGACCTATGATTCATTTAGACCTAGGATAGTACTTTTATATATTGGCTTTTTTCTATTTTCTTACAAGATAAGTGAAAACAAGTTTCAAGGCAAAAAATAACATCCAATGGTTAATCCACTTGGGAGTCATCATACTGACATTAATAACATGTGTGATTGTGTTTTCTTTGAATTTGACAGGCAAAAACGTTGATGGGAAATGCTCTATAGTTACATCTCTCTTAGCGGAGTAAATTAAATAATTTTACTTAGTTATGTCATTACCTTAGGATATACATTGACAATTTTAATCTACATTTCAATTGGCGGATATTCGATCTACTATATCAAGAAGAATATCCCAAATTAATATAAGGAGAGAGCACAAAAATTCCTGAAATTCAGTATTATCTACTTCCTGACCTACCTCATTCTGATATTCGCAGCATAATTGGTTGAATTATTAGCTAGTTTGAGTTGTACTTATCAATGGAACATGAACTTGAATGCCATGTACGACACAGCAGCATTTTTTGATATCATGATATTAATACTTTTACCTATTATTAGAGTAAATGATCCTTATACTAAAAGAATATTGCTCAAGATGTTTGGGTATGGACAGAAACAAAAATAAATAATTGAAGAGAATGAACTTGAATTGTCGAAACACAATAGCAGTGTTGATTAGGATCTGAGTATTTTGACTAGTGGTATTTCGTAGATTCGATAATCTGAATTAATTATCAATAGAGAGAAATCTCAAACAGACGATAATCCTTTTGTTAGTGTTCTGCAAAATAAAAAGAGAGGATAAATTATGTGCAAAATGATAGCAGGACTTCAAATTGATTAGTATTCTAAATACAATTCATTGGAGGTTGAGATCATCAATCAAAAATCTGATAACATCTACGAGGAAAGAAAGATTTACAAATTCAATAATGATTAAATCATTACTACCATGCCTTATAATTTGTGTTAAGATTTTGTGTCTTTGGTAGAAGACTTCCCACAAATCAAAGTAGTTTCCTACACTCCAATTATATTTCATGCTATTATGAATAGAGAGAAGGAGAAATTGAACATCTACGAGTCTCTTGATATCAACAATAATTTTGAGAAGATTACGAATGCCAGTAAGAATGAAGGTGGAAAGTCAGGCTAGTTTTTCTTCTATTCCCAAGACAACCAATTGATTATCAAGACTGTCACTCAACAAGAATTGAAAATCATCCTAACTATGCTGAAAAATTACTTTTAGTATATATTATCCAATCCAAATACTTTGATCGCTAAAATCTATGGTGTCTACACATTTGAATAGGAAAACCAAAAGAATATCAACATTATTGTTATGAGAAATATTGCTCAGACTTCAAACACATTTAGAATCTACGATCTAAAAGGTTCTAGTTATGACAGGGAAGTTGCTAAAAAAGATACGAATCTATAAAAAGTTGTACTCAAAGACTTGGATTTCTTGAATATTGAAAAATATTTATATATCTCCTAAGAAGATGCCAGCTTAATTGCAGAAAATGCTATAAAAGATTCGAATTTCTTTAAGTCTCAAGGATTGATTGATTATTCCTTAATTGTTTTCAAGATTCTAAATGAGCAAAATCCAGATCTTATTCCCAAGAAGAAGGCCAATATATTTATGTGTGATGATGTTAGGTATAGATATCACATTGGAATCATCGATTATTTATAGGAGTATAATGTGCAGAAGCAATTTGAGAAGTATACCAAAAAGATTATTAAACTCAATTAGAATTTGGATACTAGTTCACAAGACCCTAAAATATACGCCAATAGATTCTAATAGTTCATAAGAAGAATTACCAAAATTGAATGATATTATTTTATACTTTCATTATAAAATTTATTGTTAAATTATGAATACTAATTGTTTGGACTTAATGGATTTACTCGATCTAAACCAAACAGAATCGAATACCATTCTATTAGAAAACTACTCACAACATCAAAAGATTCCATCCCGCAACACCTCCATGGCTCCCACAAACAAAACTATATCTACCAGATTATATTCCTAAGTGAGTTCCAGAAAATAAACTTAAGAAACTGGCTATCGTAGTATTGCCTACTCATTCCAAATTTCAAGGACTGAATAAACCAAATAAAAGCAAAGATCCATATCCTTCACTCCTAATTTGGATTAAATGCAATAGTCCTTTGAAAAAATGGAATTAAAGATGAATAAGTTTCAATTATCCCAACCAGATAGGATTGATCAAAAATACATGATCACTGGCTTTCTATCAATGTTCTAAGATTATTAAAATATTATAAAAGTCATCAAAATGTAGGCTTAGGATTTGAATGCCTCCTTGTAGTCCTACAATAATAACTATTATGAATAGGCCTATCGAGTAGATTCATACTTTTAGAAGAATTCACAGTTGCTGACTACGAATGTGTTTAAGTATTATAAAATTAAGGAAAGTCTTTATCGATTCTTGAGAATGGGCATTCAGGTAATCATAAATTCTTAATTAAGGAACCGTATAATCAAAGGGTCTAAAAGAAAATAGATTTATTGGAAAAGCAAAATCATTTATTTGAATATTTTAAAATCTACCTAGAATTATTCAAATTCATTAATCAAAAGGCTTTTGATTGCTTTAAAAAAGACTTAATCTTTATACACAGTTTATAATAGTCAACTTCACAACTCAATTTTGGTGACTCATTTTTTAAATAGATTTAAGAATTTAAACATAAAATTTTGATAATCTCATCAACACAAGAAGCATCAATTCTGAATAGGATCTTTCTTAATAAAATAGATGAAATCTAATAATGGATTCAATTGATCTTGAAGATGGCAAACTTTAAATATGTTTATTATATAAAATATTTACTAGTTTCAAAATCATAATTAAAAAAAATAATTAAAAGCAAAAAGCTTTTTGATCAGATCACTCCATTATTAGAAGAGGCTGAGTAATATCAAGCCAACACTTCAACCTTAAACATCCTTTATAAAGATGAAATACATAAATTTGTATCTGAGTTTAATCAAATTAAAACTTAAATTATAGATTGGAATGTTCGTCTAAAAGAAGATCCATTATGTCAATTGGTACTTGTACTGATTAAAATGAACTTAAAACTTGAGAGAGTAAATAAAAATCTTCAGATCTTAAATGCGGTAATGTATTCTGTTCTAAATTTAAGCTAAGAGAATCTGATGATTTTGATTCGGAACATCTATCCTAAGAAGTAGACATGGTACAAAAATTGAACGACTAATTATTAATTAATAGCCATATTATCAATTAAATTAAATAACATCCTGATATCAAATATGATGAGTACATTTAATATTAGTACAATAAATTTATTATTTTGAAAGACTATTTTTAGAATTTATAATATGAATTTGATGTTTAATGAGTATGTTATTCTATAAAGATTATTTGATTTTATGTAATATCTTTAATCATATGATTTGTATATTTGTATATAATAATTATGCATGATCAAATATTATAATTAAAATACAAGATCACTTTTTAAATGCAATAAATAATTTAAATAAATATATATAATTATAAACCCATAAAATAATAAAATTAATAATAATATTTAAAGGAAATAAAAAGACGATTAAATTTCATACCTTCTCGGCCTTTTGGCTAAGATCAAGTGTAGTATCTGTTCTTATCAGAGTGATATCTGATATCTCCTACGAGGAGAATGATATCACTGCAATTTTTAAATGGGGCTGGGTTTACTTGGGGCTTGCCCCGGTCCCAGCATAGTCGACCCTGACTTACACGACCTCGGGGAACGGCTAACCCGCTACTTTTTAATTTAAACAAACGAAATTTATTATTATATATCAGGGTGACCATTGAAACTTGGGGCAAAGATTTATCTGGATGGAGAATCGACTGTCCTTTTGGTAGTGGATGGAAATAGAAATAAATTTTGGAAGCAATTGAATAGCTTGAAATGTGATTTTGATATTAAATAATAAATATTTGCAATGTTTCGTATGTTTGATCCGATGTATTAGTCGATGAACTAGATCCTGGAGGAAAATGGGAATATCTTATGGTTGGGAGATTGCACTGCTGCATATGATAGAAGCTTGTTGGATGCGAGAGGAATTAAGACAGTTTTAACAGTAGCTGCAGGATTAAATGTGTCTTATCCTGAAGGTGGAATAGTGCACAAAGTAAATTAGATACATATGTCAAAGGTTTATCACATTTTGGATATTGAATCAGCTAACATCGCTAGGCTTTTTGGGGATACTTGTAATCAGATTGCAGAGGGATTGAAACGAGGAGGTGTATTGGTTCATTGTGCAGCGGGAGTGTCAAGATCAGCGTCTGCAGTGATTGCATATATAATGAAGACCAGAGGGTTGAGTTTTTAGGAAACCTTCAATTATGTAAGAAAGCGTAGAAGTGTGGTATTCCCAAATTATGGATTTCAAAGATAATTAAGAAATTATGAGAAAGATCTCAAAACTATAAAAGTGAAAGAACCTCAAGGAGTTGAGATGTCAATCAAATAGACACAAAAAAAGCCTTAAGAAACTGCAATGGAGAAGCATGAGTAATTCAGTATTTAGTATTTGGAATAGAAAGCAAAACTCCTCTTAAAACCTGCATCAGGTAATCCAGCATTCAATACTGGTTATTCAACACCATAAAAATAGTTGTAGAAGTAGAGGATGTTATATCAATCTGCGAAGGTGGGAAGTCAAGAGCCAAAGTAAAGTTCAATAACATAGAGTTCTACCAGAGCTAATTCCTCAATGAAAAACAACATATTTGAACCATCATTCAATCAAACATATTAAGGCCCTTAGATAGTGACATACTAAAGAAACAAACTAGTAGAGAAAATGCCAGACATCAAGAAGAAGACTTTTTATAAGTGAAGATTAAATATATTTAATTAATTTATCCTCCCATATATATATATATGATTGAGAATGACTAGAGGTTTTATTATATATAAAATAGCCTAAAAAATCGATTGATTTAATTAAATAAATACAAACAATTTCCACCACAAACTCATTCATTTTGTTTCTATCTCATATCAGCAAGTACGTTGAATACTTTAACCAAACCTTTAGCTGCAATAACCTTCAACTCTCTTTCTTGATCTCTATTGGTTGACACTCTTGGATCAACATGTCCTTTTTCTACTACAGCCCTACTATGTTTAATTTTTCTAACTTTTTAATGCTTTTCTTTATGCCAATTTCTTTTTGTTTTTATTTTTCACCAGTGAGTTCGTTCAATATTTTTTGTTTGTCTGCCATAATTGCCTTCTCACTCTTAACATCTCTCTTAATCACTCCAGACAACAATTATTTTAATGATTGTTTCGTTTATTATTGCACTTCTTCTTGTTAACTTTCATGTTCCTCCTAATGCTCATCCTCATCCTCTGCATCAAATTTCTTGATCAGATTCTTAACCTTCTTAGATTTGATTTGTCTATTCAGCATTTTTTTATATACAATAATAATTTATCACAAATCATCTTTATCATAATAAGCATCTTATAAATCTGCTGGATCAAAATACTTCATTTTTCCTTAAATTACTGAAGTGTGATTTTGCCTTGCTTTAATTTCTTAACTATGTTTTAATCCCTAAAACTAACATAAAATATTTATGCTTTCATCTCTTATTCATGTTATTTACATTCTTTCTAATAGATTTAATATTTTCTTGTTTTTTAGAGACTTATTATTAAGGATTGTATTATCTTTTCTACTAATTTCTTATCCTTATTTTCCTAAGAATTGTTTTCTTGGCTTTAATGAAGTGCTTTATTGAGATCTAAATTTAAACAATATTTGTTGTTTATGCAGTTAGTAAATGCGAATAATTTAATGTTGGTTTGCCATTTTCTCTAATATCTTTCTCAGAAGTAACTAACTTTAAAAATTTCCCTTTCAACTATTAAAATTGACAATCAAAATGAAGTTAATTCATTTCATATTTGATCTTCCATTAGATTGACTAATCTCATTCTATATTTTAAAATATGATAATAATTTCTAATTTTATGGCATCGTATCTTTAGCATTAACCTTAAATTATACTGGATTCCTTAATACTCTATTTCATTAAATCATGTATTAGAAGTCGTTACTCATTTTTGCCTATCTGCTTCATCAAATATCAAATATTCTTAAGTTGTGACATTAATTTACAAATCAGCCATATCTAACAACTATCTTAACTTGCCAAGCGTAGCTATGAGTATATTACATCCATTCTCATTTAAATATTTGACATCGTGTTCATTCGAAGTCAAATATAATCTTGTCTTAATTCACAACTTAAAACTTCTTTGCAACATCAAAAATTTAATGTGCCAATTCTCTTGTATGTGACAATCTCAAACCAAATAGTTGATAATCTGAGTATTTCTATTTTGAGAATTGATTAAACAATGAAACCAAAAGTGTTAAAGTTTATCCTCATCCTGTTTAGGCTTCAACAGCAACATCATAATTTTTATGACATGTGGAATCGCGGCTTTTAAACAGGCATCAAGTACTAGAATTTAAACTCATCTGCTATAACTTTTTGAATTATTGGCTCTAGATTCAATTCAGACCATTAAATTGAAGTTGTGATAATTATTGAGAGAAGTGTATATAATAATATTCACTCATTCTCAACTGTGCTCCAATCGAAATCAACTCCTTTTTCTAAGAATTCCCCTAAACGATTAGCTTTATGTGCACGAGTCATCAATTCCATCCCTTAATGATATTACTCCACACCAAACTGATATTTCTCTGTCATGTCATGAAAGGTCTATTCTACATCTCTACAGAAATAGTTTTTTGTTATTTAAAATGACATCATCGGTAGAACTCCATATTAGAATAAGAACTTCGTTGGTTTGAATGAACTTCTTCTAAATAAGGTTCTATCCAATGTCAGCATTAAGCAACTCATGCTTAAAAATGCACTATATGTACGCGCTTTTTCTAAAAATTCAGCTTGTTGACAATCTTGCACATCTTCTTGAGAAATCAAACCAAAGCAATTATTGTATTGATAGAAATACTTGAATACTTTTATTTTGTCATTTTCATCTAGATAGTTTTTTTTGAATTCTTCAAAGTTTGTAAGTTTTAAATTTTTCATATTAAATTAATGATTATCATAAATTTTTACAATAAATTATTCAAAAATCATATAACTCGTTTTTAATTCGTCTAATGAAAAACAATAATTAAAAAATCTTAGATATTTCTTTGACTATTATATGAGCAAGTAACATGTCAAATAACTCATTCATTTCCTGAAATTATTACTCTCTTACTCTGAATTTCAATTTTAGATACGTCCATTCTCAATATAACATGATTTATAGAAAAATATTGATAAGAACTTGTTGATAATCCAATCAAGCAGCTTTTGGTTAAGCCATCGTATATAATACCAAATGATTGGGATCTAATATTTTGATACTAATATGATATTGTATGATACAACTTTGATTAAATATTAATGTTTTCTTAAAATTATATCTATTTGTAAAACTTCATTTATCATAGGATATGAATAAAGAATTTTTATTAAACACCATCTGTTTGATCAATCATTTAGTCTTAGTATTTTATACATAACATCCTTAATTATAAGGAAATCCTTTAGCACCTTTATACATTGCAATCCTCTAATTTGTAAATTATTTAAGAATAATATTAAGAATAGAATTTTAATCATGATAAGTATGACTGTTGCTATTTAAAATTAGAGCTGTGAATATAAATGAAGCACTGAATTGAATAAATTTCAATAATTTAATAAATATTGAAAGGAAGTACCAAAAAGATAAAAAATTTGATTTCCACTAGACTTCCTTTTGAAAGATCCAATTAACCTTGTAGCTCCTGTTAAAGTTATGAATTTTATAAAAGTAGAGATAGAGATTTTTGGAATCAAAATTGTTCATTTTATTTATCATCACTATTGTTATCTTTAGTTGAGAAAAATTGACGCTTACTTTTTACCTTTCATTATTTTAATTATAGCTTTAGAATTAGATGCTACAGTTTGCTCAAATTCTTGATTCAACTAATGATTCAATTTGTGTAATTGTTTGACTTAATTTTAATATAATAATGTAAAAATTAATAGAAAATGAATTTGACGTTGATTGTGCTTATTAGCATAGGCTTCCAATATGTGCTATACTATAGGATCCTAATTTAAATATAAAAGATAGACTTTTATGCCAATAATGCATATTAGATATAGACAAAGAGAAAACTATTTTAGGGTGGAGAAAAGTTCAAGACAATGTGCAATCTCATATAATGGAAAAGTAACGAATTAATTCACAACTTATTTCTCCTCTTTTACCATTGGTGAAACAGGTGAAAAGTAATATTGAGTTTTTAAAGGACTCCATCATGAAAGAATTTAGAATGATAGAGGAAACATTAGAGGAATGGTAATTAGAATTGTCAAAGGAAATTAAATTATTAGATGGTAAATAATTTATTAGTGAACTGGAATATATTTTTGGAAATTAATTAACAAAGATCAGTTTGGATGAAATCCTAAAAAGAGACTTGAATTAACTAAACTCAATTACCATTTCTAAAGTTTAATCAAAATTAAATTTCTTTAAAGAGTTTGAATAATACAAAATATGCTCAAATATATTAAATTCGATTGAGGAGGAAAATTTTTCATTGTAAATCAATTAATCAATTGATGAGAAATCGAATGAACTTGATAATTAGAAAAATATATTATCAGATTCAACTTAGATTTCCCATATAAATTCTTATACTACTCAATAAAGCTAAATATTTTAATAAGAATAGTCGCCTTAAAGTAAATAAATCAATTAAGATAATATGTGTAATGTATAACAATTAAATTAATAATAAAATGTGGAATAGATTTAATTGAAGGAAGGATTATCCTTACCTTTAATAAAATTAGTAACCACTAAAGATGGAGATCCGTAGTATTAATATTATGGATAATAACTGAATAATTCCATTTAATATAGGAATATTCTTTTTATTGGATAAAGAGATGAAGGAAAGACAACATTATTAAATGCATTTGTTAATTATTATTTCGGAATTGCTTGGGATGATACATTTAGACTAATTGTTGCAGATTAAGAGTAAACAACTGAAATATCACATTACTATATTGAACCTTTTAATTAAAGAAATTATGGAGTACATTTGATAGATACACCTGGTAATTATGGCTAAGATGACAACTATACTATAAATAAAGTATCTAATTTTTTATATGATAATTAAAATACAATTGATATTATTATTGTATGTATAAAGGCATACAATGTAAGACTTACAGTGGAAGCATAATAAATATTATAATCACTTGTTTAAATAATAGGAGAACAGCTAGCCAATAAAATTATTGTTGCTCGTACATTTTATTCAGGAGAGGATGTCGATCAATCAATATTAACATCAGAATAAAGCCCATTTTATAACCTATAGACATCCCTATGTTCAGATTATAATCTTGAATTTAATAGTATGTCCATAATTAAAATAACAAAAAATAAAAGTGCAAAAGTATATTATAATATTAGCATTGAAAATTTAAAAAAAATTGAAAATAAATTGTCAATTGATTTTTCATCTTTTAATAATTAGAAAAATTAAAATCCTACATTTTTTCCACTAAACAATTAAGTTTCACTCTTCGATTGTTAATCAGAAACACTATTTCAAGATTTATAAATTTAAAAAGGAGATTGTGATAGATAATATTAACAAGTATATTAGGATAGCTATAGGCAGTTAAGAACATTGTTTATGCAATGCCTGAGGGCTGGTGCTTATAAGCAAAGTTCATATAAATTGTCTAGGGTAGATAAAAAAAGTTAATATTATTAATTAAATTGTAATTAATGTAATATTACTTGTTTTTCAGGATTCAAAGATGAAAAAGCTGCAGAAGACTTTTTTAGTAAGGAGCTAAATGGCAAATCTTATTGCGAACATTCAAAACCTACTATAACTATAGAGAATAAATAAATAACATATTTAGAAGACCGGAGTTAATAAATGCACCCTAATACTTATAGAAATTCAGCACTCCTAGTGTTCAGGCTTTTAATAAAATTATTTTAACTGAAAGAAAACAATAATGAATAAATGAATGAAATCTAATTTATAGAAATATTGAAGAATGAAGAACAATAAGATTATAGAATATTAGAAAAATTTTCAGCAGAATAATTTTCTCCTCCTAATAATAACAAATTTCTCAACCCCCAGCAATAGAAAAGCGCATTACCCACCTAATTTAACAATTAACCACAAAATCAAAAAAAAACTACAAGAACATGATCAATCAATAAGTATATATGTTCACATATTTTATAATTTTTGTAAAACAACTGCGAATTATCATTTTAATCCAGAATTTTTTGAACCATCCAGTCAAAAATTTATAGAATCTTCAAATGATTATGATTTATTAGAAAATTTTATTTTTTTTTCAACACATTGTATTCAGGAAATTCAATTATCGTTAAGCTATTTATCCTAGGATTATGGACTATCAAAACAGATTATTTGTCACCTTTTAAACAAAAACTCATGAGAAATGAAATTAAATATTAATCAACCACATAAGAAAATAGAATAATAACTGATTAAGTAGCTAATTCAATATATCTCTTCCATTTATAAGAATAAGCAAATTTCATTTATCTATAGGTTTTGAGATTGAATTATAAAGAACATTTAAGCAAAACTTTTAGACCGGAATTTACTTAATGATATAAATTTTAATTAAATGAAAGAGATAATTAAATGTTTTTTAATAATAGGGTAATTTATGATTATTTGATGATCAAATAGATATTTTGATTTCAATGAATCTATACTTTATTTATTTTGACTATACTTAGAGATTAGCAGTTTAATAATTAAACGATATAGCTATCAATAGAGGAAGGAGAACTGATTAATAGAATTGTTATGTACATGTAATTCAAATAAGATAGTGAATTCAAGCTTAAACCTTACCTTTAAATTTTATAGTGTAAAAGATATGAAAAAATATTTTGCAAGGAATTGTAAAAATAACTCTAATTTCTGAAAACTAAGGAAAGTATTTTATAAAATAAAATTAGCCAGCTCCTTTTTAAAATTTATAATACTTAAAAATTAGATTTAGCCTATGATTTTATGTTTCTTATATATGTCAAAGATAGCTCATTAAAAATAAAGAATTGCTAATGTAAATCAACATGATTTGATTATTAATATTGATATTAAATAAGATATTTATGAAATTATTAATTGTAATAAATCATGCCTCTGGCTTAATATCTTCAGCCTTCCTAAAAGTAATATTATATATAAAATACTTTTTAACAGTAATCACCAAAGCCTTTTCTTCATTGAAAAATCTTGTCTTAACTGGACCTCTTGATACTCCAGTCTTGATTGATTTAGTATAATTTGATTGTATTATTCCAAATTGTTTAATTTCTTCATTTGTCAATTCTCTGGGTTGTTAAGTTGAATCTCTCAGGATGATCATTTGTCCATCATTTGTTATAAATAGTGGCTATGATCCCAATAGATAATCATCATTCTTTAATGGAATCCACTAATTATTTAATTAATAAGTATACTTCTTCATTTAATAACTCATATCTATTGAATCTATGAACAGCAATTATTCTGCATACTTCTATATTTTCAGCTGTAATTCCAAACACTTAACTAAATTATTCTGCCAAGTCAGCACCACTCTAGTTTCTGCTAACAACAAATTCGTATCTTTCTGAAAGATCCCACTTCTCTTAATCCCAGAATCTGGCATGAATAAATACATCTTTAGATGTCAAATGCTACCACTCATCTTACAATTGTTCAATTGCTATCATTCTCATCTCTACAATTCCTTACTCTTTCAATGGTTTATCTCTATACACTTTATTCAAACGATCTGCTATCCTTTCTCTAAGTCTAATGTGTTTAGGATCTAGTGGGATTCCACTCTTCTCAGATGCCCAAATAGCCAAATCATTTATGAATTGACTGATAGGTTTATCTCCTGGAATGGAGTACTCACCTAATTCTTAAAATTGATAGAAATTCCTATCTTCATAGAGATTCGGAGCAGATGCAATTGAGATTATGCATCTATATTCTCCTAAGTTTAAGGGAGTTCCTAAGTCTAAATGGATAGAAGACCCTTTGACAAAATGGTTGAGTCCAACTTCAATCGTCAAATCTTTCAACTCTAATCCAGCTCTTCCACCTCTTCTCAAGATCAAATTTTTAGGGGAAATTCCTAATTGTTAACAGATCTTCTCCTTCATTTCCATCATTGTAGCTCTGTTATCGATTGTGCAAACAAGGGGATATAAATCCTCTGGCTGCCCTTCTTATATAGAAGCTTAAACAGTTTTAGTAGGGTCATTGAATTTGATAGTGATTCTATGTTCATCTATTTCGAATTCCTTAAGCCAATTACTATTTTCAGTTTTAGGTTCAAGATAGAAGAAACTATTATCATAATATCCATCAATGGGTTTATCTGAACTCAAGATTTCTCCAAATTCGCCATTTCTTTTCAATAATTAAAATTCTCCTTCTAAATTATAGGCTTTCTTTGCAGCTTCAACTAATTCATGCACAAAATCATTTTTGTTTACTGTTACTTTTTTGGGTTATAATGTTTTTTCATCTAGTGCTTCTAGATTTTCTCTAAAAAGAGCCACTCTGAATGTGACAGCCTATTCATTATATGGCTTCCATTCTTCACCTGGCTATTTGAATTCAATAGATATGCATTTATTCTACAATTTGAGTGCTGCTAAGGATCTCATTTCTTTGCCCTCAAAAGTGTCTTAAAATTAATCAGTATATGGATTATAAATTCTGATTCTACAGTTATCTCTATCTTTAATTTGGAAATGGTCAAGTACTAATTATCTGAAATTAAGAAAGCTTGTGCTATTTTCAAGAGTAAATGTCTTGACCTCTAATTTATAATGAGCCTTAACAGTGATAGGTTTCTGGAGTGCCAATAGATCCTCTGCTTATCCTCCTTGCTATCTGAATTCTTCTAATTTGATTCTTTCTTCTTGTAATTTTAATTGAACATACTCAGGTAATTCATTCTCTTGGAATTATCCACCCCAAGTACCCCAAGATTCTTGATTCGGTTCAACCTTCCTGTAAAATAACATATAGGCACTTCCACCAGAATGACCTCCAAATGTTTTCACTGGAATATCATCTGGGTTAATGTAAGTGACTGAACTATCATTAAAGCAATACCATTGTCCATCTTCATGGGAACGGATATAAGCAAAATAATGACCACCCATAGCACCACCTGAATGATTGAGAATAGAGTATAACTAATAAACATGTGGACCATCCTTCAAATATTGTCTAATTTGATTATCTTATTCTAAAATTGATTCTTAACATTTCTTCTTAACTAATTCAGCATATTTCTTCCTCTCTTCTGTGGTATCCAAAATAGGTTATTATTGCTATTTGTCTTTTTCTTCCTCCTTACTCTTCTATTATAACTCCTCCTAGATTTAGCCCTCTTGTTTCTAATTGTTAGATTAAACTTTGGGTGCATCCTAATACTCCAGATCATGATCAAAGACTGGTAAGGGAGGAGGTGGAGGAATACTAGTTTCAGCAGGCTTAGTTTATTATTAAATTTGTTTGATATCTTCTTAGATTTGTTAATGAATGATTTGTTGAATCTATTCATCCTCTTGCATGTTTCCAAATGAATCGATGATGTCAACATTACCCTATTGTTTTGCTACTTTCTTCTATTGTTTGATGAAATCTTTTAATCCTTAATTGGGTCTAACCACTTTAGTTGCCTTGGTTGTCTGTGCAGATGGTTACACTTTACTAGTGGCGGTTGTTTTGAACTATTATTTCTTTGGTTACACCAATTCCTCAAAGTAGGATGGATCTGCTTCTTCGGAGAGTTTGTTTGGGATTTCATCGTAAGTTCTGCTGTAATTATTCATATTGAGAACAAAGGGGAATGCCATTTTGTCATCCAACTTCTCCCTTCTCATCATTACATAATCGAATGCGAAACGATTGATGTGCACATTCAGTATTGATGGCAATTTATAAATTAATTGTCCTCTGTGAGCATCTTGTTTGGCTTAACATGATTCACAGAAATATTAATTATTGCCTTCCAATTTCTCCGGTTTCAGACTTCTTTGGATGGCCAATTCCAGACTGTTATTGTACACCTTACTCCATTTATCCTTCAGAATCACTGTGTAATCCATAAAGATTTCTTGTCTCTGGCTTTCGTAATTGCATTTCAAGCATTTCGTATAATGAAGATATGCGCCTTCCTTAATATCATATATATACCTTCGTACAGTTCCTTTACAAAGTTACAATTCTGATCGCTCTACTCTATTGCGTCAAAGAGAATACGAATAAACTCCTGGATGTCGTGCTACTAAAAGGCCTAATGGATGTCCCATTAAAATGATTTGGTCAGATCCCTCGTATCAATGTACTCAAATATTTTGGTTTGGAGTCTCCCATAGAGCTTTTGAAGTTGAAATGGTATCGAATCAATCTCTTCCCCGTGTATTGAGTGCTCGTACTTCCACAAATACAATCCTCTGCGAAATTCAGGAGTCATGAACAAAGTCTGTAGGACAGAATTCATATAACAAGTGGCACCTATGTTTTGAAGCCCCAAGTAGGGAGCATCAATTTAATATGAATTTGTAGTCATTTAAATTTATTATTAACTCATTTCACTTGACCCAAATAATCAGGATTAAAGCACCCTTATAAAATGATTATTTATGAAAATTATTTATAAATTTACACAGCAAGTCCTCTATCAGAATAAGCAATATTCAATACTCAAGCCATCATAATTGTCAGTCCCCAAAGATGCTTTCATCGCCAAAGTCACTAACAAAGATGGTAGCACATCTCTCCATGATCTCAATAGGGAATTGAAATAGGATTGCACCATTGAATTTCTAGATTTCTCTAATCAAGACGCAAGAAGAGTCTTTTGGCATTCAAGTGCTCACGTTTTAGGTGCCATCCTCAGTAAATTTGGAGCCGAGTTAGAATTCGGACCATCAACTGAAAATGGGTAATCCTATTAATCATGTCTCTTAGATTCTACTATCAATGCAAATTGGATAAGGAAATTGAATTAGATTAACTTAACTAAGAAATTGAGCAATATCTGAAATAGAAAAAGCACCTTTTTGAAATTTAATCCATATCCCAGGATGAAGCATTATAATTATTCAACAAGAATGCATATAAGTTAAGCAAAATTAAGTAGACAGCCTTCTAAAATTATCAAATTTACAAATTGGACGACTTTGTAGATTTATGTAAGGGTCCTCACATTGATCATACAAATCGTATTTATAAATTGATAATCAATCATTCACAACCCTTCCAAAATAGTTATAGATATCAGGGTATTGCATTTCCAAATTCAAAATTATATTAAGATTATTAGAAATAAATGGAATGTGATCATAGACATATTGGCAAACAGAATCATTTATTTGTGTTTAATAAATTAGCTCCTGGAAGTGCATTTTTCTTACCTCATGGAACCAAGATTTACAATAAGCTTGTAGAGATGATTCGCAAAGAGTATAGAGAGAGAGGATATCAGGAAGTCATTACTCCATAATTATTTCACAAAGATTTATGGAAACAATCTGGTCATTTGGATAAATATGCAGAAAATATATACATGACTCATGATCATTAAATGGGATTGAAGCCAATGAATTGTCCTGGCCATTGTTTACTGTACAAAACATTGCAGCACAGTTACAAAGAGTTGCCAATTCGATTTGCTGATTTTGGTGTTTTACACAGAAACGAAGTGCATGGAACTTTGACTGGATTGACAAGGGTGCGTAAATTCACATAAGATGATGCTCATATATTCTGCACGATTGAACAAATACAACAAGAAATAAAAAACACATTAGACTTTTTGAGTAAGGTGTATGGTCGTTTTGGATTTACTTGGGAATTGACATTGTCCACTAGACCTGATAAGTATATAGGTGATTTGTAGATATGGGATGAGGCTGAAAGGTAATTGAGAATTGCACTGTCTGACACACCATACACGGAGAATCCTGGAGATGGGGCATTCTATGGTCCAAAGATAGATGTATTAATAAGGGATCATAATCAGAAGTAACATCAATGTGGCACAATTCAATTAGATTTCAATTTGCCAGAAAGATTTGATCTCACTTATCATCATGAAAACGATAAATTTTCAAGGCCAGTAATGATCCATAGAGCTATTCTTGGTTCGATTGAGAGGATGATGGCTATCTTGACTGAGTAATACAATGGGAGATGGCCATTTTGGTTGTCACCCAGATAAGTATTGATAATTCCTGTGAGTGAAGTCTCAAAGTAGTATGCGAAGGAGATTTATGATTAATTGTATAAGTTAGGATTCGAAGTGGAATTGGAGGATAGTGAGCAGACTTTGGGGAAGAGAATTCGAAAGGGGGAGATGTTGCATTTCAATTACATTTTGACTTTGGGGGCCAAGGAGTAGGAGTCAAACACAGTTGATGTCAGAGAGAGAGGGGATAATCACAAACATTAATCAATGAAATTAGATGAGTTTATAACAAAAATTATTTAATTATGATTCAAAAACCTTAAGAGGAAGGTCCACTTTAGCCGTTTGATTTATCATTTCGAGGAGACGACCAGAGGTTTATGGAGTTGGAAAGAGCCTAGACGATTCAAGAATTCGTAAAGTCTATTGAGAAACGGAATTTTGAATTCGAATTTCAATATCTGAGACAAAGCACTGAGACGAAGGAACACGACAAATAACTGATTAAGACTGTTCAAGTTTAAAGACTGAATCGATACTCGAATATATTGCCATGTATGTTGATGTACTCATCTATTCTTAGTTTCGCATTCGATTGTAAAACCAGAAGCCTAATCAACTAATAAATTTAGTACTCCGAGAGATAAATTTTACATCAATGCGAATTACATAAAGGGAATTAATAATGTTGAGAAACAATACATTGCAACTTAAGGACCCATTCCAGAATCTATTGATGATTTTTGGCATATGGTTTGGACTAATAATGTTGGAGTCGTAATCATGTTGTGTGCTCTGTTTGATAGAGGAAGAGTATTCCTTTTGCTTTACTTAGATCCAATGCGAGAAGTATTGGCCCAGTCAAGGATAGAAGGCACAATTTGGTCCCTACGAGGTGAACACCATTTCTTAAGAGGAGGCTCCGAAGACTTTCTTTAAAAATAAGATCATCCTCAGATGTTAAGATGAGTAACGGGAGATTCTTCATTTTTAATGGGCTGGGTGGACTGATTTCGGAGTTGTTGATAACTCATAATTTAAAATTCTTGATATGTTGGCAGAAGTCTCAAACACGGCTGGTATGTAGAATAAGAGACCAGTGGTTCATTGCAGTGCAGGAGTTGGAAGAACAGGAACATTCCTAGCCATATGTCATATAAAATAGTTATTAATTAATAATCAAGCAAAAATATCTGTATTTAGTATTGTGAGAAGACTGAGAGAGTAGAGAGCCTTAATGATCTAGACACCTGAGTAGTATCAAATGGTGTATAGGTACACAATCTGGTTGATAGAAAATTTGAAATATATCTGATATTTAGATGAATATGTTATTAAAATTCAACCTCTCTTATATTTGGCTAATAATAGTGTTATTTTAATTTATTATATAAAAATTAAAAATAAAAATAACAGCCGATTGAGAGAATTGAACTCTCGACCCTTTGCTTACAAGGCAAAAGCTCTAACCACTGAGCTAAACCGGCTCGGTTGTATAGAATTCCAATTATTCATTTATGAGACGCCCGATTCATTTCAAATATTTTAATTATACTTAAGACAATTGGGATATTGATATCCAGTTGTGATTATCTTCAAATTTCAGTCTCTTTCCACTCAGTGTTATCACTCATTCCTCTCTTGGTGTCCTTCAATTTCACTTATAGCGAGGATAAAGCGAGAAATTTCAATAAATCAAAAAATATGATAGAATAAGTGTGACCACCAAGAAAATGGATATTTTTTCAATGGTATATTTCACTTAGATTTGGGATTATGTCAAATATAGGGAATTCTTTCCAAAATATAGAAATGAAAAAGAAAGGAATTGAATTATTTAAATAAAAATTAATATATGACTACAGTGTCTGTGGATTTTTTGCAGCAGATTACTCTTCTCGGTAAGCCAATTTTGTTAACTTCCTTAGACCCGATGAATAGGAAGCAAACTATCACAGAGTTAAAGAAGGTCCTCACGAAGCCATTGCTAATTTCTGATTTTAAGAAAATTTGGAAGGCTCTCTATTATGGTATTGCTCTCTTTAATTGTAAGCTATGTGGAGTTCTGACAAGTATCAAAATCAATAGATTCTTGCAACTGAAATTTCATAACTCACAAGAATGTTCTACTCTAATTTCACTGCATTCATCCAATTCTCTAGAGCCATGTTCCATGTGTTCATGCTTGAATGGGAAAAGATTGATTACTGGCGAATTAATAAATTTATGCTGCTATTCAGGGAAATCATAGAAGAACAAATCAAAATATGCAAGCATTTCAACTGGAAGACAGTTCCCCAACTAATTGCCCTTTACAACGAGACTGTCTTGAATCTTACCGAATTCCAGACAGGTATGATTCCATATCCTAACTCTTACTAGTATAGGGAGCTGCATTGCACTTCATCCAAATATTCGTGTAGTGTATGGCTAAACACATGAGTGATTCCACTGTTAGTTACGTTCAGGTTAAGGAACTTCTTGAAGGGTTCCTAGACATTCTTAAACACAGTCCAAACAAGACTTTGAGGGATAAAACCATTCAATATGTCTACGAGTACATAGAGGAGAGACAAGCTTAAGAATCTTATTTGCCTGCCTTCGACTCTAAGAAATATGGGAATTATGTCTTCAAGTTGGCATCATCAGAGTAATTTAGTATCCAGTATCTTGTAGGAATGTCAATCCTTAGAATAGGAAGGCTCTTTATAGAGTGGCTGAGATTTTTAATTTTACAGAGGCAGAGGAGGAATCACCTAAAATTGAAGTGGAGGAAGTTCCGAAGAAGAAAAAGTAAAAAAAAATATAAGAAAATCAATAAAAGCAAAAACCATAAGAAAAAAAATAATTTGAAGAAAATCATGTATAATAATAATAAAATGAAGAACAACAATTCAATTAGTAAGAAGAATAAGAGGAATAAGAAGTAGAACAAGTGATTTAGGTACCTTAAAAAGTTTAAAAAAAAAATGGAAAAGAAAAAGTAGCAAAGGAAAAGGAGTCATAATAACAACAAAATACAAAAGCCAAATAAAAGGAAGAGAAAGCCATTCTGAAATTACATAAGAAATAAGAAGAACAAATCAATTCACATTATATGCAAGACAGTCCCATTCAAGATGAAGATGAAACCATAGAAGGTGATGATTATAGCGAAGTTAGAAAGAATCCAAGCAAATTGAAAACCCTGAAGGATATCATGAACTCTGTTCCTGTGTATTTGTTTATGAATCCAGCTGAGAAACGCAAATACTTTAAGTCTATCAATAGTAGATTTTAGGAGGCTTTGCAAAAAGAAAAAGGAACTCATTGCACACACAACAAGAGTGTCCACTTTGACTTAGCAAGAAACAAAGTGAAAAGTAACAATGTGAATTTATTTTATTAGCTTTCAAATAAACAGACAATGTGCTCAGAATTTCTAAGTCATGAATTTGATATTTTATATGTATAATAAATATGGCAGAGAATGTGAAAAAAATTACTCTTAAAAATTCACTTTAGACTTTTATTTGGCTAAAATTTGAAACGACTATTTAATTACATAAAATTACATACGCATTTACAAAACGAAGCTTAAGTTCAATGTATTTTCTTTCTATCCCTTCTTCAACCTCATTCATCTTTGCACTCTCCAAAATAGTTTCATCATCTCGCTTACAATGAGGAGATGAATAACTAATCTAAGATTTACGTTTCTTAACTCCTGTCAATTGATCTAAATATGGATCATGTTGGATTTGTTAAACCTTTTCATGCGCCTTAATCTCAGGAGTCAAACATATATTAGACTTACTGTTTCTTACCCTAGAAATCGAGTTAAACGAAATCTTGCTCAATCTACTTAAAATGCTAGGCTAGATTCCCAACAAAACACTATTATTGAAATCAATATCTGATATTGTGTCATTATAACTGCTGATTGATTATATTCTACCCTTTTTTCTATGAATTTCTGGAGTCAAAGTGGATCTCTTCTATTCAGGAGTCCTTAATAAGGAATTCATCTCCTATTCAATAGACTAATTTAATTAAGAACCCAAAATATTATTGGATGACAAATCCTCTTTGGTTTTTCTGAATCTAAAAATATAATGCAATCTATTTTACATCGATGGTTTGCTATTGAATATATTGCTACTCGTACTCTGTCCTTCTTTCTCTCCCTTCTAAGACATGTTCCAATCAAACACCAATTCTTTTGGGACATAATTGTGTTCGCTTTATATTTTTCTAAACAAAGATTAACAGTATTTATAATTTGGTTCTGATTTAAATGGTAACCCTCTAGCATAATCTAAATATCTCCCAAATTCAATGGGCAGACCTTTGCATAACTCACTCACTTCCATCTTCATTTTCATCTACCCAACTTACTTAATTTTATTCTCTTCTGAAGTGAACTATATATTTTACCATGGCAACTAACCTGTTACATCAATAATTCTGTATACCTTTAAGTAAAAATATCAGCATGTAACCTAGTGATTCCATATCATCCCGTCTACTTAAGGAATAGCCTTTATGGGCATTGATGCTAGCATATCTAGTAGTCCCTATGAATGGCTATTTTTCTCTAAAGGATCTAAATTTGATTGAATTGAATTGATACATATGAGATTCATTTTCATCCTTAAAGAACTTACTGATCCCAAAGTCTACAATGTATAGCGAATTTTCATCATCATCCTTTCCAACTAAGACATTTTCTGGTTTTATGTCTCTATGCAAGACTTTGCTAAACTCAAGTAATTGATATACTTCTTATGCAAACTCTCCAATATATTGATCATCTATTCAGCTACATTAAGGACACATTTAAGTGAGAATTTCCGGAAAGTCTTCATATAATGAGTCAAATCTCTTCCTAAATGTTGTATCACTAGAACATGGGAATCCTGCTCTTTTCCAGCCCAATACAATTTTGGTATGTGTTATAAATGTTATAGCCTTTTTAAAATTTCTGCCTAAAATAGATTATCTTGATACCTCTCTTAACAAGCTTGAGTCTTCTTTATTTTCTTTGTCCATCTTTATGGCAACAAGATTTCTTGTATTAATATCTTATCCTTAATAAACAACTCCAAAGGACCCAGCAGAAATCCTTTTTTTTGTAATGTATACATTGTTGATTATTTTCTGATTATTCATTTTTGTGAAATAATAATAAGCTATGTTAAATGAAATCTATATATATATTTAAATATCTGAGTTCTATAATATACTAAAACAATAAATTTAATAAATCGTTCCTTCTTCCTAACTTTCATTTTAGATAGGACTTGTTGTTAATAAATGTTCCTTAATTGACTCCAAGATTCATTGCATTGTGAACACTTGCTATTCTAAGGATTCTTGTTTTAGAATTGAATTTATTTAATTTCAACTTTTAATTTTGAAAAATTAGCCTCTATATGAACATGCTCAAATCGCTTCTGATATTCTCATTTAGAAGTAAAAGGAGAGTAATGATTTTTGAAGAAATGAAATAATGGATACAGTGAAATATATTGGATTTTAAGTCCTTTAATTAATTATTGTTACTGCATCACTTAATATTTATTGAAGGAAATACATGATAAGTTTGAAATATTCTATCACAGTAAAAGTGTTACAATATTATTGCAAATTTAAGGTATTCCTGTTCTATAATATTATCTTATTTAGACCTTTGATTGCCTTTTTATATTAAATATTATAAAATAAATTTAATTTCTTCTAATAGCTATTTTATTAGTATATATTATATTCATCAAGATTATTATTTTATATTATTAAATCTACAATTTGTATGACCCAAATCCAAACAGTTTAGACATTTTGCTTCTGGAGTTTACACATCAAAATTTAAATTGCCCTTTTCTAATTTTAATTCACAATCATAAAAAGAATGATTTAAACTTAAGCAGATTAAACAATAAGGTTATTGTCCAACTTCGCACATATTAGTTTAATGCCCGTGCTATCTGCAATTCCAACAAAATTAGTAGTATTTATAATCGAAGTAACGCTTAACCTTTTAATGCTTTCTGTAAGTCAACTCACCTTCTTCACTTGAAGATGATTATTATTGAATAGGATCCGTTTCTGTATACCAATTTACCTCTTTGTTACTTTGAATCCCCTTCAATTTTTACAATAATTTTGCTTCATTTGTGCTTTTCTTTGTTGCATCAAATAATTCATAATATTGGTTGATATCTACCACCTTAATATTTTACACGCCTTCCTTGTCTAAATTAAGCACAATATTACTTATTATGGGTTGCTTTTCAAATTGATATTCCTTTTCTTCTGATTCACTACTGCTATCCTCAAAATGAAACATCATTAGTTATAATAATTTAAATTTCTAAAATATTTTTCTATTTTGTGTTTTTAAAAGCTAATGGGAATTTTGTATAGTTCAGTGTCTTTTATATATTTTTGACTTCTATCAACGTTTCTTCTTAAGATAGAACTTCTTTTGCATGATTAAATTAATACCTACCTTTTTTTATCTAGATATACAAATTTCTTGAGAATCTATTTAATAGTTTTAATTCTTTATAAAAGCTTATTTTTAAGAAAATCTAAGGATTAAGTTTGATTGCGAATAAGGGTGGACGATATTACTTATCTTAAAAAAAAGATAAAATAATAATAAACTTTATTAGGTTACTGATGGATTAATTAATTAGTATCATGTGCAAAGCAACTGAAATATTAGAGAATATGAATCGATTAGAATTTTTCTTTATTAATACTTCATTAATAGGTTATTGAGTAAGAACGAATTCAGATGCAACTATAAAGATTTGCACTACATAAATTATGTTCTATTTAATCAATTTAAATTCATATATATTATGAATAGGTCTTACTAATTCGATGCTTTTTTAATTAGTGGAGAGAATTTGATCCTCAAAGCTGTTTTACTAAGGGTATTGCATTAAATAATAAATAGACAAACAATGATATTATATTTATATATTTTATTAAAAAAAATAATATAAAATCATAAGATCTTTAAACTACGATGAAGAAGAAATTAAAAAGAGTTTTTAGAACTACTCAAAAAAATAATTAAAAAATCATTTACAATTTATATGGAATTAATATCTAATTCATACTAAAATAATCATTCTTACTCTATTTCTTTTTCTTCATTTTCCTTAACATTTTAAGAATTGTCCTCTTCTTCTTTTTACTCAATTTGTTATTATTCTTGTTCCTATTAATTTTCGATTTCTTATTTTTCTTCATTTAATTCTGATTCCAATTAAATTTGATTTTATTGGTTCTCCTCAAAGTTATTTTCCTCTACGACATTTTCAGTGTTATCAATAACTTATTTAATTTCTTCTTCTTCTTATTATGCTACTTATTCAATATTAGTGGTATTTTGTTCAATATGATTGCTCTTTTCAAATTGTTCTTCTAAAATCATGATTTCTTGATTTTGAGCTACTTAATTTTATTCAGGAACTGAACCACTTTCTTGTTATTATTCTTCATCAGCTAAAGTTTATGATTATTATTATTATTGTTGTTGTTATTACTATTGTATTTGTGGTTATTCTGGTTGTTGGAGTTTAACTTAACTTTAGGTCAATTAAGTTATTTGACTTTTTAATTAACTAAATATTGTTATATGTAGTACTTTGTGATGGGATACTTCTTGTTATTTAAAGAGTTCAATACAACGTTATCTTTAGTCAATAAATTCCAAAGAGTTTAAATAGAAGTTTAATCTCTAAACAAACCATCTTTTTCTGATGTTTTTGGTTTAAATAAGTGTTTCTGAAGAACTTTAGCAACTGAAATACGGACATTCTTGATTGGATCCTATCCCAAATTTATGAAAGCTTCAAGAAAATCAACTTGAAACTATTCGTATTTCATTAGTTTTTCACACATGATGACAAAACTATTATGAATAGATCAAATACCTTTATCTTTAATTGAACATATTACTATTGGCAAAACCTAGAATGTTTTATTTCAGAACACTGAAATATAATTCGTTTTGACTTTTTTGAAATTTATCATAAAGTTCAAAGATTTGTTTGGCAGCCTAATTTAAATTAAAATAGTTACTGCTTTTCTAACAGCATAAACATTATCATTACACAATTTAGTTGAAACTGGAAGTATTATAGAAAATACAGTCTCAACATCAAACACTTGAGCCAAGTGTGAAATTTATTTAGCAATTAGTTCTCTGATTCTCCATTTCTTTTAGTCCTTCTAAATAATCAGTAAAATATCAATCAGAGATGCTCTCTTAGATTCTTCAATGGCATCAAAAAATAAGCTCAGGTTCTCAACTGCCCCGTGTTTGATTTCATCATTGGGATCTTGTAGCAATTGTTCCAAGACTTTGAGCAATTCTGAGTAGGCCAACTAGGGTCCCAACAATTTAGCTAACACATGTATACTACAAGCCAAAGGTTTTTTGACTCTCAAAGAAATATGATGTATCTATACCTTATCTTTATGATTAATCAATTTCATAAACAATTTGCTAAGTTGAGGCCACTTTTTCTCAGTGTACACTTAGAGGACAGCTGGGAAATACAATGCACATTCAATAACGATCTTCAATACATAATTGAGTTTACTTCATTATCGATTCCCAATTCTCTAATGTCAGAATCATTCATCTTCAAATAGAATTCTAAAAGTTTATCATTGATATTTTCTGATTTAGTGATTATTGATATGTATTTGCCTAATTATTTGTATGCGTGCTATTTGACCCATTTATTTTAATCACTTGTTTATTTTTAATTGTATTATATACTCTAATAATGCCAGTAACCTTCCAGTTATCAAATCAAAATTTTCTGTGTCTGTCTGCTCAGCTAATCTAACTATGATATCAAGACAGGCCTTCCTTGTTTACCAGGTTCTCTCTTCAGTTTTCCTTAATTAATCGATTCATCAAATTACTTAGAGAAGAATGGGATTAGTCTATGTTTAATGAAATCCTTAGAGAGAACTTTAGCTATGTTAGCCAATTGAAGAACGGCCTCTTTGCGTATTGGTTGTTTGGCATCATCTCCTTTGGATAGGATTTCCAAGGCGATGAATGACTCCGACAATTCAGGTCCGAAATCTGCAGCCAGTTAACCGAATAACTACAAAATACATCATGTCATTAACTTTAACGGCAATTATAACATTCTCGTCGTTGTTGTCATCATGAGCCATCTGAATAACTTGGGTCAGAATGAGATTTCCTCTGTCTCTTTCATTTAGTTCTTTGGCAACTATGCTTATAGAATTTCCTGCCTATTCTTTGATCTTATCATAAATCTATTGATTACATCAAAATTATTAGATTTTAACAATTCCTATAGAGCCTTAACTACATGTTGTTTTATGAGTTCTTAACTGTTTTATTTGGTCTTTAAAAGCACACAGATTTACTCTAATTGGGCAATAAAATTTTTCTTAATTTCATCAGCATCTTCTAACTACAAATTAACACTTCATTTTACTATCTGCTGAATGATCGTATTTAAATTGTCAATTGCAGAATCCCCTATCCATGATATTAGTTCTCCTAATCTTTTAGTAAAAGCAAGTCTATCGTTAACACTTAGTTTACCTCTCTTTGTAATGGCAATCTTTTAGCTTCATGAGTTTCTCCAACACAATTTAAGGGTTTTCATCAATAAATACTGCATCCTCCTCTCTTCTTTAAATCTATTGAACTGGAATATATTCTTCTCTATAAATTTCCTAAACGATGCTTCCTGTATCTAAATTAATAATCAAATCATCATAGATACCAACAGGAGGATTTTCCTTTGGAGAAATTTACATATCCTTTAATATATATATTTATTAAATTTTAAAATATTGTATTGCCATTATATTCAACATCCACAATAGATGCTAAATCATAACTCACTTAGTGATTCTAATTTACTGAAACCCTCTCTACTCTCAGAATGACAACACTTGGAAATCATAATAATAATCATTCAATTTTATACAATACATCAATCATCTTCATCATCATCGTCATCATCATCATCTTCTTCATCTTCTTCATCAAAGTCATCATCCTCCTCCTCATCCTTCAAATCTAAATAATAAGCCAAAGATTATGGAATTATTTCTTCGATTATTGCTTCTCCTATTTCAAGATCAGCTGTAATTTTCTCTTCCTTTTGTAATTCTTCTTCGTCTGTTTGTGCAGGAGCAATGTCATCAAAGAATTTAAAGAATGATTTCAATTTCACTTCTGTCTCAATAATTCTGGTTTAGTTGGTTTTCTTGTTTCTTTACTTCTTCTTCTTTATTGTCTTTGTAACATTCTTACCTTCCTTCCAATTTATTGATGTTCCATTGCACTTGTAAGGTAATTCGCTTTCTTCATTGTTGTAAATAAATTCCTTCTCCAACACCTTGTTATCAAAGTATTAGTTGGGATTGAACTCAAATCTTAACTTAAAATCCCTGTCATTATCACCAAAACTAGAGGTAATACTCTTCAAATATGCTAGTACATCTGCATCCTTCTATGTAATTCTCGATCCTGTGATACCTGCATGTTATAATACTTTTGACCAATAATCAGTGATTGGCTCAGCTTCCTTAATAGTTGAATCCTTCATTTCTTCCTCAGTAGGTTGTCTTGTTCCATTAGCCAAAGCATTTACTTCTGACAATTCTGGAATACAATTCTTTATGTGATCCACTGTTGCTTTATTCACATTTTCGGCGTATTGTTTTTCCAAATTTCCCCATTTCTTCACATAATGAATTAAAGCAAGTGCTTTTGATAAATCTTCTGGCTTGAATTTTTGCTTGACAGCCTCAATCACTCCTTAATCAATAATCATAAAAAATTAACCTTAATTTATTTTATAATTGCACTTATAAATTAAAGAACATTAAAATGGTGAAAAATATATTTTTATCTTAACTTTACAATTACTTTTTTGATCAATTAATCTTTCAGAATCTTATGATAACTAAAAAAATTAAGTAATTCTATTTTATTTAATTCTCATTTTGGATATTAATATAAAAGTAAAATTAGAAACATTCTGAAAAATATACCATTTTTACAACAATCAATTAGATTATTAGAATTATAATCTGCATAATAGAGAGTTCTTATTGGATTAATTAATTCTAAAGGTAAGTTGAATTGTATGTTTACTTATTATATTAATTAAGTTATGAATAATAATTCAGAAGATTAGATGTAAGGAAAATTATTATCATTTTGCTAGTGACATTTCAAATGAAAACCTAAAAGCTTGTCCTGATAAAAAATTACACCATTTTGATTAAGAATGGGCAAATTATGCTAATAACCCTTCTCCTCATTTCACTCCCTCGTAATTCTTTAATGCTCCTCATACAAACCTGCCTCCCTTAAATTTAGAAAAAAGTTCATAGTTCCCTTATATCAAGGTTATGATGATGACTAAGACAAATAAGGTAAGAAAATCCCTTTCGAAAATTTTCTGCTCATGATCCTCAACAAGATGGTAATGAAGAAGACCCCAAATAACTACATCCATAATACCCAACCTATTATTAACCATACCCAATGAAATATCCTCCCCACCCTTCCCAATTTTTTATGCCTCATTATCCACATCCCATTCCTTATTGGTATAGGCCACCTGTATATTTTCCTCAATATGATGGATAACAATACTAAAACACATTGTCCAAAGAACTTCAATCGAAAGTCAGCCAATTAGTTTAATATTAGAAAGTGTCACATTTTGCTTGCAATTGTAAAAAAAGCAAGTGCCTCAAATTATATTGCGAATGCTTTGCCAATAATTGGGTATGATTTCGAACTATATAGGTATGCTCTCAAAATTGCAATTGCTGTGAATGCAAAAACAGGATTGATAATCCAAATGAAAGATCAAAAGCCACTGAAGAAGCTTTACTCAGGAATCCAGATGCATTTGCAGCAATATTAACTAACAATGGATAACAACCACAAATAATTTAAGATAAAACCTTAATTCTACCTTTAGAGGAAAAATCATAGAAAGAATCCTAAATAGATATAACCACAAGAAAAGGATGCAATTGTAAGAAATCTGAATGCAAAAAGAAGTATTGTGAATGTTATAGCATCAATCAAAAATGCACAGATCTCTGCAAATGTGAAAATTGTCTAAACAAAGCTGAATCCTAAGAAGTCTCAGTTGATTAGTTATAAAAATAATAGAACCCATAAAAATAGATTATCTAACAAATTTAATAAGTTCAATAGCCAAAGGATAGCCAATAGAATTCTATCAATAAAAAGTCAAAAACTATTCAGAAAAAAACAAATAAAGTTGGCGATCCCAAACAAGAACATTTTTCAGAATCCGAACAACATATAGTCAAAGTTAAATTAACGATTACTGATAAATAAAAACGAAGGAAGTAATGATTTGTTCATCTGTTTTTCTAATCTGTGTTTTAAATATCATTTCATAATTATAATTAAAAACAATCAAATTCAATATCTTTTTGGAATCAAATAGCTTTCATTTTGATTTTAATATTATTGCTAATTCTTAGGTTTATCCTCTCTTTCTTAATATTGAGAATGCGATCTCTAATATTGAGGATCTCTGTTAATCATAAATTTTGATTGAGAATTTTAATAGTAATAGGGCTGGTTTACAGCAACGTTGTATTGCTTCTGATCATATCTTGTGAGTGTGTGTAATTAGGGTACTCTGTAATTCTTGGCATGCAAAGGAGTTCTTATAGGTATGGTTTTTTCGTATCTATCTCCATAACTCTCTGTATGTACTCTAACTTTTTAATCAAAATTTAGAAAAACATCATCTTTATCAGGACTAACTTCTCTTGATTCTTCTTAAGTATTCTATCTAAAAGTATAGTTGCTAGATTGATGATGCGTTTAATTGCATTATTATTAAGTCTATTATTGTAAGGCTTTTTACTATTATTATTATTATTGAAATTAGGATTATTATTATTAAATTTATAATATCTCTTAATAGTATTATTATTTTTGTAATTCTTATTATTACTAAATTATCTATTCTTAAGTTAGTTATTACTAATTTTAAATTTAAGATAGTTATTATTAATTTTAGATTTATGGTTGCTAAGAAAGTACTTATGATGCTTTTTGATTTTATTGTACTTGATTAAGATTGACTTATTATTGAATAATAGGTTCCTAAGAACTTTGCTTTTATTATTGTAGGTTTTTGATGAAATTTTCAAGTCTTTCCTTTTCCTGAGACCATATTTTAGATCTTTCAGTTAATTCATCTTTCATTTACGTGTTCTCCTATTAGATCACTTTGACCTATTGTTGAAATGCAATAATCTGCTAATTAAAATAATGTTAGTATTATTATGCAATTGTTTCTTATTATGATTCAATTTCTTTCTATGATAAGATATAAACATTACCAAAAATGAGTTTCTTAATTCACTAATCTGAAGGTTATAATTTTGTTCTAGATTAGCTATACAAGATTAATAAGAGGCCTGTTCCTAATAGAGTTATTGCATAAATTGTTATTCTTTTAATTAATATTCCTTTATTGAATCGATATACTATTATTACTATGCTATTAAGACTTATTTTTATTGTTCCAATACCATACACTTTCTATGATATAAATAGTAAATTACTCATTAACTGCCTTAATTTCTTCGTTTCTTAAGGCTATTTGATCATTTTTTTCTAACAGTTAATTATTCAATATGTCTAAGTCATTTAATCTTGTTTAGAGCATTTCATTTAGATTTTTGTTTTCCAAATAAAACCTATTAGAATCTGAATTCTATTTCCTTTTTGTTCTTAGATTACTCATCAATCAATCTACTACTTAATTATTCATTTGCTTGAGTGAGTTGAACTACTTTTTATTAGTAATTCATTAATTTTTATTGAGACTCTTACACTAATAATGTCCGATTTGAATAATTGTTTTGTTTCATAATTTCTATTTCTCTCATCAAGCCGGAGTTTATTTCAATTAACTTTGAATTTTCTGTAATGAGTAATTATATTTTTGATTGCATGGAGGTTAGGTTTTTTTCATTATTATCGATCGGTTAATCCATAAGTCTAAAACTGGGTTCGGATTCCTCTCTCTTAATGGTTTTCCTTGCCCCTACTTATTTTGTAGAATTGTAATTATTTTCCTGAGTTGGAGATGTTAAGTGCGGATCTGGTGTTTCATTTAGATGCATTTGTAAAAAGTCTTAAAACGATTGCTTAGATTCTCTTTCATAATTCACTACTTTAAATGAATCTGACATTATTTCGAATTCAAATATAACTAAATGTTAAAATATTTAAATTTAGAATACTGTTTATATAATTATTAAGTGCTTTATAATTTATATTTTTATGATCAAACATATATCCTTTTAGCTGATGTTTCATTAATTTTATGCTGAATATTGTGCTGCATTACCAACTAGTGAAGGGAAATAATTAATAAAGAATACTGCTTTAGAAATGTTTTTGTGTAATTAATGTATTTTATATGAATAATGTTTCAAAGTCCTAATTCTTTGAAATTTGGATTTGGTCTTGAATATTCGTTGGTTAAGAAGTATCTATTATGAAAAACAAAAACTACTCTGGGAAATATTTCTTAGCCAATCCATAAGAAGCATTCATTCTGACACACAATTGGAAATAATTTCTTGCATCCAAACATTCAGGCACAAAGGAATCTTCAAAGAGACCAAATTGATTTTTGCAATGTGATGCCATTCTATCATAGAGATGACAAGCAAGTAATTAATTTGCCTAATTGATAATTTGATATGAATTACTTTATATTCGACAAACTCAAATTTTAGATTATCCAACAATTTTACATGATTCTTAGTCAATGTTTAAAGGTTGATCATATTTCTGAACATGAAATCTGTGTAATAAGAATGTATGGGTTACCTTCCTCTTCCCAAACTTCGTTATAAATTGGCATCTGTAATAATTTAGGATATATTTAATTATGAATTAAAAATATGAGTATTAAAAATTTATTAAACAAATCACATTTATTTTTTTAATTTTTTATTGATGATTTAAAGTGTTTTAATGTTATCTTTGAGAAAAATAAGACCCGTTTACCACTATTCCAATACTTCCTCACTATCAAACAGTAACTCAATCCTACCATCATTTTAAGTAATGATTGACATAGGCCAATATACAATTCCACAAACAATCCTTTCTTCTTGACTTAAAATATATCTGTTCGATATTTATTTCTTAATTTAGATACTCTGCTGAATTGTCTTTGGAATTATTACTCTCATTATTTAATCCAATTGCAACAATGAATCAACTTGCTAAATAATATAAAATTTCTTACATTGACTCTCATTTGGTTTTTGAATTCAATCTTATCCAAGTTTTATGACAATGTCATCATTCTAGGACAATACCCACAAACATTTGGATTCTGACAAGTAAAAGGATCGAATTCCATCTTTGTCATATTTGGTTTAGTAGAATTAAACCTTTTGAAAATCAACACACCTTTCTATAAAGGTTTCGTAATTCTGAGTATTTCTTATTCGATTGGGACTAAATAATTAGATTTGCTTGAGAGACATTGGGAATCCTTTGAATTATAATAGGTTTATCCATTATTAGTTGAAACATTACAAAACAATTGCTTTTGCTATATTTCTTTATTTAAGTTTGAATCAAAAGACTTAGACTTTTTGTGTTTTTATATCTATTCAGATAATGAATTTTATTCCTTAAATCTAAATACTTATGGTTGCTAACTCTTTTGTGTTTGTGGATTAGATGGTTAGTTGTTGAAAAACAAAGGTACGTATGGAGATGGTATAGAAATTTATTTCTACGTAACTTCATTTACATTTGACATTTGTAATTAAGATTGGCCTAATCTATTAGTAAATCTTTTAGTCTATTCCGATAGTGGAGCTGTGATGTTCTAGGATGATGTATCAATAATTTTAACTTTATTCAGGTTTAAGTAATTTTAATGAATAGGAGTTGTGTTGGGTTTTACTGGATTATTCCATTTTGGATTTATCTCTTTTTGAACTTAGTTATTCTTCAGTTATAGTTTATAATCTAATAAAATCTATCTATTAAGTTTAGTTGTCTGTTGGTAGATTCTTTTAATTAAAATAGTTGTATTATTATTATTATTATTATTATTATTATTATTATTATTATTATTATTATTATTATTATTATGAGTATTATGAGTATTATGAGTATTACTATTATTATGAGTATTAATATTGTTATTATTACTACTATTAATATTATTATTGATAATATTGTTATTATTATTGATAGTATTGTTATTACTATAAAGGCAAATTACATAGATTATTTTTAGACTTTTCTGATTGAAGTAAGGTTAAATTCAATTCATTAAAATGTTACAACAAAGAATCATCAGCAGATAATTAACATGCTGATGAACACTTAGAGTTTGTCTCTCCATCTATACCATTTATTTGTAAATACTATTGCAATTGACTAAAGTGTAATGAATCATCTTTATTTAAGTGATTGCTTAACACTCTCTTGGTTTACTTATTGATGTTGCTTAAAATATTCGCGCAACTTTTAATTTAAGAATTACTATTATCGCTTTTTTGATCATCATTATCAATTTATGATAGGCAATCAAAGCCAGTTAATATTTCATTGTATATTTCTTCAGTTTTCTGTTTATTTAAGATTTCTTATTAATATAGATCTTTTTTCATATGTTATTTCATTCAACTATTACTCTAATTATTAGTTCTCTTATTCTAGAACTTCCACTCTTTTTAGTAATTAAAATTTGGATTGATCTTCTTCTAAAAGATTATTTCTTATATTTTAAACTTGCAATTTCTTTTGATTCATTGTTTATTTCATCGCGTATATGTCTTCATTCAATGAATTGTCAACATAATCAATGTTCAATTGAATAGCTTTTTCTAATCTCTCGTGGTTTCTGAGTATCTGAATAATGCCTTAAATTTTCTTATTGTATTAATGCGAGATTAATTGATTGATTTATTGATCCTGTTCTTTAAGAACCTATTGATACACTTCATTTCCATATTAATTCTTGATAGTCTCAAATTAATGACCTTATATTTAGAAAATAATACTTTACCCCATTGTTACATATAGGTTGTCATAGCAAGCATAGTTTCCTAATTGATTTTCTCCTTTAATATTTTATGTTGCTATTCTCTATCTCGAATCAAATCTGCTGTGTTGCCTGATAATTTAAAGGATGATGATTTTTTTAACTATTAAATTTGTAGGTCTAACTATTCAATTTTAGTTGCAAAAGTAAACTCGAAATTGCTTTATATTTTATGGAATTCTATTAATTCCTCTAATTCTTCCACTTGACCTATCAATTCGGCTCTTTACAATAATTTCCCATTCAAGTCTTCCATCAACATTGATGATTGCTCTTACAAAATTTATTGATCCTGTATTGCTTGTTTATACATCTTGTTCAAACTTCCAACTGTTCTATCAATCTTTTTTGCAGTGTTTGGTATATAGGTGGATTAATAATTTGAATTTTCCTTATTCATAGTATCATTAAGCAAATCACTAATCCTTGAATTTCTTCTTGAAATATCTCTTGACTTACATTCAACATACAATAACGAAGGCTTTTTGGATTTATTATTAAACATAATGCACTATTTTAAATAATAAATTCAAATACAAATTATATACTGTTACTTTGTATATAAATATATAATAAGTATAAACTCAAGAATTTATGTTCATTTCAGATTAACATACACGGTTCTCTCCTTTCCGTTTCTCAAAACCACCATTACATGACTATCTGCATTTTCAGTTACTCCCAATAATTTGGTCACGTCCTTCCCATGCTAAATCGTCACTCCATCAATAGATCTTATTATCTCCCCTAATTTCAACCCCGCCTTCTCTGCAGGACTATCAGAATTTATTTTTATGATAAAAGCCCCTCCTTAATCAGAAGTCTTCAAAGTCAATCCCAAATAAGGTTTATTGACACTTTTACTGTTTTCTAGTCCCTAAAAGAAGGACGATGGCACCACTTAAGTCTTGTTTCTAAATTTTCCACTTATAATACCTAACAATTCTCCATTCTTATTTAAAACAGGACCTACACATTAATCAAATTCATCTCTTACTTCCCGGACTAGAATTGCATCCATTCATCAAAATAAAAGGAAATGTTTAATTCAATGATTCCTCGCCTACTAATTTAATATCTAATGTGAAATTGCTATCAGTAATTGGACACTAATGAAACTCCTTTAAGCCTTATTCATCTGTTCCTAAGACATAAGCATTCTATCCTATTTCATATTTCGAGAGATTAAACTAAGATTTCTATTGTTATATTTTTAAAATGGCTATTCCTTCTTCCACTTTCAATACTTCATAATTATATAGCTATCCATTGATTTATGCTGAGATTTATGGTTATTAATTTTCGAATACTTCAGAACTAGTAACTACAAATCCATTTTTTAGAACTGCACCTTATCCAATTATTCTTCCATTGAGAAAGAATTTAACGATCGAATTCTAAGTCTATTTGTTTAACATCTGAAAGATTTCCTCGCTTTGATTCTTTCTGCTTCCCCAATATATAAAGGAGGCTGTTGAGAATAATGCCAACTTAGTCATGTAATTTTGCTTTAAAATTCTAGAAAACATAAAGTATTATTTAATTAAAAAAATATTATAAAATATATTTTAAATGTGCTTATAATTAGGTTGAAATTGAAAACTGTAAAATATATTGATTTAAAAACCTTCCTATTTACGCAAATAATGATATTTATTTTAGGGATGATGAAAGGAATCTATGCTTATGAAATAAAAGCACTATCATTTAGATGACATAACATGAATAAATCCTCGAAACTGATACATTTCCATTCTAATAAATGATGTTTTCTTTTTAATATCATAACTTTCTATCCATTTTTATTTGTTAATCACTACAAGGAGATTAATGATATGGCAGACATTACAAATAATGATATAAGGAGATGGTTGAAATCTATAAAGTACTAATATGGTATAGAGTTTGCTTACATTCACTAGCAATAAATATTGATTAATATATTTATTAGATATTAAATATTTTAAAAATGAAGGCTCTTTTCTGTTTAGGAGTTGGAATGTTGATGACTTAAAAGGACAACACTGTTCATGCCTGGTTGTACAGAGATGATATTGGTGCCTTTTGGGGTATCAAGGGATACGAAGAGCAAGTGACAGAAGTGGGTACACATAGAGGTCATATGTCATGGCCATAATATAGATTCTTGGGCACATTCGATTCTGCCAGTGTTAGAAGAGGGTATGAAAAATAGTGATAGTTTAGATTTCTTGTTTTCTCTAGAAACTGTGCCAATTGTCATGGTATTGTGTATAAAAAATATGATGTTTTATTGGATAAAGTTTATAAGCAATTAGAGTTGGCAGCATTGGTAAGCAATTTCACAATTCATCCTGCTCATCATCACTTCAAACAATTCTACTATTAGGAATGGGACGAGAGAGATAGATATATCCATGACAGTAAGAAATTAAATTAATGACTAGGAATCTACCCTCCCTACTTCTCTTAAGATCAAGCCAAGAATGCCAACGGTGGTGTGTGGCCAACTGACTTTTCTAAAATCAGACTTAGACCTGGAGGTGTCAATTATATTTACAACATTTTGACCGGATATCACTATAAGCCTTACTAAGGTTTAGATGTTCCAAAAGGAAAGGCCTACAACCCTTACTTTGATCACATGATCATTGGTATGGTCAGATAATTGCATGATGGTACGATATATAATTAAGTGTTAAGGACTTGTTGATTATGAGGATGGCACTCCAGCATCAACTCCACAAATGGCATTTGATGTCACTAATTTCATCCAATTTGTTTAAAGAAGAAGTGGTTTCCAAAGACCAGACAAGACTGTCAGATATTATATGTTCTTAACAGGCATTGCTTTAATTTATCCATTCGCCTATTTGAAGACTAGAGGATTCTACAGAAACAATCTTTCCCTCAGGTATCTTTTCATCATAAATCTTCAGATGGGAAATGTACGCAGTGAGAGACGGCGTCTATTACAATCACTTCAAAAAAGGATGGAAGAATTCCAGAGCTATTCAATTCAGAGGTCAAGTCTGGGCTTGATTTATATACATTATTAAAAATATTGCAAATATTATTTCTATGTACTCCATTATCGATCATTTCATGTCTTTGTATCAAATTCAAATTTATATATTACATAATTATATACTCTCTAAAATGCAATCACTTTTCGTTAATTGCCAAAAGTGTCAACAAAGACCAGCCACTATCAAATGTACATAGTGCAGGTATGGATAAACCTATAGACTATGTTATTCTTGTGATTCTCAAGTCCATAATAGAACTGGCCTCATTGATCAACAACACAAAACTGAAATCATTCCATATTAAGGTATCTTCTCTATCTTGTCATAGAAATGTACTTGAAAAATTAAAGCTTTGTTCCAGCCCCTTCTCTATCTGAATAGAGGAACTCTCATAAAAAAATGATTTCAAAGCTTAGCCTCCAACCAAGGGTTATTTGAATCATGATACTAGAAAACAGGATTATTCTAAGACAATAGAAGTTACTCGAAAACCTGAGTATGTTGAAAAAAAACATGATTATTTGGAGAAGAAACTTGATAGCAATGATAAAAGATATGATCAACTTCAGCAAGGATTTGATAAAAACAATATTCTTCGAACTAAAAGTATCAAGAATTTGAAAAATCCAATTAGACTTTAATTAACCAATTAAAGGAAGAACAATAATAAACTGATCGATTAAAAGCAGAAATGATTTAACTTAAAGAGAGATAAAAGGAATTTTAGAAAAGATTGTATCTTAACAATACTTATATATAGATCAAAATTAGAGTAAGATTATGAACAAAAACATAGGGATGATAGATAAAAAATACAATAGGTTTAAGATGAAAATAAAAATTTACTTCAAAAACTCAACTCAGTCAATAAGCATCTAAATGAAGAAACAAGTAAAGTTAGAGAGTATGAATAGTATATTAGAGATCTTGAGTAAGCACTTAATGAAAAAGTATAAGAGTAGAATATTGTATTATTTATGATTTAGTATGGTAGGAAGAGATTTAACAAATTTATGAAGAATCAAATATGAAAGACCAAATTATAGAATAATTACAACAGAAGTATTGAATTTATTATATTACCTATAACTTTAAGATATGTAAGCACAGTTTCAATAATTTGCTTAAGAATAATAGAATAACAGTAGAAACACTAGAATTCAATTATCTTCAAACAAAAAACCATCAAAAAGTTAGGACAGTGAAAAAGATTAAGTGATTTAAGAATTGAATTAGCAATTGGAAGAAAAAAATGAAGAAAATCATAAATTAGAGGGTTATAATTAATTATTTAGATTTAGACTTGATTGAGAATTTTAAACAATTGTATCAACATATGAATGAGGAAAAATCCTAATTGTAAGAGGAACTGGAGAAATTGGCAAATGAAAAAAATTAATTTAGAGAAAAATTTAGTGTAAATTATTATTAAGAACATTTAGTAAAATTTACCATTTTTTGGGGTTTACCCAGAATAATTGAATGAAGAAGGAGAAGGAGAATATCCTGAAGAAATTGCAGAAGAGAATGATGACCAAAATGATTGAAATTATATATATCACATCTATTTCAATAACTTTATAAATAGTAAGGTGTCGATCAATATATTAACAACTGACCTTCACTTCTAATGGAAAGTTAAAAATTAATTCCAAATAATTATATAATGAATAAATACTCTTTAAGATTCGACAATCCTAAAATGGAAGAACTCTATTTTTAAGATCAGTATGAAGAATTATTTAATTTTTATACTTGGGCTTGTTTTTTAGGTACTATTAGTGCAATTTGTGTTTTTACCATGGAATTTATTGTTCCATTTGGATTTGGTTTTTGGAAATACACTTTGATTATTATACCCTTAGGCTTTGGATTCAGTCATAGATTAATTAAATTGTTTCCGTAATATTTTAATTATGTATTGGCTTTGATGAACATTTCCTTAGGGGGCTTAATTTTCATTTTACTTTATTTTTTTTCCAACTCAAACGTACTCTTTTTGGCAGGATAAACCGTCGCAATGATTCAATATAGTTTGCTTTTGGGATCAAACATCATAATCAACATTTTAGTTCTGTTAATAAATTAGATAGGATTGATGGTATTAACTTCAATAGTGCAAAACTACTTTAATTCTTTATAATTAATGTTTATTTTGGCATTGGTACTAGTGTTAAAATCAATCTGGAGTAGTGAAAAGATGAAAAGATCATTTTTTTTATTGAAGTATCAAAACATTCAACTACATAAATAATTAGATAATGTATTTTAATTAAAAATATTAAGATGCAAATTTGATAAGAAATTAAATCAAATTAGGCTAATAAATCTCAATAATTAAGCTGAAAAAATAATTTAAGACTAAAAGCAATTCATTTAATTTATAAGACAATACACTATTGCATAAATAAGATCCCTCACCTAACCAATGCAAATGTTAACAAGTTAACGTCATATCAGTAGAGCATAAACTCTCGAATAAGTACTTTACAATATGCTAGTGGGAGATGATAAGGAAAAATCATCAGAGATTTATTGTGAAGCAACTAAAATAGCATATAGAATTTGTATTTATAAAATTATAGAGAAAAATTAAGTCCATTTAATTGTGCTACTATAAGAAGATTCAGAGTACTAAAAGATATTAAAATTAAATAAAGAAGTAAGAAAGAAGAATCGAAATTAAAGATTATTGTTGATATGTCTTGAAAATGCAAGAAAATCTTTATAAATATTAAAATATTTGACAACAGAAGTTATTGATAACAAACAAAAAACACATTAAATTAACATGAAAGTAATTAAAATACTCTCAGTTACTTAAAGTATTTTATTTAAATCTGTTCATGGTTATTATAATGTTCTTATTCTTAATAAGATGTATCAATATTTATCCGAAACTATTTAATTTGATATAGAGAGGCTTTTAATTGATGTAAGAAAATTGAGGAATATCTTTTGCAATGAAAAATCATTGCCTATTAATTATGAAGGTAATAATATATAATGTGAATCAAATTATGTATTGACATTATAATTAGTTTTAAATCTACTCCAAGATTTGTTTAGTGAGCGAACCTATGAGAAGATTATAATCAAAGTAGATTATTTGATTAATTTTAGGCTTAAGTACAACAGTTAGAAAAAACAAAAGTGGTAGACTATAAGATCTTTCTAATGATAAATGAAAAAAACGAAAAAGTTTGCATTCCTTTAAATAGAATTATGATCAATTCATTCAGTTAACTTAAAAAAGTAAATAAAAAGATCTTGGAAATTATTGGATGGAATAATTAAATAACGATAACTCAAAAATCAAATTTTGACCTAATTGAATACAGCCTTATACATTCTCTTAAGGAATTTAAAGAAACTATGAAAATTTGATTGATAAAGTGATTTTATTTTGACTTTTTACAAAATATATAAAAACTATACTAGTATTAACGACCTAAAAAGGAACTCTAAAGGAAGACTGGATCAAAATTAAAATACTCTTATATCTTTGAGATTTTGTATGATAATTTTGTTAAATTCATATCTTAATAATATATATTAATTAAATAAAATGTCCAGAGCAATACGTAGATATGTGAATTCAAAGGAGGAAATGGAATACAACAGAGGATATAGTGCTGAAGAAATGCAAGCAGCTAAATTGCGAAAAGCCTTTGTTTAAAAATATATTGCAGATTTTGATACAAACTTTTACAAGACATAAGAAGAAAGAGATTGGGGTTATGTAGTCAGAAGAGAGTACAGTTTTAATTAAGGATCCTAGGTATCGATATGATGTCACATATACATCACTTGTGGATGGATGGGCATGTGCTGCAGTAGTATCAATGGCTAGAATGTTTTAAACAAAAAGATTCTCTTGGGCACCATATTTTGTTGTCTGGCCAATTGCTTATCTTTACTTTTAGCCAATCTAATTTTTGAAACACAACAAAAAATATTTTGATATGTGCAATTTGGGAGAAACGTTTTATCTTGGAAGAGAAAGAAACAAGGTTCTGGCTGAATGTAATAAAATCTTGGATAGAGAAGATTTCTGATCTTTAACATAATATACAAAATATAACATTATCAATTTATAATTTTATATTATTTTTTTATTCATTCTTTTTAAAGAAATCTACGAGCTTCTGTTTCGACTAATTTCTGCATTGAAATATTTGAATGAATATTTCTTAAGTATTTATTTTTTTGAAGAATTTCTTCTGCTATCTTTTTAGCTATACTTTCTAAATTTACCTCCTTTTTTTCTGTATTTTTTTGAAGCTAAAATTATTATAATATTTTACTTATTCTTCTTCTTAAATAGTAACATGCTTTTTATTAGGTTTTTGAGCAGCATTATTATTTTATTTTAACGCTTTCTTTGCTGCTTCTTTCTAAGATAGTTAAGGATTCTCTATTCGTATTTCCTCTATTCTCTTTTTTAAAGCTTCTACAACCGTTTTGACCTACGATTAATAGTATATTCATACTTCTAAATCATTTATATACGACTCAAAATCTAAGTTTTTAGTAAAGTCTAGTAATTCATTCAATTCTTAGTCATCAATTATTTCATCCTCCAATTCAGTGTTGGTTGCTTATAAATTTTATTTTTCTTATTATAATTCTTCGACTTTAGTAGATTTGTTTTGCAGTTAAGATGCTTATTGTGTTTATTATTCAGTCTATTAATTTTATTTGTCACTATTTGATCTATACCTTTCAGGATGTAACCGAGATTGAACTTAAGAACAATGCAATGCAGTTTTTTTCTCCTTGACATGCTTTTGAAAATTTGACAGCCATTCTTTATGCTAACTCAATATTGGTTTTATTTCTTATTAAATTAAACAGGTCTAATACATTTAATTGGTTAATGAATTTGCAGTTGCTTAACTGGATTGTAACCGAGAGGTTCAGCATGTGTTACTCTTGATACAAAAGGTCTTAAAAGATGTTGATATCTGTTTACTTATGATAATCTAAATTAATAGATGCTTGCGGTCTATTACAAAGCATTATCCCTTTATAATGTTCCATCATTTTACAATAATATTTATAATTTATTTTATTAATACAATTCATCAAAAATGTATGAACCACATTTTGGAGATTTTCTTATCAATCATCAGAGGATTCAAGGAAGTAATTATTCTAGAATAAATTCCTTATCTTAAATTTTGTAATTTAATAATTCAACTATTAAATTTATTAATTGTATTTTTCTTAAATTCCCTTTTTAGTCATAAGAAATGATTAGACAGTTTAGAATTGATTTCGATATATATAAACATTTAGATTATATAAGTTTTATTTTATACTAATTCTAATTAAAAATTGATGCCAATAAAAGGTTTGGATTCAAAATAACTAATAAAAATTATACTAAAGAGAATTTTGTTCCTACCTTTAAATTGGATTAAACCATAGCCTTTCTCAAAACATTTAGATGGTTATCAATAAGTTGATATCTAAAGTTGAAATAAATTATACAAGCAAATTGATATTAAACATAACTAAAAATGAAAACTTAATTAGTTACTAATTCAAAGAAATTAAGAACATCAATGAATTGCGCTTAACATAATCTCGGATAAACAGATATGCATCCAAAATACAGAATAACAAAAATTCGATGAGGATAATTCTTAAATGTTGGACTTCGAAAATAATTCTTTATTACTATTTTGCATGAAAAATAGATAAAATAAAATTGAATCAATCCTTTAGTTATAAGTCCTGTAGTTCCTTTTCAATTTATTAATATTCATTAGCCATTTCCTAATTTTGAAATCTGAATTCTTCTTCAAATGTGTCCAAATAATGAATTAATTGTTGTTTCTATTTTTCACTTGCTTCCTTGATTAGATAACTAGATTACTTAGATTCTGTTATCAATAACTCTTTCCAGATCATCCATCTTATAAGACTTACTTTTTTGTCTTTGATTTTTCATGGCTATAAAATGTGTCTAAGCTTGAATTGGTCCCTCTATATTGGCTTTTAAATTTTCTCTAAACTTTTCTATCGCCTAAATGCCATACTTATCAACTTGAAATTTGAAATCTTCTAATTTCTAATAGATTTATAAATGCTTACTTTAGTCACGAATTCTAGGTCTTATTGTTTACATGTTCTTTGCAAAATGTGATCATTTACAACTTGTGTAGATGATTCAAGTGTTTTCTTCAATTCGACATCGATGTCTCTTAAAAAAGTCAAATAAATTTAGTACATATTTTAAAAATAATAAATATAAATATTATCAAATATTTCTCACCTTTTGTTCAGTGATTTTAGTTCCTTTTGTAGCAGCATCATAGTAAGATCTTTCAACTTCAAAGTAAATTTACAACCCATCAACTCTTTCATTGCTTAAGAGATATTACACCCATTTCTTCTACCCAAAGAAAAGTTAACCTAGTTATCTACCTATACCTGAGTGTTGGAATAGATCATTAAAATCTTTGAAACTGTCATGATACCTAGGATTTTATTTACGTTTAGAAATGAATTTGTAAACCACTGGACATTAGATGGGTCCTACTTCGGTTTCAATCCAATTTCTAAAATGTCGACCAAAAGTATAGGGAACATTCTTGTAGCGGCCTTGTTTCTTCTTTTTTATAGATGGACATTTTTTTCCTAATATATTAGGATCGGTGTCAGCCTCAGCTTAACACCAGCGATCGGTTAGCTAAAATTCAACTTAATCACACTCACTGTGTTATTATAGCTGCTCTTCTTCACTAAAACTATCTCTTCTCAGTAATGGACACATTGCCTTCATTTCCATTATTTAAATTATTGGGCAATTAAATCTTAATAAGTAAATCATTTTATAAATTCTAGTGACAAACTATAAATAGATATCCCCCTCATGCCAACAGGTTCATATAACCAAAATTAGACCAAAAAGAAGATTAGTAAAGCATAAATTAAGAATTTATTCAATGAAATTGATAAGAGCAAATTTAAACAGTGCCATTATTCAATAATTTTATATGAATTATAAGGAATATAATTAATCTAAAAGGGATAATAGAAAATCTTAATAATCTCATAATTTTACCAATGGGATTGAATAAAAATATCATTATTCTTAAAGATAATCATTTTTTATTGAAAATACATAAAATCAGAATATGGAAATTATTTAAATTTCTCTATTTTTAATTTGAATTTGAGTCTAAAATAACAATAGAAAATAAATGATATTTATCTTCATATCAAATTTACTATGAACAGGCTAAGTTCTATTTTGTAAAGGTGAAGTAAACTACACACAAAAATAAATTGCATATGTTTATAAATCTATAGTTGTATTTCAAACTAACTTAAAACTTCTTCATTATTAGAAATTTTTATTTCCAGTTATTAATTTATTCTTATATGGTAAACCTTTTTATTTCAATGAATGTTAATTTATTATATTATTCTCCAATTAAGTAAATTTAATAGAATAATTATGAGCAGATTTGATTAAGATTTCAAATTATTAAGAATAAATAGTTTGAATTACTTAACTATTTAGTCATTTGAAATACTTGGCATAATTATGAAATTAAATCTAAAAATTAAAAAATAAAACTACAATTCGAATGATGCCACTATTAAAGATAAATAATCCTTTAAAGTAGATAGATCTTTTATTTGTATTTAAAGAAGAGAATAAATATTTTGAATATGGGAATATAAAAAATTATATCAATTTAATAATAAAAACTTCCAAAATTAAAAGTTTATCCTTTAATTACCACCAAGAGGAATAGAATACTATGTTAGAAATAAAATATTAAAATTCCCATCGTGAAAGAATAATAATTTTATCTTGATTTATGATGTATAATATATTTTAGTCCATTTAGGTTAATTAGAATCAATAAAAATACTATTACAGATTAAAAATCATTCTAATTCAGATTTAAAAATCTTATTCAATCTTATATTTCTTTTCATATTATTTTTTCTTTTACCTAGACAATCAGTTCCATCGTTTTCTTCTTAATGAACACTCATAAACTCATTGAAATGTTATTTAAGTGGTTTTTTTAAAATTTTTTCCATTTCTCTCATGGTATGAAGGGAATCTTTGTTTTCCATTCTAAAAAATGTTTGAACTGCTTTAGTGTTTGCTTGAAATTCTCTAAGTTGATCTATGCTTTTATGAAAATAACTGACTTAAGGTTATGCTTAAATCAGTTTTATAGGTTGATCCTCTTTTTCATTTTCATTTGGACTGACTAAAATATTTCTTGAGGTTGATATCACTTAATGATCGCTCTTTCTCTTAGGAGCAATCATCCTTTCAGTGTAGCTTTATTATTAAAACGATAAGAAATCTTCAGATTTTTATTTTAGCAATTTACTTGGAGTGAGATGAGGAGTATTAAGTGTAGTTGAAGAGACATTGTTGCTAGTTTGATAATTGCTATCTAATTTTTCTATTTTTCTTAAATGCTGATTTGTGTGATATAATTAAGGGTGTAATAATTCAGGTGAGATGGATGCTGATTTTGGACTAGGGACATGAATTTATTTGAGTTATTTGAGTTTTGTTGATTTGATTAATTTGTTAGCTTATTAGGCATAAAATTTTGAGTATTCTTAATGAGGTACTTTTTCCTTCTTTTCTATTTATATCCCTTTTTGTAGTAGATACTTCTTTAGAAGTTCAAACTTCTCATTAACTGATAATTCATTATTTTGTTATTGATGTCGTTTTTAATTGAAACTCTTGATAGTCTCTTTATAGAAATCGGAGGAATCATTGTTTACCTCCTATAAAAAATTTAGGTTATTGATTTAATCAAGAACTTGATTTTTGGATTGTTATCTTAGATTACGTTTATTGATGGTTTCTAAAATTCTATGTAAATTATGATGCGTTTCAAGTGTCATTGAGGATTCTTGTACCATAGTTGCAATTTCATTCGGGGAGAAATCTAGTTAGAGAATATCAAGGATTAGATGTTGCTTTTCTTCGTCATTTTCTATGTTGTTAAGCATATCAATTTCTAATTCCAATTATTTAGATATTGCAATAATATGGTTTTTTTCATCATCTTCTTTTTTGAAGAATTATCTGAGTTTAGCTTATTATTTTAAATGTGAAATGATGATTTGAACTTATTTAAATTGAAGTGGATTGAGTAATTGCAGTCTTTTTGTTAAATCAACAAATGTTTTAATTTTTTGCATGGATTTCATAGTATGTTCAAATCTTTTTTGACGATTTCCTAATCTAATTTAAATAAAGAGAGCTTACATATTCTTAGCATATTGGGGATTTGATTGGAATAGCATTTTTATGTATTTTAATTAGTTTTTATTATATTTTGTATTTATTTTTAAACAGTTATCAAAAAAGGAGAATGCTAAAGGAAAGAAGAATTACTAATTTATAAAATATTTATTTATGAAAACATCAAATTTGATATGGATTTATCTACTAAAGAAATTGTGGATTGAATGTTTAAAATGACCATGAAGATGGATAATGAGATGGCTAATGTTGAAGTTGATGTTGATGTGGATGGGGATGTTGATTTTAATTTTAATTTTGATGCTGATGCTACATGAACGGCTATTGAATATGTCTGGATCCTGAAGAATTCCATCTTCTATAAGGATTGTAATTATTTCCCTTATTATTTTGATCCACCAGACTTCTCAATTCATAAGGAATGTCATTTTAGGATTCCCTGAGAATCTCCACTAAGTCCTTGGCCATTCTGGCATCTTCGTCTGAAGCAAAGAATGAAATCGACTGACCATTGGCTCCAGCACGACCTGAAGAATAGATTAAAAGGGAATACCAGTTCTTCCAATTCTGTGTACATAATCTTCTATTACTTTGGGCATGTCATAATTTACAACGATTTCTATGTCCTTTATGTCTAATCCTCTTGATGCAACATCAGTTGCTATGAGGGCTGTAGATCTGCCATTTCTGAAATGACTCATAACGTAATCTCTCTCCTAAAGATTAAGAAGAGTATAATACGCTCTGCTTTTTATCTCCATGTAATGCGAGACATCGAATTCCTTCTCTGTCTAGAGTCTTTTAAAGTTAGTCGCAACCCTTCTTGGTGGAGCAAAAGATCAATATTTTTTTGTGTGCGATGTCCTTCAACAAATAGAGCAACCTTAATATATTCAAATAACAAAGATATTGATGATCTTGTATATATATTTTGAACCATCAATAGTTTGATTATACCTTTAATTCTTTTCAATTGCTTTCATCACATAGACGATTTATTTAATCATCTTGTTTGAGGTCAGCTCCACATTCCCAATTTAAATGTGGACTGGCTCTTGTTTACAAAAGTCAAGGGCTAACTTTTGAACTTCCTTTGGCCAGGTGGCAGAAAAAAGCATAGTTTATCTCTGGGGACGGATTTGATCAACGACCTTTCGAATCTAGGGCTCAAAACCCATGTCGAGCATACGATCGGCTTCATCGAGTACGAGGAAACTAACCGATTTGAGGGTGGTACAACCCTAATCCAATAGATCAATCAAACGACCTGGACAAGCAATCAAAACTTAAGGGCCTTTACGCAATTGACTTTTCTGTATGTAGCGATCTTGTCCTCCATAAAGACAGGCTGCGTAAAGTTGAGATCCCACTGAAAACTTTTAGAATTGCTCATATATTTGCAATGTCAATTCTCTGGTGGGAGCCAATATCAAACATTTTGCATCATGGGATCTCGCCTGTGCCAAGATGTGGACAATCGCTGGTAGAAGGAAGGCAAGAGTTTTGCCAGAACCCGTCTGCGCTATTCCAATGAGGTCATGTCCAGTTAGTGCAATAGACCATCCTTGGGCTTAGATGGCAGTGGGTCCTTTGAAACCGGCCTTCAACAGCAAGTCCATCAATATCTGTGGGAAACATTAAACATCCTCAAATCTCATGATAGGATCTGGGACATTTACATGTTGAGATCGAATGAAGATATTATGTTAGGCCCTATATTCTTTGATTGTCTCTGCGCTTGATGTGGATTAGATGGGCTTCGCTTTTAGAATTTGAATTTGTACATTCATAAACACCTTCTTGACAGGACTCGATGAACGTGGGCGAGGTGATCTTGAACGATGACTGTGATGACCTCTTCTTCTCCTTGAATGATGTCTCTCTGATGACGAATCCGACGATGAAGAAGAAGAACTTGAATGTCTCCTGTATTTCTTGCTATGCTTCTCTATGCAAATTCAATTTTAAAGCATTTACTTCTATGGCTTCTGCTAGAGCTGGAAGAATGTCTTGGCATTATTTTAATAATTTAAATTCTATAATATCATCCATTAAACATCACTTCATAAATTCAATTATTACACTCTCTCCAGACCCAATAATTAATTAAAGTCAATAAATAACATATATTTATATCAATGTTTGAATTAATTTAGAGTAGCTCTTATGCTTTCTTATTTCTGACTTAATAAAATGTCCCTAAATTCGTCATGATGTTTTAAATTATAGGAAACAGCGCTCCCCTGTTCTTTCAACATGCTGACATGGTCTTCAAGGTTCTAAGATACATCCTATCCGATTTGATCAGACTAGATCTTCCAATTGTTGTTAATTCCAAAGAATACTAAATCGATAATCAGAGCAACTACTAAAATCACAAATAGCAAAGTAAGGGGAATGACAGTGCTTAGTTTGTATAATAATTTATTCGATGAATCGTTCCAATTCTACGAAATCCCCATACCATTCTAAGTGTAAATGTAAGGATAACCATATATCAATACACTGAAAATTAAATGCAGCACAAGAAAGAAATGGGTGAATTTCAATGTGATAATACCCACCGATTTCAACTGTTCCTGCAATTTCACCTATTGCTTTTCATTGTAAGAGTGATATCTCAATAACATGTTCTTATCATAAATATACTGTAATCCTATTTATATGGCACCTAATAGAGGCAATAAAGGTAGACCTGCTGATACAATTGTTGATAGGAATATACTAAACAATAATTTAGCATATCTAAGTCCAGTCCTAAAGGTAGGATTGCTATTGATCAATGGAGAATCACGTCTAAATGTTTTGCCTGTCTTAATGTCTAAATTCTATCTTGATTGAACGTTATAATTAACACTCTCATCTAAGTTTAATAAGAACAGAGTTTGATGAGATTGATTATTATTGTTAGTATTGTTTCCTGTTGTTTTTTATTACCCAGTCAATCTTTGTCTTTCTTCATCAGTTTCGTCTGTTAACAAAGAACCAACTAATTGCAATTCTTCCTAGTCTCTTATTCCACCTGTTATGCATCGACATCCTGATACAATGCTCAAAATTATTAATTTAAGAGTGTAGAATATAGATACCCATAAAAATATCAATCCATGATTAATAATCCATTTTCTATCTAAATCATCACTAAAAATTAATGATTTTTCTGTTGATGTATAACTTTAAATGACCAACACAATGTTGCCTATTGTTTCCCATGAAATCAAGATTGGTACTAATAAAGTATAACATGTCAAATAGACTGTGATTCTAATCAAAATGACCTTTTATTCTTAAACTAAATATATCTGCTTTTCCTTATTAATGATTAACTCTAAAAAGATCCATCCCAATATATCAGCAACAAATATCCAAAATCCTGTGATTATATAATAGGCTGTTCTTGTAAAATCGCTATCCAAACAATACTCAGTGCATTTAACTGTATTGTTCCTTGCATTCTTTAGAGCCATGTTCTCAAATACTACCAATGGCGCTAATAATATAATTGCTACGACGATATGCATGAGAATAATTTGAATATTGTTTCTCTCTTAATAATCCATGTTTTCCCATTTGATTTCATTGGGATCAGGAGCTTCTGTTACTTTGATGGTATATAAGCCTCTAAGCTTTAATTCTTAAGGTTAATTTAAAAATAAATAGATGCCATTTCTAACTAAGCAATCTTAATTATATTTCTCATAAAATAAGTCACGATCAACCTTGCTTTTAAAGACAACGAAAGCCTTTATAGATTCTAAGTCATCTGGAGCTAAGAAGATATTGAATTTATCTGCTAGTTCCTTTGTAATATCTTTTAATTCATCAGTCAATACTCTGATGAAGTCTTGTCTTACGTACATATCAGCTTATGATAATCTCTTAGAAAATACTTCTAACTTTTTCTTTTCTAATCTGATCTATCTCTCCTTGAATGCCTTGTTCTTCATAATGCTGAGAGTACCCTAGAAATTGCGCACCAAGTATATCTCATGTGTATTGGATTGAAGAATGGAACGCAAGTCTTCTGGATCTATCGTGGCTGATGGAAATCCATTTACTTCTACACTCCAAGGTGAGATGCTGGATACTTTGAATTATGCATCTTTGTTGATAGCATTGTATCGTAGGTATAGTAATGACAAAAAGTAGAGAAGGGTTCCAATTGCATCTCCTAAAACTCCAATGAGAAATGCAGTCTCATTTGAAATATCAAGGTTGGCTACTGTAAAGGTTTCTAATTGTAGTTGAAATTGATTGAATATGCTGTTTCCTGTGATGCAGAATATCAATTATGGGAGGTGAAGAACGGCGAAGATGAGCATTAGGAAAAAGTTCCATTTGAGAATTCTGAAGTAATAAACTATTGAGTGATCAAAGCAGTTATCGACTGATGCGAATATGGACTCGGGTGGTTGTTCCATTATATTAGTAATAAATATAAATTAATTAAACACTTGCTGATGAAAAAAAGATTATAACTATAACAGTTGGATCTGGCTGCTCCAAAGAAGCAGACTGGCCCTTATAAGCAATTCTTGTGTGAACAATTAGCTATTTAACACCTTAAATATCCTCAAAGAACAATAGAGGAATTAACTAAATTGATAAATCTTATGTGGAAGGTGAGAGAAAAAAAGAATAATCAATTGTATTTTTAGCACAATGGATACGTGAACATCAGTGAGACAGAAAGGGTGCCTGTTCCTCAGCCCTCTCCTCCGGTGTTGATAATGTTTAAAAATATATAATGTGAAAAAGCTTCCAAAAAAACATGAGGCAACTCCTCGAGTTTACACATCCAGAGTATAATGCAGAATAGGTGGATCACACCATTAAATTCGAATGGACTTTAAATTCCACCCAAAGATAGAAAGCAGCTGAGGAATTCAGATAGTTGAGACAAGTTTAAATTAGTATAACAATATGATTAGGAATTCGAGAAAGAAAAGAAAGAATTTATTAATAGGTATGGTTTCTGGCCTCAACATAAAAAATCTTCAGGTGAGTATTTTGATAAGACCAAATAATCTAGCCCAAAATTGGATCCCCTGGCTTTAAATCTAATGAAAAAAGTCAAATTGGAATGAAATTAATGAAAAATGAGAATAAAAATACAAAACAAAAACATACTTTGTAAAATCTAGAAAAAATGCAGAACTTTAATCAGTTCTCCTTCTCTCATATCCAGATATTGGAATTGCTTCATTTAAAATTAAATTTTTTCTTTTCACCAAAAAGAGCGGGAAAATAAAATACTATTAAGATACTGTCTTATCTATTCATTCTTTTACATTGGATGACGATAATTATGTGTGTTTACTGTTTTTCACATTACTTTAACCTCTTTTCAAACTATTTGTTGTTTTATTTATCATCTATGCATAAACTATTTTATTTTATTATATTTAGGATCCTCACCATTGGAAGAAATCCCAACCTCCATAACCATACCAACCAATCCATCCACCATAATTATGTACTCTAACCACCCAATTACCATCATAAACCCTTCAATAATGCATAATATCATTTCAATCACGTACATTTTTATTTTTAGAATAATGAATCAATGCTTTGGATGCTAACTTTTCAACCATTAAACTAATCCAAACTCACACAAAGATCTGCACTAATCATTCATATCAACCCAAGTAGATTAAACTACTAATTCAAAGTTTAAGGTCATGTCCAGATACCACCATGAAAGTGTCTACTCTACCACCTTTACACTTATTGATTCACTATTAAGTTCCAATTACTCTATTAATTATCAATTTGGATTCTCATATCTATCATTATTAATCAAATTCAATATTGAAAAGTCTAATTTCTCCTATATTTTTGTGTGTCTCATTTAAATTTTTATAATCCCCATTGTGAATATAAGGAACTGTCTGAGTAGGATTTATTCAAATTCTCAAAAAAGTTCAGAATATATAAAATGATATATTAAGTTATGCATAATTAAAATAAATCTTATATCTTGAACATTGAGTATTATAAATATTATATTATTTTTTATGCTGGAAAATCAATTTAAAGGAGGTCAAATGTTTATCAATTACTAAAATTAAGTTATTTTTACCTTTCACATGGTAGAACCTGATAAATAAAAATAATTTAATTTAGTTATTGATTTTTTAAATTATTTTCTTCGTGTTGTATTCTTCTAATCTAATTAAGATATTTAAACTAAAATGATATGATGATCACAATCACAAATACAATATTATATTTGATTATCCTTAACTTTGGAACTAAGTGTACATAATAATTAAATAAATGTTCGTTAGAGCCCACGTTCCAAAAAGCAGAACTTCATTAACTCCGCAAAATTTCAAACCAATTTGTATAGAATAACGTGGGGATTGTACCCCAACCAGAAGCAATAACATTAGTTACTATGAACACAGCATTCTCATTTAAGAACCATCTCAATAATCCTTGCAAAATTATACTGGAAGAGTTGAGGAGAAATTACAAAGGAGAGTGATAAATTCTAGTGCTTCTAATTTGAGATGTAGATACATTTCAGACAAGGAAAATTTGGTTAGGGTTCCTGGACAATCCTTTGGAGGGAATCAACCTTCAAGCAAGGATTTAATGCAGGTTATGAACAACTTGAAAAAATAGAAGGAAGACATTAATTACACGCTTTCTGAGACGCTCTAAAAAAATAATCTAATTCAAGAATAAATGGATGTAATTATTGATTCAAAGTAATTTAGATTGTTAATAAGGAAATGGAACAACAATCTCTGAATTATTAATAAAGTTTAGATGAATTTATGAACGAATTCAATGAACTCACTTACAAAATATCGTAGTTGGAGGAACAGAATAATAAATTGTTTGAATAAAATGAGCACCAGAAATGGTACTTGTAATAGATTCAATGTTAATCTTCAAGGTATTAACATTTTGTATGAATTTAGATTCCATTAAACTCACAACTTTGGAGCTGGTTGATTAGTTAACTAAAATTGATATTCACTATATAATTTATATATATATATAAGAATTTTAAATGGCGAGTTTTGCATCTAGAACAGGGTAGAAAGTAAGAAATTTTCAAATTTTAGATTAAAGAATGGTGGGGAGCCAAAGTCACAGTTGATCCTCAGTTGGAAACCAAAAAGCAAAGGATTAATGAGATAGATCAATATATCAAGGGGTTGTCACAATCCTTTAGCAATATTTCAGCATTATTTTAATGTACACCCAATTATTTACTGTAGAAATGCATGGCCATATGGGACGAATCAGCTCGATCACTCAGAAGTTGTTTGAGAAGGAAACTGATACTAATAAGAGAATAGGAATTGAAGTCACATCCATGTTTGGCAACCTTTCAGAACTATTCCGATCAAAGGTATATAAGAATATTAGAGATTAGACAGAACCAGCATCGGAGTTGAATAAAAATTATGGAGAATGGTTTTAAACTATAGAAACATTGAAAATCCAACTTACGAATTTCTCCGAGGTTAGATTGGTTTATGATCATTATAAATTGAAAGTGGATGAATTGGAGAAGGATCGATCCAATGCAATTTCAAAGGGATTGCCTGAGGATTTTAAATTATCAGATAAAATTAGGAGAGTATCAATTTTAAATAAATATTTAGAATCAAAGTAAATTATCAAGTTCTGAAACAAATTATAAATAAAAGCTATCTGAGATTTTAAATAACATGAACAAATTATTGGGAAATTACTATAGAATGATAAATTAGAGTCTCGATTCTGTAAGAACATTTCCTTATATTAGTTTATTACTATCAATTTTGATTTGTATATGAATGCTAAATCAATTGTCAAGAAAAATTAAAAAGCATTTAATAAATTTAAATATCCAGAATTAGAGCCCATAATAGATCTATTAAGAGAGTAGAAAGAGATGTCATCATTATTAGAGAGAGAATAAATAAAAGAGAAAGAATTAAAAGAATTGAAAGAAAAGGAAAAAGAGAAAGAAAAAGAAAAGGAGAAAGAAAAAAATATCAATGAAAAAGATGAGAAACAATAGTAATAACCACCACCATAACAAACTCCTTAATGGGAAGTTAATAATAAATTTAACCCTTTTGGTTAGACTCAATAAATGAATTCACAAACTCATTCCATGATTAATAATCCCCAAATGATGAATCCTATGATGAGCTCTTAAACTGATTTTGGTAGTGGATTCGGAGTTAATCAAATGGCTAAGTAATAATAATTTATGAACCCGATGATGTCTCAAAGGTAATCTGTGCAACCATAAAGTATGAATAATAATTTCGCTATGAATTTTCCACCCAATCAAAATAGACCTGATGTGTTTGATGACGTGGGATTATAAATGATGAGCGATATAAGAGCTAGCTAGATGAATGCTTGGTAGCAATAATAATAATAACCATATGCCTAGAGTCAAATTCTTAATTAAAATAATTTTGTTAATAATAATCCATTTATGAGTTCACAACAGATGAGCCAAAGAGCTAGTATGTAATAAAACTAAGGGTTTTAATAATTTGATTCCTAAATTAATAGATAGCAATAGCCAAACCCTTTTGCGGAGTTAGACAATGAGACTTAAAGAAGGGCTATGTATGATAATCCATATACGTACAATCAGCAATTTTAAGATAATTAAAAGACTAATCCTTTTGCATGATTAATATTATATCTATTTATAAATTCATTTTTATATATTATTTGAACCTATAATGAAATAAAAGTAATTAACAACAAAAAAGTCAGACATTGATCTAGGTAATAAAGATCAGTTAAATTTTATAATTGAAATTCTCTAAAAAGATCAGAGCCTAAAGACCAATCAAGAGGTCGACATTGTAAGGAAGGCTTTTATCTCTTTCAAGTTTTTTCAAGACTTAGAATAGTAGATGGGTCAAGAGATGGTAAGTAACTTATATCGATAATTATCCTACGAGACCATTAAGGCAAGATAAGTAGTGTTCAATCTCGGGGATATTGGAAAGAAGTTCTATATCATACTCTCTGGCAGCGTTTGGGTTCTCATATAGAAAAAGGGACTCTAAGATGATAATCAGATAGGTGAGGAGGAGAAAAAGCAGGAGGAAGAACTAAGAAAATAGAATACAAGGAAGGCTACTTTGAAGCATCAACAAAGTATGTTGAAATCTAAGAGATTCAAAAAGCAGGAAACTTTCGTAACTGAAACGAATCAAGTGCATTTAGACGAAGTGTACGCTAAAATGACGGATGCAGAATATTTAGATTGTCAATTTCCCACGCTGTAAAAGGTAAGTTAAATGAAATCAGGGGATAACTTTGGAGAGATTGCATTAACTAAATAAGTTCCAAGAACAGCTACCATAGTAGCAGCTGAAGATACAAATTTTGCAATAGTATCTAGGGAACAATTCAATATTTTATTATCATCATATTATGAACATTTACAATAGCAAAATGTGATGTTTTTATAGAGAGTCCCTGCTTTTACAGAATGGAATGAACAGATGTTAAATTAAATTTATTATCATTTTACTTTTGAAGATTATAAAATGTTTGATGTAATTTATAAAGAAAATTAACCTTCAAAGTATTATTTTATATTAATGATGATAGTAAAATTTACATTGTGTAGAATGGAGAAATAGAGATTTCTTAAAGTATAGAAGTTGGTACTTTGGTTACTGAAAATAATTTAACAATTTAAAAGTTTTTCAAGAAAAATGATAAAAAATACGAAAGAGTGAGGACTGGGATAATCACATCTGGATTGATTTTTGGTCATGAAGAGGTTATTAGGGATGTGGTAAGAGAACATAAGGCTGTTTGTTTGAGTTAAAAAGCATAAGTATTTTCATTGGATAAGGATAGATTTTTGTAATTCTTCAAAAAAGGAGGAGCCATCTAAAAATTAATTAAACTTGATCAAACTAATTATTCTCGTAAGTCTAAGAGTGTTTCAGTCTTAAAAGAGATTAAATAATTTTCTCCGGCTATTACATTTAGAGAAATTCCATTTTTTGAGGAAGATGACAAAATTTCTGATTTTGTTATAAAAAAAGCTAAAAATGCTGTAGATCGCGTTGGGAATGAACCTAAACGTAATGGATATGAGTTTTTGTAAGGCAAAGGTCACATAAATAAAGCACATTACAATTTTCAAAAGAATCTAGACAAATTGAAAAGAAACTTGAAGCACAGTGTACCTTTAAATATCAACACATGTTTATTTGAATTGGATTCAAATAAAGGGACAGCAATAAGTATAATGAATAAGGTATGAAATTGAATTGAGATTTGAGGTATTTCCAAGTTCTAGTCGTCCCAAGTACGAGATACCGAAATTCTCAATGACATCAAGAATAGTGATTAAATCATTAAAGTTGCCAAAATTATTGAATGAAGTTGAGGTATTGTTGTTTTCGAATAAAGAATCAATGATCTCAAATTCAACCACAATGTATAAATAGTAAGCAGCAGTAAAAGATGATGAGTGATCTCATAGATTAATATGTTTAAAATTCAATTTTTCTTAATTAATTTTCGAGTCTAATATTGATGATTATGCACAACATTTTCATCATTGTATTTAGTTGAACCCTCTGCACTACTGATAATTATGGATGGGATACCTATTTATTTTTTGCTCGGTTGTTCTATTTTCTTCGAATCTTCATAGTCCTGTTTCCTTGAATTAGTCTTGCAAATTTCTGTCTCCTATATAATATTGGCTGTTTGATACTTCTAATCTGTTGATTTTGGAAATCAGATCTCCTTTCTCTTACAGTAACTCTTTAAGTTATTGAGTCAAAACTACGTTTGCAATGTAGAGTCTCATGTATTCATGCTAGTAATTGATTCCTCTTTTCTGTTCAAAAGACACCGCAACTTCATCCTCTATGTGTTCTCCCATGGTTGGAGTGTATAGCAAGCCTTTTCGGATAGAATCGCTATGTAATAGGGTGTGGAATGTACCAATTATCAAGCATTTGAATTCAAATTTATTATTATTAATGATAATGCATTCATATATAAAATTTTTAATGACATTATATTTTAATAATATTGTTAAATGATTAAATTCAGACAAATCTTTTTGATTATTCTTGCAATTGTAATTCCCGTTGTTCGAGGCCAAATGGAAGACATCAGTTTTGGAGAGAAGCACATCTACGTTAACACTTTCCAGTAATATATCGAAAAGGTACTTCCCTTTAACTAAGAAGATTATATTTGGATCGATTGGAGGAATCATGCAATATTTGATTTGCTGTTCGATTGTGGAGTACTACAACCCAATGCCAAAGAATAAACTACGTCTTTAGAATATTTTTAGGGAAATCAGATATGGAATAGTATAACTCATATTTGGATGCTTCGTATCTATGGTATATATTGTATTTACAATTATAAGTCCTTTTATTATTATTTATATCCCTACACTCCATACTACAAATATTTTGAAACCCATGATTATACACTCTTTCACTTCCTTTACGGAATAACATTTCATTGGCTATGGACTACATGTATAATTCCTTCCTTAATTTATTTTTTATTTAGGCGTTGGATATTGGACTCATAGGATGCTCCACTTGAAATATTTTTATAGGTACATCCATAGTGTCCATCACTCCTTTAAGGAACCTTCTGCTTTCTGCTATTGTGCTGCTCATCCCTTGGAAGGATTCATTGAGGGCAATCTTCTGCTCCATACTGCTGAATTGATATTGCCAATTCATCCTATGTAAACTATGATTTATGGAGGAATGATGGCATTCAACGACCTATTCGCCCATGATGGAGGGTATTAGATTCATTTACATCATAGAAAATACGATCACTCCGATCACTACAGACACCATCTATATTATGTAGTAAACTACGGCGATGCTAAGATTGATCGATTCTTCGGAACTGCATACGATCCAGTATTTAAATTATAGATATTCTAGAAAAACTATCCAGTCAAGGAGAAATGCACTTACTTACCTGATTTTAAAGATAAAGAACATCCATTATTTTAGAGATACAAATGATAATATATATTAATATTAAATATAAATTTTATATATGTGTATCGAATTTGCTTTCAAGAGAGGTGGAATTACACTCATCAGGAATTTCATTCATTCAGCCGAAGGAGTCAAGAAGTATTCATTGTTTCATTTAACAATAGTGGACTTCCAACTGCTGTTCAAAACAGATTATCCATTAATTACAAACTCAGAACATACACTCAAGGAAAAGTCACTGATGTCAGATGTAAATTGTATGACTTAACACTTTAGTTATCACTGATCCAGTTGCAGGATATTAAGCCAAAGGAGACAAGAAATGATTTATAATCAAAACAAACAAAATAATTTACGATTTCATAGCATATTAGAAGTTTAACATTTTTGCCATCACCTGTTTTTCCCATTTCATTTTTATTACTTCCACACCCTTACAAAGATTTCTTCGTATATATTATGATAAATATTTCTCCATGTTTTTCAAAATCAACATTACTTTTAAATTGTTAGTTTATTTTTATTTCTTAAGTATTTATATATCTAATTAAAATAAATTATACCATTTACAAGTTTTGAATCTACACATCCTCTTCAAAAGTGAGATTTTCAAATAATTGATTATTAAAAGAATTTTTAATCTCATTTTTTAACATATCATATAAATCTAAAAATAAAATAGAACTTGCTTTATAAATATATATTTGAAATCTTGATTTAGAAATGTACCAAAAGATGGAAGGTTAAAAAGTGTAATAAATATATTATTGAATTAATGAATTATTGTTTATATATATTAATTCAAATTTATACTAAAATTACAGTATAAAACTATGTAAATAAAATTTATTTTAAATAATCTAAGAAATCAAATTAACCATATACTGAGTTAAATAAATAAGAATTAGTCTAATTCTTACACTCTTAGAGTTTTCTCATTATTAAATCAAGAAAAAATAATTAATTTTTAAGATTGCAAAATGTACTTTATTATTAACTTTGAAACAAAGGTTGATTCTGAAACATAATTATTTAATATGAAGAAATACTCCAGTGACAATTAAGGGATGGCTTTAAAATATATTAAAATTAAAGTTTGTTACTACTTAAATAGGTTTTAAATATAAATTAAAATATTTTGAAATAACAAAATAGTTTCGACCTGCAATTAATGGAGTAGATTGAAATATATCCAGAGGATTTAATTTAATTTGTTATTTAGAATATGAATCATTCCACTTTTTGAACTTGAATTTGATGTTCCTTAACAATATGTTCTAGACCAGCATTCTAAATTAGAACAAAATCTGAATATCCATGCCTTAATAATATTGTCGCAGCAGTTTTAGCTCTGGCACCTGAACGACAGTAGATATGTAAGGTTTTATCCTTAGGAATCAAATCAAGCTAGAAGGAATAAACATGGATACTTACTTGGTTCTCGATTTAGAATAAAGGAATCATCAAAGATCCTGGAACAATTCCTGTGGTTTTAAATTCAGGAGGATTTCTGCAATCAATGAATACATGATTTTGAGGTTAATCTTTGGTATCTAAGAAATCTTTCAAATCAACAATATTTAATTATTGGACTTCTCCTCCATTTCTGACATAATTGTCAAATCCTCCCTCTAGATATCCAAGGATATTTTCATATCCTATTCTAAGCAGTCTGATAATGGTTATTTCTTCCTTGCCTTCATCTGCCACAATGACTATTCTTTGATCAGGCTTGAAGAGGATGCCAACAAAAGAAGCGAGAGTAGCGACTTATGTGATGTTGATGGAACCTTTGATAATTCCCTTATTAACAACATCTCTGGAGTCTAAAATTAAGGCACCATCTGCAGCGACTTGAGCAAACTCTTGATAACTCAATGGTTTAGTAACTTTCGATTTAATATTTAGTAGATCATTAGCCCCTTGACGGTTCTAAGATGTAAATATTTCAAATAATTACTAATTGTACATCGTGGAAGAAATACTGAGGAGGAGCTGGGATATCGGTTGATATCTTCACAAACTCTTCCTCTGTAATATTCTATAATGCCCAATTTTTGAGTTTTTATTCGCCAATAGTACTGACAGTGCCAGCTCCAATGGCTTTGCCACATGAAGATCCAGCTCCATGTCCAGGGTATAGAATGACATCATCCTCAAGTTTCATAATCTTATTTCTCAGGGAGTGATAGAGTAGAGAAGCAAGTTGATGAGTGGTTAATCCTGAGGATTTAGATGCAAGATCTGGTCTGCCGACTTCTTCAAGGAAGAGAGAATCTCCACTGAAAACTACATGGTCTTTGTCGTCTACTACGAGTACGAAACAGCTTGATTCCAAAGTGTGGCCAGGGGTGTGCACTACTCTAAGATATGCTCTTCCGAGAGGCAATAATTCTAAGGGTTGATATAAAATTAAAATTAATACCTTCATCTTAAGCAATTTTAGCTTAATATTAAGTTACAGCTTATGGGCCCAGTACAATTTGGGCTCCTGTAATTTTAGCCAAATCTAAGTGTCCTGCCACGAAATCAGCATGCAGATGAGTTAAGATAACATATTTGATAACAGAATTTCTGGATTCAGAAAACTTACTAATATACATAGGATGGGTTCTATTACATATAATCTTCGTAGTCTCTCATAGGGTCAATTATGGCAGCCTCGTTGTTGGATTCAATGTAATATGAAAATTAACCCAAACAGCTGACTTAGAATTGTTGTATGAAGAAGTTCTCTCCGCTTTGTTGAGCCTTTTGAGTATTGACATAGGCTGGTGTGGCAGTACATGCATTCATTTAGGATTATACAAAATATTTTTATTTAAAAAGATTTAGATGTTGAAATCCTTTACATTTCAATGCAAACCCATAATTTTATGAATTATAAATAATTGCATTAGAATATTTAATTTCCCTATTTTTGATTTGTATAAAATTGATAATTCAAACATCTAATAATATTCTTCTTGGATCTTCAATTGAAGTAGCTAATTTCTTAAGGAAAGTGGCAGCATCCTTTCCATCAAGAATTCTGTGATCATAAGTCAAGGCAAGATACCTATGAGATGAATTATGATTGATACATCATAGGACGAGCAACAATTTAATCGTTTCTGACAACTGGTCTATTGACAATAGCGTGCATTCCCAAAATGGCAGATTGAGGAGCATTAATGATTGGTGTTCCCATCAAACTTCCAAAAACTCCACCATTTGAGATTGTGAATGTACCACCGACCATGTCGTCTGCGGAGATTTTTCCTTGTCTCCCCTTTTCAGCTAAATCAATAAGTGTCTAATGAATTAATAGTGTTAAGTACTTTTTCGATATCAGCGAAACTGAGACGTTCGCAATTTCTGAGTACTGGTACCATGAGTCCAGTGGGTGTGGCAACAGCCATAGAAATATCAATGTAATTTCTATAAACAATATCGGTGCCATCGATAACTGCATTGACAATGGGTTGTTCTTGCAATTGTTTGACAGCAGCCTTAATGAAGAATGAACTGAACCCCAATTTGACATTGTGCTTTTTTTAGAAATCCTTCTACATGGCTTCTCTTGCCTCCATAACAGCACTCATGTCACATTCCTAAAAAGTGGTAAGCAATGCATAAGTATTCTAAGCATCCTTCAATCTCTAAGCGATGCGTTGTCTCATTCTTGACATTGGTTCCTAATTGTATATTTAGAGATGTACTCTTTTTTCTGTTCTCTAAGTGGGAGTTGTAACAGATGGAGCCACAGGTTTCTTCTCAGCAGGTTTTGCAGCTGGAGGAGGAGTGCTCTTTTAGGCTGCAGGTGCTTCTTGCTTTTATTCTTATTTCACTTCTTGCTTTTATTCTTTCTTTTCTTCCTTCTTAGTTTCTGGAGTTGCTGCTGCACCAGCTGGCTTAGCAGCTGTAGTATCGATTTCGTAAAAGGGTTTGCCAACTTCAACTTTAGCACCATCAGCAGCAAACATTTATGTAATCAATCCTGAGTCTGCACATCTGATGTCAATGGTGACTTTATCTGTCTCTATCAATGCAATCACATCATCTTGATTCACATAATCTCCCACCTCTAACTATCAAATTTAACAAGCATACTCTTTTGCAATTCCTTGACATCTCCTTCTGTAATTGAATCACCCATTGTAGGCACATTCACTACCTTTTCTAATTACTTAATATCAACCATTTACTTGAGAAATAGAATTTTGGTATTTGAGCAAATTGTGTTTACGATACTTTGAACAAAGAGACTGCAAACTATCTCATATCTTAATTAAAAATTTAGAATAATTATCCAACTATTGTTGTGTATTTAACACAATATTATATATTAATCACAATTCATCATCACAAATATATTTATCTATCCTAATTATTCTTGAACAATTTATGATATTCTATCGATTCTGATTAACTAATAAAAGGAGGTGATTTCTAAAGTAATTATCAAATTGTAGGCTGAAAATTAGAATTGAATTTATGAAAATTATATTATTATATGGTTACATTTAAAAATAGATTCATTTTAATTTGTCAATGTTTAGCCTTTCCAAATCCCACCATGTTAACGTCTCTGTCATAAATGCTCAAGTATTTTGTTAGGAAGATATCTCCTAGAATCCAAGCTGGACCCTGAGGATCTGGAATGTCTAAAGGCATAAATGCGCCAATGCATTGTTTAGCAGATCCTTCAATGAAGGCAGAGGCTGACACCTCATTACTCAAAGGGATTTCAGTTCCATCTTCTTTCAACTCCATAATGTAATCTTTAGCTTCAAGATCATAGTTGACTCCATCAATTCTGAATGTGAGAGTAGGTAATTCCTTCAGATTAGAGCAGTTATCGTCGATATTGGTAAGATCTTAAATCATTGTAATGAGGTTAATTACCTAGCAATTTCATTAGGTCATCATATGGACCAGTAATTAAGGAAGTACCAGTATCAGCAACAACCTTGCAACCTTTGGGGCAGAATCCTTAATCTTGGCCATTGACCAGAATGTTCTCAGCTTTGATCATCCAATAGTATTTATCAATCACAGGATGATAATGAACTGGACCATCCAGTTTAGTAACGTCATAGCCTCCGAAAGTAAGTTATGATTCGTAGCTATTAACTTTGTTACTCATGTAGAATGAGAATTGATTGGATTGCAATTTCTTTTATTTCATAATGTTATCGAACAAGGGATTCAAATCATAAGCAGCCATGGAAGGATATGCTAGACCAACAATGCCATCGAACCCCGACTTAAACATTGATGTTATTAAATTACATTTTAGAACACAGCACCATTTTCTTCAACTATTTCTGCAATGTTTTGATCTTCAACTTCTATTTCTCCTAATTTGACAACGTCTGAATTCACCTCTCCATTCAAATCTCCAGTACCGAATTGGACATTCAAGGCATATCCAAGATGTTTGGATCTAAAACTTGGTTTGTATTGTGTATGTTATTTGCATCCTTCATTTTTGCATTTCACAGAATCAATCCAGAAATTGGCAGATCCAGTATCAAAGATAACCTAGAATTCTTGATCACCAACAGTGATTGGTCCAGTAAATTAAGTATTCTTGAAATTATGTAATTTAAGATCTGCCTATCTCTTCTCTGTAGTTTATTATGGTTTTGGTACGTAACCTCCAAATTCGATTTCCTAAATATCAATTGGGGTCTATTATCTGAAGTAGGTTTATTTGGTGGTTAAAAAGTCGTACATTTCCTTTGCTGAGACCTATTTGGAGTAGGGACTAATTGAATACGATCGTGTGAGTTTCCTTTAACTTTATTGTATAGAGTTTATTCTCTTGTGATGTAGTACTTTGGTCTTGTAGGAAGGTACCTTGCTCTTGTCCACAGAAGACAAGGACAATCAGAAGGGAGTATAGGAATATGTTCATAGTATAAAAACGATAATAAAAATTTATATGTAACCACTTTGTGATCCAGCACAGGATAGAGTAGTCAAGTAAGTTCCCTTACCTCCTCATCGACCACTAGATAATGATCTTATGTTTCCAGCCAAGAATTAAGGTAATAGATGGCTATTGAAAATAGGGAAACCTGACTGGAAACTAATAAAGGAGCATTTAGAAAGAGAGGGAAGAATTGCGAAGAAGGAAGTAATAAAATTAGTATCAATGGCGAACAAAATCTTCAGTAAGCAATTTTTCATTATAGTAAAGAGAATGAAGGTGGTTTGATACATCTTTCCGATCCTTTGACCGTGGTAGGAGATATTCATGGGTATGTTGAAAATATAGGTTAGACAATTTTATGATTTCCTGAAAATTCTTGATGTTGGCGGTAATCCTGAATCATAGAAATATGTGTTTTTGGGCGATTATGTTGACAGAGGACCATTCTCCATAGAGGTGTTAATTTTGTTGTATTCACTAAAAATCAATTATCCACGCACTATCTATATGTTGAGAGGCAATCATGAATGCAGACAACTCACTTCATTCTTTAACTTCATGGACGAATGCAAATACAAGTACGATTAAGAATTGTATGATGTTTTCATGGATTCATTCGACAATCTTCCATTGGCTTGCATTATAAATAATCAATTCATTGCACTTCATGGAGGAATCTCTCCAGAATTAAGAAATGTATAACATATCTAATTCATATCAAGGTCACTGATGTCAATTTGGTAGAGAGATTCAGAGAACCACCAAAGAATGGACTATTCTGTGACATCCTTTGGGCAGATCCTGTGGATAATGATGATGGAATTTGCGAAGGACAATTTCGAATTAATGAAGTCAGAGGCTGTTCATACTTTTATGGAATGGAGGCAGTTAGTCGATTCTTGGAAAGAAACAAGTTGATATCTGTCATCAGAGCCCATGAAGCTCAATTAGAAGGATACAAAATGCACAGATGGGATGGAGGATAAGATTTCCCTATGGTCATTACAATATTTTCAGCTCCCAATTATTGTGACGTCTACAATAACAAAGGTGCTGTCATTAAATTCAAAGTATCTATTTTCACTACTCCCTAGAACAATGATCTGAATATCCAACAATACAATTATAGTTAACATCCATATCTGTTACCCAATTTCATGGATATCTTCACCTGGTCTATTCCATTTGTCGCAGAAAAAGGTTATTAGTCATAATCTCATTATTCTAGTCACTGAAGTGTTGTTCCACATCATACAACCTAGAGATGGAGAAGCCATGGATGAAATCGTTGATGAAGATGATATTGCAAAATTCAAAGAATTAGTAGGAGATTAACAACATAAAAATAAAGATGTCTTCTTGAAAAGCAAAATCAAGTTTGTTTTTAGAATGATGCAAATTCAAAAGGGATTAAGATAACAAAGTGAAAGTCTAGTCTAAACCAAAGGAGCTTGTCCTGACAACCGTATTCCTAAAACACTTCTAGATAGCATTAAAGATTGTAAATAATTATTATATCATATTTAGCAAATGGGGCATTTTAGACTGCTAAAATGGCTGACTCTATCAATGAGAAAAGACCTGGACTCAGTTAATGATATTCAAATCATATAAAAACACACTCATTTAATTTACAAATTTAATTACAAACATTCAAATTGTCTCTCCAAAAGGAATTAGTCAATAGTAGTGATTAATACTATCTACTATCTTTTTAACACTCTCTGTCAATACCCACTATTTCATTCGTAAATTTTTTAGTCTCTCAGTATTCATCTCATTTAGTTATTTCTTTATAAAAACAATTAACAAACATATATTTAGTCTTCTGACTACTTCTGTGTTCTAAATGATATTGAGTGTATTGTTCCACTTCATTTTGAATATTAGTGATGAAATAACAATCAGCCATTTTGTACAGTGATTATTAATGCATCTTCAATTCCAAATTTTTGTTGTATTTCTTTCACATCAAAATTATAAGGAATCTAAATAAATATTGTATAAATATGTTATACTGAAATATCCTGGATTGTCTTTTATTCCATATTGCTTTTGTAATATTCAAACATATCTAAGGATCTGCTTTTTCTAATCTTGAAAAAATGGGGATAATGCTAACACACTTATCAGATTTTTTGTTTTTGGGATGATTTTTTTAACAACTAATTTTAATTATATCGCTATCCATTAATATATCACTTTGTTCTTTAGTTAAATCTTGATCAAATAATTAAAAATATCTTAGGTATTATGTCACATTTATCAAGCTTTACACTAGTCCTTAACCTAGGTTTTATTTTAGGCATATTAGCTTGTTTCATTTGTTAAGTGACATTCTTCAAAAATACCCATATTCAGGTTAAATCTGAGCTGAAAAGGTAGAAGCTATCACTGCCAATTATTCAGATTCGTTAGTTGACGACCTATTCTTCAAAGTTGTCGTTGTTTCAATGAAGTTTTTCTTTGTTTTACAATCTTTTTTTTAGATAAAGATTTTAATCTAAAATAGAATATTTATTGATTTAAATCAAATGTAAAAAATATCATTTTGCGTTGAAAGAAATTTCACTTTCATTCCTTTGCTTAATATACTTATAAATGTGATCAACAATTTTGTTGTTGATATATATTATCGAAATGTGAAATTTTTAATAAAACATTATAAAATTTCAACAAGATAATCCTTCGCATCACTTTATCTTCTAATTTATAATTTTTGAATCGAAAATACAACCTGAGGTTTCAATAATGTCTTGAACAAAATGATATTTAATTTTTTTCTCAATTTTATATTTAACATATTCTTTCTTGGGTATCTCTGATCTACCACAAGTTCTATTGCGTCAATTTATATACATAGAATTAATTAGTTGTTAAACCAATTGAGTTTTATATAACACATAATTTGGATTAGTTTGTATTCTGGTTATATATGTTATTATTATAATATTAATCATTTTGGTCCTTGGGCTGCAAGAATGGCCATCTCTTATGCTTCTTAAGCTTCTATTTTCTCCATATATTCTTATAATTATTCTGCAGGTACTTCATCTGGCATTAATTAGGTTTATTTAATTTCATATTCAGGTTCTTCAGGATTCATCATCAATGAACCATCTGCAGGTTAAAATGGTGAATCGACTCCCTTTTAATCTGGAATTGAATCCTTTTCAAACACTGGATTAAGTTGATTTTCTACAACATCAACTGGCATTTGATCAGTTGGATCTTAAGTTTGAATTTCAACATTCAAAGCATTCATATATTAGTCATCATCTGAACCTTTGGTTGATGATAATTGCTATTGTTTTTCTTCTTCATATCTTTTTTATTCTTCTAAATCTAATTAATCTTGCTCTTGGCTAGTTAAACTTATTTCAGATTCTTGTTGCTCTTATTATTATGGTTATTCTGTCTATTCTGATTAAATTTGTGTTTCTTAGACTAATTCAGCTTCTTTCTATACAGTTTCAGCAGGTTCTGAAAAGCTTTTATCATCATCGATATAATCAATTTCTTGAGTCTAGACTAATGATTTTTATGAGTTTGCAGTGTTCTATTTATGATGACGAATATTATGACCAGCAAAACTTAAGCAAACGATCGCTAATACCAATATTGCTTGTTTCATCAAAACGGATTATAAATTTATTATTACACCTTTATCAAAATTATCACAATATTCAATACTTTTATATCTCAGCATATCAAGTAAAACATAATCCAAATAAATTGCAATTTCTAAAACATAAATAAAATAATCAACATTACTTAAATATAGGCTGCAGTTTTTATGTAAATCTTTAAATTTAGATCAAATTAGAATAAATGAATATTAAATTAGTTGTGAAGTTTTGTCTACTTTGGATAAAAAATATGAATAAATCATCCTATAATAATCAATAATTCAAATTATTTAAGCTTTTAATTTAATAATATAAGCTAGATTTAAAAGTAAAAAGAATTAAATAAAGCATTTATACATTCTCTTATTGGAATCATTTTAACTTTCATAGAAATTATTAGAAGATTAAAAATATGATTTCTCCTTATAAGTTTATCTAATCCTAGAATTTATTATCATTAAATCATCGTTAAGATAAAATGATTAAATATATGAATAAGTAATTGAATTAAAATTATTGTAAAAACCATAATACCTGAAAATTTAAATTTTATCTTGTAAATCAGTGATGATTATCTTTAGATATTCTAAAAGTGGCAATTTTTAATTTTTTTAGTTTTTAATTTTCGTTTTAGTTACTATCCACTTAGAAAATATTAAAATGATAGAACATAAGTATATTAATAATCTTATTCTTTCTTGACTTATTTAGATCACTTAAAATTTGATATTAAATTTCTTAATATAAAAATACAGTGTATTTTAAAACCCATAAAATAATAAAATTAATAATAATATTTAAAGGAAATAAAAAGACGATTAAATTTCATACCTTCTCGGCCTTTTGGCTAAGATCAAGTGTAGTATCTGTTCTTATCAGAGTGATATCTGATATCTCCTACGAGGAGAATGATATCACTGCAATTTTTAAATGGGGCTGGGTTTACTTGGGGCTTGCCCCGGTCCCAGCATAGTCGACCCTGACTTACACGACCTCGGGGAACGGCTAACCCGCTACTTTTTAATTTAAACAAACGAAATTTATTATTATTATATATAAATCTCCTAAGTTATCATCCATAAATGAAAATTATAAATTGTGAATACATATTTTTTGAAATCTTAGCATTCTTCAAAAGATAGAGGAGATCTATTCGTAGATTACAATTAATGCTAGGACTTCCCTTAGGTCAAATATATGTATTTAAAAAGGACAAAGCTGTATTAAGTTGGGTTATTATTAGAATAATCAATAACATAATTTTTTATTTAATTCTTGAAATGGTTACCTAGCAATATGACTTAATGGAAAATTTGATTCTAAATTATTAATAATTAAAAATGAATAAAAGTGTCTTTCAAAATAATTAGAGAGTGCAGTAAGCTTTAATGCACTCTTAAATCAACAGAAACATTATGAAAAATAATCTGAGTGCAGATCCGAATATTAAACCAGAAGAAATTGTTGTTGAATCAGATAATATGCAATAAACAATCCACATTAATCCTAATCAAGATTATTAAAGGTTGGTTCCATAAGTTATAATGCCAAGTGTTTATAAGGGAAATAGACAATAATTAAAGCATTTAACTGGATTCATGTAGAAGAAAAGTCCACATTTTATCCAAGGATTTTAAAAAAAATATTGTATTTTAGAGAATAGGAAGCTTTCTTATTATAACCCCGAGAAAAAAACTCTGTTAGAAGGATCATTAAATTTTGATCTATAAGATTACTAGTATTCAGAATAACGAAATAGTTAAAACAAAATAATAGAATTTAAGTATAGACAAAATTTATTCACTTTAGATTAATTCCTAAGGGTTGCGAGAAGGAGTTCATATTTAGGAATGAAAACTTGTAGGAAATATAAATTTGGGCATAAACAGTCTAAGAACATTTGAATTTATCAGACGGAAAAACTAAATAGATGACTTTCTTGAGTAAGACACCTAAATTTTGGAAGCATTATCAATTTTCACACCTCTAAGTACAAGAGGAATGTGATAATGGTGACATAGTTCTATTTAAATCGAAGGATAGATTTGCAGCCACAACTAGAGTACTACTTGGTTCAGAATTCGATCATGTTGGAATTTTGTATAAAGAAAATTCATAACTTTACGTGTATGAAGCAGTATAGACAGGAGTTGGAACATTTCGATGGGGTATTTGACAATTAAATTTAGTAAAATAGATTATTTAAAGCAACAAGAATGGTATAAATTTTATGAGAAAGTTTGCATAAGAAAATTAAATTATGCCTAAAAAAATGAGTATGGAGTCTAAACAAGATTTTTAGAGTTCATAAATGACAATCTCGGCAATGATTATAGCTTGAATATTGGTAAATTTTTTAGATTTACATCTACAATAAAAAAACCAAGCGATAATCAATAAGGAGAAAAAAAAAGATCTTATTTTTGCTCTGAATTGGTTGCTAAAGCTTATAAGGAAATGGGTCTTCTTGATTAGGTGAAATCTTCGACCCGATATTATCCAAATGACTTTACTTAAGAGAAACAGTTATAATTGTTATAAGGAGCAACGTTGAGTCCTGAATTTCTAGTTATTTTTGAAGGATGATATATAATTCATTAATTATTTAATGCAAACTTCTATTGATTTGCCTTCTCCTTTGGGGATTGTCCAGACTTCTTCTATAACAAGCACTGGGAAAATATTGGGTCCAGATTATGAAAACAATTTAAAGAGAGCAGCAAAAAGGAGTGAAGAAGATAAGCTATTTCGGAAGTAAAATTAAATGAATGATGCTGATGAATTTGAAGCAATGGAAGTTTAAAATGGTGATTAGACATCCCTAATATATTATTACAAGGCTTTGAAATTGGATAAAGAAATATAACAAAACGAAAATGAGATCATCAATATTGTGCAGAATAGGCCAAAATTAGGGATGATAGAGGGGAGTTTAATGAAGAAAAGTCCACATTGGTTTTAGGGCTATTCATAGAGAAACTGTATATTAAGAAATAGAGTATTTAGATATTATAATGTTGAAAATAAGAAACTCTAAGGAGTTTTAAATTTTGATGTTTAGTCATTTCAATTATAAGAAATATAGGATAAAAATGGAAATACATTGGAATTTATGTACAAATATCTCTAATATTCTAGTTTAAAACCAGTGGGTTAAACTTAAAAGGTATTCTAGTTCAAGGGGGGAACTATAGAACAAACGAAAACGTGGGTTTAATTAATAAAATAACATCTGTAAGATTCTATAGGTGCATTGAAGGTGTTGATGTCACTTAGTTAATATGAACGTTTTTGGAGAGTAATGAATATATTGATTTTAGTTTGAACGCATTTCATCATTGTAGATAATGGAAGATGCTGATGATGGAGACATTTTGTTGTTTTAAGGGAAAGACATCAATTGCCACATTCAAAGATCATTGACATAGTCTAATTTTGATCACATTGGAATTTTGATTCGTTTGAGTGAAAACTAATTGTATTTGTTCGAAGCTTTGCCCTTACATGGAGTGGGTCTATGCCGTTGGAGTAAGTTTGTTATGTGTAAGTGGAATTACCTATATCATAAGTAAATTGCATCATATATTTATAAATAGAATTATATATAGAAAATTATAAATCAATAGAGATGAGAACTTTAGGTCTAGAATACATGAATTTGTCACTGAGAACATTGGTAAATAATATTCGTTTAATCCAACCAAACTATTTAAATTCAAGTCTACGATGCTTTAAGATCCATAGCAATAATAAACAAGAACGTTTTTCTCTTCTGAACTCGTAGCTGCTTGCTATAAGTTTGTAAATCTTTTGTCAAAAGAGGTTTCCTCAACTTAATATTGGCCAGGTTCCTTTTCTTAAGAAAATCAGAAGTTATCTCTTCAGTATGGGAGTTTAAGCGAAGAATATATAATAGATTTTGAGGGTGAATGATTTGTGTAATTAATACATTAAAACTCAAACTAATAATCCTATATTCTCTTTGATCAATTTCAAATTTTTGGATGCAATTTCTCTAGCTTTCATACTGCCTTCCTTTAAGGTTTGTTCTAACTCACTTTGATTGTTAAGTATTTGTTTCTTTTTCTAAGCGATAGTATTTAATTCATTGGCGATCAACTCAGACAGATCCCTTTTAAAATCAACTGTAGTTTTTGTCAAATACTTTTCAATTACTTGTTCCATACTCAAATTACTAAATGCTGAATATATTCTCAAAAGATTAGAGATTTCAGGTCGCTTATCTTGATCAAAATATATTTATGGAATTGAATCAGTCTTTGATCTTTTAATCTTTTCAAAGATCTCCTCCTTTGAATCATCTATGTTAATTCTATTCCCATCAATTGCATCTGATTTAGACATCTTCTTGTTGCCATCTCTTAAACTCATAATTTTTGGACAAGTAGCTATGATAACATCCATTTTCAATTACATTCCAAATATTATGGTTCCACAATATTCAATTTAAATAGAGAGTTCAATCTTTAGACATAATCTCTAGTTAATTCGATGTGTTATTTTTAGTCTAAACCAACCGGTACATATTATGCCCTAAATAAATTTAATATTTTACTGATAAAGTATGATGTCTGCTGCCATCAATAATGGGTATGTATAAAGTCCAAGAGTTGAGTATTCCTTCTTTTTATCCTTATATTGAGTCATTTTATTTAACCAATTTTTAGGAGCAATGCACGACAGAATCCATTATAATTCTGCATGTTCAGGCACATGGCTCTATATAAAGAACACAGATTGTTTAGGGTTGATTCCAGATGCAATTAACGTGGCTGCCAAAGATAAGGTATCTGATTTAGTGTTCTGATCAAATTTGATTTCGTGATCTATGGTTAATTTATCTGTTAAGGCATGCAAATCTACAATGCAATATATATTTTGATTTCCTGGTTATTATAATTTAACCCAATTTCGAACTGCACCCAAATAATTGCCTATGTGCATTTTTCCTGTTGGCTAAATTCCTGAAAAATACATAATTAAAATAATTTAACATAATCAATTAATGCAAAGAAGAAATTCATAATTTTAACTCATTTTTTTGATTCTGAATCAAATCAATTACTTTTTTTTAGTTTGAATAGATATCTGGGCCTATCTTCTTTTGATATTTCATTTGATTCTCATTATATTATACTTTTGCATATTTTAATACGCAACACTAATATAGTATATTTCTTCACCTAATTTTTATTGAAGTTCCAAGGTCGATTGTTGAAGGCTATGAAAAATTCATGCAGAAATTTTTTGTTTTTCAAATTAATAAAAGCAAAACCTCCTTCCAAATGACAAGGTATATTTAGATAATCATATTTCGATGAAAATTTGAAATCTATCTCATTTTGCAATCTTTTCACAGTATAATTACTGGGAATGTTTCTAATCATTAAGGTAGTTCGTTTATCATTGACAATCTAAATTCTAAATTTATATTACAGTTTGGAGCGAAATATTGAACTAATTTTGAGTGTTCTCGTTTTCATTTGAGCATTTCTCTGGAGCTTGGTTAAAAATGGCAGAAAACGCCTCGAACTATTCAGTGGAGGAGGAATCTGTTTCTGTTGAAAAGAGGAGCTTCGATTCTGTTGAAATAGAATTTACAAAATAAAATACTATAACCAAATAGGAAAAGATCATTATTAGAAGAACCAGCAGAGTCTTATTTTTCAATCCAATTCGAGCATTAAGTGAACTCTTCGATTTCTTGAAATAGCGAGGTTTACATCTTTAAATTTATATATATATATTATTAATCAAACCTTTTAATACTCTAGTTTAGATTCTAATTTTTTGGCTTCTTTTATTTTTCTTCCTGCTTTGAAATAATCCTCCTCAATAACGTAATCTCTGTCAGCTCTAATGGCAAACATACCTTTTATATAACCATAATGAGATACCTGCTTCAGTACAAACATTCCTTAAATCAGCTCCATTAAATTCTTCACACAACTTTGCCAACTATTCAAAATCCACTTCTCCTTTGGTTGTAATAGTTCTTGAATGGATCTTCAAAATATCATATCTAGCTTATTCATTAGGCAATGGAATTTCCACCTCTAATAGTTAGATATCATATTATTACTTCTATCCAATCTACCAGGTCTTAAAAGTGCTGGATCCAAAATATCTGGTCTGTTGGTAGCCATAACTACTTTGACCTTACCCAAATCATCAAATCCATCCAATTGATTTAACAATTCCATTAGAGTTCTTTGTATTTCTCTGTCTGCAGATGTTCCATCACTAAATCTCCTTCCTCCAATAGCATCGATTTCATCCATAAATATAATGCAAGGCTAATTCTCCTTAGCATATGTAAACATTTCTCTTATACACTCTAGCACTCTCTCCAATATACTTGTCTACAATACTAGAAGCAACAATTTTCAAGAATTTTGCCTAGACATTGCAAGCTAATGCTCTACAATTAATCTTATCATTATACCTCGCAATTAAGGTCTTACCAGTACCTGGAGGACCATACATTAAACATCCTTTAGGTGGTTTCACACCTACTCTCTTGAATAATTCAGGATTGGTTATTGGCAATTCAATTGTCTACAATTTACTCTTATAGATACTTCTCTTAAAACTCGAAGTTGATCATTTAAACCTCCGATTTCATCAAATTTGACTTTTCCTGGGTCTTCATGAGCCATATGGAATACTTGAGGATCCACTTCTCTTGGCAATATTCTAACTATTGTATATGTTTCCTAGTCAAGTGCAATTCTTGTTCCCACTACCAATTTCTCTCTATCGAGTTTTGGTTTGGCACCTACTACATATCTAGGACCACTATTCAATTTTGAAATATCTTAATTGAGATTATTGATTACATTTTTCATCATTTATTTTCATTAATATCTCTCCAACTGCTTGTCCTCTTATATTTAAACTTTTGATATTATCCTCAAACTTTTCAAATTCAATCTTCTTTTATTTTGTTTATGTCCTCACTAATCATTACAATGTAAATTACATTCTCTCACATGTCTTTCCTTCTCCTCAACTTCCTTTAGAAGTTTGATGTATTTTGTCTCTAATGCATTTCGTTAATTTTGCTCAGTCATCCAAAATATTTTAAATTTAATATATATATATTAGATTAGGATAATTTATCATTTAATAATGAAATTCATAACCAATTGATATATACTAGATAACTTATATATATATATATTAATTAATCATCAATAAATGGTTTTACAATTATAACCAGATCTTTTTTTGTATTCTTACAGTAATTTTTTAGTTAAATTATCGTTAAGGGAATGCTTTTATTAGTATTATTGTAAGAGTTTCTTTATTTATAATTGATTTTCCAAATAATCAGCATTTAATTTTTATTATCCATTTAAATCAACACTTATATCTTTACGCAACTTGTTTATAAATTAAATATTTACTGAATGTTAAGCTTCTTCAATCTATTCAGCACATGAAAAAGGTCTTGGAATCTGTATCACTTCTTGAGGCTGTTTGCGAAAACTATGAACAGAATTGTTTGATCTATTTGCCTCAGTGTGTTAAGATGAAGAAGCCTTCTTTTAAGGTTTAGTTGAATTGATTGTAGATTTTTCAGAACAGCCTTTTATTGATTATTATCTTTTGAATTCTTGATCTTTTGAAATAGTAATGATAATTTACTTATGAGATTTAACACATTTTATGTTGTCTAATTTCTTTGATGATTTATAGTAACTTATGATGTTTCATAATTAGATAAATTACTTTTTCTATTTTTATCCGGATATTCACTAGTTTCAGTTTGTACTCGACTAGCTTAATTATTTGATTTATTATTAGTATTGTTGTTATTATTATTATTGTTGGAGATGTGAGTTGAAAATATACGTTTCTATGAATTATTCCGAAATTTAATGTAATCATCTTATGGCTCTGTTCGTAATCGGTTATCCTTTTAAAATATTGTTAACATTTACATATTCTTAACCAAGACATTTAAATTTATCTTTTTAGCCATTCAATGAGATAGTCTATTATTTCATAAACTCATTTTCAATATTATCTTTTTCTAACTAGGTTTTTTTCGATTATTGTCCAAACTTTATATTTTAAGAATTTAAATCAACTTTTGAATTTAGTTTAATGTTTTGTATATCCTTTTCTTGTATCTTTAATTTTTGATTCAATGTATTATTTTTTTCATTTAGAATCTTGATTTGAATAATAAAATACTTGGAATTCATTTTTGAGTGTCTACAACTCTTCTTCTAAATCATCTTTAATTTTGAGCACATCTTCTAACTTTGATTGTGTATTTTCAGCAAACAACTTCAATTATTGTTCAATCTTGATTAGTTCATAATAAATACTCGTATATGTTGACGGATCTCAGCTTCCAATTTGATCAATTATTCTTCATAATCATTTTAGTTTCTAGAGTTGTGATCTTCTATCTGTTATTCTAAATTGAACTAATCTCACTCAAAGAATACTTTATTTTGCAAGACAATCGAGAATATGCATCCGATATAACAAATTAAAGAGATGGGATCTGTATATAAATCTTCCTGTTTATCAAGAGGCACCACTTTCTTTATCTAACACAATAATAACTATTAATAGTTTATGATTTAAACTTGGTCTTCTGTTTTTTAGATGCTGCTTTTTATTTATTAATAGAGTTCCACTACAGATTTTTGAAGTTTTAAATCAAATTTCTTTTCCGTATGTTCTGAACTTTGTTTAAAATTGGATTCTAAGGATGTATTGATATCATCATGATAATGCTATTACTATTGCAATAAATGCAACAAAGTTTTTGATTTTTACTACATTATTTTAAATAAATAACTGATTAGAATAGAGTTTTAAAATAAATTTTAGTTTTATATATACATATATCTTTAAAGGAATAGAGAAACTATGAAAATAGACATTCAAAATATGTAACTTTGAGTCATATCAACAGGAGAATGAGTCTAAAGATCAAGTTTAACATCAGGAATAAACTCACTTTCAATTGTTAATAAGTCATCCAAACAAAATGTTAGAGTTTTTTAGAATGTATTTATAGTATATGCTACATATATATTCAACAGACATAACACTTGAGAAGTTGAATTGCTTTACTTGTAATCTTGAGCAGGCAATAACGATGTTTCTTTTATAGATGAATTGTAATACTAAATTCTATCAACCATATGACGTCTATTACTATTTCTAGATCTCCATCTATTCATCACTTCTGCAATTCATTTAAAATAAGTTTCGTTGACATTAGTTTCTTAAAACAATTGGTCTTAATTCTGAAATTCGTAGATTCTCTTTTTTTTGTTATCAGTTTTGATTGTCTGATAAAACAAATAAAAGCAACCCAACATGTAAGTTTTTAGTAGAACTGATTTCCTTGGGAAGACTTCCCTAAGTTTTCTAATAAGCAAGACATTTTGTAATATTTATTAATAATTCATACAATATTAACGTATAAAAGATATAAAAGCACTATAATTAGACTAATAATTAGATAAGATGACATGAGTCAGTTGTTCGTAATAGAAATTTGTTAATTCAAATTATTTTTATACTAAAAGAATTCCATATTTATCAAAATAATTGTAATTTACTTAACTATTTATAAATGTATATCTAAGAAAGTTTGAAATAAATAAATTATTTCAATAAACCAATTTTTTCCCTATTTCATTTTGTTTATAATTTCATCAATCAATATTAATGAGGATGACTTCATAAAATAAATTAGTGTATTATAGATAGTTATTTTTACAAAAATAGATTTAACTTTAAAAACCTAATCATTCTGAATTTAATGTTCAATAATTGTCTACAAATACAAAATGAGAGTGAGTAAGAGCTAATTATACTCTTTATAGTTTTATTTGAGGCATATACTAAAGTATGATAATACTAAACCATCTAAGTACTCTAAAAGCCTGGATTGCAAATTTTAATTAATTAATGAATTGAGTTGAGTTGAGTTAATAATGAATTCATTATTTGAATTATAATATAATGATTAAATATTTGAGTGCTCACTTAAGATTGGCTCGTCATGATAAACCAATTGGGGCTTTGTTGCTTCACATTCCTTGTGTATGGGGAACCATCTTGGGATAACCAACTTTTAATTTTTAAGAAATAATTTGGTACAGTAGTGTATTTGGAGTTGGATCATTCACGATGAGAGCAGCAGGGTGTGTGGTGAATGATATGTGGGACAGGAATATTGATAATAAAGTGGAACGCACGAGACAGAGGCCATTGGCTTCAGGAGAGTTATAAATGAAGGATGCATGGATTAGTTTATTTGCACATTGTTCAGTTGGATTATTAGTATTGACTCAGCTTAGTTGGAGTACAATAGCAGCATCATTTGGAATAGTGCCAATAGCCTTTTTGTATCCTCTGGCTAAAAGATATTTTAGTTATCCTCAATTGGTGTTGGGAATAGCATTTAATTGGGGTGTAGTTGTTGGAGGGTTGTAATTGGCAGGGATGCTAAATCCAACGATTATGTTGGGATATGCGGCTGGAATAGTAAATACGTTGATATACGATACAGTCTATGGGCATTAAGATAAAGAATATGATAAGAGTTTGGGATTATATTCAACAGCTTATACTTTGCCTAAGAATACTCCTTTGTATTTGACTTGGGTATTTTCTGGATTGATTGGGTTAACGTGTTATGCTGCATCATATCATCCGGGAGTTTATCCATTGATTGTTTTGAATTAATTAGACATGTATTTGAGATTGAAGGCAACTGACTTTGACAATCCTGAGAGTTGCGGTAAATTCTTTAGAGATTTCAAATGGTTTTAGATAACCATAGCATTGATATTTGGGGCTGGTTCGTATATGAAGTAATGATTGATCAAATTGTTTTAATTTATAATTAAATAAAGTCATTTTTTGGTAGATGTTTGAAAGGAAGGAATTGAAGGCAAGAGTGAAAAAAAAGTTTGAATAAATAAGTGAGGATTAAGAGATCATCTTCAGTATTAAGAGAAAACTAGGAGATCAATCCTATGACAACATATGTACAATTAAACACCATGAATTTAAGATTTATTAAATGATGAAGAAATGTTGCGGTTTATCAATTCCAGGAAACAACAGAAGTTAAATTTTGATGATGTCATTAATTAAACAAAAAATCTATCTTTGGATGATAACACCCAAAAAATGTAAATTTAAATTTCTAATCTATTAGTGTAGTATTGGAGAAACTCTATTCTGATGACACTCCTCAATATAATGAAGAAACTCAGCAGTAAAGTATTTTAAAGGATCGAAGAGAGTAATTCGTGGATAAATTTAGAAGAGACATAAGGGATAAGATGTTATAGGAGAAAAGAAATAAGGTGAGGAATCACTTTTTATCATAGTTCATTATTGAATTAGAGTAGGATAAGGGTAATCTCAGGTGTTGTGATCAATAACAGAATGAGTAATTAGAAAAAGACTATTATGTAATGAAGTAAGTGAATAAGAATGAAATGAATCAGGAAAAGAAAAAGAGTGCTCTCATGAACATTGATGCCAAATAAATAGAAAAATATTTCGATAATTATTATGTTGACAGTGAACACAATTCAAGTATTGACAGTGAAGACTCTCAAAGGACAGATTAAGATGCATATGAGTATCCTGAAAATGAAAGTTCGGATGATGAAGATGTCGAAGTGGACGATGATTACTATGATAACAATAGTGATGATTCTCAGAAATACAAAAAGTATAGGAGGAAAGATATTCAAGAGAAGGATGATTAAATTGAAATTGATGAATAATAATAAGCTTAAGGAATTGAGATCAATCAAGTTTAAGCTTTCATGAGTTTTATTAAATAACATGAACAATTAAAATAAGAAAAATAATGTTGGAAAACATTTGACTATGAAAATGATTTTTGATTTATATATTTAATCAATATATTTTAGTTTATTAAGAATCTTGATCAATTTGCAAATTAAACTTTTTTTGAGTTTTTTGATACCTAGGGCTATTATTATTGTGCAATTTAGTTCATCTCTGCCTAAAACTTTGAAAACACGTTCCCTTGCATTCCATGTTATGATGGCAAAGCTTGAAATGTAACAAAATTTTGAAATTGTTGTTCTGATGATAAACTTTAAAATGAATATTATTATATCGTTGATAGTTACGATGTTTTTTGTGGTTCCTTCAAAACACTCAATTATTGTTGTTTTCTCTTTGGATATTCTTCATCTGAATCAGACTAACTTAACATTTATGGCTATTAATCCCCTTATTTTAAGGATCCTAATTTAGATGCCTCCGGATGAGAAGTTTCATCTTCATATTAAAATGTTTCGACTCTTTCCACTCTCTTACAACATTACCCATTTCCCATTAATATTAATTTAATTAATGCAGTATTAAAAAGTGAATTGATGTCCTCAATAGAAAGATATTTAACATAATTAAGCCTCATTTTATATATTATGCCTTAATTGATTGCAATTACATAAATTACATTCACTAAAATTACCAAAAAATTTATATTACAATACTAATAAATTTAATTAAGTAAAAAACAAAGTCAAATATGGGACAATACGCTGCCATCTAATATTTGACTATATAATTGCTGACTCAATTGTTCATTCTTCTCCACCACCTCCTAATACTTTTGATATAACTACCGTATATAATCAATATCTTACCTAAACGTAATCCTATTGGGCCTTCTTAGGCAATTTTAAGGTCTTCTTATTATTGCTTTATATGATCTTCTCTATCTGTAATCTCAAGCTGTCCACTTCCAAAGCCGATGATCTAACCAAATCCTTCAATTTAAAATTCTCCTATTCCAAATGAGTAATTGTTCCATTCAGATGCTTTATTTTTTATTCATACAGTTATTTAAATTACTGAATTTTTTGTTGAATTAAATCTATATCAACTTAGTTATTATTTTTAATTGTTAGATCCAGATTGTTTTTCTCCTCCAATTCCTGAATTTATAGATTTTTCTTCTGAATAATCTTTTTATATTCTGTCTGCATGCGATCAAAACTTTCATTTTGAGTCTTAATTTACTCCTAATAATTCTTGATCTCCTCATGTAGTGTATTATTCTTGAACATTAAATCTTAATTATCAATTTATAACATTTATAATTGAGTTTTATTCTATCTTACTTGTTCCTCAGCCTTTATCATTTATTAATAGTATTCATTCTAAGATTAAGTCTCGGTCAATTGCTTTTCTATGTTCTGTAAATGCTATCGTAATTAACTGATTTCATTGCTTTATCCATCATTTTCATTGCTTTTTGTAATTTCGATTTCCTATCTCAAATGTTCGTTTTCAGATACCAACAAAGGCACCATCTGACTGTATTAATGAAGCATCTCAGTCAGATGTTCGATCTATTTGAAATACGATTCTGGATATTGATTTGGGAATAGTTGACTTAATTTCTCCAATTCTCTATCCTTGCATCTACATGTTATTTATAAGAACTCTATAAATTTTGGCTATTAACTTTAGTTCATTTTGATCGAATAATCTAATTGCTACATTAAATCCATTGCTTTATAAGTGTCATTCACAAACCCTTTATTAAGAGCCAACCAGACTTGATCATAATCAATCTATTCTAACTTGGCCTAAGGGATGAAGGCTTCTATTTATCTATCAGTTGGACATATTTCGTCTAGTGATTGATACAACTCTATAATTTTTGAACCATATATTTTAATTTGCAGAATCATTTTTTCGAAAAGCTCGATCTCAGATTCCACGTTCTATTAAGGAAGCACTACAAGATTTGAGTTCACTTATTTGACATAATTCTAAATCTGGTAAAAGTCTTCATCAAATTCAAGGTACATGTATAAAAATTTAAATTTAATATTGTTAATAATAAAATCATCATCTTGTTCAATACCTTTTATTTTAAATTTATTCCATTAGCAATCTTTATTAGATTCTTTCCTAATCAGACAAATAATAAAACTCTTCATCATTGTGGGATGCTTGATTTTAATTGGGAATATTAGGTTTTGGTTGTTCCTATCTTCTAGACTCTATTTCTTTCTACAGTTTTTAATGTTACTTATATTGTGCATAACTCATTTGTAATTAATCAGCTTAAATAGACTCCAGCAATATTCTGCCTATTATACTTTCACCATTATCAATATCATTAATAGAATTTTTAGCATCCTTACTTTAAGAATTTCTATCTTCGAAAATTTTTTTTTTTTCATTCTCCTATTTCATCTATTATGGTTGTGTTTACTTATTTTAATTAACTTACATTTGATTTTTGAGACCTTAATCCATTTTTGGATTACCCATTAATGTGTTGTCATTGATATATTAATCTTTAGTAAAATATGATTAGAAATCTTTTCCTGATGAATTTTAAACCTATTAGAATGTCCTTCCTTAATTGTCCATTCTATTTAAATTTTTATTCTAATTATTCTAATTCTATTATAATTATTATTGTAATTGTTGGTTTTATAGTGCATTTAATTTTTATTCCATTTCATATTAGGAATACTCTTAGCTTTAAGTCTAAGATGTATTAGTTCCTTAAGGCAGCACTGAATTATTCTTAGAATCCCGTAAGAGCCTCTGCATTTCCATATACTCCATAGATAGTTTGTAAGCCTAATATTAATCATCTTAAATCTATTTTTTATTTTACTATAATTACTTCTGAGTAGTGTAAACTAGGTTTCAAGCCAATACTTTATTAATACATTTACTATGGATCTTAGTATGGCAGAGCTTAACCTTGACTATAATTTGAACTCTAATTAAATTAAGGATTATTCATTTCTTGAATTGTGATATTTTTTTATCTCTGATCCTCTTGTTTAGGCCTAATTGCATGGCAGATTTGTAGATGATATTATATATCTCTCATCATTACATATTGTGAACAATGATTACAACGTAATGTTCTACTGCCGCAGGTTTTCTCATGATCTTAATAGTCAATATGAGGCAATTAAAGTGAACAATAATCACACTTAGTTTATCTATTACTACATATATGTTTTCTAGGGTCTTAATATAATGAAATTGCAAACCTTAAACTTTTGTTTTGCAAACTTAGCACCATTAGAGTTAATGAAATTCTATATCATGCAATTCTTATTCATTTTTATCGTAGAATTGCCCACATCTATCACATCTAATGCAGTTTTTTTCGCAATACATTTGGTGTAGTGTTAGTTTATAATCCTCTATCTATTTTCGGCAGAATTTGCAGTTTTAAAACATTTTATTTATATATTTTAATAATTTAATTATTTCATCTAGTCTTTTCGTCTATAAATATTCTGAGAGAGTTCCTTATTGTTCTATAATAAATCTATTATCATCGTAGTTAAATAATAGGCATCAATCATTATTATTATGAACTTTACTAATCAATGAATGACAGAAATGATTGATTTAATACATAATTCTGATTAATAATGATTTCTGATATTCAAATGGAATGATCTTGGAAAATTGAAGTTATTGTTTTAGTTGATATTATTTAGTATAATAACATATAATATGTTAAATCTTGATAACATAGATTTAGTGAACAACACTTCTAATCAAATGAAGGTGTTTTGCTATTCTTTCTTTATTCGGACTTCAATATTTGCAATAATTAATTAGAAAGTCCATTTAAAGAAACACCCCAAGAAAGTTTAAGATGATATCAAAAACAGAATTGTATCAATCATTCACGGTTCCTTAACATTTTGGGCTGCTGCATATATAATGTTGGGTAATAGAGATATGCATTTGCAGTTGAATAACCAGGATTCGGTGCGATTAATTCTCAGGCCATGCAATTTACAATGATAATTAGTGCTTCATACTTTGTCTACGATTTCCTTGCCTGTCTCTACTATGATCTTGCAGACATGTCACTGGTTTCTCATCATTCTTTAGCCATTTGTGGATATGCTGTGGCTACCTTCTCAAAGTTCGGAGCTCCATCTTCAATTTGTAAGTGCTAATTCAGATTTCTTATGGGGGTTGATGTCAGCTGAAGTATCTAACTTTCCTATGCATATGAGAGTGATCTTCAGACAAGTAGGTTTACGACATACCAAATTATATGAAGCATGTGAATGGGCTTATTTTGGTAATGGATCTATAATTAAACTATTAGCATTGTATATCATATTCAGAGGATCCTTAGTTCCTTATATGGTTTGGAATACTTGGCCAGAAAGCGAAGTTCCTTTGTTGGTTAAGATAACAGCCACTGGTTTATTCTTATAATCAGTATACTTCATCTTTGAGTAAATCTACTAATTTATATTCTTATAGGATGAAAAAGATTCTTATTAGTTAATATTTCTAGTATTAAGAAAGAAAGAAAAAAAATATCCATCATTTTTGGTTTAGTGTCAACTAAAGAGTTTATGAATTATCATATATTAACAACTAAAAAAAAGATAAGGTATTTTGAGTATGTATTATAAAAATGTAACAAAAATCGTTTTCATTACTAATATCCTTAATATAATATTTATAACACAGAAATTTTCATTTATCTTTTACCTAAATTGAAGGGTATGTTTTTCTGATTTAAGACACAAAATTCATTTATTTTTAAATTAGATCTCCATGAACGAAATTTGACATTCTTTAAATTTAGGGAAAGAGGGTAAGTTTATAGTATATGGTTTTAAAATATAAATTATAAAATTATAATGAATTTCACTTTAGAGGGAAAACTTAAAATAGATTAATTTTTGCAATTACTCAAAATCTTCTCTAATCCTACTATTATATGTGATGATGAAAGTATTTAACTGATTTTAACTAAAAGAAATACAATTTTCAGAAATACCGGAGAATTAAAAATTTAATGAACTCAATAAATCAGATAAACCTGCTAGTTATGCCTAAATAAACAATGATTTCTTTAATGAATATTAAACATAAATTAGAGAAAATCATCTAAAATTTGCAGAAACTAGTTGTCTAAATATTAAGATGTAGCAAGATGTTTGTTTATTAAATTCTTAATTGAATTATGTTTGTTGTTAAGTTCCAATTGATATGATATACAAAGCACTTAAGCCATTAGCAAAATCACACATAAAGATTTTGAAATTGTCATTTTCCTACTTACTTATTGAATAAAATTATGACAACAAATAAATTTAGTTAAATTTTATAGTTGGAGCCTATTCAGAGAGAGGTTTCTTCACTATCGTGAAACCTGTAAACATGCTTCAATAGAAGGAGATAGAACTTCCAAATTTAAAAAATAAAGTAATTACTATAAATTAGGAAAACTGCAAAACTATAATTCAGTAAATGAAAACATATCCAATTTCATTAATTTGTAATGTCGATGAAATATCCTTCTCTCCATTATCTGTGGATTTAGAATAAGTAGATATTTGGTCGGGTGCTTTGACATATTATAATTCATCATTAGTAGAAGAAGTCTACGGTAGTTTAAGTATTTAATCAATTTATACAAAAACATATAACCCAATTTTGAGTTATTGTGCAAAAGTTAAGTAAGATTGCACAATCTATATCACTCCATCTGAAAATGATTCAAAAGCAGCCATCTTATATTTTGTATCTAGTTAATCAAACATAATCATCTGCAATAGATAATAAGTCATAACAAGTGATGAATCAAAAGAATAGGGCAAGTTATTTTAAAATATTAGCGATGAATTACTTGATGAAATAGAATAAATTAGTAGCCAATTTGAGAAAAAGTTTTCTTAAATTTAAATAACAACTAATGTTAAAGATAATTACATCGGTAGCTATGATAATTAACCTTTAAAAATGGCTTATTCAGCTATTGAAGACAACAACAGTAAAATGTATAGTACAATCAATTAAAAAGAGCCTTTATTGTTTGTCCCACCAAAAGTAACAGGATCAATCAATGATGCTATCTTAGACTACATGACCAGAAATTCTTGCAAATAGACCTCTACTACTCTATCAAGATATAAATCAAATTTTTAGAATTGAATATATATTTTTCATAATTTTAAATCACAAATTCCTAATTAATCTTTAAATCAAAAAAATTAAATTAATAAATAAAAGTAAGTGATTAGGGTTTTAAATAAAGTAAATTAATTGTGGTATTATTTTAAATGTAAAAGATTATAAATTAATTACATTTACATTTAAATTTAACATACTGACTCTCTCATTCAAATTAATTTATGATTATCTACTCTACTGAGTTTGATTAAACTTTAAGAATTTAGAATTCTAATCATATTATGAAATATAATAACTAAATATAAAACAAAGTATTAGAGAACATAATAATTTAATCAAAAAATAGTGCAGCATTAATTCTTCGGTTTTTTGTTTTATTAGTTTTAAAGCTTACGTTTGCTAACATCAGTATTATAGCGTTTCCAATTTTCCACTATGAAAACATCATTTTTTTATTTAAAAAACACATTCAAATTCATATTTACTTCATCATCTAAATTTTTAGCTTCCATATGGATATTGTTTAAACAAGGTCCAAAACCATGATTTTTATCATTTTTAATTTAACAACTTTCTTCATCTAGTGTTTGTGAATTCATAACTTATAAATAAAATATAAAATCATTACATAATTTTTCAAATTAAGTAATTCCTTTATATCAGAATTGATCCTATTATGATTTTCTTTTATTCAAATGGATAGCATAACAAATCTAAGTTATCATATTTTTATAATTCATTATTCACTTTGCGGTGTTAATTCTTTCTTTCTCTTTGTAACTGAATAGTAAATTTTGTAACTCTCGTTATTAGATTATAACTGAAGACTTTATTAACTAAGAACGTCTATATTATACTAAATCATCCATAAAGACGGAAAAATAAAATGAAATATGAAAATATCCACATTCTAGAATATTTAAAAAATAATATATGAATTGGAATCTCCTAGAACTTTGTCAGATTTAATTATAGACTTTAGTTAAAATCTATTATTTATTCGATGAATAGTAATTATTGTTAATTTCAAGTTATTACTTTAGCAAAGGATAACTAAAAGAAGCATCTCTCAACATATCCAGAATTCATGAATGTTTTAGTAAAATAAAAACTAATTAGATCAGCAATCTCAAAATCAATAAAATCATAATAATATTCATTATCCTGAAAAGCTAAGTCTTTTAAAATTCTTCATTACTACTTCGACTTCCATAATGACTTTTCCATTTGAAATGCTATTCAAAATCTTTCTCCTTGCAAAATCCCCCTTGTCGGTTGTTAATGGCGCCAATGTTGTTAATCTAGGAGGGTTTTCCATGTAAAATGATAAAGCTTAAAATCTCCAATCCAAAGATCTATCAAATTTTGAAAATTAATCTGTATTAGTAGCCAAATCTTCATTAGGTTTTCTTATCTCAAGATCTAAGTTCTCTCCAGTTGGTGTCCATGTTTCACTAAATAAATATCATTGATACCATGTAACTTAATGATAACCAGCGCTTCTTGGAAATATTGCTGTACCATAACTACAAGCATCAATTTTATTTGATGAGTCCAATCTCCAAACTTTTAATAAAGCTTTAGGCCATCCAATCAAGTTTGAAACTGAAAAGTGCAAATCAAATGGATGACCCCAAGAAAAAAGTTGTCCTGGCTAATGAATTATGTATTTCATATTTATACATTTGCATAACTAGTTTGAGTTTGAATTCCTTTATTGTTTCCTGGCTGTAGTAAATCCCATCCATCCCCACAATCTATGGCTAATTCACAAAATAGTCCATCATCCGTTTGAAAATCAAGCCCACCGACAATCTATCCTATAAAGTGCACTTCGGCCTTTAAATCGGCCTTGGTTTATTTTATTTCCTAATAATCTATTTGATTCCCGGTTTACTGATAAGGCATGCTCATTTTCAAATTTTATAGTAATTAAATATATAATATAAATTCATTAGATCCTTTTCTAGATTTGCGCTCATATGCATCTATCCTAGAGAGATTTAGAATTATGAAAATAGTACTTTTCCTTTATTAAATATATATTAGCACATTTTAGTAATACTTTTATATAGAAATTAAAATTATTGATAAATATAAAATATAATCAAATATGAGCTTCTAGATAATTCTGGTTGAATATAAGTAGGAAAATATTTAATACCTATGTTTATAAGTGAAAAAGAATTTGTGATAGCCTTTATTAATTTATTTGAAAAATATTATGTGTGATCACAGAAAAAGACAACTCACTTAAGATGATTTGGATAACTCAAATATCATGCCTAGAGCACCTCTAGTAAAGTATTATTATATTTCTATAATCAAGACCATTGAAAGCTTCTTCCATCTTAATACCTGAACTATCATTAACATATGAAGGTCCAAACTACTTTAAAAAAATTTCATTGGCAATACCATCTGAAGATGAAAAACTAGAAGGGTTTTAGTTAGCTGTCGTTGGCAAACACATCAAAAAGAGATAAAGATTTTAAACAGAAGCTGCTAGCCACACAGTAATTAATATGATGGAAAGACAATTACTAAGAAGAAATTCTTCAAAAATGCAAATAGAAAACGATTTATTTTGATTTTTATAAGCAACTTGTATATTATAGTGGTTTACATTTGAATAGAGTACCTTTTATATAAATTTTATGAACCATCTATTGTTTATATTAAATTATATAATAATTTAAATTTTTAAATTATTTAAATTGATTCATATATATAGCTTCATTATTGCATTAAGACATTCTCAAAGAACAATGGATTTTCTATTGATTATTAATTATAATTAATAATTTCTTTACTATCTTCTAGTTTTTTAATAATTCTATTCCAATTTCTCAAATCTAACTTCATTGTATATTTGGTTCCAAAAATATATTAACAATATTTTGCTCTTGACAACGCTACGTTAGCTCTTTTCTTATCTTTTAAAAATCCTTATTTATCATTTGATCGTACAAGTGATAAAATTATTATATCGTTTTCTTTTCCTTAAAATGAATCTACTGTGTCTAATTCAACTTAATCTATTAAATGTATTTAATTATTTTCCTGTGTCAATTTCTCCTATTATAACTTCTTGAATATATTGTCTGTTTAAGCTCTATAAGCACTTATGATAGTAATTGGTTTTTTATTATTGGGAAAATTCTACCCTTGTAATAAATATCTAGTCAGAAGTATTATGGCTTAACATTCTAACTCATTTTTTTTACTAGTTTCTTCATTGCTCTCTGTGAATGCGGGAGCGTTGAAAAAAAGCCTATTGCGTGTTTAGGAAACTTTCATTTTAATCCATTCTGGGAATTACATATCTTGTATTCCATTTTTCAATTAATTTTTATAAAATAATTCAGAAGTAATTTCAGCAAGGTTTGGTATTTATCTATATTAATGTATCAGCTTTAATGAATCATTTTTCAATCCTATTGCCAATCTTTAGAACAAAGATCTATTATAGCCATAATTAATTGATTCATTTGCGATAACTATTGGGTTGAGTTATTTTATATCTCCAAGTAGAACAACTTTTTCAATTATCCGATATTTTACAAAGGGTATAAGCAAAGAAGGTTCTAAAGCAGTTGGTGCCTCATCAATTATGCACATTCTTAATTTTACTTTATCAAAGTATTATTCCAAACAGAGTTTAGAACAACTATTCAGGGTTGAAACTATAATATGACACTAAATAATTAATAATATTTAATACTTAATCTAAGTACTATTATTCAATTTCTTCGTATACCTTCCTCTTCTGCTTTAATAATTAGGATAATTCATTATATAATTTTCCATAGGCTTCCAAGATTTTCTATTTGCGAGTTCTAAAATTTAGTTCTTCTATATAACTTAATAAAGATATAAGAGTAAATTATTCATCTTTTTCAATCAAATAATTTTTAAACTCTTATAGTTAATGATGTTCAAGTTCAGATATGATTTAAGGCGTTATGCACCTGTTGTAAGATTCTCTAACATTATCTCTAACTTTGTATTAAAAAAAATGATTTTAAGATCTAATTTCTAAGCTCAATCTTTAGATATCTTTATCACATTTTTCTGGTCTTCCAAAACGGAGTATCTTTAAATAATCAGGTTTGCGATTAAAGCAGTAAATAATAGAATTTGGTTTCTCAATACTGTCTGTAATTTTCCTAACTAAATCATTGACAACGCTATTTGATTTTGCCAGTACAAGAATACATCCTTGAGGATTATCATTATCCTTTGCTTTTATTAACAAATCCGCCATTATGGATATTATACCAATAGTGGTTTATGTCTTTCCTGTTCCTGGAGGACCTTTAATAATTGTAATCTATAAGGTTAATTAATATAATTACCCTTTTAGTAAAATCTAATGCATGTCTAATTGCTTGTAACTAAATAGCGTTAAATTTTACTGTATATATTTAATTATTAAAATATAATTCCTATTGAACTCTTACTTTCTCGCTGAAATCTGAAATTTAAACTTGATTTAATTCTTAACATGGATCAAGTAATAGTTTATAAAATGGACATCTTTAAAGATTGAAAATAGTTTCTGTTTCATTTATGTATGCGCTCAAAGGGCTAATGGGTGAAAAATACACAAGCAATTTTTAATCCCAAATATTAGAGGATGCATCGTTTAAGAAACTTTTATAAAAATTCAAATTTTCATCAGCAGTGATTATATTTTTAAATTTAAACATATCCATAGAGTATTTAGTATAAGGTAAAATTAATTATTGTTCACCTTGCTTGTTCGAATAAATAGCCAAAGAAGTAAAATATTCATTTGGTTTATTTGGATTTCTAGAATATACTGCCCCAAAATATTGTTATGATTGGTTAAAAATTAAATATTGTGCAAAGCGATTATATTTCCAAAATTCATTCTTAGAAGGCGATTCATCTTTCATTATTTTATATTCCCTCAAAACATCAAATCTAACACCATCTCCTTTACTTCGATAAGCATCTTAATTCAATATTACTTCAAAAACAAGAGGATATTAAGAGCGGTCCTTTAAATTGTTCAGAAATCTTAACTACTCCCTTCTCAATGAATGATAGGCTTCATTCTAAAGAAGTGGAAATATGAGGTCTTAATATTCTTTTATTGATTCGAAATATTTAAATCCATTTAAATTCTAAACTGATTTTTATTAGACAGCTTTATAAAAAGCTTCATTCATAAGCACCCAAATAGGTTAAGTATACTATTAATATACACTATCCATATTTTTATTTTATTATTACCCTATAATCTAATAAATTATAGCATTATATGATTATATCTTTAATTAATAGACAAAAAGTATAATAAAAATTCTAATATATAAAAAAATTATAAAATATTGAATTTTAAGTTCTATCTAAAAATGTCAGTTAGAAAGTTCTTCTTTGGTAATCAATTTAAAATTCTTTATTATTACTATCAGAGAGATTTAAAATGGCAAACAAACTTATAGCAATATCACATTTAACAAATAAGCTTGCTTGAAGAAAAAATAATTTATAAAACTCAACTCTACATTTAGAATAATATAGATGTAATAAGTCAAAATTGTTAATCCTGTCTCCCCTCATTGATAAGGGCAAGAATTAGATTTTGAGTTTAAATTTCCCCTAATAAAATTGGCTAGTAGAGTTCTAGTTTAAAGCAATGCTGTTGGATCTTCAAAATTTATTTTGGAACTTTAAATTATTGTGTTTCCTTAAGGATCTTTTTCTTTCTTCCTACTTAATGGTTCTATTCTCACCGTATGTTCAGATGAATCCATCTAGATTGTAAAATATAATATAATTAATATATTTGATATCATAAATTTCGCTCATTTTTTAGTGAAAACTGACATTAAGATAAAGGGTTAAGAAATTCCTATATTTTCTGATTTAATTAATACTAAATTGGAATATTTGGCAATTAGTTTTTTAAGGGAATTAGATATTACTTAGAATATGAATTGAAGGGTCAAATATTTTATTCAAAAATTTGGAATGAATAATAATAATTGATTTATTTCAATATAATAATACAAATTAAACTTGATAACGTAAATAAATCTTTAGATTAGCATTCAAAGTTTAAATTACATAATTGAAGTATGCGAATTTATGATATAGAATAAAATTTTGAAGAAAATCAATAAATTTATAAAATATTACTAGTAAGTTGGGAAATTTTGAAAGTGTTTACTAGTAATAATCATTGTAAATAAATAAAATAATGGGAAATGAATGCAAGTGCTTACAAGCATATGAAGAACCAACTTAAACATTGATCACAAAGGGTGAGAGATCAAGTGAAATACAAAAATAATTAATTAGCGAAAGAAAACTCTTAAAATAAAGGAGACATAATACTGAAACAATATATTAGTCAAACAATAATAATAATCAAAAATCATCAAAGCAATCATAGAGAAAGGATGTCTAGGGTCAAAATTATTACTTTCAAAGTATAAACTCTTATAAAGAATTTCATTCTCTCTAAAACCCTTTTGAACTAAGTTAATCATTATCACATTAAAAAACAGAGTAGAAAAAGCCTTTTATTAATTTACTTTATGATGGAGATTGGGTAACTCATTTGATCATAATAGTTAGGAGAAGTTAGAGATGGTTTTGGAGAATAAATTTGGAAAGATGGGGCTAGATATATAGGGGAGTGGAGAAACAATTAAGCTAATGGTTATGGTATATTCTATCATGTTGACGGAGATATTTATGAAGGATTTTGGAAGGATGATAAAGCCTCAGGGTATGGAGTATACATGCATAAAGATGGATCAAGATATGAAGGGGATTGGGATTAAGATCTCTACCATGGAACTGGTTGCGAAGTATGGGTAGATGGGAGTAAATATGAAGGATAGTATTCAAAAGGTATGAAAAATGGAAAAGGAATATATCGATGGGCTGATGGGAGTGTTTATGATGGATAATGGTAAGACAATAAGATGAATGGCTTTGGCAAATACACATGGGCAGATGGAAGATATTATGAAGGGTAATGGAAGAATGATATGATGCATGGTACTGGAATTCAAATTTGGCCAGATGGGAGAAAATATGAAGGAAATTATGAATTTGATAAACGAAATGGTTTTGGTATCATGGAGTGGGGCAATGGAAAACAATACGAAGGCTATTGGTTAAACGGTAAATAGCATGGTGAAGGTAAAATAATAAGTGCAAATAAAGAAATATAAGTATGCTAATGGAGAGATGGTTAGAGACTATGATATATGATATTATTTTAGTTAATATCAAATCTTATAAGCAACAACTAAAAATTCATCAATGAGGAAGTACTCATCTAACATAAGTGTCAATCAGAATAAAGTTAAAGATCTAATAATCGATACTTTCTTAGGTTATTTAAGCTTAAGTCACTAATTCTATAGTACAAATAAGATCCAATCACAATATGTGAAGTTAAGTAAGATAATCGACTACTTTTTAAAAAATAAGGTTTATATCCATAATCAAATGTGAGTTAAAACTAAATCAATAATATTTGGATATACAGTAACAAGAGAAATGAAATATTATTTAATATAGTCTTTTATAAAATAAATTATAAAGTTTGAAAACTAAAATTAGAATCAGTTTTCTTATCTCTCAAATTATGAAAGAATTAGAGTTTGTAAGTGTTCTATTTGTTATCTCTATTAATTCTGATTTTTTATATGTTAAATACTTAAAATTTTGAATATTTTAACATTCAAAATTATATAAAGTTAATAGTAATTATTTTAGCAAGATTATTTATTAATCAATAATTATAAACCAAAATAAACCAGCTATCTGATTTATTGTATGCCTATATTGTTCATTTGAGTTAAAACCCTTATTTTTTTATAATTTATATCATTTTCGAATGATTAATAACAATTTTGATGATTGACTTAATTATTTATTAAAACCTTATCCAGTTGATATTAAAAACACAGAGTATACAGATTATTTAATGATCGATCTTTTTAGATATAATTATTTATTCATTGTAAAATGTATTAAGTAAAGAAGGCTTTTAGAATGTTTCTAATGAAAACTTAGTCATTTATTTATAAAAAAAGTGATATAAAATTATGAAACCATTAAATAAAAATGTTTAGGTAATTCATAATTGGCATGATGCTCCAGTCAGAGTGAATCTTAAAAAGTATTGGAAAAAGAATCCTCTCGATTATGTTCAACTTCCTAAACCGTATTCACAAAAGAATAAGATAACATACTCGAAAAGAATCATCAATGATTTCGTTGAAGTTGTGAATAATCGACAAGAGATGGTTAATGGTATAGTTGAAACAGCCAATCATTTTCAGATGGCATCATCAAAAATATAAGATTGCTTTGCAGAGTTTTATGGTCCTGATACACATTATCAATAAGAATTAGATAGAGTTTTAGACAATGTCAAACCTGAATTTAGATACATAAAGGCAATTGCACATCAGAATCTAAAAAAAATACATAGTCTTTTAAGAAAACAAAAGCAGGAAACACAATAGGATCTACACCCATTAAAAATATTGACTAAAAAAGATAAATTGTTTTTACTTAGCGATCCAAAAAATGCTGATATATTAAAAAGTGATTCCAGATAATCCAGAACAGAAACCATTCCTATTACTCCTGGAGAAGATAAGTTTACATCATAATATAAAATGATGATACAAAAAGAACATTAAAGAGAACAACAAAAATAGAATATGATTTAAATAAGATTGTTTGATAGTTAACTGAAATATTAAGGTGATGATTTTGTAAAATAGAATATATTCAAATCAAACATGAAACATACCTACACTCCTAAAAATATTGATAGCAATTATTATGTTAATAATTTGAGACATTCTACTTAGGAATCTGTCGAATTTAAAACTCCATCTCATTTTAAAACTGCTATACACAGTCGCCAAATAAGCAAATATACATCTCCTAATGGTTCTCAAGATCTGGTCATTGGTTATGATACTATTAAAGAAGATAAACTGGGACTTCAATAGCATTTAGGTGAAGGAATGAAAAAGAGATCCTATCGCTCCTTTAAGGATTTAATAAACCAGCCTAAAGAATTTGAAATCAGAAATGTGACAGAAATGAAAAAATTCACAAGAACAACATCCTAACCAATACTCAGTCAAATATGATTTTAAAATTATCATTTTAACTTAATTTAAAAATAAGCAATACTTCTTTTTCATAATATTTACAGGATACTGTAATGCTTTGATGTTTATAATCAGACCCAAAGCAAAAACTAAATAATTATGTTATAAGATGCTTATTCCTTTGTGTGGGTGCTTAGAGCCACTAGTAAAGAATTTAAATATTTGGGAATCTATAGGGGCTCATTAAAATCTTAGGTCACGAAGTATTAAAGAAGGAGGATTTAATTGACATTAAATTAAATAAGAAGAAAAACCACTTTGCTTTAAGATCCATAAAATTATGATTAATCAAGAAGAGGCTTAGAATCATTACTGAAATATAAACAATTTCAACGAATTATACAAATTTAATATATATTTACTATCATATTCATTAAAAATACATCAAATTATACAATCTTTATAATTATTTTGCCATACTTATAAATAATTAATTAATAACATATTAGCAATTGATCCTATTTTTCAGTTAGTTTCTAAACTAAGTCTTAAATTGCAATTGAAAATCAATACTATGGATGGGGTTCTATTCTTTATTCAAAATTGTCTTTGGAAGAATTTTTGCATTTTTAATAATATATAATTTTAATATAATTATTAAGCATTTCTGATTTAAATAAATTTATTGACATTTCATTTTTTAGATGCCTTTCTGTTTTTCTATAACTTAACATCTGAAATAACAATAAAACTTTTACAATTAGAGAAGGTCTCTTAATATTTTTTCTTTTTTAATTTATTTTATTAATATTTATTTAATAATTGCGTTAGTTAATTTATAAAATCTATTAGTATATTTGATGCTATGATCAATGAAAATAATCCTATATGAATCCATCCAAATAAGCTAATAATGTTATCATCCACAACTAATATGTAAGGAAAAAGGGATGAGACTATTATTAGAAATGTCATTTCTCTAACAATGATTTTGATTTTCTCTAATTTTTAAGTACATGGTTGGGCAACCAAAAGATAATATAAGTAAAAATTAGATAATATTGTTAATGATATAACCTATATAACTGGGGAATTACTCAGAAAACAAACAATCCCCATATAAACGGCAACTTTTACCATTGAAAAGGGAATGAAGTATCTGGCCCAATAGGTTTATTTAACATTTTCGTAAAATATTGAAAATCGATTTTTAGTTGCTATTTTGTATTATTTTTGTAAAACTACAATTGATTTAAATAGAAATAAGTGAGGTATTATAATAGCAATTAATGCATTAAAAGAGTTAAAAGTGATAAATATATCCTACAATTAGAAATTAAATTGATATTCTGGACATTAGATATAAGCACTGTACATTAACTAATATTATGTCGATATAAAAACTTTTATCATTCCTGAATAGAAAAAGTAATTTGATGTTTTTTCAGAAAACTATTTTATCATTCTGAAGATTATATACAACATTTTTAGTCTTTTAAAGTGTTTAAAAGATGAAAATTTAGTATAGACATAATGGCTACGCCTTTTGATTATTTTTGAAATTAAAAACAGTGTAAATGTAGTGAACATGGTTAAATAAAAGCTCTTAGCATTTACAAGGAAAAAAGCATTATTTAATTCAGGATCATCTTATTTTAGATTATTTGATTAAATAAATGGAGTTTTACCAAAATTCAATTTGGAGAAATAATAATCAATCTGTAATTTATCATATAAAGGTTAAAATGAGATTATTTTAAATACTTTTAAATACTGCTCCAGATGACTTGGGTATGGCACAGCTAAATATCTTACATAAGACAATTGTTACAAAAGTGCCAGCATATTGAAAAATAAATCAAAGTTCCCTGTTAATACTGATAGAGTGGAAGATGCAATAAAGACATAAATCATAATTTCATTAAATTATATTGCACTATCTAATCGATTCTTTGCATCAAGGGATAAAATTAAAGGATTACCTAAACTTATAGTTTTAGATAACACAATTAACTCTTGATTGAGATTATTAATAAGAATTGATTCTATAAATGAAACAGTAGCAAAAGGTTCATCAACTGATTCTAATAACGATATTTATATTTTGTATTAAACATTAGTTAATGTTGGTGTAGCTTATTTAATAGGAACTATAGTGTAATCAAAGTTTACATTCTTTGTTACATTAATTTTAATATAATCTTCTAAATTGCAAAGCATTTTCAACTTTATTTATTAATTAAATTACATCATAATAATTTATTCACTATCTCTTTTTTAAGATTGGTTCTCAAAGAGCACTTTTGGTGCTACTTAATTTATACATTCACTTAGTCCAGTAATTTATGATTAATTACAAATCCAATTTTCTTCAACCTTACAATTAGCATCACAACCATCAAAATCATCATTATTTCCATCATCACATTGTTCATATTCCCCAACTAACTGACCATTTCCACAAACAGATTTGCATTAATTATTGTATTATTCCCAACCTTTTTAACAAAGTTAGCATTAACCTTAAGAGCATATAAGACATTGTTTATGACATTAAAATCTACAGCCAAAACAGCCATCCTCTTTGATTTCATTCATGTCGTCGCATTCTTCCTATCCATTAATTAAACCATCCCCACAAATTTCATAACATTAAGCATCTGAACTTAATTCATAACCAATGGAGCACTCCAAACACATTTTAGACTCACAAACATTACATCCATATTAACATTATACTTTACATTTATAACACCCATCATAAGGTAATAAGTTTCCATCATCACATTCTTCATTCAATCCTGCAATTCCATCTCCACAAATAGTATCACACTATAGATAAATACATTATTTCTTATCCTCATCCCATAAACAGTTCATGTTAAATTAATCAGTTAGACATCCTTCTTTGGTTGATATTGAATTGCATGTTTTCAGTTAACTACAACCTCCATTCAGTTTTGCAGTGCATCCTTGGAAATACTATTAACATTATTAATGAGTTTAAATGCTATTAGGCGCAGAATCACAGGATTTGAGAACACATTAATTTTCCTCTTCTAACCATTAACAATCTAAAAAATCAATTGAGTAAGTGCATCCTGAAGAATAGATGGCATTTTCACATTATTTTCTTTAAATACATTAGAAACCATTTGTAGTGCATTAACTATTTGAAAGTACAGATTAACATTTCGTATCTGTGTTGTATTTAAAATCTTCACATTTCGATTATCTACATTAAGAAGGTTAGCAATTGTAATGAAAAGATTAACATTCAAATAATTAATTATAATTTTAAGGAGCTTAGTCACAAATTAGTTCTGAACAAATTTAATGGATTTAATCCCAAAAGCAGAGTAATCCAGATAAATTTCTTTGATCAGGAGTTAAACATTAGAATTAATTGTAATTTTTGCATATTTTGTATTTAATTATACATCCAGATCTATCCTCATTTATTGTGCAATTACTACCATAATTATTCTCACATGATCCAATATCATAAATCATATTTTTAGTAGCATTCCTACAGTTATCAAAAATACATTTGTTATCTATCCAACTACATATCTTATGATTTAAATTGATAACACATTAATATTCATCTTAATATTCATTGCATTAAAGTAAATTTTAACATGAATATTATGAATTTTAAATGTTAATAGTACAATCTGAAGATATTTATTAGCAATCTTAATGGGTTTATACTAACTATTCAATCTCATTGCATAAAAAATTGATACATTGATTTAATTTAGCCTTCCAGTAACATTTATTTTATCGATAATCAAATTTACAGTTTTCTTACTTTTTGTAATCTTAACAAAATTAAGCATAAGGTTAACAACTATAAATAAACTCTTTTTCTCGGCATTTTTTATACAAAAGAAAGGAATCGCATTTATATTGAAAGTATGTAGTTGCTTATGAGCATTTTGTATTTCTAACACAACCATTATATTATTCATTTATTTCTACAAAGTAAACTAAAATTTACACAATTCTAAGCATCAATTGTTTAGTTAGGAATCAATTAGCATTAACTTATTTCCTCACATTGAGATTTTAAAGGATTATACACACAAAATAATTGTCTGCTTTTGCAAATTTAAAATAAATTACGGTTTGAAAATAAAATTCTAAAATGACAAACTAATTAAAAGCATTTTTCATTACTCCAAATACATCTTTCAAATTTAGAATTTTAAATACATTAATTTTAATTTTGAATCTAATTACAAAAAGAAGGTATTTCAATGCAGGTAGTAGTGTTTGAGATGGATGTTTAAGATGTACAAGTTGGCAATTTTTCTTGACACATTTAATGTGACGTTGGATTATAAATTTATGAACATAATGTAATATCAGAACAACCATTTGAATTCCAAAAGCAATATATTTTTTACCCCTATGGATTGATATATGATACTTTGTTACATATCAATTCAGATGTTTCTTAAGAACACGAAGTCCTATCGGTACAACTCTTTTTTGTTTAATCATAGGAGCAAGAATCTAACCATAATATGCATTACTCAACAGACTGAGGTTCTTCATTGATGTAATTGCAAGTTCTGACTTGACATGTGGAATTATTCCAAACGCATTAAATATTATTGTTTAAAGTAATTAAATCGCATTAACTTCGTAAAACATTTAAGCAAGAAGTAAAAGTGCAGCGATTATTTTGAATAAAATCTAATTCACAAGTTTTCGAATAAAGTTTACATTAACGCTAACTATTCTATGAATATTTTATTCTACAATCTTCCAATGGATTTGATATTTAACTGAGGACTGCACATTGGGTGTCATTATAAGAGCATATCTCATTGTTGATTGTTGCAATTATATCACATTAATCTTTCGGAACTTAATCACAAGTTTAAGGAGTTTCAATACAAGTTTTTAATGGGTCAAAATATTAATATAGGAATCCTTTATCCTTATTTTCATAGATACAACTATAAATATAATTTGGAACTTGTGTTAAATATTTTGCAACTACACAAGTTAAAGTTTAAGTTTAAGATGAAGTTGAACGAGAAGCTAAACGTGTAGGTGAACCTGTATGTGACTTTGAGCCTGAGGTTGAGCCTGAGGTTGAGGTTGAAGTTGAGCCTGAGTCTGAGGTTGAACCTGAGCCTGAACCTGAGTCTGAGGTTGAGTCTGAACCTGAACTTGAGGTTGAACCTGAACCTGAACCTGAACCTGAACCTGAACCTGAACCTGAACCTGAACCTGAACCTGAACCTGAACCTGAACCTGAACCTGAACCTGAACCTGAACCTGAACCTGAACCTGAACCTGAACCTGAACCTGAACCTGAACCTGAACCTGAACCTGAACCTGAACCTGAACCTGAACCTGAGTCTGAGATTGAGTCTGAACCTGAACCTGAACCTGAGTCTGAGATTGAGTCTGAACCTGAACCTGAACCTGAACCTGAACTTGAGGTTAAAGTGTCCACTGAACATTTTTCACCTGCAGAATTAACTTTACAATCAGACATATTATTGTTATAATCGCTGCAATTTGGTTTCTTATCTTAGCATGTAACAATTTCAGTTGAAATTGTACATAAAGGAGAAAAGTTTGAACAATCATCAGCAGTAGTGGGAATAGATGAAATATCACTGCACTTCTTTGTATAACAGTTTGTTCCATTCCACTGACATGGTTAATTATTGATATCAGTTAAACATTCAGTGTTAGTTTAATAGCTTTCACAATTTAATTTAGTTGCACAACTAGATCCTAATTTAAGTGTACATTTAGGATTCCATGCTTAGCATTCTTCATGAGTACTAAACTATTGTATCTCTGGTGCATCAGTACATAAATCATATATTCCAGAATCAATTTCACATCCTAATCCAGACTTACTTAATTTACAATTTGATAGCCATTATCTACATTATAAATTAGATTTTAAGTTAGTACTTGCATTCATACAAGTCCTATCTTCACACTTATTTGTCTAAGTATTCCAAAAACATAAATTATTCAATGAACCTAGAGTACATTACAATTCTTCAGTCAATTACAAACATTAAGGAAATTATTCAATGCATCCTCCATTCTGTTTATTAACACATTTCTAAGTGTTGTACTTAACCCAATCTTAACATTAAGATATTGTATCTAATGAGACAGGAGCATTATTGCAAGTTTAAAATTCGCATAATTTTATCTCATTGTTCCAAAAACAAGGAATTCCTTGTAATGTTGATGTGCATTATTGTTAATATTTAAATTGGTGACAATCCATATATTTTGTAATACAACCATTCATATATATCATACTTGTTGTCACAATTATATTTATTGTACATCTAATATCCCAATTTTAACAATCTTCATAAGAACTTAAATAAAATGAAGCTGACTCACATCTTTTATGTGAACAGCCAGACGGAATTGTACATTTATTCATTTCAAAATCATAATTACATTCTTTATCTGATAAATTTTCACATACTTTGTTAATACAACTTTTAGTTAAATAATTGTAAGTACAAATGCTTAATCTATCTGAACATTTTTTATCTGTATCTTATTTAGGATATTTAAAACTCTGACATTCTTCTTCAAAACATTCATCATTTTCAATAATACATTACTTCCTATTTTTATTTTTCACACAACTTTTTAGATTCTTAATGTCATTGCAATTTTGAAAATTATCAATACAGCCATTTCCTTGTCCACTTATACATTAATAATCATCCAGCCATTATATACATTAATTATGATCAAAATTTAGAGGAGCATCTTTACATTCTTTAACTTTACATTGTTATATTCTTTCATCCCATATACAATATTTGCCAGCTACTTAATTAGTGATTAGGCAAGAATCTTACGTTTCTAATTAATCACATTAATTCGGTTTGTTTTTACATCCTCCGTTTTTTTTTGATACGCAGACTTAATTGCCATTATCAAATGATTAGCATTAAAGCATTGAGTTTATTGTTATTGGGGCCTAATCACAATTTTTATAATAGCATTATCCTTAATAAAAGATACAAGGATTTCCAAGATTATCTATTACACACCCTTATTATTATTAATATTATTAACATGATGATTTATCAATACATCTAGTGCCATCAGTGGTGCAATTTGATAAAAAATTTTAACATTCATGATGAATTTATAAATATTTATTAGAACAATTTTTCTCAAAACATTTCTTTAATTTTTATTCCCAAAAACATTTAACATTCTAATAAGTTTAAAAGCATTACTCCTCTAAAGTATACATATTACAATAATCTTTTGATCTCATACATCCACCTTAATTAGATGTTGTGCAATTGTTAATTTATTCTCTGCAAGCATTGTCTGTATTTAAGATTTAAGGCAATTCTTCACAATTTTCAACATTTAAACATTTAGGACCATCAATTGTTATTTTCCATATACAATATTTCCCATGTATATTTTTATTTTGACAACTCACTTTATTTATATATTCTTGGCATTCATTCTTAGGAATGCAAATTTATCCATTTGAAATACACCAATACGATGATGATAGGCATTTATCTTTCAATAAGTCTTCACATTTTGTAAATTCTTAGCATTTTCCTAAGTGAAATGCACACTTTTTATTTAAAATGCATTCATCCTCAACAAATTATGAACAATATGATACTTTGAATTTAAGATTCAGCATTCAAATCTATTTAACACTTTTCACTCGTATTATTCCATAAACATTTTTGGGACTTATTGCATTTATGTTCCTTGATAATATGAGCACATTCACATGAGATATTCATTGTTTTATTTAAATGGGATTGTAGCAGAAAAAAGATAAAAACTATCAGAGCCATTTTTGATGCTTAATAATTTTATTTAACATATTCAGATCTTCATACGGGTATATGGAATGCTTATTTTGAAATATATAAATAATTCTTTGAAAGTATTTGAAGATTTTAATTACTTGATTACATTTTGAAGATTGAATTTTTAGAAAATATCTAATTTATTTGAAAAATAATTATCTGATGATACATATAAAATATTTCATATAATGACGATATCCTAAAACTCTAACTTAAAAAATGAATATTGTAATTATATTATGTATAGACATTTTACTTATTTAATTTATTACAAATACTACTAATTAGGTTATTGAATTATTCTAATCCAAACATTTTAATTATCTCTTCAAAAATTCATTCAATATGTTTAAATCTAAACACAGAAAATCTTAGATATTAAATATTAAATTTTCTATAAAAAAATGCTATTTAAATTAATAATAATAGACAAAATTCAATAAATTTATAAATATCAATATCAGAAATTCAAGCCAGGATCTACTAATTAAGAATAAGAATAAAGTTAGATCAGTTTTTAAGATATTTCTAATTTGAATTTAAGTTTCTTAATTTATAGGAGAGCGGTAAAGATAACACATGGGGGGAAAAGAAATTTGAAGGGTTAAAGGAGAAATGTAATAATCCCAAATAATATTAAGAGGATTCTGATAAAGGTGGAAAATGCAAAATTTCAATTTATCAATATTTAATTGATGTATATTAAAATTTAGATCATAAATAACTTCATAATTTAAAGGATTGCTAAATTAGTTTAAAAATTTAATGATCATGCATATTTTTAATATTAATTTATTAACTTTATCTATTATTCTTTAAGTATTCAAAGAGGTTCAACTAGTATATATGCATAATTTAGTTCTCTTTCTTATCTCTTCGATTTAATTCAATCAGAATTACTTCTATGTCTATAATTATGTATGATGAAATTTATAAAGATTTCCTTTTATTAATGAATAAATTTAAAACTGCGATCAAGGTACGTTTGTATATAAATAGTATAGTTTGGGAAAATCAGGGTGCTTAATGTCGCAGAGAAGCCATCTGTTGCAAGGTCTATAGCAACTGTACTTGCTCGAGATCACACAATAGAAGAAACCAAATCTCCATATAACAAATTATTCAAATTCAATTTTAAGCTTGGAGAATAAGATGCGGAGATGTGGATGACATCTGTTACAGGACATTTAAAGAATTTGAAATACCCTAAGTAATATTAAAAATGGGATAAATGGGATCCTCTAATTATATTAAAAGATGCAGAAATTGAAAATGTTATTTCTTATGAAAAGAGTATCATATGCAGCTAAAACTAGGATTTTTGGAGGAGAATTTATAGCGTTTTGCAAAATAATGTAGTCAATTGATCCTCTGGTTGGATTGTGATAGAGAAGGTGAAAATATTGCATTTGAAGTTCTGGAAGTTTGTAAGGCTACAAACCCATAAATAAAAGTACATCGAGCTCATTTTTCAGCAGTCACATATGTCGATATTAAAAAAGTAGTGTTTAGATCATAATTTTATATTTTAGGCATTAGAGAATTTACAATAGCCAGATGAAAATTTGTCAAATTCTGTACTTGCTAGACAGGAAATTGATCTAAGGATAGGAGCTTCGTTTACTAGATTTCAGACTCTACTATTATAATAGCAATTCAATTTGTCTTCCATAGTAAGTTATGGTCCATGTTAAATACCTACATTAGGATTTGTTGTCTAAAGATAGAAGGAGATTGATTCATTTGTAAAGGAGAAGTTCTGGTTTATTTAATGCGTAGATTAAACTGGATGTGAATATAATTGGAGTAGAGGGAATATTTTTGATGAAATGATAGTATTGTTATTATTTGAAAGATGCTTTACAGAATAAGCATAAGTAACTGATGTATAATAAAAAGAAGTATAAAAATGGAAACCATATCCTTTATCAACAATTGAGTTTGAAAAATTAGCTTCAAGAAAACTTAAAGTATCAGCACATAAAGCAATGGATCTAGCTGAAAAATTATATAATAGAGGTTATATTAGTTATCCCAGAACTGAAACCAATAAATTCCCACCGACTATTAACTTATAAAATATTATAAGGGATCAGATTAACCATCCTGTATGGGGACAATATGCATAAAACTTAATTCATTCAAACTTTGATTAACCTAGAGCTGGAAATAAAGATGATAAGGCTCATCCTCCAATACATCCAGTTAAAATGATGTCTGAATCAGATGCTCAAACCACATAGGAATGGGATATTTATTAACTAATTACAAGACATTTCTTAGCATGCTGCTCTAAGAATGCAAAAGGATCTGAAACTACAATTAATTTATAAGTAAAAGAGGAATCCTTCTACAAACAGGGTTTGATTATTACTGAAAAGAATTTCTTAGAAATTTATCCTTATGATGAATGGTCATAATCATCAGTTCCAAAATATAATATAGGGGATATAATCTAAATAAACTTAAAAGTTCAAAATGGTAAAACATCTCCTCCTAAACCATTAACCGAAGCAGAATTAATTGGAATGATGGATAAAAATGGCATTGGAACTGATGCAACCATTCATGAACATATTAATACTATTTAAGAAAGAGATTATGCAATTAAAAAGGGTTAAATTATCAAGCCAACAAAACTAGGGTTAGCATTAGTTGAATCCTATGAGGTACTAGGTTTTACACTACATAAACCACATTTAAGAGCACTAATGGAATAAAGAATGAATGAAGTAGCATAGGGAGTTAAATAGAAAAATGAAATAGTAGAAGCAACAATTAAAGAAATGAGTGGAATATTATAGGAATTATAATAAAAAAAAAATTTGATCATATAGACCTTTGGATAATATTTAGAAGCTTTAAAGGATTATGATGAAAATAATGATGATGAAAATCCTCAAAATAGGGAACCCAATTAATAATTATAATAACAATAATAAAGAAATAAACCAACAAAAAAGGAATAATAATAATAATAGCAATAATAATAATAAAACTTTTAGTAAAAATGTAATACATGCGGTACTTAGCTTGTAGAAATTAAATAAACAAATGGATCAATACTAGAGGTATGCTTACAATGCAGATAAGCTCAAGAAAAATCTTAACCTACTAATACTTCTAACTTCCAGACAAAAACTTTCAAAACATAAACCAATCATAATAATGAAGAAACTTTCAAATGTAATTAGTGTCATAAATAAATGAAAATTAGATAATCAAAAATAAAGAATTCTTATTTTTTTGGTTGTCTGGGCTATCCTTAATGTAATTAGGCGATATTCTTACCTGATTCTATCAAATCAATATAAAGGACAGAAAAAAAATGTAAGAAGTGTAATTCAATTCTATTTCAAACAGAATACTCTGAGAATTCCACTTTATAACAAAAATCTCAGTTGCTCTGTCTATTTCCTGGTTGTTCTGAAGGTTTGAAAACTGAATGGAGAAATTAAAGCAAAGAATCTTAATAAACAAATCTAAACTATTCGAAAACAAAATAGGGTTACATTAAACAGTAAGTTTAATGCAAAAAATGTAATGGTTTTGGACATCTAGAAGATGTGTGTAATAATAATACTAAAACCATGATTTCCTTAATAGAGACCAATTAAGAGGATAAAAAAGATAAACTCTGCCCTTCATGTGGTGTTACAGGTAGACATCCAAAAGGTTCCACTTGCCCTATGAAAAGAGTGAAGAAGAAAAATTAATGATCTCTCTTTAAATTATGTGTTTAAATTATAGCCTCATATCAGTTTATCATTAAATATCATAATATAAATTATTTCAAATCTTATGCTATTCAAGTATTTTTTTAAGCTTCTATTAAGGTAATCCCCTTCAAATTTGATTATAATATCCTTAAAATTTTAATTAAGAATATTATTGAAAGAAAATCGAAAAAACATTATATCAATTTTGTAAAGGAAACTTAGTAGAGCAAATAAGAAATAAATTATCTTTGAATTTAGATATAAAATCTTAATAAAATTTCATTTGATTAAACCACTTTAATAAATTAAATTGGACTATAGTTTTTAAGAGCTTAGAGTGATAGATGAATATGGATTAGAGAAATATAGAAATTTCAATGACTTAATAATTTTTAAGAATAACCTGGATGCTATGATTTTCTGATGAACTCTAGTAATTTTCAATAAAATAGAGTTAGCAGAAAAATTATATTTTATGTATATGCATTTGCAATAAATACTTAACTTCAGATTATTACAATATATAGTAATTTACATATTTATCACTTGAATTATCTAACCTCAGACTTATCTTGAGATTTTGAATAAATCTATAGGGTATAAAATGACTTGCAGGGTTTTCTGTCAATCATTTATAATTTATTTTGTCGTTTATTAATCGTGAATTGTAAATTATAGATAGCAGGCTATCTTTATGAATTTATTTTAGTTTAAGGAATATGTGTTTTTTCATTTGTCTCAAAAACAAAATAATCTGTGTATTCAGTTTTAATTTAAAGTTTATGTTGTCTTGCCTTTTGAATTCTCGAATCAAGAGGTGCTCTTATTCCTTCAATGTAAATTCCGCTAGGGCGTTTTGACTTGGACATTGAACTGAAACTTCGTTTTTGGAGCAAGCAATCAAATAAATTTTTTCTACCCCTTAAAGGAGTTTGCTGCATAAATTAATATATAATCCCATAAATTTTAAATACAGAAAAGGTATATTAAATGAAGTGTTAGATAATTAAATAATGAATGTGATGAAATTTGATAGGGACATCTGCTTATTGTGATGAACATATCTTGCTAGCCCTGACTAAATATATTATTTATTTTTTATTGAATTTAAAATAATATATATTTATGATAAAAATAATACTTGGATTGGTGATCCTAGTCAGCGTAGTAGCTTAAGATGCAATCATATGTAGTGGATTCATTCGAATTCTAAAGGCAGACAGATAAGATATAAATGTCAATCAAATTGAAATGAAACTTTTAGGATCCAATAATTAATTCATTGATTATATAGAAATATCTGAAAATGGGTTCTATTCTATAGAAATTGAAGATGATGGCACTCCACTAATTGATTACGTTGTCTTCATTCAACCAAAAGTTAAAGGATTTGTGGCCAGTCCAAGTTAAATTAATTTAAAATTCCAATCAAAAACATTTGATGAGGCAAGCTCTTTTTGTAATAAACAATTGAATTTCTCTATAAAGAGAGCACCAGTGGAAGAGCCAAAATAATAATAACAATAATAATAATAATAGGAATAACAACAACACAGGGAATAATAATAACAAAAAGAATAATAATAATAATAACAATAACAACAAGAAATAACTTAAACTTAAGAAGAAAAAATTGAATAGTAATAACAATAAGTAGAAATAGATTAAAATATTGAATATATTGTTAGTAAGACTAATGATTAAGATTATAATTAAAATTATGATGAGAAGTAAGATAATGAATAAGGAAAAGAATAAATATAACCAGATGAAATATAGGAGGAATTATTGAATGAAGATATTGATGAAAAATCATTTGATCATTTTAGATTGATTGGATAAATAGTTTTTGAGGGAGATTTCACTTTAACAGAAAAAAATTTATACTTCATTAAATCATTTAAAGTTTTTGATAATTTGGATGGTATTATATTTAATTTAATTTTCTAGAATAAGTACAAGGAAGAACATTAAGTTTCTAAAATTACTTTGAAGTAGAAACAAATGAAGCAAAAACTCTTAAATTATAATTGGTTGTCGAGAAAACTAAAGAAAAAGGAGAAAGTGTAAATAAATAAATAAATTTTGAATAAAAAATTTCAAAGATATCATTGCTCAACAGATAAATAACTGCTCAACCAGTAAGAATGCTATTTATTTTTAGGTTGTATTTGCTATAAAGAAAGAAACTCCCTAAAAGGAATAAAATAAAATAGGTTAAGTGTTTGCACCATTATTAATTTTTGGATTAGTTTTGGCTATGTTTAATTATGATAAAATATTAAAAAAAAAGTGATTCTATAATATGTATATTTATGTAAAAGCAAATAATAAAATTAATTGTAAAATTAAGATTTAAAAATTAAAATCTTTACTTATTAGTTTGAATGTTTTTTATTTTAGTTTTTATATATTTGATAGAAATATAGATCAAAATCCAAAGTTTTTGTGAGTAATTTAATTATTTGTATTATTTTAAACAGATTGCAGTGACTTGTTATCTTAATTAATTTCAACGACATGTAATTCAATACGAAAATCTTTTTAAAAGGTTTTACCAGATTTATCCTAAAGTGAAAATAAGGGATACTTTGCATGCTTTATCCAGCATAAATTTATCAATCATGAGGATGCCCGTATAATCGAAGAAGTCACAATTAAACCAAGCTTGAAAGAGTTTCTCACTGCTTTGAAATTTAATTTCATGTATACCTAGAGAAAAATCCTTAATTTAAGAATTGTAAAAGAACATCACCTTATAAGACAATGTCTCTGAGTTTGAATTCAATATATGGTTCTAATTTATATTCTTTAACAGGGAATTAATTTTTAGAATTGTATTCTTTGTCTCTATTTTAAATTCGAAACCAAGGGGCACACCCTCCCAAAAATTTAACATTTGGTACTGGAATCAACCTGATTTTGACTAATTCAACTTATTTATTAGGCATGTTGTCAGGAACCCACTTATTATTGAGGGCTTTTTCAAAATAAAAGATGTATCGAATTTGAGAGGGGATGGTGACACCCTTTAAAGAGATAAATAAATGATTACTTTTTTATTTTTGGTTCTAATCATGCCGTAATATCTCATGGAATCATAAGCATTGGTGAATTGTTTAGCATAAAGCATATAACAACATATCATGACACCAGTACGACCCTTAAACGGTAACAATATTTATTACTTTTCCTGCTTTGCAATGAATTCCAGCAACATTTTTTTCGTGAGTTTTTAGCCAGTTATCCTAATTATATGATAAGGATAAATACCAAATCAAGACAGAATTCATATATGAGAGAGAAAGTAGGTGCTTGATGATCTTGGAATGGAAACTCTGCTACTTAATTAAAATTAGAATGATCATATTTTCTTTCTTCACAAAGATTGTATACTTTATAATGTCCTGGATGCACCGAATCAAAAAATCTTCTGACATCCTACATTGAATTTCTGTATATAGATTCGATGTTTTCAGCAGGGAAACCCATAGCTATAATCTTTTCAGTGATATCTAATATAATGGTTATGGAATACATGTCAAATCTAAATTAAACCCATTATAATTGTATCTCCTCTTCTATTTGGAAACCAGTAATTTGATTGGATTAGGAACACTCGTTATATTTTGATGATTTCCACTAATATGCTGATTCACTTGATTGACTTCCTGTCTCAATTATTGAGTGCTAACTCTTTCCCTTAAATTAATTTCCTATCCTTTTTAATCATCCTAACTAATCCCATTAGCCAATGCAGCAAAATCAACTTACGACATATAAAAATTGTAATTTTCAGGATCACATTCATCCCCTGAATCTGAGAACATTTCTTCTTCTCCTGATGATATCTCATTCTATTTTGCCCTCGATTTTAATTCTTCTTATGTTGCACTATGCATTATTAATATTATAAATGTCTCTGGTTAAGTGTATTACTATATTTATATTCAATATCCTATAAAATCAACCGTTTGTAGTTTCTCCAATGCCGCAATTCAAACATTCATAAAATTTGGTCGAAGGTTCATCACTAGCCCTGGTTTAAATCTCATTGACCAATTTCATTTATTTTTATCCACAGTTATTGCATAAACCCAAGGCTACATCCTTATTGATGGCTTAAGCTATATATTTGTTATGGTTCATATCATTTGCTGATAATATTTCTCTGCCTACTCCACCTGCTATGGCCAGTCTCTATGAAAATTTAGGTCTATTTAAATACTGTTGCACTAGTCCAATCCTCTGATCTCAATTGAGCGGCTGTTGGTATATCAACCAATCCTGATAACATTCTATTACGAACACTTCCATCCCTATCATTTTATAGGTACTTTAGAATCTCTCTGATGGCAGTTTAGTATTGTCTCTCTTTATTCAAAAACTTTTAGTTAATCTGACATAAACTTAAATCATATACTTCTTTTTCTAATTTCTTACAAAATTTAATGCTTTCCTAATGGGGAGTAGTTTCATTAGTGAATTTCTGAATTAAAGTCTATAACACTTTGAGTCTTGTAGGATCAAAATTTTAAGGAAGCTCCAATTAATTAATAAAATCATTTTAATTAATTGGAATTGTATTTGGAATATCGACAGATTACCTTCTGTCTGGGGTTACAGAAATCGGTTATACTTTGTCTTGTTGTACAGGCTTCTCATTTTTCTTCAATTTTTATAATGTTTCTGTGGCTTTCTCTTTGATTTACTTAAGATCTTATTCACTTAAAGAAGCATCTCCAACTACTTCAATTTAAGTTAGTGTCCTTACAGTTTTGAGGATTTTGGAGTCAGCAAGGGCCCTAAATATATTATCAACCATACTTCTGATCAATTTTGGGATCCTCTAGTTGATTGAGAATACTAATGACTTATTTTTTTCCAAACTTTTTGTATCCATGAAGCTTCTTTCTCATATCTTACAAATCTATTTGATCCATTAAGTAATTTTTTTATATTATTATTATTATGAATAATATCTGTATTTTATTGGATTAAATAAAACTAGTATATAATTAATTCAGAAATAAATGAATGAATATAATCATATCTATATAATTACTGAACATATGCTTTATGTGATCATCTTAGAACTCTTGAAAAATATTGAATCTCAAAATATATTAAATTACAATAAATACACGCGCGGCATCTATTTATTATAAAATATTTGAAAAAATTATGCAAATAATTTCTCTTTCTAAAAATCTGTTTAATCCATTGGATATCACTTTCGGAATCCAAATAAAAAGTGAGAAATATCAATATATCCTCATATTATGAATTCTTTAATTTTATAAAGAAATTTAAATTAGAGCCGCAATTCAAAGTTATTACACTTAAATATCTTTATATTTATATACATTATATCTATAAGATGGATACCTAGATTGAAGTTTCTAAAGATGAATAATTAAGAAGTTCAAAGTTTTCATTCTTCGTTATAAAAATATTTTGAATGAGCGAGAAGCTCGTCAGGGATGAAAAAATTGATTAAAGAGATTCTTCTATGTATGAGGATCGTATAAATAAGTTGGTAGTGCACTTCTTGGAATAAAATAGTAAACATGTTGATAATTTTAGACTGGAATTGATGAAAAATAAAAAAGAAGAAAATTGAATAGAGATGCTGTTGGATATGTGTGCTTGATAATTAATATTAATCAGGCTGTGACAACGTCTCCTCTGACTGTTTCAGCAACAGCGACAGTTTACTCAACCAAGGCAGCAGCGACACCAGCTGAGGTCAAGGCACTTCTCAAATGTCCAATGACGGTGGTGAATTGGGCGTTTGTGACTCCCATGTTGGCATGGACTTCTTTTAAGTTCTAATTAAATATAAATGTAATTGTTTACTCTTCCTCCCCAAGCCTTTGGTCCTCCGAGGGCAGCACATAAAAATGAAGCTGTCTTGTTTGTTTAGTCAGCCATATTGATTCCATTGAAGAAATTGGCAACTGTTGCATCAGCTTGGATGTTGGCATAGAATTATGTTGTGACTGCTGTGACTGCGGCTTCTCCTCCTAATTATTCAAAAAGTGTCATGTTGATTTTGTGGATGTTTTTATTAATCAAAATACAGGATATATTAGATAGTTTTGAACCTTGGAAAATTAAAGATATTTCCTGGTATAAATTAATGAGCCATGTTGCGTATTATAAATATAATTTAGTAAATAAATTAAATAGTTTATTTGCTGGTTTATAATATCAAGAAGCTTAATCAGAATTATCTTTAAGATTTTTCATTTTTTCATCTCCAAACAGTCTACCTGAACTTTGCATAAGGGGATCCATCATTTCAGATTCAAAAAATCCTACTTTCTCAATTTCGTTTTCTTTATCTGGTGAAGGTGGAGGCAAATATTAATAAATACTGAGTTCATCTTCAGGTACCTTATAAGTAGTGAAACTGAACTGACTTTTTTTTGGACATGATTCCAATCTCATAGAACACATATTTGATATTTATTGTTAAGTTTCTTACAAGCGAGCTTCTGGCTGTAATTCCATAGAATGTAGATTGATTATCAATTATTATGAACCTAACAAAATTGATTATTATCGTTTATTGTGTCTCTATTTCAGAATTAATCTGGGATCATTCTTTCGATGATTTAATCTTTTCAAAAGACTCCTCTGACTTTCTAATAGCTTTTAATCTTCACTAAACCATCCATGTTTCAAAGCTGTATCAGGATGAGGTCTCAAAGCCCAATCTTTTTACAATAATTGGGTAATGAGATCTCTGGCTTCATCTGATACTCCTTCAAATAACTCAACTGGGAAACTTATCTTAGCTTCTTTTATGTTATCAATTAAGTCATTGAGACTAATATTATATACGATTATATACTAATCTGCATTGAATGGCAATTATCCTGACAACATGGAATATAAAATGCAACCTGCACTCCACATATCAACCATCTAACTAATAGTTTATCAATGATCTATTTACTTGTATCCTTCTCCTGTGAAGATTTCAGGAGCAGAAAATGCCACTGTTCCAGTATATGTCCACATTTCAATTTTCTCTCTGTCTTTCAAATCTCCAAATTCCTTATATGAATCACTGAATTTGCTAACATTAAAGTCTGTCACTTTGATTAACTTTTTATCTAATAACAAAATGATTAGTACTATTTACACAAAGAATATTGTTTGGTTTAAGATCTCTATGACAAATACCATTTCTATGCATATATTCAATTGCACTTAACAACTATTTAAAGATTTCTTTAGCATCCTCTTCACAATAATGACCCAAAGAATTTAAAACTTCAAACATTTCCTATCCTTCAATCAGTTCCATTACTACATAGGCTTTACTTTCAGATTGAAAGCTATTATCAAAATCAACATATAATTTATGCACTTTAACGATGTTTTCATGTGACAACTTAATTAGTCTTTAAAACTCAATGATCATCTAAAATTTCAATCTAATGTTACATTTCTAATTATTTCATCATCCTGAGTCTAAACAATCTTCACGGCATACAGATTTTAAGTAGTCTTATGAATAATCTTTTTAACCAATCCTAAACACCCTTCTCCCAATACTTCTAACATGTCATAATTCTAGTGAAATTCTTTAGTATTTGGACAGATGAATTCAGAATCAATTGAGTTTATTTCTATATCTAATTTTTTGCCTAAATCTTGCAATTCTTCTATTTGATCCTTAGTAATAGGCAGAGGTTTATTTAAAATGTGCAATATCTAACCTACATGCTATTTAAATGCAATACCTCTTAAATTATTTTTGATACGATCTCGGTTATTTTATACTTATTATTATTGAGGGTCTTCCTATTGTGTTTTAAGAAAGGTAAATCTACCACTCGGTTTCTTTTCCATTCTTGCTCTGAGAATTTCATTTGGAGAGTCTCGTTTTTGGGTGGAAGGACTCAAATGCATAAATTAATAATTATAATTTGATTATAGCTTAACACTCAAGTATTATTATAGCTTAAAATTTGACTAAGTTGAGAATATTATATTGAACTATGTGATTGATGAATCTACAAATAATCAAGAATTTAATTTATGAGTAAAATCAATAATTAAAGTGTGCAATGAAGGTTGATGATATCAACAAAACTATGATAAAGGATAGTGAGATGAGTGATGAAGAGGAGAAAGAGGTAGAGCCTAAATAATCTAAATTGAAATATGTAATAATGATTCTTGGGTGTTTGTTAATGTTTGGAAATAATTATTCATTTGATAATCCATAAGCACTTCAAAAATAATTAACATAAGATTTAGGTATATCCATTTCAAATTATAACTTGTTGTATTCTGCATTCTCATTTCCAAATATATTTTTAACTCTCATTGGGGGATTTATTATAGATTTTTTGGGTAAAAATTCAATATCAATTTAAGGTGTAAGATTTGGGATCGTTCTGTTTAGTGCGATAGTAGCAGTGGCTTAAATGATAGTAGCATTGGGAGGAGCATTTAAAATCTTCTGGATCATGTTAGTAGGAAGAATAATATTTGGATGCGCATCTGAAAATTTAGTAATTGCTTAAGCAGCTATCATCTGTAAATGGTTTAGAGGAAAAGAACTATCGACTGTACTTACTATTTCTAATCCTCAATTTAGGCTATTGGTTATATCATGACGGTACCTGAATTAGCTAGTGCTGCTAACTCTTTACTTACTCCTATACTCTATGAATAATATGAGGGTTTAGCCTATCCGCTGTTTTTTAGTGTGATTTTGTGTGTCTTTTCGTTTATATGCGCAGTAGTCTTGTGTATTTTAGATAAAACGAATGAAATGAATAAATTGAGTATTTATTTATAATAAGAAGAGGGATAATTTATAATTGAAGAATAAGAAGAAGAAGCAGGTGAAGGTGAAGAACAGAAGGATGATATAGAAAGAGTGTCATTTAAAGATATTAAAAATTTGAATGGAACATTTTGGATTCTAGTCTTGATTTGCACTTTAACTTTAGGATCTTATACTCCATTTTTGGATGATGCCAATGATTTTTTATAGGAAAAATTTGAATTCACGAATGTTTAAGCAGGAAAAGTGTTGACTATCCCATATTTAATGGCAGGTATTTTTGAGACAATTTAGCAATTACCAGTCCCTTTTTTGGGCCATACATAGACAAAGTTGGAAAAAGAAGAAAATTCATTTTAATAACCTGTGTTCTATTCACCTTAACTCATTTTGCATTTGGAATAATGCCAAATGGTTAACATGGATAACCTAATTGGTTTTCAGTTATACCTTTGATGTTTTTGGGAACCAGTTATGCTCTCTATTCTTGTGTGTTAATTCCATCTATTTAATACATAGTTGCAGAGAAAGTGGTTGGGACAGCATTTGGTTTATTAGGAATGTTTGAGAGTGTTGCCTTGGCCTTCTTTCCAATTTTAGCAGGCTTTATTGTTGAGAAATCGGATGATCCATAATAAGGATATTCAAATGTAGGATTCTTCTTTTCAGGAATTTCCATTTTTGGAATCATATTTACGCTTTCCTTATATATATTTGATAAGAAGAGTTCAATGGTTCTAGATTTTGTGAATCCTGAGGATCCTTCAGATTTGGAGCAGAAAATGCTTAGAACAACTAAATCTGATTCAAGCAGTGATGAAGAGGATGATGAGTCGAGCGATGAAGATTCTGAGGATGATTAATTTAAGAAGAAAAAAGTGTGTAAGAGTTACTCCAGTTTAAAGAGCAAGAAGCTATTAACATCTCCTTAATTGAGAACTAGAAGTTTATACAATTGATATATAGGTTATTCATATATTTGATATTCATCCATTTATTATTATAAATAATGTTTTTTATTATAGCGTTTTTGTTTTTACATTTATAGCTATCTGTATATTCCAAGAATTTGAGAGATAACTTATTAGTGGGATAGACTAAAAGATTCAACATTGAGAAGAACGATGAAAATATGATCTATGTTCATTTAATACCTCATTCTCATGATGATGTTGGATGGCTCAAGACCTATGAAGAATATTATTATGGTTTGAATAATAAAGTGTAATGGGCTGGAATACAATACACTATTGATAGTGTTGTCAGATCATTATTCTTTGATTAGACCAAGAAGTTTATCTAAGTAGAAATTGCTTTTTTTAAATTGTAATTTGTTTAATAAATAATAAAGATGGTGGGATGAATAAAATGATGATGCGAGAAATAAGACTAAATATTTAATTAAAAATGGATAATTGGAATTTATAAATGGAGGATGGTGTATGAATGATGAGGCTACTGCATACTATGAAGATATTGTTGATTAAATGACTTTGGGACATCAATGGATCCTAGATCGTTTCTAAATTAAACCAACTATAGGGTGGTAATTAGATCCTTTTGGTCATACATCTGCATAAGCTGAGTTATTTGCTCTCATGGGTTTTGATGCTTGGTTTTTCAGTCGTATAGACTATTAAGATATGAATTTAAGGAAATAGCAATAGAAGATGGAGTTGATATCTACGGTTGATCAATACTCCATATTTACACACATCAATTATAATCATTATGAAGCACCTCCTCAGTTTAGTTTTGACTCTTTGCATTCCTAAGATCCGATTGTGGACAATTAAAATAGCATACATTACAATGTAGATAAAAGGGCAGAAGTATTAGTGGACTATTTTAAATCACAAAACTAAAGTTATTTAGGCAATGTCTTAATGCATACTTTGGGTACAGATTTTGGTTGGTCTAATGCTCCTATGTATTATACAAATATAGATCGTTTGATCAAATATATTAATGCCAATAAGCAAAAATACAATATGCAAATTATTTATTCCACTCCATCTTAATATCTATAAGCTATTAACTAATTAAACTTATAATATCCAACTAAAGAAGATGATTTTATGCCATATGCTGATAGACCTAATGCTTATTGGACAGGATATTTCACAAGTAGAGTATCATTAAAATTGTTAATAAAATAATTAGGAAGATTTGCTTAAATTTAAAGAAGATTTATATCAACTTTGTTATTAAATGGCAAATCTTAGTATATATAAGTGAATCGCCAATAAATATTAGATGCTTAAAACATCTTGGATCAAGCTTTGGCAACCAACTAACATCATGATGCAGTCACAGGAACAGCCAAACAACATGTTACAAATGATTATATTGAAATGTTATGTAATGGACATCACAAGATTAGTCAACAACTCTATCAAATAATGAAAGAACTTATTGAGTTTGAAATTCAAGATGAAACATCTCAAATAGTGTTTGAAGAATGCAATTTTAATTAAACTGCTTCATCTTGTAAACTTGTCTACGAATAATTAAAGAATGGAAATGCTGTTTAGATGAATATGATTGAAAATAAGAACCTTCCACTATAGGATTACGTGAGAATTAAAGTACCTAAATTAAATCTGACCATCTATGATTAAACAAACAAAATCGTAATTGGTGATATTATTTGTATTAATAATGACGATGATTGTGACTTGTATTTCATTTACAATAGAAATCCAAAATAAATTATTGAATATTTTAGAATATTACCAAATCAAGAAAACCCAAGTGCAATTATAGTTCCACCTCAAACAGAATCCTTAACATATAATAGTTTTTCAGATTACATTTCACTTAACAACTCTAAGTAATTCAAATTAACTTACAAATATTATATCTCATCAGAAGATAAATAATATAGTGGTGCTTATATCTTTAGAACTAATGATGAAGCTCTAGAATTTGGAGAAATAAAAACACATAGATTATACTTAGGTAGGCTAATTCAAATATTCTATATTGAGAGAGATTAAGTTCAAACTAAAATTAAGAAATTTGAACACATCGAAGATACATATGAAATTGAATCATATATAACTGATATACCAATTCAAAAAGAAAATGGTAAAGAAGTAGTAATGATAATCTCAACAGACATTTAAAATGATGATACTTTTTACACAGATAGCAGTGGTATGAGATTGTAATAAAGGAAATTAAATTATAGACCTACTTGGGATTTGGAAGTTCATCAACCAGTAGCAGGGAACTATTATCCAGTTAATGGAATCTTGTAAATTTAGAATAATCAAACAGGAGAAGTTGCAGCACTTTTAAATGATAGATCATAAGGAGGCACAAGTTTACATTCAGGGGAATTGGAATTGATGATTCATAGAAGATTATTAAAGGATGATGCAAGAGGAGTTGGAGAACCCTTAAATGAGAAATAATCTAATGGTAGAGGACTAAATCAAAACTTTTAGCATACATTAACATTCTTTAATAAAAATAATTAACCTAATCAAGCAAGATATTTCTAATATCTTTAAGATTTAAAGCCAATTATTATTTTCAGTAATTGTAAAAATGAATTATTCCCTTAACCTGTGAAATCATTTAAAATTACATATCCAAGAGATTTAGAGAGAATGTTTACACCAAATAGTTAAGCTATTACAAAATTTTATCTATAAACTATTGGTGTTGATTAATATATCTATCGAATTCATAACTTGGGAGAAGAAGGAACATTCTAAGTACCAGAGTTAGATTAATTTTAAATAGTAGAAACTACTCTGACAGCTAATCAGTTGTGGACTGAATGGTTAGAGAAGAAATTAAGTAATATTTCATTTTATTGTAGATTGGAAAGTATAGGAAGGACTACAATAGCCGAAGGACTAACCAGTACACAATGAAACTGTGTTACCTTAACAACTAAGGACTTTCAGACTTACAAAAAAGAGTAATTCTAATTAATGAGTATATAATAAAAATTATAATGGCATTTGTGTTTAGAAGTGAAGTTAAACCAGCATACATTCCAAAGACCGAAAATGTTGGACCTGGATAATATGAGCACAATTAAGAATCGGAATCAAAACAAAATCTATATCCATTTAATTCAACGGTCCAAAAATCCACTAACCATAATTAAATAACCAAAGGACCAGGACCTGGGACTTATAATTTATAAGGATCTTTTGAAACTTAAAAAGTTATCTTCTCATCGGATGAATAAGAAATCAAGATTTTGGAAGTGCCTAAACCAATATCTGTATTCAGGTCAAGTACATTGAGATTTAAGGAAGAGCGATAAAATGGACCGGGGTATTTCAACTTAATCTAATATTTTAGTCCTAATCAATATTTTATAGAAGAGCGTAAAAAGTTCTATTAAGCAAATCCGAAACCTAAAATAAATGTAATGGAATAATTAGTGAAAGAAAACAAATATATTAGTATACCATCCATACCATCTAATTATCACCTTGGATATTAAGAAAATTCAGGTTAAACCTTCTCTAATTCCTAGAATCAATCTTAGAACAAAATAATCCTTTGAATTTGTCCTAGGAAGTTGGACCTGGCTCTTATGATGTAAAAAGTAGTTTCAGTAACCAAAAACCAAGAGGAGTGTCTTGGCATAAATCAGCATAAAAGCAAAAATACATTGATACTGAGAATAAAGTTGGACCTGGCTATTATGATATTATTACTAATTCTTAGCCGATGTATCAAATGAAACCAACAACATCCTTTAGTTCCAAATTAAGCAGATAATCAGAATTGAAATTTTTGAATCCTAAAAATAACTAAGGATACATAAAAAAAGGATTAGATAATAAATCATATAGCTTTCATCTTTCAACCAATTCTGGTACTACAGCTAGAGATTCAGACCTTGAATCAGAATATAGTTACATTGAAGTATCATACTAATCAATAATAGGATGCCACTCCAGGACCTGGTTACTATGAAAATGCTTCAACACAATAGACAATATCATAAAATCTTAAATAATCTTAGATCAAAGGTTCAATAAGATCCAGGGCTAAAAGATTTCTGGCTAAATCAAATCAAATACCTGGTCCAGGAAGCTACAAAGTAGATGTAGTATAGCATAAACATTAAGTTACTTAACCACCCTTTATGATTGGCAGAACTCGTTTCGATGATAAAATATCAGAGACTCCTCCTCCCGGAAATTATAAAGTAATCAATACAATGGAAGAAAGATTAATATCAAGATTGGTAAAGGCACCTTTAGGTTAGTTTGGAGCGAATGATAATAGATTCAAGGATTCAAAGATGGAAGTACCTGGACCTGGTACTTATGAAATAATGGATGAAGAAAGAAGAAATAAATATAAAAACGGATTGAAAGGGACAGCAAGCTTTTTAAGTCATATACCAAAAATTTAAGAGTTGATTATTGCAGATAGGAATCTTTCACCTGTGTCATATCAATTGGATTAACATACAATAGAAAAAAGAATAGTCAAGACAGAAGAGGATAATCCGAAATTAGCTGTAGTGAAGCCTCCATTTGGTGTAGGTGAGGAAAGATGGAAAATCAAAGAGGAGAGTGAAGAAGATGATGATGATGAACCTATATATATGAATAAATCGTAGATTAATTCAATTAATTTATTCAAAAAGAGGAAAAAAGATTAGCCTCCTTTTTTGACTAAGGTTTTTAATTTGTTAATTTATTACAATAGGAGGAAAGATTTGCTTTCAGTGTACCAAAAGATTTTCAACCTGGACCATCAGACTATGCAGATGGAACTTTCCCTCATTGGAATAAGAGAACTTTTAATCTCTTATTCGCAGAAATTTGAAAATAATTTAATTATTATGCTTAATTTCTTTTAATCGATTTGCTGCTTTTCCAATCGTGAGAAGCCTGATAAAGCAAACAGACCTATCTAAAAACCAGCTCAAACTATGTCTATTTAACCTGTAATAACCGAGAATACGTAGAGTCAAGTCTTAGAAAATGATATCATAGAAACGGATTAATACCTTCAATTAGACAACCAATACTATATTGAATAACTGGAGTATAAATACATTCTTATTTCATCAGTTTCCAATCTTCTAGTGATATCCCATCTACTCAACAGCCTTCTGACTTCATGTTGTAGGAAGAAGGAATAAACTACTAACCTATGCAAGAAGAAGTTGAACAAAGTGCCAAAAAGGAACAAACTGCAACTAGAAAAGTATTATTCGTTTCTATTTCTATTAGAAAAGAGTACTCAAACTTTGGGACGCCACTGAAGATGCTCAATTACGCGTCCAGTATGAAAAACACAATGGGAAATGGAATGAAATTGCTAAGCACATGCCTGGAAGAAATGTCTCTTAATGTTGTTAAAGATGGAGAAGATTGCAACCAGTCAAGATTGTATTATATTTGTATTTATTTATAGATCAAAAGAAAATAATGGACTTAAGTAGAAGATGAAAAAATCCTTGAATTAGTCTAATAACATGGAAAAAATTGGAAATTGATCGCTTTACGTAAAAATTAATTCAACTATAGTGCCTTAGACTTTCCGGGTATTTTGAGTAAACAAATAAGAGAACGTTATATAAATAAAATCGATCCTGAAATTAACACTGGACCTTGGACTGAAGCTGAAGATGCAACCATCATCAAATTGTATTAGGAATATGGAGGAAAATGGAGTCTAATTTCATCCCATCTGAAAGGGAGGCCTGTATGTTTATATATTTTAATCTCTAGGAAAATATGGTCAAAAATCGATTCTATTGTTATATCAGAAGAGTTCATCTTGGTGTTTAAAATCCATACTAGATTGTTTACCATGAGAATTCTGATAGTGAACAAGAAAATTCTAACGATGAAATGGAATTTGAATGAAATATTTCTAACCATAATTACATTAAATTTAATTTGTTTTAATATGGGGGTTTGTTATTTTATAAAACCATTTTTTACATTATTTAATATATTTTACATTCTAAGTTATTTCTTAAATAAAAAATGATTTTGTTCATATTTTTATTACACTTATAAACTATTGCAATTTTCTCCAAAATATTATAATAATTATTTATAGTGAGTATATTATTTATTGAATATCTCTCTCGTCACATAGATATTGATTATTTTAATGTATTTTAGAATAAGTTAATGACAGAAAATGAAAAATAGTTTAATTAAAATGGACTATTAATCATAAAAATTGGATAGAGAGAAATGTGGTAAGGATTCAAGAATTCTAAGTATCTTGGAATCTGGTGGTATGAAATTAAGCTCATAAAATAGAATAAATACTACTTTCAACTTGTTTGTGGAAATTCAGCCATATTAATAAGTAGTAAGAAAGAATATTGTTAATAACTAATAAGAACATTTACAATATAACTCCTTAAAGTACACTTGTAAACTTCTTTTCAAAAGTTGTTTCAAGTGTAAGAGTGAAGAGGTATGACTGTTGAATAAAATCACTTTAGAAAAATTGCAATATAATATGTAGCAGGAGTCACAATAAGTAAATGTGGGTTTGAATTTGTTCTTCATGTACCAGATGAATATGATTATAGATACTCATCGTTAGATTTGTAAGAAATTGAATATCTAAAGTAGTCGAGAAAAAATATTGTCTACTCTCTCTGATGTTTATTAAAAGATTTTAAAAAAGAGTCTAGCAATTTATCTTACTGATGATCTTACGCTGATTCCTTATACTACAACAAAGGTGGATGCTAAGAAAGGAATTTGCAGAATGCATGGCCATCCAATCAATATTGATCCATAAACTCTATCTAATTTTGATTTTTCAACATTGAAAGCACCTGAAGATAATTAAAAGTAGTAGGTAATAAGGAAGAACTACATTTACTCTCAACATTACAACTTACTTAAATATTTATATTAAGGGATGTTAGGATAAGTGATCCTTGTTTAACACATAAAATCAGAGAAATATTATGTCTTCAAATTAATGTAGAAGCAGGATGTAATTACTACTGATCACTTAAATCATGCCTAGATAGAGAGAAAACTATTGGAGACATTTGATCACCCTTTTATAATTAAATTAGTTTAAGCATTTGAGACAGATGATTAATTAGTTTTTGTTTTGCCATTCTATTAAGGAGGTGATCTTTATACTCATTTAAAGAAGGAGACAAGATTAAAAGAAGAAAGAGTTAAATTCATAGTTGCATAATTATTATTGGCTTTGGGTTATGTGCATGATCGTGATTATTTGTATCGGGATTTGAAACCTGAGAACATTCTCATGGATTCTAATGGGTATGTAGTATTAACAGATTTGGGATTGTGCAAATAATTGCCAAATAATCATCTATCCTATAGTTTTACGGGCTCTGCTGAGTACATTGCTCCTGAGATGATTTCTGCTACAGGTTACAACAGAATGATTGATTGGTGGATGTTAGGAATATTGGCCTATGAATTAATATTTGGAATCACTCCATTTTATTGTGATAATCAAAGTTAATTATTTGAATCAATCCAAGAAAGAGAAGTGAGATTTTCGAATAATATTTCAATCTCTATTGAATGCAAAGATTTTATAACAAATCTTTTAAAGAAGGATCCAAAAGAAAGATTGGGATATAAAAGAGACTTCTTGGATTTATAACTACATTAGTGGTTTAAAGATTGTGATTTCAGAGAACTAATAAGAAAAACTAATTAAACTTGGAAGCTAAATTTGAATGATCCCTTAGATCTCAGGTTTTTCGAAACTGAAGATATAACTTATGGTATTAAATTGTGAATATTTTAGAATCTTTGAATGCTCAATAACAAGACAAAGCACTCATCTAAAAGTTTAATTAAGAATTTCAAAACATTGAATTCAATCTATGATATTTATGTTGTATGTATGCATATTGATTTCAAATTGAAATTCATTTATCAAATATTAGATAACTTTGATCTGAGATGTATAATAAAAGCATGAAAAAACTTTCATGTTTTAAGAATATATATTAAAAATTCATTTAATTTTCTTGACTATTCACTCATAAACTTAATCTTAGGATAACAGTTTCTTGAATGTTTTGTTTCCTATCTATTTTTCTGATGTTCTTGGGCTAAAGGGTCTAATATTATATCAGTATACTAATGTTACATTTCTTTTTTAAGAATTGCATTCACCATTAGAGTAGCATTTCTTTATGTCTATCTCCTAACAAACTGACTTTTTTAATCGTTGTTTAATTCTGCTTAAAATTTGATCTAATCAGTCTCTTTGGTTAAGAAACTTAAACTCGATAATCTTCTCAATTATGGTCTTTTTTCATTTACTTATATATTTAAGTTTTCATATTAGAGTTTGTCAAATTTATTTCTTTCCTCTTACATAATTTTAAAATCGTTGTGATCTCTAGCATATTTCACTTCTTAATTTTTTACAATTGACAATCTTTTTGAAACTTTATTAAGTATTCCTCTCATTGAAGACATCTTATCAAACTCTTCCTTTTTGCGTTTCTATTCTCGAATATAAATAATTTAATCTAATAAAGCCTTTCTTTGCATTTGATTTTCTAGAAATTTTAATGCTTTTGAAACCTATAGAGGATCAAAAGGATTTTTGAGTTCTTAAATGGCTTAATTCAACATATCTTTGTTTCTTTTTTGTTTAAGTAGATGTATTTTTTGAGAACAATTATATTTAGTCTCTGAAGTAGGAGTAAGTGATTTTTACATATTAATTTTATAATGAATTAACAAAAGCCTCCATCAAATTCAACGAAAAAAATAGATTAATCTGTTTCAACAATTACTAGGAAATCACAATCTGCATCAAGAAAAGATTCATCTTTTTAATAGGCTGCTGTCAGATAAGTCTTAGTAGGCGGACAACCAGGAGTAATATAAAATTTAAAATTCCAAAGGATGGGTTATGGTGTTATTCTTAAGATTAGCCTTAAACAAATCTGGCTAGTATAAAGGATATTGACACACAGATGAATTAAAAGTTCAAGTAAATTGAATCCAATATTGAATCAGAAATAGTGGAAACTTTAAGATAATAATGTCATTAGTTAGGGTTAGATTTGGAGAATGTGAATGTTTAGAATTAAAATTTAAAGATTGATATCGCTTAATAAAATAAATACATAGATTAATAAACCAAAAAGCTTGAAACAGCAATGAAGGAAATTGAAAATTTAAGGAATGTTAAAGCATCTCTTTAATCTTAATGTGACACAATTAAAGATCTCTATAATAAAACTAAAAGGGATTTAGCAGGAGTGACTTAAGAATTAGAATAAGAAAGGAAAGAAAATGAAGAGATGACTCAATAGATGGAAAAATTATAAGGATTATATTAAGAAATGTAAAAGGCAAATAAAGCAGAAGTTGATAATCTGAGAGAGCGAGTAGAAGAATTGGAAGAAGAGAATGAGGAATTTAAAAGAAAGTTATAAATAAAAGTTGAAATAGATAAGAGATTGGATTAAGAAAGTATGGAATGATTATTAATAGGAACTATCCAATAGAATTAATAGAAGTTAAATTTGGTATCTGAAAATGAGAGGAAATTAGAAAGAATGGGTAAGCTATTGGAAGAAAATGCTACTTTAAGTGAAAAACTAGGAGAGAGTGAAACATTAAGAAGACGATTTATGGAGAAAAATAATCAATATGAAAAAGAAATTAAAATTGTAAACCATCAAATTTATATTGTTTAGCTTGTAGAAAGCAAATTAGAAGTTGAAAAACAAATGGTAGCGTTAAAAAAAAGAGTAAATGATTTATAAGTAATGAAATCAACTAATCAAAAAATATTGGAAGATAAAATCAATAAATTATAAGAGTAATGTACTTAATAGCAGAAATAAATTGAAAAAATGAATCAAAAGTCAAAAAGAAACTAAACCTAATAAATCCATCATCAGCAAAACTAAGAGGAGGAAACCTCAGATTATGAAGATGTTGAATCTAAACCATAACTCTTTGGGGCTTGATTAAAAGAATCTTATTTTTATAAATATAATTATGTTATCATAGAAGGAATATTAAAGATTTACTCAAACTCAGCTATCTGAAGATCAATAAAATTTAGATACTAGTGCGTATTTTGAATCACCATTATGCAGCAATAATCGATAGAGTATTAGAAATGTCTAAATTAGAGAGGTTCACTTTTACTATTGAAAACTCTGTTTTGAAGTCTTAAATTGACAATCAACCAAAATCTTAATCCTAAAATAAATATTCTCTACCTACCCACGGGAACATCTAACTTCCCTTAAAAAAATCTTACATACTCCAAGGAGCACTCTCAAATCGAATACTTAGAATGAAATAAAAAAATAAACTATAAAAGAGTCAAAGCCAAATTTAAGCCATGTAGTTTCCGAAGTTTAATAATAAGATTCGAAGACGAAGTGGTTGTGAACTCCTTAGTGACAAATAAGTAATCACATTTCACATTATTAGGTTAGACTAGCCACTCTGTATCCAATTACTTATATTGCCTTTCATTAATAATAGAAGGAAACTAAAAGAAATGAAATGAGAAAGAAAACTATCTTTAAAAGAATGTCAAGTATTTTAATCAAACATTCAAATAATTTAAAATCTCAATCTAATTTAGGAATTTCTTAATAGAAAATTATGGATGAGATTCATACCAAATTGGATGAGAAATCATCCCATATTATTCTTAATTAATTTTAAAAATAAATTGGATGCTTAAAAGAATCTTAGGACTTGTTAGAAAATATGGAGAATTCTGAAAAACTCTTGCTTTTATAAGAAGAACTTAAAAGATATTCTTAATCTTTAAATAATTCACCAATTATTAAAAGGAATTCTAAGAAATAATCAAATGAGAGATTTTTTGATTCTTAAAAAGTCGTCCTAGATATAAGTAAGAAATAACGCAAAACCTTTACTTCTGTTCAAAATTACATAAGTGAACGTTCACAATCTAATCAAACTAAATCTGTTGGTGTAATCTAGAAATAAATTCACTTTAAATATCAAAATTTGTAAAGTCTAACAGAAACAGATACTTCTTCCCCAGTCAAAATAAAAACCACATAAACTGCTCGTCATTTTACGCATATCAAATCTCTATCAAATCTCCCGGATATAAAGGAAGTATAAACTTAAAGAATAAATAGTAATAGAATCTAAAAAATAGCTGAAAAAGTCAAAAATGTATACATATTTAGTCCTAGCAAAAATAAATAATTTTTAGATAAAATAAAAATGTGAAAGTTTTTGTACTAATTAACATATTTTTAAATCTCTTAATTTATCATAAAATAAAAGTTTAGAGTTTTCACCTTATATACATCTAAATTATTATAATTTATTTTATAAAAGGTGTTTCAATATATATTCTCAATGATGTGTGGTAGAAGTTATATTAATTTATTGGCTGAGAAATAATTTGTGATTGTGTCGATTTTTGTTTATTTGGAAATACCTTTTTTATTCTAGGTATTCAAAGATAAACATGATGATACATACTAAATTAAGAACTTGGTTCTTATTATTATCCTCACAATTGTTCTATAAAATTTTTGTTTTCTTAAATTAAGAGGATTACTTCAAAAGGGATTAAATATTTATCAAGAAAAAGGTAAATTAAGGGTAGTTATTGTCTTTGTGAAGAGAAATAGTTAATTAATGAGGGTTTCAAAAGGAATGAATTTAAATTAATTTGATCATTATTTTTATTAAAAAAACAAGAAGGTCAAATGGGACTGTAAATAATTATTTTTAAACCATATTAGAGATCTAAAGATGAGACTTCTTTTAAGCAACACATTTATGTCACTGGTTGTGGTTGTGAATTTAGCTTTGGTTTCATATTTGAAAGAAAACGATGGAGGTGATTATACTCAATTTTCATATATAACAAATATTAGCACATCTGATCATGATAAATATAGAAATTACTTAAACCTTGCGATTGCTGCCTTTGTTTTAATGCTAGTAGGATTTCTAGTAGGAATGGTCCAACCATTTTTGAAATAAGCAGCGCTTGCTTATGTGATGGCATTGTTGATATTAACAGGATATGTATGTCTATTTGCAGGAGTATTCATAAATGACACCTTCTAATACAATTTTTCTGATGGAAAATCGTATAATTACAGTCTGGCATCATTCTTTGGAATGGGAGGAGTTTTTATCTAAGGAATGGTAAATTCTTGGAGATAAAGATCAGTTGAATGAATATTAATAGTTTATTCAATATATATAATCATATTTCTGAGTTATTTTGTAGTTTGATCAATATTTAAATGCAACTATTTATCATATTATTATAATTTTTGTATCATTTATTATACTATCATTTTTTCTTTCTTGAATTACTTTCAGAATCAATACTTTCATCACTTCCATCTGATTGTTCCTCAACGTCTCCCTCTTGAAAATCGTCATCATCTTCATCTGAATCTAAATTATTGAGGTCCGCATTAGCTTTGTTCCTTTGATTATATAAAATAAATTAACTTTTTGCTTCTACTATCATCATCGTCGTCTTAATCACTTTCGCTCAGCTACACACGAGGGAGTTCCTCTTACAGTTTTCTAACAGCTATCTTTTTGGTGGATAAATATTAAGTTAAATTATCTAATTCATCCTTTTCTATACTAGAAAAAAGTTGATTTGAATTTTTATATATTACTTTAACATCAAAGAACTTATTCAAATTTGTTTATCCGATCTAAAAATTTATCATAAAATATACTCTTTGAAAAATAACTTCCTTTATTTCCTCGTGTTTGATGTGTAGAACAGGCTTTTGTAAATATATTAGAGATTTCTCTAATGGGAATAAAAATCCAGAATGAGGACCAACAGAGCATCTCAAACAACATAACCCATTTTTGGTTTTAAAATTTTTAGGTGTGACAACCTTAATTCCTGTTATTTCAGATAATAATTCGCATACTGTGTCATATAATGGGCCTGAGTATTCTTCTTTGATTTCTTTCCATCCAATTTCATCTAGTTATTGCCTCTAATATTTTAATTTAATTTCATTTTCATAATCTTTCTTAAATTGCATAACTAAGTAATTATAAGCTGTCTATCCTTATTTGAAAGGATGTTCTAGTCCTATTACAAGTGATAAATTAATTTCATCAGGCATGGGCAATAAGAAAAATCTTGAGATGCCCTTGTAATCTGTTGTGAATTAATAAGTATTTCCATGAAATCGAATATCCTTTTTAAAGAAATCCATAGTGTAACGCCCTCTTTCGAAAATTAATATATCAATTACCTTGGTACAATCAAAGGAACATCATTAATGGTTAGAATCGAGTCAGCACTACTCTGTCCAATTTTCGCCTTTACTAAGATTTCATTCTATAATTGTTATTAGAATGTTGGTTCTTCGTCTTCTTCTTCATCAACTTTTTCCTAATCCGAATCCGCATCTTATTTTTTTTTCTCTTGTTTGACTTTCTAATTTGATTTCAAATTTTACTTATTCTTATGGAGGAATGAAAAATCTCACTTCGCATAACATGTCATCACTAATTAATCATTGCAGCTATACTTTTCGCCACATTCCTCAGTTGTCAATTGCAATACGATGTCATTTTTCTAGGTATTCGAATTAACCACTTTTTTGAGTGGTAATTTTATTATGTTGCTTGAATTATATCTCAGCGATAAATTTTTGTCATCGACTGAAACTGATCCCCAGTTGATCCCTTTGGTACATTGATCTGACATTTTAAATTAAATAATAAACTTATATTTGGGCGCATAAAAATTCAATATTTGTGATGAGGAATTTTCTTAAACAAATTTATATGTTTTTTAACGGATCTCACATCATCCATATGACTCTCTATCCAATTAATATTCAATCTGAAATGATTCACGCAAAACAACGCTGCTTAAAACTTTAAATGATATTTAAATTTACTACTCAACTCGAAATATTATCTTCTAACATAGTTAATAAATTCAAGCTAAGGCCTTATTAAAACTATGAAATCTCTCTAAAATCTAAGACTATTTTCATATAAAATAAAGTATCAACGGTTTTCTACATGAATTAATCTACTTTGTCTTTATTATAGATTTATCATTCTGTGAACTAATTACTATGATGTTATAAAAGATAAATTATAATTTACACCTAAGCATCTTTCTCTCTAAAGATAATATTTCACTGTTAAATATTATTTTGCAACTCCTTAGCTATATAGATAGTATTACTTCCTAACACAAGTCATCAATGTATATTGGATTTAAATAAACAAATGATATACATCACGAAATGTGTTCTATAAATATTGATAAACCAATTCAATTACTTTGAAATTGATTCTTCAAGATAATTTTAAACTATTTCATCATGTTCCAATCCAATCCTCTTTCTATCTTAATAGCATATGATAATTTTTTCTCTATCTCATTTCCAAATTTTCATTTAAGTATTGATAAATTGAAATTCTCAATATTAAATAGGATTATAGTAAAAAATCGTTTGTTCGTCCTAATGGTATCTTAAATATTTCTCGATTAATTTCGATAAAATTCAAATTAGAAATATCCTATAAGGTTGACGTAACTCGATTCCTAGAACTCAATATAAGATACTTACATTAATCAATTGTATTGTGTTTGTAACAATTTTTAGTTCAGAAAAATTTATAAATTAACGAATATAATGAAAAATCTTAACCAAAATTGAATACAAGTGAAAAAGCAATAAAAGAATAATAATTGTCTAAGATTTTTTCCAAGTTTTAGATTTAAACATATTGAATGAAGATATTTGGATTAAAATTATGAAATAAACTAATTAATTAGTATTTGTAATAATAATTTGGGGTGTTATTACCGATTAAATTTACATATGTTTGAGTTTGAGAATAAACATCAATTAAATATATAATAAATATTAATATCCATTGATTATCAAATATATTAGATTCTAGCAAATGATTATTAAACTTATTAATGCCTTTATTCCAATTAACTTAAACTCCATTCTTTAAAATTTACTATTTAATATCTTCATATACATATAATTACAAAATTATTAATTAACATAAATCTAAAGAATTATTTATATATTTCAAATATTAACATTCCATATAGCATATGAATTTGGAAATATATTTAATAAATTATTTAAGCTTATAAAATGGATCTAATTGTTTTTGTATTTTTTCTTTTACAATCCCATTTAGATAAAACAATTAATATCTCATGTGAATGTGCTCATATTATCGAGGAACATAAATGCAATAATTCCCAAAAATGTTTATGGAATAATATGAGTGAAAAGTGTTAAATAAATTTGAATGCTGAAACTTAAATTCAAAGTCTATCATATTGTTCATAATTTGTTGAGGATGAATGCATTTTAAATAAAAAGTGTGCATTTCACTTAGGAAAATGCTAAGAATTTACAAAATGTGAAGACTTATTGAAAGATAAATGCCTATCATCATCGTATTGGTGTATTTCAAATGGATAAATTTGCATTCCTAAGAATGAATGCCAAGAATATATAAATAAAGTGAGTTGTCAAAATAAAAATATACATGGGAAATATTGTATATGGAAAATAACAATTGATGGTCCTAAATGTTTAAATGTTGAAAGTTGTGAAGAATTGCCTTAAATCTTAAATACAGACAATGCTTGCAGAGAATAAATTAACAATTGCACAACATCTAATTAAGGTGGATGTATGAGATCAAAAGATTATTGTAATATGTATACTTTAGAGGAGTAATGCTTTTAAACTTATTAGAATGTTAAATGTTTTTGGGAATAAAAATTAAAGAAATGTTTTGAGAAAAATTGTTCTAATAAATATTTATAAATTCATCATGAATGTTAAAATTTTTTATCAAATTGCACCACTGATGGCACTAGATGTATTGATAAATCATCATGTTAATAATATTAATAATAATAAGGGTGTGTAATAGATAATCTTGGAAATCCTTGTATCTTTTATTAAGGATAATGCTATTATAAAAATTGTGATTAGGCCCCAATAACAATAAACTCAATGCTTTAATGCTAATCATTTGATAATGGCAATTAAGTCTGCGTATCAAAAAAAAACGGAGGATGTAAAAACAAACCGAATTAATGTGATTAATTAGAAACGTAAGATTCTTGCCTAATCACTAATTAAGTAGCTGGCAAATATTGTATATGGGATGAAAGAATATAACAATGTAAAGTTAAAGAATGTAAAGATGCTCCTCTAAATTTTGATCATAATTAATGTATATAATGGCTGGATGATTATTAATGTATAAGTGGACAAGGAAATGGCTGTATTGATAATTTTCAAAATTGCAATGACATTAAGAATCTAAAAAGTTGTGTGAAAAATAAAAATAGGAAGTAATGTATTATTGAAAATGATGAATGTTTTGAAGAAGAATGTCAGAGTTTTAAATATCCTAAATACGATACAGATAAAAAATGTTCAGATAAATTAAGTATTTGTACTTACAATTATTTAACTAAAAGTTGTATTAACAAAGTATGTGAAAATTTATCAGATAAAGAATGTAATTATGATTTTGAAATGAATAAATGTACAATTCCGTCTGGTTGTTCACATAAAAGATGTGAGTCAGCTTCATTTTATTTAAGTTCTTATGAAGATTGTTAAAATTGGGATATTAGATGTACAATAAATATAATTGTGACAACAAGTATGCTATATATGAATGGTTGTATTACAAAATATATGGATTGTCACCAATTTAAATATTAACAATAATGCACATCAACATTACAAGGAATTCCTTGTTTTTGGAACAATGAGATAAAATTATGCGAATTTTAAACTTGCAATAATGCTCCTGTCTCATTAAATACAATATCTTAATGTTAAGATTGGGTTAAGTACCACACTTAGAAATGTGTTAATAAACAGAATGGAGGATGCATTGAATAATTTCCTTAATGTTTGTAATTGACTGAAGAATTGTAATGTACTATAGGTTCATTGAATAATTTATGTTTTTGGAATACTTAAACAAATAAGTGTGAAGATAGGACTTGTATGAATGCAAGTACTAACTTAAAATCTAATTTATAATGTAGATAATGGCTATCAAATTGTAAATTAAGTAAGTCTGGATTAGGATGTGAAATTGATTCTGGAATATATGATTTATGTACTGATGCACCAGAGATACAATAGTTTAGTACTCATGAAGAATGCTAAGCATGGAATCCTAAATGTACACTTAAATTAGGATCTAGTTGTGCAACTAAATTAAATTGTGAAAGCTATTAAACTAACACTGAATGTTTAACTGATATCAATAATTAACCATGTCAGTGGAATGGAACAAACTGTTATACAAAGAAGTGCAGTGATATTTCATCTATTCCCACTACTGCTGATGATTGTTCAAACTTTTCTCCTTTATGTACAATTTCAACTGAAATTGTTACATGCTAAGATAAGAAACCAAATTGCAGCGATTATAATAATAATATGTCTGATTGTAAAGTTAATTCTGCAGGTTAAAAATGTTCAGTGGACACTTTAACCTCAAGTTCAGGTTCAGACTCAACCTCAAGTTCAGGTTCAGGTTCAGACTCAACCTCAGACTCAGGTTCAGGTTCAACCTCAACCTCAACCTCAACCTCAACCTCAACCTCAACCTCAACCTCAACCTCAGGTTCAACCTCAACCTCAGGCTCAACTTCAACTTCAACCTCAGGCTCAAAGTCACATACAGGTTCACCTACACGTTTAGCTTCTCGTTCAACATCATCTTAAACTTAAACTTTAACTTGTGTAGTTGCAAAATATTTAACACAAGTTCCATATTATATTTATAGTTGTAGCTATGAAAATAAGGATAAAGGATTCCTATATTAATATTTTGACCCATTAAAAACTTGTATTGAAACTCCTTAAACTTGTGATTAAGTTCCGAAAGATTAATGTGATATAATTGCAACAATCAACAATGAGATATGCTCTTATAATGGCACCCAATGTGCAGTCCTCAGTTAAATATCAAATCCATTGGAAGATTGTAGAATAGAATATTCATAGAATAGTTAGCGTTAATGTAAACTTTATTCGAAAACTTGTGAATTAGATTTTATTCAATATAATCGCTGCACTTTTACTTCTTGCTTAAATGTTTTACAAAGTTAATGCGATTTAATTACTTTAAACAATAATATTTAATGCGTTTGGAATAATTCCACATGTCAAGTCAGAACTTGCAATTACATCAATGAAGAACCTCAGTCTGTTGAGTAATGCATATAATGGTTAGATTCTTGCTCCTATGATTAAACAAAAAAGAGTTGTACCGATAGGACTTCGTGTTCTTAAGAAACATCTGAATTGATATGTAACAAAGTATCATATATCAATCCATAGGGGTAAAAAACATATTGCTTTTGGAATTCAAATGGTTGTTCTGATATTACATTATGTTCATAAATTTATGATCCAACGTCACATTAAATGTGTCAATAAAAATTGCCAACTTGTACATCTTAAACATCCCCCTCAAACACTGCTACCTGCATTGAAATTCCTTCTTTTTGTAATTAGATTCAAAATTAAAATTAATGTATTTGAGATTCTAAATTTGAAAGATGTATTTGGAGTTATGAAAAATGCTTTTGATTATTTTGTCATTTTAGAATTTTAAATTCAAACCGTAATTTATTTTAAATTTGCAAAAACAGACAATTATATTGTGTGTATAATCCTTTAAGATCTCAATGTGAGGAAATAAGTTAATGCTAATTGATTCCTAACTAAACAATTGATGCTTAGAATTGTGTAAATTTTAGTTTACTTTGTAGAATAAATGAATAATATGATGGTTGTGTTAGAAATACAAAATGCTCATGAGCAACTACATACTTTCAATATAAATGCGATTCCTTTCTTCTGTATAAGAGATGCCGAGAAAAAGAGTTTATTTATAGTTGTTAACCTTTTGCTTAATTTTGTTAAGATTACAAAAAATAAGAAAACTGTAAATTCGATTATCGATAAAGTGAATGTTACTGGGAGGCTAAATTAAATCAATGTATCAATTTTTTATGCAACGAGATTGATTAGTTAGTTTAAACCCATTAAGATTGCTAATAAATATCTTCAGATTGTACTATTAACATTTAAAATTCATAATATTCATGTTAAAATTTACTTTAATGCAATGAATATTAAGATGAATATTAATGTGTTATCAATTTAAATCATAAGATATGTAGTTGGATAGATAACAAATGTATTTTTGATAACTGTAGGAATTCTGCTAAAAATATGATTTATGATATTGGATCATGTGAAAATAATTATGGTAGTAATTGCACAATAAATGAGGATAGATCTGGATGTATAATTAAATACAAAATATGCAAAAATTACAATTAATTCTAATGTTTAACTCCTGATCAAAGAAATTTATCTGGATTACTCTGCTTTTGGGATTAAATCAATTAAATTTGTTCAGAACTAATTTGTGACTAAGCTCCTTAAAATTATAATTAATTATTTGAATGTTAATCTTTTAATTAGAATTGCTAACCTTCTTAATGTAGATAATCGAAATGTGAAGATTTTAAATACAACACAGATACGAAATGTTAATCTGTACTTTCAAATAGTTAATGCACTACAAATGGTTTCTAATGTATTTAAAGAAAATAATGTGAAAATGCCATCTATTCTTCAGGATGCACTTACTCAATTGATTTTTAAGATTGTTAATGGTTAGAAGAGGAAAATTAATGTGTTCTCAAATCCTGTGATTCTGCGCCTAATAGCATTTAAACTCATTAATAATGTTAATAGTATTTCCAAGGATGCACTGCAAAACTGAATGGAGGTTGTAGTTAACTGACAACATGCAATTCAATATCAACCAAAGAAGGATGTCTAACTGATTAATTTAACATGAACTGTTTATGGGATGAGGATAAGAAATAATGTATTTATCTATAGTGTGATACTATTTGTGGAGATGGAATTGCAGGATTGAATGAAGAATGTGATGATGGAAACTTATTACCTTATGATGGGTGTTATAAATGTAAAGTATAATGTTAATATGGATGTAATGTTTGTGAGTCTAAAATCTGTTTGGATTGCTCCATTGGTTATGAATTAAGTTCAGATGCTTAATGTTATGAAATTTGTGGGGATGGCTTAATTAATGGATAGGAAGAATGTGACGACATGAATGAAATCAAAGAGGATGGCTGTTTTGGCTGTAGATTTTAGTGTCATAAACAATGTCTTATATGTTCTTAAGGTTTATGCTAACTTTGTTAAAAAGGTTGGGAATAATACAATAATTAATGCAAATCTGTTTGTGGAAATGGTCAGTTAGTTGGGGAATATGAACAATGCGATGATGGCAATAATGATGATTTTGATGGTTGTGATGCTAATTGTAAGGTTGAAGAAAATTGGATTTGTAATTAATCATAAATTACTGGACTAAGTGAATGTATAAATTAAGTAGCACCAAAAGTGCTCTTTGAGAACCAATCTTAAAAAAGAGATAGTGAATAAATTATTATGATGTAATTTAATTAATAAATAAAGTTGAAAATGCTTTGCAATTTAGAAGATTATATTAAAATTAATGTAACAAAGAATGTAAACTTTGATTACACTATAGTTCCTATTAAATAAGCTACACCAACATTAACTAATGTTTAATATAAAATATAAATATCGTTATTAGAATCAGTTGATGAACCTTTTGCTACTGTTTCATTTATAGAATCAATTCTTATTAATAATCTCAATCAAGAGTTAATTGTGTTATCTAAAACTATAAGTTTAGGTAATCCTTTAATTTTATCCCTTGATGCAAAGAATCGATTAGATAGTGCAATATAATTTAATGAAATTATGATTTATGTCTTTATTGCATCTTCCACTCTATCAGTATTAACAGGGAACTTTGATTTATTTTTCAACATGCTGGCACTTTTGTAACAATTGTCTTATGTAAGATATTTAGCTGTGCCATACCCAAGTCATCTGGAGCAGTATTTAAAAGTATTTAAAATAATCTCATTTTAACCTTTATATGATAAATTACAGATTGATTATTATTTCTCCAAATTGAATTTTGGTAAAACTCCATTTATTTAATCAAATAATCCAAAATAGGATGATCCTGAATTAAATAACGCTTTTTTCCTTGTAAATGCTAAGAGCTTTTATTTAACCATGTTCACTACATTTACACTGTTTATAATTTCAAAAATAATCAAAAAGATCAGCCATTATGTCTATACTTAATTTTCCTCTTTTAAACACTTTAAAAGACTAAAAATGTTGTATATAATCTTCAGAATGATAAAATAGTTTTCTGAAAAAACATCAAATTACTTTTTCTATTCAGGAATGATAAAAGTTTTTATATCGACATAATATTAGTTAATGTACAGTGCTTATATCTAATGTCCAGAATATCAATTTAATTTCTAATTGTAGGATATATTTATCACTTTTAACTCTTTTAATGCATTAATTGCTATTATAATACCTCACTTATTTCTATTTAAATCTATTGTAGTTCTACAAAAATAATACAAAATAGCAACTAAAAATCGATTTTCAATATTTTACGAAAATGTTAAATAAACCTATTGGGCCAGATACTTCATTCCCTTTTCAATGGTAAAAGTTGCCATTTATATGGGGATTGTTTGTTTTCTGAGTAATTCCCCAGTTATATAGATTATATCATTAACAATATTATCTAATGTTTACTTATATTATCTTTTGGTAGCCCAACCATGTACTTAAAAATTAGAGAAAATCAAAATCATTGTTAGAGAAATGACATTTCTAATAATAGTCTCATCCCTTTTTCCTTATACATCAGCTGTGGATGATAAAATAATTAATTTATTAGGATGGATTCATATAGGATTATTTTCATTGATCATCGCATCAAACATACTAATAGATTTTATAAATTAACTAACGCAATTATTAAATAAATATTAGTAAAATAAATTAAAAAAGAAAAAATAAAAAGAGACTTCCTCTAATTATAATAGTTTTATTATCATTTCAGATGCTAATATATAAAACAAAAGACTAAAATCTTAACAATTAATTACCATTTGATTAAATCAGTATTACTCTATTAAATATTAAAATAATTATTATTAATAGTAAAAAGCATTCCCATTTCCTTACATATCGATTAGTGCTTTTATATCTTTTCATTTCAATATAAAAAAATAGTAGAAAAAATTTAATTCAAAGGTTCAAAAGAAGATTCGAGTAGTTCAAATTTATAACCATCTTAAGTAATAACAGTTAATTTAATCAAATATTAAGTAATAACGATTTTCAAATAAAGCGTATAATAGCCTATTGAATGCAGAATTTTAAGTTATTTGGAAATCATGAATAGGATAAGACAATTAAAGCTGAGTGTTTAAGAAACTTTTATATATATATAATATTTGGAAAATAAAGAATTATCTTACAAATTATAAACTTAATAAAAGCAAAAGCTAGTAATTTAATTAAACGAATAGAGTTTAAAGCTTATTGCATTATAATTTTACATCTATAATTAAATTTATTAATAAATATGTTATAACAACACCCATATTTAAATTAGCCCGAAAATGTTGCCAATAAATACAATAAACCTGTTAATTTGAGCCAGCAACTTAGTTTTTCTAAGAGTCTACCTGGTCAAGGATTGCAGCCAGAGTAAAACTATGCAACTCCATAATGGCAAAAGTAAATGAACCCTTAATTCTCAAATCAACAGCCATAAATTTAAACTATCTAATCCAAGTACATTCCGCAACAGTAGACCATTTATCAACCTTAAACAAATTATGTTTCATAAACGCAATAATAATTTGTACCAATTGCTTATCCTCAATAATAATAATTCAGATAAAGTTCCCCTCCAAGAATATTCAAGATGAATTAATAACCATAATAACAATAAGCAATCTACCGATAAACAGAAGTAAGAATTCCAGAATATTACTCGCCTCCTCCTATTTAATATGATGAGCCGGTCTTCTATGAATAACCTAGATATTACCCTCCTCAACAATAATAAATCAAATTACCTCCACCCCAAATAGAAAATTATTTTCTGCCAAACTAAGTCAGTTTCATAAGGAATCTTGACGATGGATTAAAGTATCCAGAATATCCTTTTAAAGCATTAGATATTCGAGATTATTTTAACAAAGCTCTTATTGATATGGCTACCTAAGAAGAGAAGATTGAAAGAGCTAAAATATAAGTCTGCTCTCAGCTTGATTTTCGAATTAATGGTTTGTTTAATCAGTTTGATTAAAATCAAACTGGACAACTCTCCAAAGAGGAATTTGCAGTTGGATTAAAAGCATTTTCATTGTAAGCTGAATAATGTGATATCACATTGTTATTTGAAGAATTTGGGTATTAAGGAATGATGGATATTCAATAATTTGGAAATATGATAAAACCATAAACAGATCTTAAAAATACAAAAGCATTTTAAGATGATGATGTAAAGGTACTCCCAGAAACTAAACTTTTAATCAGAAATTTATTCGTCACATTGTTAAATGCTGAGAGTGTGTTAGAAGGTCTTAGATAATACTTAATATCAAAAGAAGAGGAACTGAGATAAGATATTGAATATGAGTAGATATTTGAAGACATATTTTCAAATGATCATCCTAATAATTTAAGATTTTATCTTTAGAATTAAGGATAATATTTTGACATGGCAGTTATTAATAGTCTATTTAATAGATTCGATAGAGAATGCACAAAAAGAATCACATAAGATTAATTTACCTATACATTTTAGCCAAAGTTAAAAAAAGATGATAATTGCTTGTGATAAATTATTATTATTTGATATATATATATAGTACACATTTCTTATGAAAGTAATTTGAATTCACACTTTCTTTTGTGCAACCTTCTTGAATAATTCTAAGTATATATAAACTAATTTAATTCGAGAACAAATTATTATAGTAAATAAAAATAATTCTCATATAATCAATTTTCTGAGAATAATAAATACTTTCTTTTACTTTTAATATTGAGGTTATAATCAAAGAGGAATGCCATGATTAATTTAATTATATAGTATTTAGTAAAGAAAGCACTCTAAATTTAAACTTGACATGAATTAAAATTTATTTATTTATATAATGAGACAAAAATCTCAAACTGTTCATGAGGGCGGAGAAAGAAAGTTATAAGCAGTCGATTATGATAAGTGTATTTATAATTGTCTTTTGACTAAAAAGAAATTTATTGGAAGGGGCCTGAGATACCTTTATTTGTTTAAGAATTAAATTTGTATAGGAAAGGTATCCGTCTATCTTTAGATTTTGAGTCACCTTATGTTCAGATTCCTGAACGCCAATTACGAATCAGTTCAGAATTAAGAATTCAATGGACTTATACAAAAAATAAATTAAAATCAGTAATCTTTTAAGTAAGCGGCTAACAATATGAATATCATGGAACAAATGACTAGTTAAGAGAACTTAAATAGAAATGTGCATTATACGTTTTCCAAATCAAGATTTAGGATGAATACTAAGCTGAATCAGTTTTAGGAAAAGGGTCTTATGCAACAGTTCTCGAATTAACTAATTTATATACAAATAAACAATATGCTGCTAAATGTATTGATTAGCAACGTATCAACGAAAAGAAAAATGGTTACAAATAATTGCAATAAGAAATAGAAACTATGAGAATACTATCTGAAAGAAAACATGATAACATTTTACAATTACATGAGCTCTATATAGGAAATTAAAATTTTTATTTAGTTATGGAAATGGCCAAAGGTGGCTCCCTATTGACTCTTATGAAAAAACGCTAAACTCTTTTCAGTAGATCAGACATTAAGTTGATTATGAAATAACTCCTTGAAGGATTGGAATTTATTCATAATCATAATATAATGCATAGAGACTTAAAACCAGAAAATATATTGTTTATGAATAAAGATTTAGAATCATTAGTAATAGCTGATTTTGGCTTAGCATAATCAGTAGACTCTCATCCCTATACATATCCTAAATGTGGTACCCCAGGGTTTGTGGCTCCAGAAATCCTTGAGCAAGATTCTGAATTGGCAAGATATACTGTATCTTGTGATATATTTAGTGCAGGAGTCATTTTATATGTGTTGTAAAGTATTTACATTTATTTAAGATTAATCGGGGAACCTTTGTTTGAAAAAAAGGATAGGAAAGAACAATTAGAATTAAATAGAAAATGCGAAATCAATCTAAGTAAGTTTCCATCTGATTAATTGGATGATCTTGAAAAGGATTTATTAATGAAAATGCTATCAAAAAATCCAGAATTTAGATGGTCAGCCAATAATCTGCTAAAACACAAATTTTTCGTATCTGAAGATTCCATAGAGAGTGAAGTAGATTTCTACAAATTAAATAATATCGCTATGTATGAAATTGATAAAATATTAGACTTAAGAAACACGCTATGCCAACTTTCTCTAAAAATCCTTTTATATAATTTGGTAAAAATAATAGTCTAGTCAGAGATAATACTTAAACTATTTCTCTAAGATAAAGAAATTGTACATTAGTAATGTAAACTAATTTAAGATTTGATAAATCTTCACAAGAACAATTAAATACTGAATAAGTAAATGGAATGGGATCTTTTAACCTATACAAAGACGAAATAAATTAAACTAACCCTTGAAAATAAATCATTCGCATTTTATTTACTCTAAATTTACATTTATAGACATAAAATAAATTTTTAGTTTTGGTTATTTTTTGAAGTATTTCTTTTGTGTTAAGTTGGATTTCATTCAATCTATATATAAATGAGTTTCTAAGACCAAGTAATTCTAACTCGTTATCATAATGAGTAAATTGATTACAGGCTTTGTTTTATGAATCCAAAAATATCAATAAAAATTCCAAACAATATAAATTAAAAAAAGAAAGATATCTTGCAAAGTCAGCTAGAAAGGAGGGAAATTGGACTTAAGCTATCGAAATGCTGGTTTATTTATGTTTATTAACCAAATTATATTTATCATTGAAAAATGAGTAGATTCAAGGATTTATGAAAGAGAAACTGATAAAATAAGAGATGAATTTTTTAATTCTTATGATTAGAGATTACGTTTATATATCTATAATTTTTCAAAAACTGTATTAAAAAGATGAATAGTTTGGTATAAGCAATAAGATTTTTTTTTTAACACAGTACAATAAATAAAAAGCCTAAATTTGGATATCTTTAACCATTTGATGGATGGTTTTTCATAATGAAATTTATATTGAATGTTCAGAGTTTAATTATCACTTTACAAAACAAAATGAATTTTTCTTTATTAATTTTATTGATGAAAAAATTATTCGAAAATTGTAATTAATGTTCAAAAAAACCAGGAACAGATTTCTGTTCTAATTGTTAAGTTAGGTTTTGCTATGATTGTGATGGAGAAGCTCATAATTGGATATAGAATCATAAGACAGAAATATGCTCATTATTATGTATTATGTTTTAGATTAAGAAATGAAATCAAATAACTTAAACTCTTCAATTTAGGCTGGAGATTCTTAGTTTTTATATTAATAGCAATAAAAATAATTTGGAATAGATTAGTAGAACAGATAATATTGTTAATAATTAGAACAAGAGATATTATAATTTGTATAAATTTTGAATTCATAAGAAAGCAAATGGAGGAAAAAAATTCAAATATCAGAAAAAGAGTATCGAGAAAAAATTGCGAATTTTTAATCTAAGGTCAAGAAAAGTGAGAGCACAATTATAGAAATTAAATAATAATCTAAATAAGAGGATTAAATTAGTGAAATGATAAAATAATTAAAAGAATAGCTGGAGGGACAAAAGAAGTATTATTAAATCTACAATTGATAGTTAATTAATCTAAAAAGTAGAACAATAAAAAGAGTAACTGAATTACAAAGAGCAGCTATTACAAAATTTGATAAATTAAGAGAAAGATTTATCTGCAGAGATAAATAAAAAAGAGATATTTATTGGGAAGTTTAAAGAGTTAATCTAATAGTAGTAGAAAGAAAAAGAGTTGATATTACATGAAAATGATAAAATAAAAAAGCAATTGACTGAAATCAAGTAATTATTCAAAGAAAAACTGCCTTAATTGGGATTAGATGAAATTTTTTCAATTTTGATGAGAATGAATAAGAAGGAGAAGATGAGGAACTAGAGCTTCAAATATAATAAAATGTGGATGACTCTACAGAAGAAGACGAAGGAGTATAATGAGTAAATCTAATCAGTTAACTATGAGTCATTCATTGTTATTTTTGATTCTAAGCATTTTATTAAAGATATTATTCTATTTCTTCTGCCTCTAACCATCGTTTTTTTATTCCATCTTTCCACTCTCCGTATTTCTTTTCTCCATTTGACATATAATAGACTCCAATTCCTTATTGTTTACCTATAAGATATATGATATACAATACCATTTACCCAGATTCCTTCATATTTCCTACCATCTCCCCATTCAAACGAACCTCGGCCATGTTTTTTATCTTCAAAGTATTCCTAAAGTTAAAGTAACAATGGATACTCCTATATATTTTCTGCCATCTGGCCATGTTACTTATCCATGACCATGCATTTTATTTCTTTTCCATTACCCAGTATAAATTCGTTAATCTGGCCATTAATACGTTCCATATCCATCAATTTCATTATCAACAAAAGTGCCTTCATATCTAGAACCATCAGCAAATAGTAAAATGCCTTTACCATTTTTCTTTCCTGTTTTGTATTCTCCTTCATATTTAGCTCCATCAGGCCAAACTTCAATTCCTATGCCATCTTATCTGTCATCAACCCACTAAATAATTGATTTATTATTTACATCTCCCTCATATCTAGCACCATTAATATGAACATATACTCCTTTGCCATTTGCTTTATCATTTTGCCATTCTCCTTCATATACATCACCATCTGCATGAATCAATTTACCCCAACCACAACTTTTATCATCCTTCCATTATCCTTCATAACATGAACCATCTGGCCACTATTATTTACCAACCCCATCTCTCTTCCCTAACAACCATTCTCCTTCATATATGGCACCTTTATCTAATTAGATTGGTCCAAATTTTTGCCTTTCAGTGCAATTCAAATAGGTTATACTTACTTCTTTCACAGATTAGGGTTCTAAATTTTTTTTCATAGACATGCTTTCATTATCTACTTAAAATTTTTCTCTTTCCTTATTGTTTTATCTTGGAGTTTCAGAAACCTATTGTTATTATTATTAAAGTGATGAGACACTATTTTCTTTATCATCATAGTCATTTTGGTCAGGATCTTCTAAATCCACCTCATTCTTTTTAGAATCTTTGGATACAATCTCTCCATTTTTATTAGCGCAGCAATTCACTTAGCAGCTTCCCATTTCAGTTAATTATTTATATATGTGATTTATAATATCAAAATTCTGCTTTCTCAATATCAGGTGGGGGAGGCCCACAGGGCTAAATCATTTTGGTTAAAAATTTATAACGCAATCGGCACATTGGTTCATTTTCAGCTGTACAGAAATAGACCTCAACATCAAATAGATGAATACCATTCTACTATGATGACCTATATGTGAGGCTAATGTATCTCTGTGAATATGATTATTCCAAACATATTTTGGAGTGTCTGGATTTCCTGTACCAACATAACGGGCATGCAAATGCTCAGTTTAAGTTTAAAAATTGAATCTGTCTTGCATTGAATATTTCCAAATATATAAAAATATTATTTAAATTAATTATTGTATAATCAGAATAATCTATATTTAATTATTTATTTAATCTAAAATGCTTGATATTGCGAAATCTCAAGAATGATGAAAAACAAAAGTACTTTCTTTATTTTATTTCCAAATCTTATTAGAATTTATTTCAATTAACCATTTTAACAAAATTAAGGGTAAATTTCAGGTATTTATATTTGTTATCCACAATTATTTGACTTCAAGCATATGTTTTAATCTTAATGCGAGTGGAAACAATAGCGTTCATCTAAAATTTTAATTTGATTTAATAGAATAAAAATTACTTTCAGAAGAACTTTAGAAAAAGATAAACTTTGGAATATTTGTTAATACTCCAGAATATTTATGTATATTATAGAATATTCATTTCCATAAGTTTCTCAAATACTTCGACATTCTAAATAAGCGAACTAATCTGTTATATATCCGATATTCTAAGAATTATTTTTGGGTAATTAGTTGAACATCTTATCAAACATCATGTAAATCTGTATTAGCATCAGCAACTGTTTATTATTAGAATTTACTTTATGACTCCTTGACGCATTATAGGATTCTTGAACAATTTAATAAGTAAATTTCAATTTATTAGGATCTTAGTTTTGATTCTCCATTTGGTAATCTATTCTATGTTAAGGAATTGGTCTTTGATTTTATGATATTTAAGAAAACATCTTCATTACAATTTTTTTGTTCAGTATTTCTAAACAAATTATCGTATTCTGTTTAGTTAATACAAATCTAGATTATTTAATTACCCATTGAAATTCTTATCTATTCAACGTTCCATTCTTATTTTTACTATTTGGATATTTCCTCATCCCATTAAAGCTACAATATATTTATTAAAATTATTGACTAATGCTAAAATAGAAACATATTTATATTGAAAATATTCTTTATTTGCTATTTAGATTTGATCAACACATATATTTTATCGTAACATAATTTTCCACTTCTATTGGAGTCATATTTATTTAATATTGTCTCAATAATGTCTTTTTCTATGAATACGCAACAATACTTTTTTAAAAATTGTACAAAGGGTTATATCAAGACTTCCATTTTTTCCAAATCAAAATACACAAAGTCCTTTTGACTATCTTTTCTGTATCATCTTTGGCAACTCTTTTATCTAATTTTTTCAAATAACACAATTTCCAATTAATCCAAGATGCATCTGTAAAATAATACTCTTCCTTCTTACTTGGAAGTGTTGCATTACAATCAGCATCATAATTTAAAAATTCCTTTTCATTTATAATTTGGCTTGTTACTTTTGGATATTTCATTCACAAATCCCTTAATGACTTATTAATCCGTTTTCTATTTTGTTCTTGCTCTGGGGCTTAATAGAGTCTAAAAAGATTTTCCAATTTTGCAATCTCCTTTGGGTTGATTAATTCAAAAAGGAAAATGTGCTTCTTACTATATTTAGTCTCTTTTCAATCATATTTTCTCTAATCAAATTCACAAACTCTGCTAAAGCATATTTTCCATCTTTATTTTAGATATATTTATCATATGCTTCTCTCACTTCTCAAGAAGTTAGAAATACACCAAATTTAGACAGGAACTTTTAGGATTCGTCCTTATCCAAATATCCTTTTTTTTCGATAAAATAGCTCAAATCATGCCATTAATTAATACACTCCTTCCATGTCTTCTATTTTACGAACATGTAATTAACCTCTAATCTTATTCTAAACTAAGTCCAATTTCTCCAATCCATCGGTTTGATTTAACATTCTATATATTGATTTAAATTTCGATTGATTACACAAAGAAATCTTTAAAATCCCTTAATCCTTAAACGAATATAGAACTAATCAGTTCTTAAATAATTTTAATGAATTGATAGCATTTTTAATAAACTAGGTTAGAGCAAACTAATAGTGTAGATTTGCTTATAATCTAGGTAACATAAAAATATCAAATGATGGTATTATAATAAACTTTTGATAAACCAATAAATTTATAGAAACTTGGACTTTAGAAAATTTCCATTTATTTTATTAAATTATCAATTAATTTGTAATAGCCATTTAGTATTTTTAAAGAAGGTTGCTTTATAATCAAGTTTATTTAATATAGTTTTTTATTTCTCGGGATAAAAAATGATTTAAACTTCCTTATTAAAGGATAAAATTATAAAACAAAAATGCCTTGAGTTTAATTTGATACACAATAGGGTATAATATATTGTGATTTATTGAAAGTTTAATGGTTTGGATATTGAATATATTATAAAAATTGAATTAAATTTTCAGAGGTGAAGGCAGAACTAAGATCTTTTATACTGTTACTTGAATTTACAATTGCAAAATCTCAGATCATAATTTTTATATAAATTATTATTAAAGCTCATGAAATTTTTTAAACAATGTTATAATGAGTTCTTTCTTCAGGTTTAAATACAAGAACTCTATAAGTACGAAGAATCTTTAAATAGTTTTACTCTATAATTTTAATCAGAGGAATTAGAACAATCTTATTAAAATAGGTAAATGGCCAAGGTTATAGTGTAATTCAGGATATCAACATTATTATAGATATTGATAAACATAGGATTTATGATAAACTCAGCAGTTGTATATAATTCACCAGATATAGTGAAATTTAGATCAATTTTTATTGGATGGATGCTCATATGTTTATTTTTATAGAAAATTTCTAAGAAATATTGGAATGTCACCACTAATATACTGGTTTTCATTAATGGTGTTATAAGTGTCTTGTTGTTTGCCTTCTTTACTAAATTTGTGAACACAGCCCAAACTAACATAAATGATGTTATGAGTCTTTCTTTAATATCAGGTTTGCAATAGGGGTTATTCGCTATGAGCTTTTTTTTAATTTAGTCCAACTACATAATGCAGAGTTTGTCTATGCTAAGCTTCTTTCTTATATTGATGGGAATTTTTACTCAATTTTAGAATTATAGATTATGGACGTAATATCTGCTTCTTATTTTTACATGTTATTTATTGAGATAGAATGAAAAGACAAATAGATTGAATTATTTATTAATTCACAAGTCTCATTAGAATTTAGAAGCATGTAAGAAACTTTATGATGAAACAGTTCCAACATCTATAATAATTTTGGAAGAGAATATTTAATAAGAAGGGGCTAATAAAAATGAATTAAATTCAGTAGTTACACAAAAAGAAAAATTATATACTTTGGATAATAGACTTATGAATGTGGCATATTTTAATAAAAGTGCGTCTATTCATTTTGAAACGGTCGAAGAAGATATTTTAACAGGAAGATTGGCTGAAATAGAAATATTAAATTCAGAGAATTCAGTTTTAAATTCTGAAAATAACAAGCTTTTAGATAAGATTTAAGGATTACATTCCACATTGCAGACTGAAATGCGTTTTAATACAATAAACTCTTTCGATTATTAAATTATGTCAATTAATAGAAAAATGCAATGCCAGAGAGTATAAATATATTAAATTTAGGTTGTTAAATAATCATAAGTGCAATATTATGATGCATAAGCTTAAGGTTGCTTATGGGATGGCAAATAATGTATAATGTTAATATTGAATGATACTACTGATAGAGTCTTAAGAATAAAGCATCTCCAAGATTTAGACAATTATAAAGATAAATTATTAGCTGCTGTTTCTCATGATCTGAAAACTCCATTAAATGGTCAAAGTATTCTTGCTAATTTGATTAAAAAAAAGTTGGAAAATAAACAGTCTATGGCTAGAATTGAAATTTAGGGTATTATTAAAATGAAATAATATTTTAGATATTGTTGTTCACATTGATGACATGATTTCAAATTAGTAGATACTATTAGTGATGATAAATGATTTAATTGATTATTCATAATTAAAAAAATAAGGATTAAGATTAAATTACACCTAATTTGATCTTTCTGCATGTGTGCAACAAATTAAGAATATGTTCAAAATGTAAATGGAATTTAAAAAACTATAATTCATTATTTTAGGGTTAAATGAATAGATCATTATGTATTCAGATTAAATTCGACTTTAATAGATTTTATTTAATCTCATATCTAATGCCATTAAATTTACTTACTAAGGATAAATTACACTGGCAATTAATAAGGTAAGTTCTGGTAATCAACAATTAATTCATTTCTCTGTATAAGATACTGGAATTGGAATACCTTCACAAATCTAGAGTAAATTATTCAAAGCATACTCAACCTTTAATTTAGGAAATTAAAACTCATAAGGAGTAGGATTAGGACTAGTTATCTCCAGAAATCTAGTTGGCTTATTAGGTCCAGATGAGTTTATAGAAATGAGTTCAGTGGAAAATAAAGGATCTAATTTCAGTTTCTCGATATATCTGAATGCTTAGCATAAAGAATGCGATATAATTAATAGTTTATAGGCAGAAAATGGAACTCCTGATAACGATCCATCTCCAATTCATCGAATGCCTAATCCAGTTATCAGAAGATAAGATAGAAAATATTAGACAGTTGCTGAAATGTCCACAAGTTTATATTAAAAATTAAAAATACTAATTGTAGACGATACAAGTTTTAACATTTATGTCTTAAAATAGCTGTTAACATAAATTATTATTAGATGTGAGATTTATGAAGCTCATAATGGTAAGGAAGCATTAGAAAAAGTCAAATCCGTCAGATTTGATATTATATTTATGGATATCAATATGCCAATTTTGGATGGCATCTAGGCTACCAAATAGATAAGATTGTTTGAAAGAAAACATGATTTTTAAAAGTCAATAATCTGTATGCTTTCTGCTTTCTAAGGAGAAGATGATCTTTAAGAGTCATTGGCGATAGGAGCAGATTTGTTTTTATCAAAACCCCTAGAAGTTCCAGCTTTAAAAACGATACTGAAATCGCTTAAGTATATTTGATATTGATTCTACGATATTGTTATTAATACTTCCATAAGTGGAATTTATATTATTAATCAATTATTATCATAGATAAATTAAAATATATATTAATATGCTGAAGAAACTCAAACCTATCCTCTTATCTGTTACTACCATAGGTGTAGGCTATTTTTGTGTTCAACGAGAACTCAATATTAATTTGGGAATCTTTGACGCCTTTTATTATCAACTCTATAAATACTCTCCTCATTACGCTGTTCAATTTATAAAGCTGATGTCTTATTAAAATTTATTGTGGAAGCAAGATCTCTACACTCAAGAATAGAATCTTAATGACTAAATAAAATTAAAGAATTAACTTGGATTAGCTAGTGGATTTGATAATGATGGCTCCTTTGTTGAAACCTTATAAAATTTAGGATTTGGCTTTATTGAAATTGGTTCAATAACAGCTTAAAGAAATATAAGGTTTAGTGAAGATTTGAATACTTATTCAGTTAAAGTAAATTAAACCAAATATCACACAGAACGATAGCATAGAATATTTGAGCGAAATTCCTTAAATGGGAATATTACAGAGCAAAGCCATTTTGACATCACTACGAAGAAATTATGCAATAAAGATTCCTGTGGGGGTTAGCATAATGCCATCAGAGGAAATTTATAAGTACACCCCATATTTAATTGAAAATGACATTTCTAATGTTACAAGGTATAACATAATCAAACAATTAGAGAATTATGCACTGTAGCTGATTTCCTTGTTCTTAATCTTGTAAGTAGTTAAAGAACTAGTAAATTATATAATGACATCGTTACCAATAATACAGATGTTATTAAGAAAATGATTCAATCTATATAAATTACTTAAATTGAAGAGATTGGTCTATAAGCTGCTTTGGAACATGAAACTAAGAATGAACTTAAAGGAGACAATTAAGTTAGGGAATATTTAAGCACTACTTAACTCGGATTGAAATAGTAATATCTATTTAATATAATTAGAAACTTAGTTGCTCCTTTGTATATTAAAGTATCATCAAATATATAAAAAACCATCCTTGATTTTCTATTGGAAGAAGCAAAAGGAAATAAAATTTAAGGAATTATTCTTTAAAAGGATATCAATTAAAACGATTTAGAATATAATAAAACACTTAAATAAGTGAGATAATAGCTTCCAAAGTCATGCACTTTGATTAGCGTTGGAGGAATCAAAACTAAAGTACAATTTTAGGAAAGATTAAATAACGGAGCTGATGCTTGTTAAATATTTTCATCTTTTGTTGCTAAAGTAATTTAGATATTCGATATTATAGGGACCTCACGTCATCAAAGATATTTTGCTGTGAATATTATAACAATAAAAATTTAATCAAAATAATTAATTCAAAACCATCCCTTAATTCCTTTACTTTTATTTTTCTTATCTTTTTTCTCACCTGACTTAAAAAACAATTCTTAGCATATATTTTATTTATCTGCCATTTCTATCATACTCAAAATAACACCTAAAATCGATTCAGCAATTTCAGGATTTCTATATTATTGATATTTTTAAATTTTACTTATTTAAAATAGCAGTGAAGAATTATTGACATAATCCTTTTAATTATTCATATTAATTTTTTAATGTGATTAAATCTTAAGATGAATCGCTATTTTATTATAAAACTTGTGGGTGCTCTACCAATTATTCCATTTTATCGGATTGCTGTTTTTCTTAAGCATTAATAACCATAATCTAATTTTGTAACTATATTTATAATTCCTTTTTTTAACTTAACATATAAGGAATTTATTACCTTTCTAATTCTTTAATTGTAGATTGTAATTGGAAAATCAAAACTTCAAGTTTCTATTTCTCCTCTTCATATGCTCTATTAATTAGATAAGATTTTATACTTGTTTTTTTGTTCCAAATTGCTATATTTTTTCAATAGATCAGAATTTTCATTATCTAAATATTTTATATAATCTTATTAATCCTTCTCATAATCATTCTTTGCCTTTTATCCTAATTTAATTTCTTCGGCTAAATCATCCCCTTCTTGGTTTTCTTCATCTTAATTATCATCAAATGTAAATTATTTCTTTTATTTATTTTGAGGGAATATTTAATCTCTCTCATATAATTAGTTTTATAATTCTTAGATATGTTTTTCTCCTTCAAGTAATATCTTTGAAAATTTGTTTGGGTCAGATTCTATATTTTAAATTGGACTAGGAGTGCCCCCTCTATTAATAAAATCTTAAAGTAATCTTTAATATAAATTTTATGTTCTTACTTATTTTATTCTTTTAACTAGACGATTTCTTCATTCAATTAACCCAATTTTGTATTTAATTCTTATTCCTTCAAATGAAATACATTTTATTATAATAAAATCTTTTATTATAACAGAGAATCATTGTCAGATAAGTTCTATTCATCTTCTCCAAGATCTGAAAATTAATCAAATTGACATTAGTTTTAGCTTCTCCTTGATCTATTACTCAAAATTGACCTATTCATTTATATTTCCTTATATTAATTTTCATAATTCTCTATTTTTTCCTTATGCTCATGCAATTCAGCTTGTAAAATTTAAATAGTCTACTCATGGTCTTTCAACCTCAAATAATTTATTTTTAATTCTTCTTATAAATCTGTAACATTTTTTTTCAAAATTTCATTTTCTTCCTTTAATTTTTAGACTTCATGTAATTCAGGATTAACTTCTTTCTATTGTCTTTGATTTTATTCAATTATTTATTATAATTCTAACTCTTCGTCTTCTGAATGCTAACTAATTAAATCAATATCTTTAAAATTGTCTAATTGAAGGCAATTTTAACTTCTCTTTGATCTATTACTTAATATGGATTTATTCATCTACTTTTCTAATATATTTTCATAATTGTCTAGTTTATCTTTAAGACCTTTAATTTCCATTTGTAAATTCGAGATAGTTTATTCATAATCACCATTCCTTTAATTATTAATTATTTCCTATTCTTAATCCGCAAGCTTTCTTCTCATTATATCATTTTCTTCTCTCAATTTTGACACAATAGTTTTATCCTAATTTTATTCTTCTTAATCTGTTTCATTATTCTATTTTTTCAGTTATTATGTCAATTCTAAAATTTGTTTCTCTTCATCTTCAGAATTCTTGCTTGTTTCTTCGATATCATTAAATTAATCTAATTAGATCGCATTCATACTTCTTTTGGATCTATTACTGATGAAAGATTTATTTAATTTAAACCCTCTCAACTCATTGATATTTTGCTTCAATTATTCAATATGTTTATCCTTCTCTTCAATAACTTATTTTAATTGAGCTATCTCTTCTCCTTAGATATCATTACTTTATGGCAATTATTCTAATTTCGAGATTTTAATTAATTATTAAAATTCTTATTAAGTAAATTCCTCTTCTTTATTAATATCTTCAATCTACTTTTATAAATTTTCTATCTCAAGTTTTTATTTTGATATAAGTTGTTGATCAGAATTAAATCTATCCTCATACTGGTTTATAGATTATCCTTAATCAATTAATTTATTTTCTTTGCATTAAATTTTATTATCCTTTTCTTCAATACTTGCTTCAAGATTTGAAATTTTCAAATTCAACCTTTCTTCTTATTTTTTTATTTCATCTTCAAGTTTTAAGACTACGATACCTAATTCTTCATTAGTTGATTAGATTAGTTTTAACTCCTCTTCTTTATTCTAAATACTTATTAAATGATTTTAATATTCTTTCTCTTTATTCAGCAATAATTATTCCAATTTATTTTACAACTATTCAAATTCATCCTCTTTACTATTTAGTTTACTGAGAGCATAATCTTTTATTTTAGATAATTGAGTAATTTAATCTTCATATTCTACTGTTTTTTAACTTATTTCTAACTCGTAATTTGTTAATTTCTGTTTAAATTCATTAATTTCTTGATCTTTTATAAGAATAATTTCATTGTATGTATTAAGTCTGTCTTATTACTGTTAGATTTATTGAACAAATTCAGAATTCTATTCTTGAAGAATTCTTTTATCATTTGATAATGTTTATTTTTCGATTGAGTATTATTTACCTAAGTTTTCATTCAAACCTTTAAGAGAATCAATTACTATATCTTTTTCATTTTAAGAACTTTTTAGCTCAATAAGTTATTGCTAAATTTATATCATTTGAATGTTTAAATCTTCCTTTATGCTTCTCTCGATATTAAGATGATCTAAGAGAGTCTAATTCTCTCACTTTATCTCCTCCTCTAATATAAACTACCCCCTTATTAATCTCAAATAGCCATTATATCTCTCTTAATATTAATTTGACTCATATGTAATCTCAATTAACTCATTTAAGACATTATTCATAAAATTATTCATTTATTCAAAAATCTAAGCTTCTATCTTTTTAAAATATTCATTTTATTTTGAAATTAATTCGCCCATTTTGATCTCATATATTTGTTATTATTCATGAATCCCTTTATCTAAGTTTGACAATATACTCATCCTTTTTCATTAATTCTGAATTTAAAGTTTCATTTAAGTTCTTTATTATTTCGTTGTCCTATAATTATTTTTACTAATCAGAATTCCATTTTAACAAATAATCTTAATTCTTCTCTTCTAACTATTTAATTTATCTTTTATATTCTTGGTTTTCCAATTACAAGGCTGATATTTCTAATTAAATTTATTAATTTACAGACACTTATGTATCAAAACTTGCTGCATTGTTAATTTTATCTCTATCCAATTCTATATTTAAACTCTTCAATGCTGATATCTCTTCCTATTATTACAAGCATTTTGTATTTATTTCATATTCTTGTCCTTAGGCTTTTAATAATTTTTCATTTAAATCAATGTTAGTATTTCGTGATTAAATATTTTCACTCTCTAACGATTTTATTAATTCTTATTACTATATTATTTTCACTCTCTATTTTGATAACTTATATTAAAAGTTGTATTTCTAATTATTAGAATTACATTGATAATTAATCTAATTACAAGGTATTGGCTATTTCTTAAATTTATTAGGAGTAATTGTTGTATATTGTTTTGAGAAGTACTTTACTCTACTCCTGGATTATATTCTAATATTCTAGTTCTTTATCAACCTAATTATTATCTATATTTTATTATTCTAAAACTCCAAATTATGAAGATGTATTATTTAACCTAGATTATAATTCTTCATTTTCTTATTTTAGTTGTTCTATAAGCTCAGTACTTTTGATGATATGGTTATTCTGTAATTAATCAATTTCTTGCTTAAATTGATTATTTAATTGTTCTAATTGATATTCTTTTTCTTCTAATTGTATTACAAAAGTATTAATTTCCTGCTTATAATTTCTTTCCATATCAAGGAATTAATTCTATTTATTCTTCAATTATTAAGATTGATCATTGATAGTTTATTCTAATTATCTGAGTTATTACTATTACTAAAGGAATTAATCGTTTAATTCATTATAATATTTGTGAAGTTAATCGAGTTGACTTTATTTGTCAGAATTTTCTACAGATTATGATTAAATTGAGCGTTCTTAATTCTCTTTTTAAGTCAACAATTAAGAATTTTAATTTTATAAAGTATTCAATGAAATTTCATTTTCTTTTTGATGAGTTTACAGCAATTGCTATAAATCTTAATATTATTGTTTTAAGACATTTTCACGAATTGATAAATCAAATATTTTTTACTCATTATCATTTTTGCTTTAATATTTATTAATTCATATTTTATAATATCTTGATTAAGTTAATTGAATTTAATGTAATAATAGTAAAAATTATTTTTTTATATTTACTTTGCTTTTTTTATTATTTTTTACAATTTTCTTATTTTTTTCTCTTTATTTTATAAATTTCTTTATTCTTTTTCTTATTTTATTTTTTCATTTTATGTATATTTTTT